CCCTTGCCGAATTTCATCCAGTTACCAATCATCTTCCGAGTCTTTTCGACAGAACGTTCGGCCTTTTCTTCCAGGGTCTTCTCGATCTCCTCGCCTTCGGTCTTCTCGTGGGGATGTGAGCGAGAGGGAGCAAAGTTGGCCGGGTTCTGTTGTAACCTCTGCCGCTGTTCCTCGATGTGCTGTTTCTGCTCTTCTTCGGACATGTGACTGACGTCCTCGACCTTGAGAACGTTACCCTCTTCATCCTCCATGATCATGTTATGACCCTCCAGGTAAACTTCCATGATCGGCTCTTGGCCGAAGCGATCGCGCTCCCGGTTAGGAGGAGAGGATTCCCGTTCGATTCTGTCGCGTTCTTCCTCCTCTTCGCGTTCTTCTTCTTGCTTCTCGGACTTCTCGGTATCTGCTGTTCGCTGGGGCGCAATGGCCGACTGGCTAATGGGACCACCCGCTCCGTCGTTGCGTCTGCGGCGTCTCCTACGGGTCCTACTCGTCGATCGGGCACGTGCCGGATCTGTTTCGTCTTCCTTCTGACGACGCAAGAAGTTACCCGGAACTCCGATCGGAGGCAGCGTACCCGGAGGATAATCGGGTTCGTTAGAGGATTCATCCTCATCCGGTTTGCGGAAGGACATGGAACCCTTGGCGAGTGATTGCACCCGCGGCAGACGGTTCATCCAGGAGGGACCCTCCTCGTTGGCGGTGGTGTAGGACAATGTGATGGTCAGAGTGTTGATCCGCTTGCCGAGCGTGAAGACGGCGATGGACGAGCCGTGAACCAGAATTGAGGAAATGACCATGAAGGTCGTAATTGGCCAGATGAGCTGAATAATATAGTAGTTTGAAGAGCCAGCCGCCGGGAGCTCTGATTCTCCTAACGGACTGGTGCCCTGTCCCTCCAGTTCGGCCCGTGCTAAGATCGACGCAAAGATCGCACCGACGCCAATCGGCCCGAAGTGGCCAGCGAACAATGCCTCGCGCCACGTTTTCACATCGGGTATAATCGGTTTCAATATCAGCATGATCGGAATGCGACGAAAGAAGATGACCAAAATCGCTATCACAACCAGTCGCCAGGGCTGCAGACCAATCGATGGGTTGTTGTAGTCCTCCCAAGGAATGATGGAACCAAAATACACAAAGTACGCCAAGTTGAGTAGCAAGTCGATGACGTTGGACACGTGGGACTCCTCAGTCTTCTCCGTAAACCATCCGTCATTACTGAAGCCCACGCCGGCGGCAAAGCCGATCAGGAGGTCGTCCATGCCCAGTAGACTGCCCGAGCCGGCGCAGAAGACGGCCAGCACGAAGTAGAAGACCAGGAAACTTTCGCGATCGATCAGCCCCTTCCGTTCGGCGAGCTTAATCGCGTGCCGGGCCAGATACCCAATGATGAACCCGTAGACCGCGCCAAAAATACACTCGTACAGAATGGTGACACAGAACCAATGCAGCGACACCTCGCCCGCATGGGGGCGGTAGCGCCAGATGTAGTAGCCCAGATAAATGAACGGGAAGGCCATGCCGTCGTTGCAGCCGGACTCGGCGGACAACAGGTCTCGCAAGTGCTTGGGGACTCGGCGGGCGAATTTACCTTTACCGACGACGGAGGAGGCGAGAACGGGGTCCGTGGCGGTGACACAGGACGCGCAGATCAGACTCTCGAGCCACGAGAGGGGCGGCACCATCCACCAGATGAACAGACTCGTGATCAGCCAGCCCCAGGTCATGACGGGCACCAGCAGCAAAAACACCGACTTCCAGTGCCGTTCCATGTAGGCCTTGGGCAATTCGACTCCGACGGCAAAGCACTGGACGACCAGGACAATGCGCGAGCATTCCAGCGTGATCTTGTCGACATTGCCCCAGGACATGGGGTTGAAGAGGTTGGCCGCATGAGGCCCGAAGATGATACCACACAGCGTGGCAACGGTGGCTTCACCGATGTACAGCTTCTCCTTGACGAAGAGCGAACATAACATGAACAGACTGGTGAACCCACCCAAGATCATGTACGCCAGATGGGGCTTATCGATATCTAGATGATCCCACGCCATGACTGCGACGGCGGGGGGGGAAGCGCACGAGATCGAAAAGCGCTATCCCAGTAGAAGTTGTTGTTTGTTGGTCAGATAAAGCGACTAAATTGCTTGTTGTACCAGATTTCCTTTTCCTCCCCGGGGCGCTCGTGCGTTGGAGGTCGATGCGCCACGAAACCAGGTTATGATTGAGGATCTCGGAGGAGCTTCCGCCGATCGGGACCTGGATGCGCTCTAACAAGGGGAAACCCGCCGCTTAAGGTGGACGCACGCCGAATTTCCGCATGCCTTTGGGAAAATCAACTGATATGCGGCCCGAAACGATGACAGGCGAAAGCGGAGAAAATCCCAAGACGGAGTTTTCCTGTCGAGGGCCTCGTGGGCGTCGTCACCTGCAAGGGGGATCGAGAGTATGGGAGTGGGATGGGAGGGGAGAGGAGAGGAGAGGATTCCTATTGAGGGCGAGCAGAACGTGCGATTAGTTTCCGGAAACGAGGGAAAAGGAAAGAAATAAACAAGAAATTGGGAATGAAAGAAAAAGCATTGGTCCGAGTGTTTTTCTCAAGTGGGAGAAGAGGAGGGAAGATCGCGCAGGGCGAGGAATGGGGAAGAGGCGCGGGCGGCGAGCGGCCAAAGGAAAGACTGCCGGATTGGGAGAAGCAGAGGAAGGATGACTGAACTTACCGAGTCTGGAAACTGGATAGTCCACGATTCCACCAGACAATTCGAAGCTTTTCCCAGGAGTACGGAAAGCACGGAATGGAATCAGAAGATGGAGGAGAGGGAGAGGGCTAAGACACAGGTCTGAGAAACAAGCAAGAGAAGAGGAGAAACAAAGACAAGAAAAAAAAAAGAACGAGGAAGTGGAGGGAGAGTAAGTTTTGGAGGGCGAAACAGGTACCAGAAACGAAGTCAGCGGCACCCGATCCAAGCCGAGAGGAACAACCAGAGAGGAGGGAGGAACTGGAGGAATTGGAGGAATTGGAGGAATTGAAGCAAGCAAGAGAAGCAAGCCAAGTTCTGGGCACGAGCTGGGCGTGGGAATATGATTCGGAGATTTGCTGCCTTTCCAAGACTGACCCAAGACTGATGACGACGAGCCAGGGAAAGAAGGCCGACGGTCGGCGGGGAAATCCGTGCAATCTGACTTCCTTCACAGCTTGGAGCGCTGAATCACTCCCTCGTCGCGGAACGGACGAAGGTGAGGAGGCTTGGCAATTGGCGGGACTCCACTATTCTGATGATGATTCCAGTTATGATTGCACTGACTCGGTACCTAGTAGTGGTTGTGGAGTTATGAATTCCCATAAGCCGATGAAGGCGGGAGGCAGCTGGGTTGATATACATTACATCCATCTCGTCATGATGTCGCTCCAAGACACTCTCCTGTATGTACAAGAGGGTATAGGCTACCTAGTCTTGACTATACTCTCTCCCCTGTAAGTCCGACCAGGAAAGAGACTACTAGAAGGTCCTCCGTACTCCGTACTCTGGCAAAGTCCAGTACCTACTGTAATAGTAGTACGTGCAGTACCCCGTAGCTTACCTCGAGTCCACACCAATAGGGCTCGCATCCGATTACCCATCACATTTCCAGTCGTGTCCCGCCAACAATTCTGATCCACCACAACTTTAGGGTACCGTATAGTTACGGTACATGTTTAAACTTCTCCACAGAAGTACAGATCAGATCCGACTTTTGCGACGGACTGTCCTTTTGTGCTTCCCCGTGTGAGAGGTGGCATGTACAGTATGCATTTGGATGCATTGGAGGAGGGGGGCAAAGGACAATTGGGGGATGACAGCTGAGATTGAATGGACTCTTACACTCTCACTCTCTCACTCTCTCACCAAACCACATGGTGCCAATCATGGCCATGACGACACAACCCTCCAAACCTGCCGTGCAGGAAGAGACTAGCCCCGAGGCTAAACACAGAACGAGACTAAGTTAACCGCAACAGCCAGAAAAGCCCATCGTTGCCCAGCCTTGCAAGGCTGCAAATGCTCCCGGCTCGCTTTCTGCCGGTCTTTATTGGCGGTCAGGGGCAAAAAGCGGAGCTGAACTTGTCCCTCTTGGGATTAGCGCACTGTTGGCCGTCTCCACTTCAACTCGACCCAAGTCGGCGATTCGTTTATCCCGACTTGCCGACTTCCCGACCCTGACTAACCGCCTTCCTCCCATCCCGCCATCACGAGACCGACTAGAAAGACCGACCGGAGACTCGGAATACTTCCTGTACTTCCCATTCATACGCTTGGAATCACTGACAGGCTTGCCAAGTGGTTGCTTGCTTGCTCCAAGAGCGCAGCATGACAGACCGCAAACACTGCTACTCATACTCCCGGCCCTGCCAATGCTTTGATTCCTGAAGTCACCAAGGCTACCCGCGCCGGTTCAATAGTATATATATTTACCCGGTTGATCACAAAAAGAAAAAGAGAACAAGCATTACATGTATCTTGATTACCTCCACGTCACGGCAGAGAAGACGCTCAACTGGTCGGCACTTATTGAACAGCTGTGGTCAAGCAGATACCTCACACTAACAGCACGGTACGCCTGATTTGGCCGGGCCCAGCATGCAATGTCTCCTGCAGGTCACTCCCAACCAAGCAAGCAACCCAACCATGTGTCCAACCCGTGATCTCAGAGCAAGGTGTCCCAAACGGCAACCGTTCAAACTGTCCAGAAGAAAAAAACCTAAAATTAACACTCTGCAGGCGGTAGGTCCGTCTGCTAAACAGGGATGCGTACGGGGGGGCTAGAGTCGCTGCAGGAAAACCACGATCAAAGATCACTTCGGCAGGATAGCGCGAGTAAAGAAAAAATCATCTGGAATACAGTAGACAGGAGGCACAGCGCAAGAATTTAAGACCAAGAAAACAGAGAAGAAGAAGAAAAAAAAAAAAAAAAAAAAGCAATGTTCAGTGCCAGTAATGGACACGTGCATCAGTGCATCAGTCCCCTAAAGGCATGCCCTCCACTTGATCGCTGAGTGACCGCCAGTTGTCCGCCTGCAGCTCCGAGTACTTGACCCGCTCCTGACTCCAGTCTTGATGCAGCCGGCTGATGTGATACTGACTTTGCTGGAAAAACACGAGTTCGTCCCGAATGCACTCTTTGATAAACACCCCACGTGCGTGTTGTTGCACAATCGATTCCTTGTCCTGCAATCCCCGACGAGGCAACCGGGTTAGCCACCCCAGTCTGGACCACTAACCCAGAAATGAACATTTCCACATACCTTGAAGATAGCTTCTTCCACCTTTTCGATTTCGCCCGGTTTGACCGTGTTCTGAGGCCGGGCCCGCAGCTCCTGCAGCTTGCGCTCGTTGTTCTCAATGCGACGCTCCAATTGGGGGATGTTGTTACGAGCATATCGGTCCCGCCGATCAAACATCTCTCGCACACTGACTAGACAGTCGCGTTGGCGCTTGAGGTCCTCCAACATCCCATCCTCCCAGGCCCGAGCCTCATCCTCCAGCAGACTCTGGCTCGCCGACAGATGCCGTGCTGTGGCCTTGATTCCCTCGTTGAGCAACGGCACATCGTTCGTATCCACTGCGTAGGTGTCGCGTGTCACCTCGGTCAGCGACTGCAGCGCCAGAGAGAACCGCAGGTGATCGGCAGCAAGCCCCTCGTTGCGCTTCGCTAACCGCTCCAACAGCGTGCACAGGTTGATGTACACCTCCGCCGACCGTTTGACCCCACTGCGGACCGTATCGAAGAGGTCGATTAAGTTGGAGGGGAGCGAGTCTTCAAGATCGGGGGGTAGGGCTCGGCCCGCAAATTCATCCTGCACTGAAATGGTCGCCTGTTTCCGCCACACTGAAAGTTCCTGTCCCATTGTCAGATCATCCACCGCTTTGACCACAACGAATCTACAAGACCTACTGTCGGAACCGTCAAAAACATTACCACCAATTGCTCTTGGCTCAAGACCGGGTGCCGAACGAGCGCATTCGTAAATCGTACAAGTCCCCTACGACGTTTTTCCAGGAAGGAATTGGAGTCCGCTGAAAGGTGAGTGCCATTGACTTGGGAACGGTGTGTAAGCTTGGAGGACAGCTTGTAGCAAGCCTCAATTTGAACGTACCTGAAATCCTCTTCGGGGGCAGCAGTGGCAATTGGCGGAACGGATAGCGTTTGTGGAGGCAGTCTAGGAGCCACACGAAGTCACTGTACCGTCGAACCACGGTGCTCCCTCTGCGGGCAGACTTGACTTCATAATTGCGATGCTGAAACATGAACATGCCTTCCTTTTCCGGAAGCAGGGTGATCGTGATCACCTCCTCCATACGGGTATTTGTAACTCTACCGATGCCTAAGGACCGGCGACGGGGATTGGGATCGCCTTGGTCGCTCCCGGGTGGGCCAAAGCCTCCAAGTCCAGCTCGGACCGGCCCTCCCAATCCATGTCCATCCGAGGTATTTCCCACGTTGTCTCCCCATCCAAAGCCAGGGTTAGCAGAAGGACCCAAGCCCGCCCCTCCATTGGGATGGGGATTCTCTGGCGCATCCTGCGGGCCGCTGGTATCACTGGCTCTGCTCGCCCATGCATTTGTCCCGGATCGTACGCTGCCATAACCATTCAGAACGGGGTGCTCGGATTCGGATTGGGCATGGGCGTGTCCTCGATGCAGCTGAGGGCTTCCCCATGGATCGGCTTCAAAACTGCCCATGGACCCACGGGCAGACTGTCGTGAATGAGTTGAGCTTGGCTCTGGCGGCGGGGTGGCGGGGGCAGGAGGCGTAGTGGGACGGTCTTGTTGCGACGACTGCCCCGATGTAGCAGTTTCGTGCTTAGCGCGCAATGCGTCGAAATAAGAACACCTGGGCTGCGGGAGCTCTGTTCAAGTGGCAGCGCACCTGCTGTTAGCTGCACGAGTCGGGTCGAAAGGATGGCATGAGGGGTGCGCGACAACTCACTCTTGCGTCGATCGTCAACCGTGTCGAATGTCAGGTCCTCCCCTTCCTGCGCTAGGCCCACGAGGGCCAGAAGCACGCTGAACTCGCCACGTCCTAGGCCAGTGGAGCTGTCTATATCGCCCGAGACCACCAAATTCAGGATTTTCTCCTGATCACTGGCACTGAGTCCGCTGCTCGACAGGATCTCGCGGACGGAAGTCAGGCCCACCCCACTGCCCACGCGATCCCCCTCACTGAGCACCAGATCGTACGCGTCGATATAGCTTTCTGGGACTTCATCTTGCGGCAGGAGAGTCTTTACAATTTGATGTTTCGTCCGTTTGTTGACACTGTTTCCCCAGAGCGAACCGGAGTTCAGGCCCTCGTCGTCGGCGAAGAGGGAGGAGGAACCCGCATTTCCTGTGTTCCCACCGAAGGAGGGTTCGTCTGCGAAAAGGGATGACTTGGATCTCTGCGCGAAATTACCCAGCGCCGAATCCTCGGGGGATGTGCCAAATAGCGACATGGAAGGTCAACAAAGGGCGAATGGTCGGTTTTGGGAGGAGTGGTGGTGATGGTGGGAGGGTTGTTGATGTCGCAGGAGGCCAAGGCAATGACGAAGCGGAGTGCGGTCGGAGGCGGGAGCGAGCGAAGGAGGCTGATAAGGGAGGGAGAGGAAAACAAGCTAATATGACAATAGTGACAAGACTGTGACTGTTACAGCGCGCACACCGACATTAGGGGAGGGGGAAAGAGAGAAAAGATCCTGCTCTTCTTCTTCTTCTGCAACTGAGGGAGATTGAGGTTGGAGGTGGGAAGTTTTGTTGTGGTTGCTGGAGCAAAGGTGGAGAGGGAGAGGGAGAGGGAGGGAGGTGATAAGGAAACGCGTTTGCGAAGGAGAACCGAATGGATGGAATGGATGGAATGGATGTCGCCCTCGCCGATCCACTGCGGGAACCGCTAATCCCTCCTTGCCCATCCCCCGCTCATACAAACAGCCAACCAGAAGAAAATCAAGAAAAAAAAAAAAAAAAAAAAAAAAAAAAAAAAAAAAACCAATTTGAGGTACGTCTTTCTACACCGCAATGTCAAATCCTGCTAGCAAAACAAAACTTGTAAAATATTGAGCTACTCATACATTGCTCTAAGTTATATACACTAAGTAAAAATATAGGTTCTGGGGAATCAATTGCCGAATCGCCGAGCTCTGCCCTGCAGTCGTCTCCGCGCATCAAACGCTGTCGCGTCGCTTCGCTAACCTACTCTATATGCCTCCCTCGCTCGAGCTCTCGGATGACTGATCGTTGCATTCCACCTGACCTTCCCCAGGACGCGATACAACAAAGTAGCCCTTCCGCGCCAGGATTTCCTGCCATTCCTGCTTGCCCGTCGCGAACACCAGCGACGGGTTGGCGTCCGATGGAAACCATCTCTCCTTGCGAGTATATGCTTTGTCACCCCCTTCAAGCGCTGCGCGACTGGCTCGGGTCTGTCGTGTGCGCTTGGCCCCCTTCCCATCACTGGAAAGAATCTCACCCAACTGTAGCCGACGGTGTGCCAGGCGGATGTCATAGGCCATGATTCCTCGGATATACGGTCCGAGATCCTCAGCAATGGGCCGCATTCCGTTCTCAAATGAAGGTGCCAAACGGCCAGTAGGCATGGGAAAGATATAATCCGCCCGCGTCATAGGCTCGAAGGCCGCATGAAATTCAGCACGGCCGGGACCAGCACTGGCGGGTTTATTCACTTCTTTCAGGATCCTTGCGCCATACTCTGATTCGGAATCTGAAGCCTTACTATCTGAGGCTTTCAAGTCAGGAGACTGCTTATCCTTTTGATATTCGTGCGGGAAAGCCTTCTCTAGTAAAGTCTCGAAGGTGCAGCCCATGGCCGCCGGCATTGCTGTGTAATCCGGCGTGATCTCGGCGGAGAGCAATTGATAACCTTCGGCGTAGTTTGTCCTTTGCTTTTCCGGTAATGGGGGGATTGAGGGATCCAAAGTGTCCTAAATGTGTTAACTCAAAGCTTTAGGATACGGAGAGAGAGGCTTACTAGCTTCATGTCAAGTGAGCAGCGGGAGCAGAGAAGATCAAGGTCACTTTGTACATCGGCGAAATTGGACTTTTGCAAGAACGTCTCGAGACGATCAGCGTTGGACATTGCATTCACCTGCTTTGTGCCCGAATGATACGGATCAGACTGCCTGACAGTGTTCATGGTCTGCGTTTCCTGCATGCTAAGCTGCCACCATGCAAGTGACTCTAGTCGAGGTTCAATCTCACTGTCTGGTCCGTGACTTTGCAGCATGTCGCGCCCAAACCAACCCATGAATGGCTCGTATGCATTAAGACTCAGCACCCGAAGAGGGTCACCGTTCGGATCAAGGTCCAATCCCCGCGGCCAGCGATCAAGGATCCAGTCAAGGCCAGACTTCTCGCTGCCGATCGCCATCTGGCACCAGAAATCCAACTCCATGATAGATCGCCGAAGATCTCGACCCGTGCTATCGTAAAGGCTCTCGACCGCTCCTCGTTTAAGCATATGGCCTTCGTTGGCAGCCACGAGAAGGAGATAGTCAACAGCAAGAACTTTTGGAGGAGGTCGGTAGCGAAGGATGGCATGAAATGAGATGTCTTGGAGTGGAAGAAGTTTCTCGTTGTTGCAGGTGATGATGATTGGCCGTTTCGATTGGCTGATGAGCGTCATCACCCCGGACCAGAATCCCTTGTCCTCTTCGAAAAGGATGTCAGCCTCCTCCAGGAGTATGAACGATTGCTTTTGACTGCGAGAACGCTTTGCCTCTGACTCCTGTGTTGAAGATTTTGGTTCGGCTGCCGCCTTAGCTTTTGGCGTGACGGTTGAGGTTGACTGGAAGAACCCCTTCAGTTTATTCTGTTTCGGGTCCACTAGCTCGGCACCACTTCCGTCAGACGCACTCTCATCGGTGTGATGGTGATGGACCAGATGGTTGCGTGTCATGTCACCTACACGGTCCAGGATATCCTTGGCGCTCCGACGATTTCCCGGGTTGATTTCGAACACCTCAAAGTCCAGCTCCTTGGCCACCGCTTGAATCGATGCCGTCTTGCCACACCCCGAAGGACCGCTTATCAAGATGACATTAGACATGCGGGTCTTCTCGGTCCCAGATTTTGGACCCAGCGCCATGTCACCAGCACGAACGACGGTCTTCTTGGTGGCCATGTCCGCAGCGAGTTCATCATCTGAGCCGGAAATTTCGTCCATCTCGAAGGCTTCCTCTTCACTGGACACAATGAACCCGTCCAGCTTGTCCTTCTTGCGCTTCTTGCGCTTCCTCTCATCCGTCTTCTTTTTCGCCGCATCGTCCTTTTGTGGTTTGCCTGTGTCGACGGCGGTGACCTTGAGATACTGCAGCCAATCGCGTAGCATAAAGACTTCCTTCGTGGCCTGAAGAGCCTCCTCTGCAGACTGGGGAGCGTATTTTTGAGTCCAGCTAGAGGTGTCGCAAAAACCAAGGTCAAAAGCGGACATGGAGTTGGTGAGCGAAGCGTGGAGTTTGGCGACGGCAGCGTGACAAGTTTTATTCAGAGTGGTCTTCTTCGTTCGTGCAGATGAAGCTTGTTCGGAGAGTTGTCTGGTGACGGCGCATTGCAAGATCTTCCCACTAGCAACGTGTCTTCCAGGTATTCTCAGTACTCCTGACGCAGAGGAGGGGTTCTTGGGTAGCCGACGTAAGAGGATATTTTCGTCGTCGGAGACATTGATCGCAGCGGTTTTGGACTTCTTCTGACCTAGATCTCTCATGTCACCATTAACTAGGCTGTAGAAATCGAGATCGTCTTGTGTTCCCCTGACGTGTGCGAGGCCACGAGGTGGCCAGATTGGGTGCGCGAGTTCGGGATATCTTGGCCGCTTAGCGAATGATGTCGGTGTTGATAATCTGGAAAAGCTTGAGCTAGATTTGAGGGGAAACCTCGGCGTCGAGTCAACTTGTTTGGTGTCTTTTCCTTGGGAGTTCGCAGGGGTTGCGTCATGAGCGTCCGTCTGGGTATTGGAGTGATTCGCCTTTTGAGATGATTTCTTCAGGAAGAACGGGTGGGTTGGTTTAGGAGGCTGCTCCGGTTTAGGTATAGAAGCCGGGGGAGGGAGTATGGGCTTTGTGGCTGCGATGTGTTTCTTTCGACCACTGATAATGTCGTCTATGAGCTGGGCGACCCTATTCTCGGAATTGGCTGCCACATTATATTTGATAACGACGACCTTACTCCCAAGAAGTTGAGGCCTTTGCTCAGCCGCTTTGCCGCGCTTGTTCTTCCTTCCTCTCTTTGGATTGTCCTCAACCTTAGCAGGTACCGGCGACGACAACAATTTCCCATTAGCATTCAGCTTGATTGTCTTCTGCCTAGGCGACTTTCTTTCCCCTGACGCAATTATAACCTGAGGATTGCTCTGTGGAAGACTTTCAATTCCTGGACTGGTCGGTGTCTTAGGCTGTGACTCCCCAGACCCAGGCTTGGTTGAGGACGGATTGACCACAACCTGTGCCGTCTCTGCCGGGTCCTGTTTGTCTGTCTTCCTTCGTTTTCTCCGTTCGCAATTCGGGTCATGGTCGAGCATAGCTAACGAGTGGACGCGGGATGTATCGCCAGATTCGGAGGGATTGGGAGGGGTGTTGGGTTCTAATAAATGCCGGGCACTGTCGCTGTGAGAGAGTTGGGGTTGCGCTGCAGCATCATTGATGGGGGTATGGATAACTGGGTCGGGTGCTACCCCGAGATCTGCTCACAGTAAGCCTTTGTATGAGAACTACGAATTAGTGACGAAGAGGAGAACGACCTTTGCGAAAGAAGGGGTGGATAGCCCTCTGTGCGCCATGTCCCGTGGCCATTAACTGAGAGTCTCCAGATGATGAGCAGAAGCTCATCACCTGAAAGGAGATTGTAGGAGATATAAAGGAAGGAACATGTAAAAGACAGACATTAATTGCACAGAGACCGTTTCCGGTATTCTAGATCATGATGTAGAGAAGGAGAGTCAAAGTGGAAGTGAGATATTCTGCAGTGGTGCTGTGTAGTGATAAGCGGGCGGGCACCAGAAGACGCGCTGCGCGTGTTTCCGCGCCTCCAATTAAGGGCAGGATGGGAGGGCCTCGGCCTGAGGCTTTTTCAGGCTTCCAAGTTGCGCTGCCCGAACGTCATTCCCGCCTAACCCCCTTTCGGTATCGGCATCGGGACCCGGAGCAACCATAAGCCCGGAAATTTTTCGGGAAGGCATACAGATCCATTTTCTTTCTGCGAAGGCCGACGCCGCAGTTTCATAGCGACAACGGTCGCAATCTTTGTCGCATACTCTGTTCTCCAGTGTCACTACCATGGACTTGCAACCGCCGTCGGTGCTGGCTCAGTTGCCTCGCCCATTGCACGCCTCGACCGGCAAAACCCACATCGGCGATGTCTTCAGTCTGGCCGAGTCGAAAAAGCGAAAGAGACATGAAGTCGTCGTTGCGGCAGATGGTGAAGCTGTGAACATTTACAACGTATGTTGTTACCTGTCAATCAATCGCATAAGAATCCCCATGCTGACGGTCTCGCCTCTGGATAGATTCAAACCCCCAAATTGGTGACCTCCTATGCCGTCCCGCCGCAGTCATCTTTCACTTGCCAGCCCTGCTCGGTGCGCAGAAAGATCCCCAGTAAAGCCGTGGTCAGGAGACAGACGTACATTGCCTTGAAGCAGCAGATCAAGGCATTCGTTGAAGAAAGTGGTGGCAATGGCTCGAGCGCCCCGGTGATTTCCTCCTCGTCCTACTCCGTTAGCGATTCCGATAGCCCAGTCAACTTCGTGGGGATTGTCCCTGGTCCTTCGACTGAGCAAGAACCCGAAGGCTCATTCGACATTCTCGCCGTTCACCAAGATGGTCGCGTCCGCCGGTTGTCTCCCGATCTCAAGACCCAGCGGTGGAGCTTGAAACACAGCGAGGTGGCCAAAATCAGCTCGACACACAGCGTCAACGCCTGTTTCCTTGTTGAATTCGAGGATGCGAAGAAATCTCTGCTCAAGCGCCGGCAAGACCTGACCGCTTTGGCGCTCGGCAGCCTGACTGAAAACGGCGTGGATGAGCCTTCGATTTTGTTGGTCGTTTCGCACCCCAATGGATCCGATCCGGTCAAACTCAGCGACGTCAAAGTCCAGATGTTCTCCGTGCCCTCCGACGTTACCCGTCTAGAGCGCAGCATCGATGAAAGCCAGAAGATGAGACACCTGCTCACGATCAGCATCCCCGAGGTCAGCGGACAGGAGACCATTGAGCGCGAGGGCTCGCAGTGGTACTTCCACTCCGGATCGGCTGGACTGAACCTCACGTTCCCACACGGACACATCAACTTCGATCTCTCCCAGTACGCCCCCACGCTGACGTCGAAGTTCATCCTCGAGAATGAGACCTTCTCGTCAATCATGCGCATATCGCCCCAATCCGTGATCGGCGCTGGTCAATCGATGATCGCCGTCTACGATACCCAATACCAGTCCATCCAGCGGAGTATCGCCGTCAGCGACGTCCCGGCGAGTGGCTCATCCAGTGTCAAGGCACCCACGACCTTTGTCAGTTACTTTGCCCGGCTGGGCGTTGCCCTCGCCACGAAGAACAACACCCTGCTGGCGTTCGACCTGAGCTCCTCGAACCTCGCCGCGGGACCCCTCAAACGCCCTCGCGACGGCCTCTTGATTGACGCCATTGGCCGCGGTATCGGACCCTCATACGCCCAGTCTGACCTTAGCTCGAAGAAGCTGCGAACCGAGGATGCCGCCGTCTTTGGATTGACCGCCAAGCAGACCGTGCGGTGGACGCAGCTGACCAACGATCTCCGCGAGTGCGTCAAGAGCAACAATGCCAACGACTTCGACACAGCAGTGCAGCGGTTCTTCGGCGCTGGGGATTCCAAGACCCTCCCAGGCCCCGGAAAGTTCGTCAACTCGGAACTCACACTCTTCCTCCTGACCCTCATCTTCTCCCTGAAGGAGGACAACAGCCAGAACAGCAAGGACACGCTCTCCGTGCCCACCGCCTCCCGCCTCTCGATAGCCATCTGGCCCGAACGCACCTGCCAATGGCTCATCAACATCGGCCACCTCTCGCAGGCGAACGTCGAGATCGCCCTGCGCCGCAGCATCAAGCCGCGCATCCTGCAACCGCTGCCCGTGGGCTCCTTCGTGCAGGGGCTGGTCGACTCCGACCCGACGCTGCAAAGACTTAACAGTGTGCTGTCCGGCCGGGTGGTGCTCTCAACCGACGAGCTCGCCTACGCCCTGCGCCTATTCCTCGACAAGGCGCGCTCCAGCGCCATCATCCTCGAGGAGGCGCGCGCCAAGCTCCTCACCTCCGGCGAAACCCAGCCCGACCACGACGAGGAGATGGCCGACTCCCCCACCGACCCCACCACAAACTCCAACGCCCTCGTCACGACGACGACGACGACAACGGAGCCCGCCACTCTCCACAACATCTACAAGGGCCTCAACACGACCCTGCACAAACTCCACACCCACCCGCCCGCCGCCCTCACGACCGCCCTCCGCTCCGCCCTCACCCGCTCCGAACTGATCTCCATGGTCCACCACCTCCGCCTCTGCCTGGCCACCAGCGGCCACACCACCCGCTTCACCGAGAACCCCCCGACCCCGATCTCGCCGGACCAGACCAACCCCGCCCTGCCCCTCGGCACCATCACCACCTGCCTGAACGCCGCCATCGACGCCATCGGCCCCTCCGGCTGGATCGCCGCCGCCGGCGCCTCCGCCTCCGGGGAGCCCCTGGCCGACAACAGCCAGGACCTGATCGCCGACATCAAGTCCGAGATCTCCGCCGCCCTCGCCGGCGTCGAGGAGGCCACCTACCTCGCCGGCATTCTGCGGGAGTACCTCCGCTACACGAATAGCGTCAAGGCCACCGCCGTGGCAGAAACGGCCATCATCCCCGCGACCGAGCAGCCCGTCACGCCCGCCAATGTCCGGTACGAGAAACTCAACGGCGCCGACCTGGCCGTCTTCGGCGCCGGCGACGGCGAGGACGGCGAGGCCGCCGGGAAGCTGCTGCCCTTGTCGCTCAAGGCCGCCGCGCAGGACGTCAGCAAGACCAAGGTCAAGAAGGAGACGGGCGAGGTCAGGGCCCGCAGCAGTCGAGAGATCGGCTACCTGCGGCGGAAGGCCGTGGGGAAGTATTCGTTCGAGCGGCTGTTTGTATAGTTGTTACCTGCCAAAAGAGAGGAAAGGGGAGCGGGGGGCGAGGCGAGGAGAGAAGAGAAGAGAAGAGAGAGATTGTATGCGGACACACATACTTGACTTTACACATATTACTGGGTGGATAGAAAAAGTGACGTCTTGGTTGTGCATTTCACCTTCGTTGTCTGGTTGCTGGGTTATAGATTTTAAGTTGGTCTGTTGACTTTCTTCAAGGCTACAACGGTAGTAAGGACCCTGCCAATGCAATGGGTTTTGCTATCAGGTCGTAGGAGCTTCCTGCTACCCCTCACTCGCTCCTCGCCTACATCCTGCATCTGCTCCACCCTACATTCGTAAAGCTCAAACATGTCCGATCATCGCACATTGTATTCGCATATGTACAGGTTGTATCTCAAGTATATATGTGCACAGATATCAGAAGGGTCCGGCGTATGCCACCCGTCATGTCAGTCTCGTATCGTACTGCTGATCCAGGGTATCGTGACAATTCCAGCATTTCTGTCGTTAGGCCCACAGATTCTCTCTCGTGTCCCGCCAAGTCCTGCCTGTCCAAAAAAATAAAAACAAACATCAAACATCAAACATCGTAGAGCGAGCCCTTCGTTCACCAATACATAAAATCAACTCTCGACATCGAGTACAGAACGCACGAAAAATAATCATATAAAAACACAGTGGGGCACTTGCGTGATAGCGTTAACGTAACGAAGGGTGGTGGTGGCATGGCGCACCAGCCCCTCTAGTCTGGCAGCATCGCTGGGCTCTCACCAGCCAAGGCATGGGGTAACTTTTGTAGGATGGTTCTTCAAGATTCTTCAAGAAGAATGAGGATTGTAAGGATAGGCCTAGATGACGCACCAAGTCATGGTAATATCGTCCAGCAACAGCACTCTAGAATAAACTGATAGCAGACCGGCACCACTGCATCGCCGGTCATGTGACTTTGTCCGCAGGTAGAAAGAACATCATAGCACGCAGTGTTTTGAGGTAGAGACATCGAGGCTAGTTACTGCCAAGAGTTGAGTTGTCCGCTCGCTCCTTCAGCCGCAGAGCTTGCGCTTCAAGGGATCGAGCCATAATCTTAATCATCGGCCAGACAGCAGCCCGGTCCAGAAGACTGGCTGTAGCAACCAGAATCTTGCAGCCGTAGCCGCCCTCCACAACACTGGGCAGGCGCTGAAGAACGCTGAGAGCCGATGTGGTGACGCTGCTTTGCACCTCTCTCTGCATCTTGTTTTCGATGTCCCCCAAAATCTCTCTGATCTTCTCAATGAGTTTGCAATCTTCATCTTCCAGCAACATGAGATTGGCAGCCTGGACCAGATCGACTTCGTCACGGCCAAGAACACCAAGGTACGGCCCGACACGTTCCTGGACCGTCGTAATCCACTCCGCGATGACCTGGGCGCAGTCAAAAGTGCACATTGCGCATTGAATGGGTAGTTCCCGACAGGTGAATTCTGCAAAGGTGTTTCCCAGTTGGTCAGACATGCTAATCGAGTCTGCTGCATAAAAAGCGGCTCTGCGCAAATGCCTCTCCCGTTTCGACTGGCCTGGTCTATACACTCCCATTAAGGTTTGCATAGGCTGCTCCTGTGTCGGAGTGCTCGAGATGGCAAGGTCTGCAACGCCCAGATCGGCGATCGAATCGCGACGGTGGTCAAATTGAGCAGACGCTTCCGTGATCGAAGGATCCAGGACCTCGGACGGGACATCGTCCAAAGGATGAACCAGCTCAATTCCGCGCGCAAGCTCATCAGACATGGCATTCCAGTCGCGTTGCCAGAATGCCTCCTTGCATCGTCCGAGGTTGACAAACAGCCTTACATAGGCAAGATCCAGCAGTGGGATGCTGTCGGCTGACAAAGGCCCGGCACCGAAAGGATTCGGACGTTCCAGACTGTGGACTGGGTTGCTGGCCCAAGCAGTCTGCCAGGCACGTAAGGCAGGCTCAATATGCGCCTGCATAGCTTCCGTTTCGCGAGATGTCCATTGCCGGCCTAAATGCCGTTGGCGAGTCTCCCAGATGTAATTATGCAGCGCATAGATGAGGACGAGACAGCCAAATGTACTAGGCTGCAGAGTAGATTCAGAGGAGCTTTGAGAAGCCTCATCACCGGGCGACTGTGCTTGATTCGATGGCGTCGATTGCCGCTCGCGTTGACTGGCAGTCAACAGGTTTGTCAAGGCAGAAGGAAAGGAAGTGGCGCCCTTGGTCGACGAGTGGCCGCCTAGTTTCTTCCACGCCTGTGGAGATTCCGCAGCCCACAAATCCTCCTCACAAGGCAAGTTGAGCCGGATTTCAGAGTTGGTGAGAGCGGGGGCGTGATTATAGGCGGAAACTAGGAAGCAGGACAAACAGAATATCGCATAGAGAGTACGCTTGCGTTCCTCCTCTATCTTCCAGTCGAGCCAATCTTTTTTCTCTTTCGGCTGCCCGGAAAATGACTGGTTCTGGGTCTCAGTCTCGGCGCGATTCGGGTTACTGAGACCGGCTGACCGACGGTCCTGTGGAAGATCCTTGGCATCCACATGGTGGGTGAGCTCAGCCGCCCGAGCAAGGCTGACGAGTGCTGCACAATGTGTGCTTGCAATGTCAGCCGAGATCTTGTCGCCACACGTATGGCCGTAGATGACATTCAACAGCATCGCTTGAACTAGCCATAGCGGAGTATTTTGCACAGAACTATCGCGCGCATGGCTGGCTCGCCCGAATGCTGCTGACATGTCTACCTTACGACGTTCCTCAAGGTAGATTTGAATCATTTTCTTGGCAGCCTCAAAGAGGTCTTTCGATGTAGCGGTGTCAAACTCGTAAAGTGCACCAATAGCGGCCATAGACAGGATCAACGAGCCGCCACCGCCAGCGACACCGGTCGAGCACAGGTTCAAATGTCCACTCGGAGTTCGGAGGTTATTGGTGTATTCGGGAGCCTGGAAATCAAGCGTGGGAATGTGGAGGAATGGCATGTGCGGATGGAAGTAGGTAATGTAGGCGGAGATATAGCGCTGCATGTCCAAGGTGCTGGGCAGCTGGCCGGAGCTGCTGAGGCTAGAAGGGCGAGAGAAGAGATCACGGTATTGTACCATGCTGCTGGCAGGTTGAGAATATTTGCGATGAATCAGACCGGTCGGATGGGCCATGCTGGCTAATAAAGCCTGTCGGGTGGAGTCTGTAAAGGTATCCGAGGAGCTTGGGGCATGGTGAGATCGTAGGGCACTATTCGCGAAAGGCAAGTTGAGAGGATTAGGAGATTCTCCGTTGGTTGCCATAGAGGATGGGAACATACTCTGCGAGTGTCCTCCCATGATGGGCTGGCCCACTGAAGTCATGGACGGAGGGGTGGCATACGTCTCGGCAAACGGGTTCTGCGCCAGCAAGGACTTAGGAGAAACGGTCTCTGGAGGAATCCCTAGATCGTTAAAACTAGTAGGGTAGTCAAGAGAGTACTGGTTCGCAGAAGCGGCGGTTGTGTGGGGCGGGAATGGATTGTGCCAGCTCGCGGACGAGATGGAGTAGCGGTTCGATCCGTCCATCATGGCCTCGCTGATACCGCTCTGACTTCCGGTGCTCATGGCCGACGGGGATGACTCGTCGATGGCGGAATCGTTGCTCTTTCGCATCTGCATCGACGGGTCGTAGCCGTTCATCCAATCGAAGTGGAAATCATCCTCCATCATGGGATCCGTGGGCGGCATATGGTGGACCGCATGCGTGTAGGGCGATGAGGGTGAGTCGTGGCCATACGCTTGTGGTGAGCCGCCAAAGTGGAGCTGGGCGGGGTTGATGGTGGTATTATAGCTCATAGCCAGGTCTGGGACGCTAAGGTCAAAGGTTCCATAGACGGGAGCCGTCCGCAGACCCCCAGACAGGTCAATCGGCAAGCCCGACGTGTCCAGCTTGGTTAGTCCGTTCACCGGGGGATGATGTCCTCCTGCGGAGAACCCACGGAAATCCATGTTGGATCCCACCGAAGCAGAACCAATGCTCGGGTGATAAGCATGGGCCGGGTGACCGGAGCCAGCGGTCGGCGGGTTGGTTGCACCGACCAAACCCAGTGAAGCACCGTCAATATGACTGATGGTATTGGCACGAGGACGCATCGTGCTGGGATTGCTAACGATGGAGTTCTTGCGAACTCGGTTCGTCGTTCCCGTCCCCGCTGTGCCAGTGCTCTCCCTGCGCGCATTCCGTGGACGTGACGATGGGGTGGTTGTCATATGCAGCTTCTGCTGGTGTCTCAGAAGCAGATCGCGACGAGCAAAGCAGCGAGCGCATTCGGGGCACTCGAAGGGCTTCTCTTTGGTGTGCGACCGCTCATGGCGCTTGAGATGCTCCAGTCGCGCAAAAGAGCGACCGCAAGTGGTACAACCGTGTGGACGTGGCTTGTCAGTCTTCGGAGGAGGAACGGACCCGGCAGCAGCAGTGTTCGCACCATTGGTGTCCTTCTTGGTGCTGGCTTTGGAGGGTGCTGGTCTTGTTAGGGATCAAGAGAGCCATGAGCGAGACCTGTCACTGTAGTCACTCACCCGATAGGTCACCCGGGACCTCGCTGATGCTGTCCATCTTGGGGCTCGTGGCCGGATCTTGGCCTACCATTGAGGCGAGTAGCATCCTATCACCTGATTTTCTTGTGGTCACCAGTGTAGTCACTGGTTTCGGAGGGAGGCTTTGATGCAGGAATAGGACCTCTTGGGATGATGGAGGGATGAGAGCAGGGCGAGAGGGGTGGGGCGGCGATAAATGTATCGGGCGAGTATCGAGGCGATAGGGAAGGGATCACTGAACGGGGGAATGAGCAAAACCCGACATTGACCGCATGCTGATTCAACGGAATTGAGGTTAGCTTTGGACCATTATTTGCTCGGAATTGACGAGGCAGCAATTAAAGTGCGGGCAACCAACGGAACTCACAGAACACAGGAGGAACCCAGTAACTCTAAGTCAAGTACAAGTAGACAATTGGGGAAGGAAGGATGTCAGAATGACAGAAAATGAGATGAATCGAAAAGGCGAAAGGGCGGAAGGGCGAAGAGAAGAGTGGGAGGAATATTGTGAGGTGAAATAGTACAAAGAATAGCGAGACGAGGTAGGAAGGTGGGTAGGGGAAGGTGGCAAAGTGGTTCTGTTCCTGGGGGGGGTGGTTGATCTCGGGGGTCAGCGCAACTTTAATCAGCAGCAGGGGGGGGGGGGGGGTGGAGGAGGACATTCAACAGTCAACTCTCTTCCAGGTCCAGGCTTCCCAGGGGAGATAAAAAAGGCTTAAGAGTAGAAAAAGAATTGTAACTCACCAGGAGTAGAAAGAATAATAAGAAAGTAATGATAATATGACGGAAGGGACTGAAGAGGTCACTCCACAGCTATCGCATTTAGTAGTTGTAGTTGATGAGAGGTGAAGGAGAAGGTAGTGGAGGTAGTGGAGGTAGTGGAGGAAGTAGTGGTGTGAGTGAGTGAGTAAGAGAGACACAGAGCGTAGGGAGAGAGAAAGAGGAAAGTGGATAGTGGATAAGCCGGAGATAACCGAATGGGGAATGGGCCTGTCTGGTTCTCGTTCTCGATAAGCTGGGGTTGGATGACTGCAAACAGTACTGGTAATCGTTCAATCGTTCAAAGAAGACAAATCCACCCGCCCAGGTTCTAGAAAACTGTCCAAGAAAAATGGAAATGGAAAGGAAATGGATGCAGAGAGAGAAATGCTGTGCAGAATGAGTGGGGAGGTAAGTGAAGGAGGGAAAGAGGGAGGGAGAAGAAGGGAGAAGGAAGAAAGGTTGTTGTCTGAGCAAGGCTGTAGCCGACAGACAGACAGACAGACAGACAGACAGCGAACACTACTTCTCCCTTTCCTAGCACAAAACAGTTATGAGATCAACACTGGTTCTTTCTTTCTTTCTTTCTTTCTTTCTTTCTTTCTTTCTTTCCTTCATTCACTGTCTTGCAGCAGCAGTAGAAGCAGGGCAAAATTATCTTTGCACGTTGCACGGGAAATCCCAGGCAAATAATAATAAATTTAATCTTTACATGCCTCCGAGGCGACACCCGACCCAGACGTCGTCAGCAAGCCGTGCTCCGGCCAGACTTATCCGGGTGAGGGATTATTAATAATTCCAATTATAGGAAGCCAGCGAAGACGGTCAGTAATAAGAAAGTGATTAATTGATTGCGATCGCTCGTTTATCTCAGATGACGGATTAGGAAGATGAAGGGAGAGCTCGTCTTGCTCCCACTTGTAAGCTGAAGGGAAGGGTAACCAGGTTACATAGTTACATACACGCATACAAACAACGAACCAGCTTAGTCACTCCAGCTTGTCCCCCCAATAATCACAGCCGGATTGCAGCCAGAGTGGAGCAGGGCGGGTTCAATCCGCGGTCAATTTGGAGCCAAAGCATGGGCCATGACAGGAAAAGACCCAAAGGTGCGTGCCAGCCAGGGCCCCACTGCACTACTGCTTGATACAGTCAATCACTCAGTCAATCACTCAATCCAGTCACGGGGAGAGACCCACCTCTCAAATTGCAATCAATCATCATACCGTTTCGTGACGCCGATACCGTCTCACCCGGGCATCGGGCATCGTACGCCGCCTGTCACTGCACTAGAAACCACCCACCAGACGTACAGTACGGTAGTCGGCAGTACTACCCTTAACAAGTTAACTGAGTAGACAACGAAACCACCCCACGTAGACTACCTAAGTTATAGCTAGGGCTAGATAACTGACCACTTTACTAAGTCTTCGTACGGTCCCAGGTGGCTGCCTCTATGACATGGGGGAAAGTTCTTCAGCAAATCATCCCGTCCTCCCCTTCCTTCCCTAACTCCGGGGACTCTGCTCGGTAACGGGAAAATAGCACAGTCACTATGGCAGTCAATTAGACTTTACCATGGGCTACAGAGTACATACAGACGGGAAACTTACTATCTTCCTGGAAAGCGACTCTGTCAGAACTTCGCCCGGTTTACCCCAGTAGGCCTGGGGCTCCCTGCAGCGAGCAATCCCAAAAGCAACCAATTCCTGTCTCTTGCACGAAATAGGCTTGCACTGGCGATCCTGGTCATCTTCTGCAGTGTAAGCTCGGATGCACCCCGATGTCGACTGGAAGGTCTCGCTTGCCAGGCCAATTCCTCATCGGAACCCGGCTATGACTCTGAATGACTGAAAGGACCACGCGGATATGTGGCCCATCGACTGCACATCCCTACAGTTGGTGGGCACAACGAGGGAGCCTGTGGAAGGCGAGACATGAATGCGATGAATGAGCCCCCTGCCTGAGGAAGCCGACATTCGGTCAAGACATTATTGCGCTGCTGCCTGCTTGTCGCGGGAGTACAATCGGATTTCCCGTTTCCCAGGCTCAAGGGACTCAAAGCAGGCATGCAATGACTTTGACGATGGCCAGGGTGATAGTCACGAATAACATTCGAAGGACATGATGACTCTGGCGAAAGGTAATCAGTGAACAGCCTTGACCAACAATTGCCCTCGAGGCTAACTATCATTCCTTATCGTCGGCAATTGTATTGTATGTTAAATTACCGGTGAGTCGTTGGAGGCGGTCCGGAACTAGTCGCAGTCGCAGCAAACTGGAAAACCACTAGCCCAACTAGGCAGTTTCACGACCTGCCCTGCAGCGAGCAAAAGAGACAGGTCCCCCAAACGAGTATATTATCGTGTACAGTACGGTAAGACGGCCGATTGCAAACCCTCCAAGACTGTAAGACGTGCGTTGTACGCCATTGCTGGTATGCAGTAAGATTACGGTCTTGGCTAGGATCAATCCACCAGGTCACGGGCCGTTGATGGTGCTCCTGGTCGCATCGACTCCTGGGAGACTAAGTTTAACACGAAATCCAACCCCGGACCTCGTGACCCGGCTGGATCGGCCAGTATTGCCCCCGAGAGCGCAGTAGGCACGGGGGTGAGTTTCACTTTCGCATTGCCCCTTCCCCAGCAATGGTACGAGCATACAAAGAACTCACCGCGAGTTTCCCGTCGGCTAGGGAGCTTTCAACAAGGAGATGAGAAGCTAGAAAGTCTGGAAAGTTTGGGGGTCTCCAAAAGTCCATGGACCGAGGTTGCTTGCTTGCCTGCTTCGGACTGGTGAGGGTAGTGGCGGCTGGCGCCGCCCGCTAAATCCTCCCAATTCAGTCAGTTGCAATTGTCGCGACCAGGAAATTCACAGTGGACATTCCCAAGACCCCAAGGCCGGCCGGACCGCAGTGGGCAAGCAAGCGTGCGCCATTTTGTGGGGGAGAGGAATGGCATTGGAATGAAAGCAACTTTGCGGTTTTGTGGGGGATTTCCCTGGATCCGGCGGGTAATGTCCCAATCTGTCTCCGTTCGATCCGTCCTGGCGGGTGGATCCATTCGGTCATCACTCCTTGAATAATGGGAGGACTTTTCACTCCGTAGGTACAGTACTCGCTCGCTCGCTCGCTCGCTACAAAGAGCTGGGGTTTCAAATCTCTCCCAAGGTCCGGTAAACCCGCAGCTGCCTGAATCTTAGCATCGGCCGGTCCCGCTAAGTTGACTGCCCTATTTTTCGGGTGTGGGCAACATTCTTCTAAATATGTTGTCGATGTTTCACATCAACGTCCACCCATTGACAAGTAAACGTTACTCTCTGTGCAAGTCTTCTTGACCCTTGTCGGTGACTGAAGAATTGGCTTCGACTCCTGTCTTCAAAAAAAAAGTTTTGAAAATATCCCGAAGCACAAGGGTGACACTCGCTGAAGGCATCGCAGTACAGCTCCTGATTGGGTTGTGGCGCCGGGCCTGGTTGATCCGCAGACAGGATGGTGGCTTATCCATCATTCCTCTCGAGGCTGGCTAGAAACCGAAACCTGGAGAGCCGATGTAGACGAGAAATGTGTCATTGTGTACCTGCCTAGCCGTAACCTGTCGTGGCTCGAATTTCTGGAATGGATGGCCAACCAACACGAGCGATCGGTCAAACGCCGCGTCCACGTTGCATTGGCCCATTTGACTTTCACGGGGTTCAATTGGTGTTAGGGAAATGGTCCACTGGTTTTGAGTTTGATGGTGAAGAGTCCGAGCAGTAGGCTAAGGGAGATGCAGACCAGGAAGGTTTCCTAGTCTTACTAGAACATTGCCCGTGGCGAGCCGTGCGGGTACCTGGCCAGTAGTGGGCTACTGGTCGCTCATCGCACTGGAAGTTAGCGAAGGTACTGTACCATCTACCTCTTTGGGCAAAGAAAGGTTGTACTGTACATCAGAGTATATTCTTTGAAGTTCGCGAGCCCCATATGTGCGGATTGCATGCCGCCATGCTCCCAGTGGATGCGCAACCCCGATCCCAGGACCCATTCCTGTTGATGGCCTCGCGCCGTTTTCTCCCAGATGCATCGGTTGCATACTGTGTACCAATGGAGTAGCAGTACGGTAAGATTGACAACGAGTACGCCGGGACGGAGTCGAGCAGAGACCCTGGCGGGTGAGGATCCACCGGTGGTCCATGCTTGGAAAATGTGGAGGTTCATTGGGATCAGTTGCCGCTGTAAGCTGTTCAAAAATCATTGGGCTTACACGAAACGCCAACCATCACTGGCCCGGGAGGGAGTATATCCGTCGAAAGTCGGGTTGTGTGCAGTGTACGATTTACCTACATAGGAGTAGTCTAGCTGCACAGGTGAGGCAACCAGCGATCAAGCCAGGATTAGCCGCCGTTGATGACCATCCCACGGTATGACGTCCTGAGGCAGAAAATGCTTACCTCTGCAACCAATGTCTGGAGAGGTTAGCCTATGCGTGCTATATATAGGCCCATATGAGTGACACCATTCCACGATGATCATGGTCAACAGGTGAAGCCATCGCCGATGGGTGGACAGCTCGCTCCGACATGAACCGAAGGTCCGGCTGTGAAGGTAAAGAAGTGGCAAGGAGACGGGAAGACGGACTGAATTTCAGTTTCGCCATCCATGCTCGAACACGTCGATGGCTGAGAGGGAAAGAGAGGACACTGTAACAAGTGACTCATTATTTAGTGAATAAATGGGTGAGTGACTTGAGTGACTTGAGTGATTGTAGCAGAATTCAAGGTTAGTTTACGGGCAGTAGACCAAAGTAGACCAAAGTAGACTAGTTTATTGCACGGGCCGCGACCACAGAACAGACCCTCGGGGGCCTCGACACCTTAGGCCACATTAGCGCCGAGTCGGCTGCTGCCCACCATCTTCCTTCCTTCTGCACTCCGTCTACACCCATCCATCCCGATCCAACGAGGCACTACTTACGACTTGCAATTTACAACTTATCCTTCTCGCTCAGCTCCGGGTTGAATTCGGTACTCGGGTGATCGGAGCAAGATTCTGATTGCGCGTGTGCCTTGTGTGGAAACACTGGTGATCTGGAACTCACTCATACTCTTGTTCGCTACCTACCTAGCTAGCTAGCTGTTAACCTGCCTTGCAAGCTAGACTCGCACGACCCCCGTCCACTATCGAAACAGCTATAGCTCAATCGACTAGCGAAATCAATCCTCTCTCGACCCATCTGAGGTGCCACTACGGATGATCTCCGGACGATATTCATCCACCGCTCGACAGTCTGACAAATGACATTGTGTCGCTGCCAAAGTGGACGATCGTAGCACCGTTCAACTGGATCTAAGAATGTGACCTCCACAGACACCTGCTAACAAGCTCAGCACCTAATGAAAAGGAAGTGGCCAGGCGCGTTGTCTTGACTGTACACAGAAGCATGCTAGATTCTATGCTACCGCTGGCCGAGAACGCCCCTGACAGCACTATCAATAGTGCAGTTTCTAGCACCGAAGAGTCATCTCCTCGTCAAATGGGGATGATAGCTGTTCGGTGGCCTGCAGCTGCTGATGCAGTCTTTATCGCGACTTCGCTAGAAGGCTAAGACAAGGCCACAGCCGCGGGTGCCACGGAACACTATGATCCGACGCAGGATAATGCAGTGTGTCAGGATTCAGTCTGCACTTCTGGGCAGACATAACACAGGACAATCGCTTTGTAGATCCTATGAGACGCGAGTAACGAGCAGAAAATTCTCCGAGCTCGTGCGTGGACAGAATATATGCAAGATGGCATCATGGGAGGATGGTGATCCCGTACCAACACGCTATGTCCCACACTGCTCGGAATTCAACGCCTTCATGAATGTGCCCGGCGATCGATCTGTTCTAGAAACAAATGGGCTAAATGGCCTTCGTATCGCGGGAGGCGATGTCTGAAACCAAGACGCTGACTCGGCTTGGTACTTACATGGCCAATGTGAACTCGATGAGGCGTTTTCTCTCAATCACACACACACATTTGGTACTGTACCTACTACCTAGCAGTACAGTACTAGTTTACGCCAGTCCCACCCAAGACCAGACGGAGGTGTCATCACGAAGGGGACTGTGATTGGGCTGTGCTGTTCTCAAATATAACTCAGTGCTGCTTGAGTCATGCTTGACTGGCCTAGCACGCCATCCACTATCTTGATTACTGGCACTGGTGTAATAAGAGTCAAGGTCATGATAGGTGTTGCTGTGATGTTGAACACTCCGATTCCGTGTTAGCCACTGGGAGGCGTCGCTGGACGTCCCCCCGACCCACCATTGGAGCTCTGACCAGTCACTAATTTCCAAGGTGTTACGACGGCTTCCTCGTGCATCCTCTGGTCCCGTCGATGCTGCCGCCGAAGGTTGGGATCGTGCTATAACAAGATACTGCTATAAGTGATCCACAATAGCTCATGTTGTGGACCTCGGACAATAACGGTCATGAGCCACAGCTAGTTAGGACTGACTGACTGAGGATGTCTTCACCCGTTTTCCGGTCCTGTTTGACATTTGTGAGTCCTGCTGGTCTCAGCTAACCTGCCCTCCAAGCCACTAATTTGGGCTAGTCCCTTGGAGTAATGACCTCTGGGCTAAGATCTGTGGAGATTCGCTGTGCGCCAGCTGTTGCATGATACGTATCACCAGCAGAGGTGGTACCGAACTAGTCCACACGAGCCCTCATACTGCCAAATGACGGGCCGCGCAAAGCAATGTGGATGGTGGTTACCCCAGCCACTGGATCCTAGCCTGGCAGGGATCCTCCCTGACCAGACGGGTGTCTAAACCGTTCCTGGTGCTACCGCAGGCGCTAAACCGGTAGGACGTGCATAAGTGTATGCACAATTCTCCACTAGTGCTGGAGCGAGAGAAACTGACTCTGAGTCTCTAGCAGTATGTACAGTACGGTACGTCGTATCGCGACCACACTTTGTCACTCAGTCTCCAACATCTTAACTTCTTACACTTCTTAATCTTCTGTCATACAGAGTGTTGCGCAAAATGTGGAGCCGTGCTGCGGCTGAGCCTTGCCGATCCTCCCATGAGGGAGGATTGCGTCCTGGAATTGCGATGCGAGATAACGACTACATCGCCTGGTGCAGTGGGGATGCAGCGAAGAAGGTCTGAGGATAATTCGCCGGCAAGTCCGTGATACCAAATGCTGCAATTAGACTGTTGATGCAGGTCGCCCGGCACGTCGACGGTCGCCGATCTGTGGTCTGGACGTCCAATTCTGCGAGAAATGACAGACACGGTGGCATGGTGGCTGGAGTTATCAGGGTGATCGGAGGCAGGCTGCCGCTGATAGGTAGCCGTAATTCCCGCCCGCCCTACAGCGCGAGGGTTGACAATTGCGATCTCAATTATCGAGCAGTGCGCCATCCTGCCCAGTGCCCACAGACTGTCCCCACGGCCCGCCGTGCAGAAAGCGTTGATGATGCCTTGCTTGCTGGCCCCATCGATCACTTCAAGGTTGTCAATTATCCGTAGGGTGGCAGAAGCACAGGCTGAGGGGTGGTCCCTGCAGCCGCCCTTCCCAACAAACCACCTTTGCGCTCGTGGACCTCTCCGACACCAACCTGAGAGTGACCTGAACATACTACTCAGTACTCCCTACCCGGATGTAGTATTGTTTCATCCGTCTCCGAAAGTACAGGGTGGCAATCTTTAAATAGTGCTACACGCCACTTGGAAGGTTTTTGTCGTGGGCACGGTGACACTACTGCATGAAAAAAATCTCCTGCGCCGGTGTACGGGACAGATCGCGCGACTTCTTCCGAAGAAAAGCCGATCTGCGACGCGTTGAGGCTGGACCTGCCAAGCCCAGTCACTTCATTATCATCGCCCGCGATGCAACCTGCTTGTTTGCCCCTGCCCCCTATCTCGTATCTACTTCAGTCTGGAGGCTTTAGATCTTATCATCGTCGCTTTCGTCTGATTGCTGTGTCTCGCTTATTGCATCGGATGCTCGTGCCGTGCATCAGGCACTGCCGGTCGAGATTCGTGGACTTGACGCCGGGGTAAGCGACATATGTATGCTATCCTTGGCTGTATGCAAGTGGTATGTCGCCTCTGCATGAGCACGAGTCCAGATGGTTGGCTAGAATGCAGTGCTTTCTTGGTGAGTGATGGGTTAGTAGTAGTACGAATAGTTGTCGTAGTATGGGGGCTAAACATAGTAGTCGAGTCGATAAGTGTTGACTTCGGCTGAGTCGCCTCTGGGCCTACAAGCCAAGATAGGGTGCTGACTCTGTATATGGTCTGGGCCGATGCATTCACTCCTGTTGTGTGTATCCTTCGTCTAGAGGTCTTTGAGCTATGGACATTTATGCCTGAGGTTTGCCATCTAAGCATCGACCATATACTCTGAGGTGCACTTTCTAGAACGGACAGACGGCCTGACATGAGGATATATCAAATTGAGAAGAGAATCCTGGTTCCACGTCTAGTCTCGTCCCCCAGGTTATGCCTGACACGATGTTGCTTTCCTGCGCAGCTTCACAAGACTGACGAAAGTCGAATGATGAAAGACGATAGCCTCGTAGATCTAGAATATCCATAGGCCAAGCCCAGCTGTAGGAGCTATATCCTCTGCATTCAAACCAAAGCTTCAACCCAAGACATCAAGTTTCCAGAACTAACACACCCCAGCTCCCAACGCAAAGACAACAGATTCTCCCAGACATGTCAGGCGGTATCCATCACCTAGAATCTCATATCCACCCCCATAGCCCATACCCCCATACCTCATAACTCCCTCCCTGCTCCCCCAAATCCAGAGAATCCCTACAGCTCCGGCCAAAAATACACCCCCCGATCCAAATCCTCCTTCAGCGTCTCCTCCACAACCACAAACCCCTCCTCCCGCAACTCCGGAAGCACCCCGCCAATCAACTCGGCCACGAGCCCCCCAAAAACCACACTGCCCTGCGCATTCAGATGCGTCTGATCATCCGCGACCAGGTTATACGTCCACGCGTCGGCCGGCCCAATCGCATTGAGGTAGCGGGTACTCGCGGCATTCAGATCGATCCACAGGGCGCGGGTGGCCTGCGCGGCGGCGATGGTGGCGGCGCGCTGGTCGGCCAGGTTCTCAACGACGAGGGGCGTGCCGGTCGAGTTGTCGTAGCCGCGGCGCGAGAGCGGCGTGACCAGGATGGGGGTGCCGCCGGCGGTGCGCACGTCGTTCACGAACACTTCCAGGTTGGTGGTGTACTCGGCGATGGAGATGTTGGCGGCGGCCTTCTGGTCGTTGTGGCCGAACTGGATGGTCACGTAGGGGCTGTGCGTGCCCGCGGCGTGGGCGCTGGTTACGCTCGCCAGCACGTTCGCCCAGTAGCCGTCTGCCCGGTAGCTGACCGTCGTCCGCCCGTTGACGCCGTAGTTGATTCCGGTTGCGTTGTGGTGCAGCGTTTTGTTCAGGAAGCCGTTGCCCCAGCCGCCGCCGCCGGTGCTTTGTTTGGCCGTTGTGCTGTCGCCGGCCAGGAAGAAGATGGGGGGCACGGTGGGGGCTTGGGGTTTGGGGGAGGGATGGGCGGTGGTGTGCTGGGTGAGGATGGGGAGGAGGGTGAGGAGGGGGAGTTTCATTGTGTTGGTTGGATTGTGATGATTGTGATGTGAGGGTTGGGATTGGGATTGTGATGCTTTTCGGGGTGGTGGATGCACGTCTTATGTGTTGACTCCCTGGGGAGGTTTGTGCTGGTTCACCCCACCAACTGGAAGAATTCAGCGTCAGTTCCAGCAATCATGGCACAATCGGCATCCTGCTGCCAGGAGTGAGGACGGGCGAGCGTGACTCTGCATCTTGCTGCCAAGGGCCTGCTGCTCGATGGTTCTGTCACTCCGTGATGCAGAGAGCAATTGACGCAACAATCATCGCCATTACCCCGCGTGGGGCAGATCCCTGAAGAAGTTTGTCTGGCTAAAGCCCGAGGGTCTGGAAAATATATGTCCGAAGGCAGTCCGCGCCTTGGTTGAACAGGTTGATGTGGATGGAGTGTGTAGCGGTTGCTCTGCTCGGCCAAGCATCGCCCGAGATTAAATTGCCGTGCGGGGATGCTGGCTGAGCCCGCAGCTGCCGGTCGAACGGATGTGAAGAAGGCAAGAGAAAGCGGAGAGAGACACAGATGTTGGAATGTAGTTGATGTAGTTGCAGGAACTCAGGAATGCTACGTCATGAGTTAAGCTCCAGGTAATGACTTGTAGACGGACTGTGACTGCTGACCAGTGCACCAGCGCTGTGCAGTTAGGGCATCAGCAAGTCAACTGCAGTCGAGCCACCCTCACTGTGCCAATCATCCCTCGTGACTGCTTCTCAAGAATGAGCCCAATCAGGCAAAGACCACGATCCTCACCAACAACGTGCTTATCGCAGCCAAGATATCCATCGCCCTCTCTTCCCCCATCGGGACAAGAAGCGAGTGATAGCGGGAAGATCTGATAAAGACGCCGCCATCTCATTCGAACCTCTTATCATTGTCGCGACAATGCCTTCCCAACGAGCCCTATCGCTACCCCAGACGTCCAGATACACTGCCGAGATATGGGGTTTATAAATGAGTCCCTGCGGCGATGACAGCCATGAAGGCTATGCGACAGCACAATCATGAAGAAATCACCGTCGGTCGTCGATCTCTCGCGTGAGCCGTCCGCAGCGGACAGGCCCCCCTCCAGCCACCATGGCACCCTCGTCGAGCTGAACCAGACCAAACGCGGTCTCTCCTCTCGCCATGTGCAGCTGATGGCCATCGGAGGCTCCATTGGAACTGGTCTGTTCGTGGGAATTGGCTCCTACCTCCGCGATGCAGGGCCCCTCTCCGTGTTTCTGGGATTTCTCTTCTACGGGGTCTTTTTCATCTGGCCGGTGAACCTCTGCGTGGGGGAGATGTGCGCCTATCTCCCCATTCGAGGGTCCATCTTCGAACTCGCCGCGCGGTACATCGACCCTGCCTTTGGGTTTGCCATGTATGTCCCCGTTCCTCCTCCATCCACCTCCATTCAAGTTCAAATCCGAACCCACACTAAAAGATACAGGGGCTGGGTCTACTTCTACGGCGGCCTGATGCTCGTCTGCACGGAATACGCCGCCGTGGCGACGGTGATGCAGTACTGGAACACGAGCGTCAACCCGGCGGTGTGGGTGGCCATGGCCATCGTGGTGTGCTTCCTGCTGAACATCGTCGCGGTGAAATGGTACGGGGAGACGGAGTTCATCATGGCGTCCACCAAGATCCTGCTGCTGCTGGGCCTGGTCCTGCTGACCTTCATCACGATGGTGGGCGGCAACCCGCACCACGACGCGTACGGCTTCCGCAACTGGACGACGCACGGGGTGATGTTCGAGTACTACAGCGAGGGCGCGACCGGCCGGTTTCTGGGCTTCTTCTCGGTGGTCGTGTACGCCGGCTTTTCCGTGGCCGGGCCCGACCTGCCCGCGCTGGCGGCCGGCGAGATCGCCAACCCGCGGCTCACGATCCCGCGCGTCGTCAAGATGACCTTCTACCGCATCGTGGGCTTCTACGTGATCGGCGTGCTGGCTGTGGGCATTATCTGTAACGCGCGGGACCCGCGGCTGCTCAGCGCGCTGGACTCCTCGTCCGCCGTGGGCTCCGCCGCTTCGCCGTGGGTCATCGGGATCGAGAACCTGGGCATCCGGGGCCTCCCCGGGTTTATTAATCTGTTGATCCTGCTGGCGGGCTGGTCCTGCGGCAACGCCTACCTGTACAGCAGCAGTCGCACGCTGTACTCGCTGGCGCGGCGCGGCCAGGCGCCCCGCGTCCTGTGCCGGTGCACCGCGTCCGGCGTGCCGATCTACTGCGTCGTCGTCGTCTCGCTGCTCTCCTGCATCACGTTCCTGGTGGCTAGCACCTCCGCCGTCACCGTGTTCTACTGGTTCGTCGACCTGACCACCTGCGCCTTCGTGCTGACCTACACCAGCATGGTTGTAGTCTTTCTGGCGTGGTACCGCGCGCTCAAGGCGCAGGGGTTGGACCGCAAGACTTTCCTGCCGTGGGCGTCGCCGGCGCAGCCCTACGCGGCCATTTTGGCGGTGGCAATCGGGACCGTGGTCACGCTGTTCAACGGCTTTACGGTGTTCGCCCCCTTCAGTGTTCAGGGGTTCGTGACCTCGTACTTCGGGATTGCGTTTTGGGTCGTTATGTTTGCGGTCTGGAAGGTGTGGAAACGGACAACCTGGGTCAAGCCGGAGGATGTCGATCTGTTGGCGGGCAAGGCGGAGGTCGATGCCGAGTGTCGCCTGTGGGAGGACGGGGGGCTGGAGGAGAGGAGGAGGGCGGAGCTGGCGAGGATGCATTGGGCGAGAAGGGTTTGGGAGAAGATGTGGTAGCTCTGGGTGTAGTTTCTGCATATATGTTTCAACGGGTATCATAGAATGACAGTGATTGATGAGGTGCTGGGTTTGGTAGGAAGTCTGCAGATACAGCCACAATGCCCTAACTCTCCGACTGCAACGTACATACCTGGCCGTACCATCCCAACTTGCCACCCTGTGTAACACGAGCTCGACCAGCTAAAGCCCCAACAAAGCTCCCGCCTGCAAGAAAACAGCATGTCCCCGAAGAGAGCCAATCGGTCGAGCTGGTGGACAAAGAACGATTCAGCCAGGCTGTTCTGTACCTGGGCCCGAGAGCTCCCACCCAGAGCAATCCAGCCCGCACTTCCAGGCAGACATCGCACCGACCAAATGCTTTCAGCCCAGTAAAAATGAGAAGCGACCAACACTCCCCGGCACAGGCCTTGAAACCTCGGCTGCTGCAACAAAGAAATCACTATCCGAAGCATCATCAAAGCAACCCCGCTCGCGCAAACGAGGCTGAAAGCCTTCTTTGTTGGACAACAATGCCTTTGTCTACATCCTCCTTCCACCGTTTCCTCTCAACTGCACCCCAGAGAATTATGCACTACTTAAGCCCCCATGTGTATCCATGGATCATCCCCATCATCAACCAGATTCTCAGCCCGAAAGTCAGACTGGTGCTGCTAGGTGAAACGCCCAACGTACTGTATCGTCGAGACCGTCGAATCCACGAAATCCAACCTGCAAAAACACGCTATAATATCCATCATGCCTCACCATTGGTACGTGCGATCCCATCTTCTCTCCCCCGGCCCTTTTCTCTCCCCTCCCTCTTTCAGTATTTGAGGGCACAGAAACAAGCTGACATCAGACAGCACCGTCTGCAAAGACACCGTGAAGCTACACTGCGTGCGCCGCGGGCACGTGACCGAATGCACCGAGCTCTCCTGCAAGCTCCCCTACCAGAGCTCCCGCGAGAAGGACTGCCCTTACTGCCGGAATGCGCTGCAGAAGCGGGCGGCCCGCGAGGGGAGTATCCCCAAGGACACAGATGAGAGCGACGATGCAATGCTCGCGTCTGCTGGCGGGAACGGCGATAGCGACAAGGAGAACGACTCTCCTGACGGAGTGCGAGCCCAAAGGCAGAGGCAGCAGAGGCAGCAGAGACAGCCGCAGCCGAAGAAGCAGAAGAAGAAGAAGGGCAAGCATGTGCGCGAGACCCGCAAGTTGAAGGATATTCGGCGCAGTAGGCCGGGCAAGTTGAAGTAGCCCCGGCTGGGGGATGCCAGCTGCGGGGGTTTGTGCTCCTGGTCTTGGTCCTCTGGTGCTGAGGAGCGAGGGTTGAGTCTGAGACTTGCTCCTCTTCTTGGTGGAATCTTGGTGTAAGATTCTTGGCCGGTTCGAAGGGCCGGGTTTAGTGTTTGTTTTGGTCAGGGTCGGAGCTTAGGGTCTACAAATGTCCTGTTGACAATGTTCCATGTCAATGTCAATGGGGAACCTGGTCTGTCACGAGTGAAGATGGTAAGTTTGCCGTATTACTTTGGACTCTGGCGATGTATCATACTAATCTCAAATCTGTGTCGTGTACGATAGTAACTCGCGAGATAGGTTGCATCTCAATGTAACGGACTCCCGTCCTGTTCAAACTCCCAGTGCAGTGCATATGTAGTAGTAACTATCACGTAAATGAGACAATCCAGATTATTCCCGCAGGGTCGTGTACACCCGAATTTAGCAACTCGTTAATTCTCAAGCACAGCTCAAACATTGTAAACCGACATCGCCGGACACATGCCCACCAGCTTGTCCGTCTCCACGCTGGGCATGAACTTGGCTGTCTTGCCCGCGCTCTCCGCCCCCTGCGACCGCTTCTCCACCTCCACGAACGCAAACTTCTTCTCCGGCAGCAGCTCGTACACCCCCTGCGCGTATTCCGGGGCCACCCGGTACAGCTGCGCCAGGTACTTGGCCTGGATCTCCGGGTACTCGACCACGCGCAGCAGGCGCGCCGTGTTGTCGTGCAGGTGCTGGCGCTGCGTCTCGTCCATCACCCGCCGGTATAGCTCGCGCGGCTGCTCGTACTCCGAGTCCTGGCCCTCGTGGTAGAAGTGCGACTTGCGGCCCAGGTTGCGGTCCGCCACCTGGTAGGGCGCCTCGGCCGTGTCCGGCCGGAACTTGTTGGCGAAGCTGTTCGGCACGTACTGCGGCTTCATGCCGTGGTTGGCGTCCACCCGCATCTGGCCGTCGAAGTTGAGCGAAGAGTAGGACTGGGTCATGAAGGGGCAGTTCACTGGTTTGCATTAGTGTCAAGTCGATTGTGGTGAGATGCAAAGAGGGGCGGAACATACCTGGGACTTGATGCAGATTGATGCCGATCCGGTGGTATTGGGCGTCCCGGTAGAAGAACATGCGGAACTGCAGCAGTGGGTCGGGGCTGTCTTCGATGCCGGGCACCATGCTGCCGGGAGAGAAGGCGGCCTGTTCGACGTCCCGGTGGAAGTTCTCGGGGTTCTTGTTGAGCACGAGCTTGCCAAATTCCATCATCTGGCTGGCTGTCAGCTACTGCCTTGCGCAACGCTTATCTCGATTCGCCTACCGGGAACTTGTCTCGGGGCCACACTTTGGTGACATCGAACGGGTCGAATCCCAGCTTCGATGGATCGGCATCCTCAGGCTGCATGATCTGAACGTGGGCCGTCCAGGAGACCTTTTCGCCGTTTTCGATCGCTTTCCACAGGTCGCGCTTGGAAAAGTCAGGGTCGATACCGCTGTGTTGCTGGGCCTCATCGGCGGTGAATTGCTTCTGGCCGCCGTCGGCAAGGAAGTGGTATTTGATGTAGACGAAGCGGCCCTCGGCGTTTACCCTGATCTATGTTAGAGTTGCAGTGCAGATGTCCTGCGCATTACTTACCATCGGAAGGTATGGCAGCCGTAACCGTGCTGGTTCCTCCATCCCACGGGAGTCCCATGGTCGCTGAAAAACATCATTCCTGCATGGTTACTGGTGAGGGTTAGCAGAGCACTTTTGCGGTCGAAGAAAAACATACCCCTCTGGGGTGTTCGCAAGCAGATCGAACAGCGAGTTGTGGTCCAGCAGGAAGTTCTGCGGGTTGCGATACTGGGAGCGGATCACATCTGGGCCTTGGATCGGGTCGCGACAGAAGAACACGGGCTGGGTGGGCATTAGTGAGAGTCTTCATCCAGGTCTCAGCATGAGCATACGAAGTTCAACCCCACGATGTCATAGTTGCCCTCGCCAGTGTAGAATTTGATGGCGAAACCGCGGGGATTTCTGGCGAGATCGGGGAACTCTCTGCCGAGGGTGACGGTGGAGAAACGGACGAAGACGGGGGTTCTGGCACCGGCCGATCGTAGAAAGTTGGCCTGGACTATCAGTGACGCTGGATGAGTTGCTCAGAAAAGAAGAATTCACCTTGGTAAGAGAAGAGACGTCCTTGGTTGTCTCGAAGTATCCGAAGGCACCACTGCCGCCTAGTACATATCAGTGAGTGATCATAACGACCAGCGAAAAAAAAAAAACCCACAAGGATGGACCATGCGCTCCAAATTCTTGGAACGATTGAAGTGCTGCTGTTTCTGCAAGAGAAAGGTATCGGAAATGACCGGGATCCCGCCCGCCGTCTTGCTGTGAGCGGGATCGGGGAAGGGAATGCCTTCGTTGTTGGTGAAGTAAGAAGCATCGTCGGCCCGCTGGCCGATGGTTTGCACTCCGGTCAGTTTGGCGGCGGTCTGGGCGGGTCCCTCGTGGGCGCCCTGGAAGAGCGAGTCGGTCGGCGCCATCGCGCCTAACGCCCCGCCTAGCACTTGTAGCGGCCGGGTCGTCATCCTTCGGCTTGAGCTTCAGCAACACTTGGAACACAAGTCTCACACCAGAGTCACACAAGAGTCACACAATCGCAGTCTCTTTCTTTCTCCTAATTACTGAATTGATTCCTCCCCGTAACCTGTTGGTCTCTTCTTATAGATTCATCGCGCTCATGGCCACAGGCCAATCAAGTCCAATTGATTACCATACGGTCAGAATGACGGCCAGACTCATGTCCCCACTCACGTCACCAATATCACATCGACTCTGCTGCAACTTCACTTCTACCCATGTATAATCCATGATCATGTCCCTGCTTCTTTCCCATTTGACTCGTCATGACAGGTCTAGCCGCGTCTACTGTACTCACACCCGAACTACCTTTCGACCCAAGGTTGTCGCGGAAAGTCAATTACCTTCTGAGAATCCCGCTACTCCTCACTTCTCCGCGGGGGCAACTGTGCGCAAGATATATAACTAAGAGAAGGAATCTCCCTGGCAATCCAGTTACTTGACATCTTGACCAATCTATTCTTGCTGGCTTCTCCCGCTCGAGTGTCCCATGGGAACTCAGCTCCGGCTCGCTCAGTCTCGTCGTGCCAAGACAATGTGCTAATCATGACAATAACTACTTCAGTCCCGCCCACGCCTTGCTTACCCATCCAGCGCGAACGAGGCCAACCTGTTACCAAACCCGCATCATCCGGTTGCTGCCTGAGGTATGCAACAATCGTTACCCGTGCAGAATTGGGATGGAATGCTGCCTCCCTGGTCTCATTGGCTGGAGTTTTCCCCGGCCATTTATCTGCGGGGATGCGCATTGTTCTATTAGATGTGGATGTCCATTTCAGTTCCGCTAATCAGATCCACTGTAGCACACAATCTGTCCGTCGCGTCACATAAGACACAGCCTGCCTATGAGCCGCGCAAAGGGCTTTCGAGTCGAAGGGTTGAAGTCAATCCAATCAAGGGGGATCAAGCCCTGGCCCCCTGCCTGCTCCTTGGGTGTGGCTTGAACTCTATTGGGTGTTCTTGTCATTGGTGACATGTGATCTTGTGCGTCGCAGCGTAGTGCTCCTGAGTCTAAAGGAGATCTCTGGTAAGAACTGGACCATAGGAGACCAACTTCCTCTTCTAGTAGGATCTTGTTGGCCCCGTCTCATCGATTAGTTGATAACCCCAGCATGAATTGAGAAGCAAACGTTTCTTGAAGCCAGAAACGAAGACTTTTGCGGATGATATACATCTCGGAATGGGTCGGCGGGTCTAGAGCAGGGGGGTAACGGTGCCCCAATGGATATTCTAATTGAATTCTGTCATCTATGTTTCTTCTTTCTTGAACTTCAAGCCTGTCCGTTCTTTCTTGTTAACACGTTGCCCGGTCAATACTTAGCAGCAACCATTATATCCACAGCGTAGATGCTTCAACGCGGGCGCTAAAGCGGGCTAAAGCGGGCTAAAGCGGGCTACAGCGGGCTACAGCGGGCGCCTATTTTTAGCGTAGTATGGGGAATGATGGCGCCCGGATTATTGATGCGGTTCATCGGCGTGCTGGGGAACATCCACACAAGCAATCGCAACAGAACATTCCAATTCCAATTAGATTTGAGCCTGTAGTTCGCTTAATTTGCTAGGGAGCACGATTCAGGGTCTTGTAGCCTCGTATCTGTGGTCTACCTTAGTTCCTCACCTCAATTGCTTGAATTAGGCTCATTCACAAGCTTGTTTTCCTTCTTCCAGTCTGTCGGGTCTTTTGAGTAGGCCGGAATGACCGGGAGATGGAAAAACCATAGATCCCGCAATGTAAACATGCCGGTGCGGGCAGTGATTGCATGGTCTCCCTTCCTCCTTCATCTTCTACTCAGGAGTCAGGACTCACACGCAAGGCACTGTCTGTGGTACCTTACTCTACATAACATGACAGATGAAGTATCGATCGCCGTCGGTCTTGCTTATGCCTTGATTATCAAGCCACCTTCCTTTGCCAACGGAAACCAATAACGTTCAGCTCGCTGCAGCACTCCTCTAACATCCACTGCGGATCGCTAATCACCTCGATTCTGAGAGCTCGCGACTCAAACCGCCACCAGCCCTTCCTGAGAAGATGCCTCTTCATCTCTAGTCAACAGATCTGACTGAGCTCCGGACGTCAGTCTCATGTACGTACGGCAAGTGGGGGATTGTGATGTGCTCCATGGTTGCATTATCCATTCCACCAGAGCCGCACAGGATCACAATCCCATTGTCAGCACCCGGAATGCCAGAATTACTACCCCCACAGAATCGCTCTCCTCTATACAAAACGGACCAATCATGTTGGCATCGACGCTAAAGCATTCTCGCGAGCACTCGAGTTTCAATCGAGTCGAGAACATCGTGACGGCCTAGCCCTGGAACCAGCCCAGCAACATCACAATCCAGGTTCTACTCCACTATCCTCCGGGGGATATCTGGCGGATATGATATCCCCGTTCTCTGAGCGAATCTTGGTGGAGCGCTCAGCCTCCAGGAGACCCCATCTAACCCCCCTTGCTGTCGGTGTCTCGGATAACGTTTACGGTCCCCTCCGCTGCTCGATTGGCTCCCGCAGTGGAGCGTTCCGAAGTAACAAGGTAGACTTTGAAGAAGACCTTCTGCTACGAGTCGCCTAGGGCACCGCAGTCTTCGAGCCTTACTGGGCTACGACTTCGTTGAGTCCTGCGCTGGCTCACGCAGTAATCGTGAAATTAGGTTCATGCGCACATGCGACAGGCATGGACACTCGAGTCAGATGGTAATCAATGTGAGCGAGGGAAAGTCAATCCTGGAAGACATGACTCGTGTGCTGCCCTTAGAATATGACAGACGGACGGACAATCCCCTCTGCGACCACGGAAGCACACATTCCAGGGCCCGTGTTGTGGCCTGAGCCCGGTTTGGCGACCGCAGCAAAGAGCAAGTCTTCCATGTATATATCCTGCCCGGCTGACTTTTCCCCGCGTACCAATTCGCCCAGAACATATGGCGACCTCGCTCGGGGAGAAATTCCTGCCACAACCGTGCATTTCGGTGACGATCATCCTGCTGTGATGGTGGTGTACGTTCAAGATAGGCTCGGGCCTTGTTTATGAACCTTCGATCACCCGCCCTTTACCCATGATTCCTATTTTTCTGTCTCAACTCTTGTGGCTGGATGATTTTCCAGCCTATCATTGACTGTCTGTGTGACCAAGGCTGACCTCGCACGGTGCGCATAGATGGCATTCGTCACCCTCGGTGTCCTACATTTATCGCAATGCATCCGGGTAATAATTCGCCCATTGAGGAGGAGATCTTTATTCCCGAGTCTCTCTTGGCAGCCGCCACCACAAGCGAGTCCTGGTCACAGAGTCCCCGACAAGAGATCCCCCGTCAACTACGAAGTGGTGTACCTCCGGATGAGGTTCGCGTGCACAAACGAAGACAGGCCACCACCAGTTGGCCGACTGCAGCCCAGAATGACCCGACATCCCACTCGGTGGGCCGTCCCTTGAGCACTAATCCTACCAGAGGCGGTGAGATATACCCGCTGTATGAGGACTGTGTGGTAGTGGAGACCCCCAAAGGACCTCAGGCAGTTCCTCATTCAGCGGTCGATGGCCCTATCCCCATCGCGGAGCTCCCAAGTCAGCCCATCGCAGAGCTACCTAGTCACCCAACCCCACCACCCAAAGCACGCACAGCCCGATATTCGCTCGACGGTAACGGTATCCTCAACAAATTTACAGTGTTATCTCCTTTCCCACTACGCCAGACTATCAATTCCGCCGTCGAAAGTGCCCGTGACAGCAGTCTTGGGACATTGTACGACAAAGCCAATCTTGTCCAGATCAAACATCAACGCAGATACTGGGTTCGGATGCTGATTGAATATGGAGCATATACCATACTCCTCCTATTTGTCTATTTTGTGCTCGTGGGCCAACCTCTATGGGGTGGTGCCATTTATTGGCTATACTGGATAATGCGCAACAAATTTGTCTTCCAGGGTGGATGGGCCATTGTCATCAGTCTAGTGATATTGTAAGTCAGGCTCCTTGGGAGGAGAATGCGATCCCCGTATCGTGACTCACGATCACACAGCTACTCGTTTGCACCGCTATTGACTCTCTTCGAGAAGGATCTTCCCGACCCCGAGTATTACAGAGATCGTAACATTTCCCCGGGCGCCCCAGACACAGCCCTCTTGATCCCCTGCTACAGATCTGCACCTGTCATTGGACAAACGCTCGAAGCCGCACTGAAGATTTTCCCCGCGTCGCATGTGTACGTTATTGCGAATGGAGACTCCACCAATCCCTTGGATAATACGGAGGAGATCTGCCGCCGCTACGGAGTCAATCATATCTGGTGCCCGGTCGGCTCCAAGATCATCGCTCTATTTGTCGGGTGCTACGCAGCCAAAGTCTTTCGTTATGTGCTCCTCATTGATGATGACTGCATTCTCCCTCCGAATTTTCCTGTCGCCATCTCTCGGCTGACTGATAACGTGCGTTGCGTGGGCTACACGATCAAGGTGGTGGGCCCTGAGTCATCCAAAGGCACATACTGCCAGCAAGCTCAGGATCTCGAGTACAAGCTCGCCGGGCTGCAGCGCACCTTTGCCGGTCGCATCGGCAGCGCCACCTTTCCCCACGGGGCAATCTCGCTCTGGGAGCGGGCTTTCCTCAAGGACACGCTTCAAGATCACCCGGGATTCTCAATCAGTGAAGACTGGTTCCTGGGCAACAGCTGCCGACGATTAGGCGGACGAATCAAGATGTGCAGCATGATCTTCGTGGAGACTGCGGCGCCGCCTGCCTTTCTCTGGGTCGACAAGGACCAAAGCCGAGGAGGCTTTGGGGAGATGACCGTCTTCAAGCAGCGATTCTTGCGGTGGAACTTCTTCGTCGTTAACGGCATGCGATACAACCTGGCCTACATCTTTGGTTCCTGGAAGCTGGGTTGCTGGGAGATCGGCGCGAAGATTTTTGTTATGCAAGAGGTATGTTCCTGCTATGTTGGGGTTGTAGACGGGCACCCGCATGCTGATTGAGGCGTAGGTATACGAAACCGTGCTGAGCATTCTCGCACCATTTATTCTTCCCATCTCATTGGTCGTACGGCCTTCATTCTGCATCAGTCTTTTGGTGGCGACCTTAGGACTGTATCTGCTGAACGCCGTGCTCTTCAATGAGATACACCTTCGACTGAAAAAAGAACGCGTGAGCTGGAAGGTCATCGTCGCATACTATGTACGTGGTCCCCATATATGTGTTGTGTCATATTTAACCATCTGTGCCAAAGATGCCCTACAAAATGCTCATCGCTGTGATCAACGTGATCAGCTGCTACTGGTCTCTGATCAAGTATGCGAAGTATTTTGCGCAACGCCGACCGAAGCTGATCGAGGACCACAAGGCGGTTGGGATTGTGCTGAAGCTGGAGGAAATCCGACGACACCAGCAAGGTGGACTTGGGCGCAGTATGACTGTGCGCACGGTTGGAGTGCGCAGCCGCGCCAGTAGTGCTGGATGAGCCCGGAACAAAGGGGCGTTGTGCCCTTTGTGGATTTGAGCACTGAAAGGATCACTTACTCTCGTTGGTATAGAGCATGGTTGCAAGACCGAAGACTGTCATACATAAAAACAATGTCGGCTCAAACCCGCTACCCTGGTCGACCCAATCCGAACACACCGTTCTCTCATCACACCTCCGACTGCATCGCTCTCCGGTCTGCTGCTCGCGATCGGACCAATCAACGGTACTGCACCACCAACCCGATTATCCAACCCCACTGTCCAGAAACTATATCCTTGTAAACGAGGAGCTTTAGCGACAACTCGCAAACTGGGTTGAGAGACGGGCTCTTCGGCGGGTTCCAGGGGGTTCAACCATCGGCGAGTTTCCGGTGCTTGGAATTCCGCCGACCGAGTCGGCGTTTTCGGCGTAAGGTCCAACCCCTCGGCGGGTTTTCCGGCGGGTCGGCGATCGGGGTTGTCGGGGGTTCAACCTTATCCATCCCGCATTCGGGGTAACCTGAACCTCTTGATTAGGTCTATGTCGGTCATTTGGTTACCGGATGTAAGGCTGTTAGCAGGAAAGATTCTGCTTTCTCTATCAGTCGAGTAGTTGATGTATGTCCTTGATCCAAGGAATGGGGAGGAAGCAGCCTGGTGGATCGGATAATTGGCTAAATTCTTCCGAGTATGAAGATATATCACTCTGGCGCAGGGTCTTGTCGAATCCGCCGAGCCTAAACAAGCCAAAATGATGTGATGTTTGGCGCCAATATCTCAATCTATATAATCTGAATTTCCGTTCGGGGGTTCAACTTGACCGAGGAAAAAATTCCGGTACTCACAATCTACTACGTAGTGATCTCTTGCACCGATGCAACCACTCTGAGGTGTATTCAACGCACAGTTACGGAGTAATGATCTCTCCTTTAAACCGCTCCTCTCGGAAGATATATTATACTACAACGCTAGGCGGTCTCGCGTTGCTGATCTCCGATCATACCCTTCCGTCCTTTCTCAGGAGTGTTTCTTGGCTAGTCGTGCACTTGACCAAACCTTCGCAATACCTAGAATTGTCAAGCTAAGCCATGGCAATAAAAGGCCAACCGAAGCCTAATAGCATGATAAACAATATAACCCAATATTCCGCTACAGGTCGGTGTAGCCAGAGGCTGCTGCCGTGCGAGCGACAACGATCCCGTGATGTGTAGGCTCCCGAAGAGTCACGGCGCTACCCAGCAGGCCTCGCAGCCTGCGGTACGGAATAGCTTACCAGCGATAGTTGATCAGCCATTGCGATACAAATTCGCATTGTCATCTCTATGAGCGGAAGGAAGAAAAAAGGAGGTCACAGCGAAAGCCACGGGTAAGGAATGAGACTACGTAAAACAGAAAAACAAAAGAAGAAGTGAGCTCCGATAGGGGGAATCGAACCCCCGGCTGCCGTGTGAGAGACGGCGATGTTAGCCACTACACCATATCGGATCTTGATGAATTCTACATTTCTGTTGTGTTCTGACGGGGGCCGATTAGGGAGCCGTAGCCCCTTGGCATGAGCCGCGCCATTGCCACTCGATCCGTCTCTTCTCTGCAGACGTGAGTAAGATAATCAACCCATTATTCATATGCTATACGTACAGCACAGGGCACTTGAGATGTGAGTTTGTTCATGAGGAAGAATGGGGCGATTGACCATCAATTTGCATTGATTTCAATGTAGATGGTCGGTGGAGAAGCCTTATGAACAATCTCCTGCCTCTGTGAAAGACGAAACTTAGCGCCTCTGGTTGACCGGAAGTCACCCCTCACGGCAAGCTCCTCGTATGACTATCTCCAGGCAGCTACCGAGTCGAGTACTCCTCCACATTGAGGATGTCATAGTCCCCTATCGATTTGTTAGCGAATACCCTTTCAAACCGGCCAGTATGCATCAACGCAAAGGAGGGGGAAGGGGGTCTCTTACAATCCGAGGGCAGTCTCGGTGGCACAGCATCATCCACAAACGCGAGGATTTGATCTCGTAGTTTGCGATAACCGGCGACATGCGAGCCGGCGAATTTATTTAGGCCGTGGTGATCGGTGGGTAGGGCCGCCTGGCGAACGGAGACGATGCCCGGCCAGGCTTCGCTGGATTCGACCAGCACGCCCGGCTTGGCCGGCCGCTTGAGCGTCAGAGGGTTCCGTTTGAACTTGGTGTCGTGGATTTCGTAGTAAGAGACGGCAGGGATGCTTCGGCCGTGGTCGCCGATTGCTCTCTCCAAGCCCTGGCAGGTCTTTTTGAGAAAGGCCCGTTGAATAGGGTCCAGAACGTCGATCAGTCGCGTTCGGCTCACCGTGTCGGCGGTTGACAAGCCATACTTCGCCTGGCTCACCTGCACGATGTGCGCGTGGTAGGCTCGCCATCGCTTTAATCCGTCGGCATCGGTCTCGCGAAACGGAGTACCGAGGAAGACCAGGCCTCGTAGGGAATCCAATAGCCATGCTTGTGCGTCGCGTCTGCCTTCGGCTTGAGCGAGAGCCTGTGAAGTTACAAGGGTTAGCACGGCCAGCCTTACGTCCTAGGGCGCGTGGACTCAAATAGAAGGTTACTGACCCTGGCCAGTACTAGCCCACCAAAATCACACGCAATGACAACAGTGGGTTTTGGCGTCCGAGTCAGCGCCTCCTGCCACCTATGCCGGAGCTCAAACCCACGGCGCTCTAGCAATCCTCTCATGCTTTCGTTACCGAAAGGCACACTCCAATCAAAGGTGTATATCCTGGCCGTGGGCAGGGCTTTCGGAAGCATGTCGGGATGCGTAAGCCAGTTGACTTCAACTCCGCCATCTATGTGAGTCCAGGTTCCGTCTGCCGTGTTTTCCATGCCATGGATGGCGATGATGCTGCAGGTAGTCGTCAGACATGAGGCGGCGCGATAGGACTGGAAATCGGCTGTACTCACTTCAATGTGTGGTTTTCTGGCACCACATGCGCCTTGAGGATGCTCGTGTGGCCCTCGACACCGGACAGAATGGGCTCTGGTGATTCGGACCGTTCGGACCGTGAAGGCCGCTTGGCAATGTACTTTTGTTTTCGTACTGGCTCTCTCGTCACAGCGACCCTCGGAGCTGTACCACTGCCATGGCTAGCTCGTGTAAAGCCAGAAAGCTTGTGATGGGAGTTCATTTGTGAGGACGCATCTGCAACCTCTGGCCTGCCATCTTGTTTCGGATCTCTGGCTGCGTGAGACCGCTTTGCTTTACTTTCGTCAAGAACCGCGGGGTTGTGACGAGGGGCCTGCGAGGATGTGGAACCGGGCTTTGATTGATGTTGCTGAGCCAGATTTCTGCCGCTCGAGCTTGATGGTTTAAGCCTTGGAGGGTCTGTATAACTGAGAAACAAAGGCCCTCTTGGAGAAGGTAAATTAAGCTCAGCAGCACGAGCCTCTGAGACTTCAGGTCTTCTGGGAGTCGGCCAAGAATGGGGGTTTCCGCTCGGTATTGCTACTTCCCCCTTTGGAGCAGAATGAACCTTCCCAGATCCAGAATTTCGGCGACCCAGCTGGGAACAAACTTTGTCGCTCATCGTTGCTATTCCATTACTTGGATCCTTTTTCGAGACTATGGACGACGTGAATCGACCTGGCGTAGACCCGTCGCTCGAATCGTCAACCCATTCGTCATCCTCCGCTGCGAGCATGTTTACTCCGCGATTTTGAATCCAAGCCGTTCCCAGAGCCGCCTCTGCAGATAGGCGCTCATTGGGGAAAGGCGAGATAAACTTTTTGACGAATTCCACACCATCTAGACCCAATTTCCCCTGAAGCGGTTCGTCGGGAAAGGGTACCCGCCCGTCACAGAACCTTCGCACGTCTCGACGCGTCGGAAATGGGTCTTGCTGAGTAGCGATTCTGAATACCACGCAGCCCAAAGACCACATGTCGGCTGCATTGTCATAGATCGATGTTGGTTCGTCGGTATCGAGATCTCCGCTCACCTCTGGAGCAGTGTACTTTGGGGTACCAATGGACGTATATAGTGCCGTTCTCTCATGGTTCACTCGCTTCGCGATGCCGAAGTCGCCAATCTTGACCCACCATCGGGCACCCGGGGGTTTTCGGGCCACGAAGATGTTGCCAGGTTTGAGGTCTCGGTGGGTGAATTGTTCAGCGTGGATAATCCGGAGGCCATTAAGGAGATTGGTGGTGATGTCCTTGACCTCCTCCTCGGGGATAGACTCTGATATGTGACTTTCAAGATCTCCCAATGGGAAGAACTCCATATAAAGGTAAAGATTCGAGGGATCATCTAACCAGCCGAGAAAATTGACCAGAACCTCCTGCTGCTGGTACTGCGGTTTCGAGAACTTGGCCAGCGCGAGAATCTCCCTCTTATAGTCGATGGTATCCCGTTCCATCAGATCCTTCTGCACGACCTTGACAGCTCGACGGCGTGTATCAGTCTCATCACTCTCCAGCCAGACTTTGCCGTATAGTCCCCATCCCAAGGGATCTGAGTGGCGGTACCATTTCCTCTTCACAATGCGGATAGCGTGACTCTCATCGCGCTCGTATTCGGTGTGAGTGGTGCAGTCGTGGTCGATCACGGCGTCGTATTTGAAGTGCTCAAGCAGATCGTCGGCTTCTAATCCCAATCGCAAGGTTTTGATCTTATCAGCAAGTTCTGGATTCCCCTGCACCAAGTGTAGCAAGTCAGCATATTGCGACGACGAAATGGACATGGCGCTCTGCGTCGGGTAGCATCCTAGCCCTCATAGCACTCTGGGATCGCGATCTCAAGGGAATGGGGATCAGGAGGACAAATGATGGAGGAAAAGAAAGGCAAGAGAAAGGAAGGAAAGAAGCTGAAAGAGCCACAGAAGGTGAAGACGAGGAGAAAAGAAGTTGAATCGGAAGGACGAGGCTGGAGTGAGATGACTTAGTCTCCTTTAGATTGCGGGGAGACGATCCAATGGGGTTGGTTTCTTTTTCCAGCGCGGGGTCAACAACAAACCCAACAAACATCTTCGCAGTTCGCATTTCTTCCTCTTCCTTTTCTTTTCTCTTTTCTATTTTCTCCTCTTGTTCACTCAGTCGTTCGTTCACAAGTTGCACAAGATGGATCCGGCTTCATTTGCCTTTTCCGTCGCCTCCATGGTGCAGTTATGCATTCAGTGAGTCTTTTCAGTACTGTAACTTAATCCCTACCCTCTCCCCCTTCGTTTCTATCACGCTGACCAGATCAGTCTCGGAAAGGACTTGTACGCACGCTGCGAAGCATACCGTGCCGCCGAGCGGGAATTGCAAGAAGTCAACTTGAGAATCCGGGGTCATTGGATCAAAATTGAGCAACAATTGTCCGCACTTCATGCCGTATGGGAGGCCCTCCCGCATGCTTTGCAGATCCATCAATTCCAGGTGCTCCAAGTCCTCCGAAGCAAGCTCAAGGCCGCAGTAAAGAGTATTCAGAGTCTGAGTGTTGACCTAGGAGCTGAGAGCTCACTTGCTAAGCCCATAGACTCTTCCCTCGCTCGCATTCTGCTGAAAGTGTCCCGCACCAAACGGATCAAATACGCCATCTATGCTAAGGAATCCCTCGAACACATCGTTGAAGAGTTGGAGCAGTGGCAGGGGACATTCGACCCATCCTGGTTCTTCTTAAGTCGTCTGGCCGTCCAGACAATCGATCAAGAGCTCAGTGGGAAGAGGGCCGCGGAGAGCAAGGCCGTGTCGACAGTAGTGAATCTGCGTGAAGCCCATCGAATCCACGACGGGGAGAGCTCCGCTTCAATTTTCTTGGGGAAAGATTTCGCCATCGGACGTTACACGGCGATCACTTCGTCTTCTTCATGGATCGCTCGCACCGATGAAGGTGTGGTAGTTGTCGACCGCATCCCGATCAGGCGACAGAACGACCTTCGTCACCGCACCAAGGACGTTCGAGATCTAGCACGCATTCTTTCCACAGTCGATCCGGACACATTTGGCCTTCTGTCGTGTCGTGGCGTACTCAGGACGGAAAAGACTTTCGATCTCATTTTTCCTATCCCCGGAAGTCAGCAGCAAGAGCCTATTGCTAGTCTTCGCTATATTCTGTCGAGACGTGCTGAGCGCAGCTTTACTCTGAACGAGCGAGTGAGATTGGCGAATTCTCTGGCGCGATCGGTCGTGTTTCTACACTCATCTTCATTTGTCCACAAAAGCATTACACCGGAGAATATCATTCTGTGCAGACTGTCAAAGGACAGTCTGGATATTCCTTTTCTGGTTGGCTTCAATCAATTCCGCCTGGCGGAAGGACCGACCTCTTTGAGTGGCGACAAAGCTTGGGAGAGGAACCTTTACCGTCATCCACGACGCCAGGGAATATACCCCGAAGATGAATATATCATGCAGCATGACGTGTACAGCCTTGGGGTCTGTTTGTTGGAAATTGGACTCTGGACTTCCTTCGTCGATTACTCGGGAGACTACGGCCAGCCTGTTCCAGGATCATCACTATCGATCGGGGAGCTTATTGTTGAAAGAGACCAAAGACGAGCGTCCTACCAGATCAAGAAACTGCTTGTCGACCTGGCCAGAACTAATTTGCCATCTTTGATGGGAAACATCTTCACCGAAGTTGTCGTGTCATGTCTGACATGTCTCGATAAGGACAACGAGTTGTTCGGAGATGAAGAAGAATTCCTGGACGATGATGGAATTCTCGTCGGTGTTCGCTATATAGAGAAGGTATGTGGCTTGACGCTTGGCACGTGATGGGGCTAACTTGTCTAATTCATAGATTCTGTTTGCGCTCCAAGGGATTGCGGTATGAGGCCTGCGATACCAGTGTCCTTGCGAGCCGACTATTTTGGATAGCGTAGAAGCGTAAAAGTGGGCTGGATCTTAGCTCTCTTATATCCCACCTGGCTGACCTTCTTGTGGAATGAAGGCTGTCACGTCTGAAGAGGCCCAGGCTGCGGTCGTAGAGCTAGATAATATGGTCGATGGCTCATATATAAACCGCTGAATCTGTGCGATGGCGGCGCGATGCCATGATAGGAAACGGTGGAGACTGTGCCGAGGACTGCGACACCGGTGTCTGCGCGTCCATGCCCGCTGGGTGAGGTGCACTGTTGTAACATCTGGGCTAGACGATGCTGCAAGCTCCGCCTTCCACGTAAAGGTTCGGCCTCGTCGAGACTTTCGAAGAGAGCCAAGGGGAGATGCCGGTAAACTCGAGTGACAATCACCTTATGATGTATAATGCCAGGGGGCGGTATAACTTTGGTTACATTTAGAGCGCCGCAGTCACCCCGGATGGCCATCTACGGCTTGGGAAGAGCCTCGCAGAGCGGCCTGTGTGCGTGAAGAATGCCTAAACAATCTATTGATCGATGAGTCAAACAAGGCATAGTACCAACATTCCCGAGTGAGCCAGCCACGTAATTGACGCAACTCACTCAACAAGTTGCCTATGTAGAAAATCTAGTTAGTACAGTACAGCATCTCAACCATCAAGAGATCAAGGAATCGTTCCATACAGCCATTTTTGACTGTCAGTATTCTAGCAATACTAGTAGAGCAAGCAAGAACTTTGACTCTAGAAGCAAGAGAGAAGAGTCGAATATTGACAACCTGCAACTTAGTCACTGCACCAAACTAGAGATCTGCAGCCATCAGAGTCGCATGCTCAAACCTGTTGGTGAACTCATCGGGGTGAGTGGAGACGTATTTGCTGAATTCATCGCGTGGCATAGAGACAGAAACACGATGAAAAACCGAGACGAGTGATGATTCTCCGGGCAAAAGCTGGTTGGTATGTCGATCCGAGGTGATGGTAGAGTCGGAAAGAGAAACGAAGGAAAGATGACAACACCCCGTGGTGCGAGGCACGTGCCGTCTCTGCCGTTCTTAAATGTTCTGTACGGTCCGGTGTTTTTCCTTTGCCTGCTCAGAGTCCGTATAGAAAGCCAGGGGACACCGCAGTGCTCAGTGATGTTACTGAAGCAAAGATCTCAGCATCCTGGACGACGTTAAGTATCATATTTGACCCTGGCTAAGGATACTCAGCAAGATCTGTACATGCGGATCAACTCCACTATGGGGTACTGGAGCCTCGCCCCTTGTCATTTGGATGTGACCATAACATATCGTGCTGAATGTAAGACTCGGGGTGAGACTGGCAGGTTTTCTACAGAAAGAGCATTGGGAATGAAGTTTGTCTGATGATGTTGAGCCTAGGTGACAACCTCAGGCATAAAGACGCGGGACATGGACTCGAGGCTGCAAGTGAAGGAGATGGAATAGACCTCTATCACATGACTGGCATCCAGCTGCCAGAAGCCCTCATCTCATCGAGGCCGTAGCCATCAACGACTGGCAGGAAAGGAATATCTCTTCCGACACAGGGGAATCAACCGTTTTCCTTCCGTCACCATCTTCTTCTTCCCTAAACCACAATCCAAGACCAAAGTTATCAGTCATCAGCCCATCCACGTATTCCTCTTCATCATGGCTGAGAAGAACACACACATCATCGACCCGGAAGGCGACCTGATACTCTTCCATATAATGGATGGAGAAGAGCATCGGATCCGAGTATCGACCAAGCACCTGACCCGAGCATCGCCGTTTTTTGCGAGAGTCTGCGTCGGGAGAGAACAAGAGAGCACCGAACCTTCGTGCAGCAGAGGGTGCCTGCCCGACTTCGACGGGCTGAAGCTCGAATCTGTGCTCATACTGATGCGAATCATACACGGCCAAGCGTCTGTGCTGCCTGAAGCAATCGAGTTCCCGACACTCGTCGACCTGGCGGTGCTGGCGGACCGCTGCCAGTGTGCACCCCTCGCCCGGTATTTCGCCCTACAGTGGGTCGACAACCTCCCCACCGCAACAGAGGGCCCCTCCGAGTACGGCAAGGAAGTGATGGAGTGGATATATGTGGCGTGGGTGTGGAACCTGAGCAAGGAGTTCGAGGCAAACACTCTTGTCGCCGTCGAGACAAGCTCGGAGATGGTGCACTCGCACGACCTCCCCTTGCCCGGGATGGTTATCGGTCCGTGAAGCTTTTCTTCCTATCCAGACCACAACACTGACGGTTCAGCAGAAAGAATCAAGAGGAACCGAGAGAAAGCCATTGCGAAAGCCTTAGCCAGGTTGAAAAGAGCAGAAAGAAAGTTTCTGGACGGTGCTGGCGAGTGTTGTTATCGCTTCAGCTCCATCATGTTGGGGTACCTTCAGAGGAATCTTTACAATGCCGGCATCAAAGACCCAGTCTGGCCGAAGGCTCCATATGTTGGCGAATCGTATCAGAGGCTGGTCGAAGAAGTCGAGTCTTTCGTGAACCCTGGGGATGAGGACGGAGATTCTGACGACGAGAGGTATGATTTGCAGAGATTTCTCAATGTCCGCAATGTTGCGGTGGGTCTGAAACTGGAGAACTTCACCCACAGCAGCTATGTCAACTCTGAATAACTGACAGGGAGGCTTTGTTGTTGTGGTAGTATCAGGCTTTGTCCTGCATATTCCGGAATAAGGTTGTTTCTGTATTTTGTTCTTTCTATACTTCTGCAAGAGAGACAAAGGTGTGCGGGGCCATGCATAGGCGAACATGATAAGAATTACTTGGATGATATTCACTAAGTGTATCTAAATTGATATCCAAAGTTGCCTGAGGACGGCACGTGATCGATATGAAGATGAAGTGAAATGAAGTGAGATGAAACAAATCAACACAACACACAATAACTCTCCTATATTATCGTGTTCTTCTCTGATCATTCTGATTTCTTAGAGCTCAGCATCGTACAGTCGTACATCATGTCTGACTCCGTCATCTACAGCTTCCATCCGGAAGGAAGGGTCATCTTTGTCCTGACAGAAGGGCCATCCACACCCTCAGACTCCCCTCATGGAGACGATCACGATGGCGACTTTGGATTCGCTCCAGCGCGTTTGGGCACAGGTGCTTCGCAGCGTTCGTACATCGATCTGGCCGAACTGGCTTGTAAAGATGATTCCAAGTTGTCCTCGACAACCGCTCTTCTCCTAAAGGTAAGCCCTCACGAACCCAAGATTGGACTCTGATACTCAGACAGACCTTCCCCAGAATGCGAACCGAGAAAGCGAAAAGAGTCCGTCTGCAGCCGCTCAAGCCCCCAAGAGATACCTCCTCCAGGCATCAGAAAAGCATCTCGTCCTGTCATCGCCCGTGTTCAAACAGATGCTCTGCGGCCTCTGGAAAGAAACCACCGACCTCGCAACGGAGGGGTTCGTTCGGTTCGAGATCAAGAACTGGAATCTGCAGCCCTTCCTCATCTTGCTCCAAGTCATGCATGGTCGACCAGCACCAAAGGGTCTCGACGTCGACACAATCACTGACGTGGCGCTGCTAGCCGACTACTACCAGTGCCTGGAAGACTTTCGTCGTTGCATGCGTGGATGGCTAAGAGAGGCCAAAAAAACCCTGCGTCCCTCGCACGAAACCTATACCAAATGTCTCTGGGTCTCTTGGATATTGCGCAGTGCGACCAATTTCAAGGACTTTGGCAGTCTCGTAGTGTACTTTGCGGAAGATCTGATCGAGGGCGAAGGACTGCCGTTCCATCCTGTCGTGCTGGGTATGACTCCAGACCTTCTGTTTCTTGATCTCATCGACTGACTATTATGCAGATAAGCTCAACGCTGCTCGCAAGAAGGCCCTCACTCCAATCATCCGTCGCCTACCTATGCACTACAACAGCGAGAGGCCCGCGGAGTGGGCCCACCGGGGCTTCTGCGGCGAATGCGCCACACTGCTGAGCGGGTTGCTGGAGCTGGACGTTAGACAGGCCACGCGCGAGGCATATCCGGTTGCACCATTCTCTGGCTTGAGCTTCGCTAAGCTAGTCGTGACGGAGTGTCGAGGACGCCGGTGCCATGATATGGGGATTATTCACATGGAGCGGATGTACCAGACTGTGGACCACAGTGATGCTGGGTCGGTGTCTCGATTTGTCCGCAAGCTGAATATCAAGCCGGTCACTTTGGAGGAATGCCTGAAGAAGATGGCTAAGTAGGTGTGGATGGCTTCGTTGGGTTCTGCTGTTCAACGTTGGTCAGGATAAGGTGTGGATGACTTCTGCGACAGCTGCTTTTTAGCCTTGGTGTTGATACGTGGACTTTGAATGTCTTCTTTGGTTGTTATTTTCTGTGCTCTTGGTCTTTCTTTCCTTTGCTCTGCTTGCCCTTGTTCTTAGTGATACTTTTTTGATGTGACGATGCAGGAGAATGATATGTCAGAACGCGATAGTTGCAAATCACAGTTACCTTGATTTTGATCCACGTAGCCAGGATACTAGCCTTGAGATGGCAACGAAATAGCACCTCCAGAAGACCGTTGACTTCATAATGGATGTCGCTATATATCCCTTTTGCACTTTAAAGGACCCCTGATCTACCCAGAAGCAAACAAAGGTGCTAGGTCTCGCTGGCCAGGCTGCTGGCCGCCTGTCGCGCCTATTGATAAGACCGCGCTCAGATGACCTCACTTACACTAATTCAGCACTGATTGATGTTCTCGAGAGAAGAATTTCATGTTACTTTGCAGCGCGGTATCAGAGGCTTCCGCCAAGCTCCCAGTGCGGGAAGGACAGCCCTAATACTACCCGTTGGCTGTCAATCACAACTGGAAATTGTCACGTACAAAGCAGTAGACAACGACAAGAAACTCCATTCCAAGAGATATTTTTGATGTATCCCACCAGGCGGACCGGCCAATCATCACGCACGCCCCCTCACAGCATAGCAAGAGCAATTCACCCGGCCTTTAGGCACCGACCCAGGAAATGCGGCTGCACAATCGTGGTAGTAATAAATACTCACCCTCGGCACAAGAGTAGAAACACGATCTTTCTTCCATCCACTAACTTTTCCCCTCACACCCCCAACTGTTGCACTACGATGGCATTCCTGAGCAAAGCATGCCCCCAGCGGACACCACCGCAGTCGTCGACTCGACCATCGATATCAGCCCCGATGCCACCGACAAGATGGCCCTGCGCGTCAAATACCTCGCTCCCTCCTTCCCCCCGGAAACCCGGACCCGCACCCTCATCGTCTCGAAGGCAGTCCTGATGGATGCGTCCACGGCCTTCAACCGTAGGCTCACCAACAACGCCTGGCAGGAAACGCAGCCTCTCACCGTCACGGGCTCCGCCCACCTCACCATCGACAAGGCCCTGTACAGCGAGACGGCGTTTCTGGAGTTGATGTACATCCTTCACGGGCAGGACGTTGATCCCAAGCGCTATGATCGGCTCAGTAAGCTCATAGACCTGGCCACGGTGTGCGATCAGTGGGGCTGCGAGTGGGATCGGGTGCCCGACATGGGCACCAGCATCGCCCTGGCCCTGAGAAATGATCCGTACTGGGTCGACCTCGACACGGCCATGGAGTGGGCCTGGGTGGCGTGGTTCTTCTGGGAGACGGACGTCTTCGAGCAGGCCACGGCGTATGTGATCGGGCATTCGGAGAATAGAATCAGTGCTCGTCCGCTTCGCCTCCCCGAAAATGTGTGCGGTAAGGAACTCTGTTTCATTTAATCGCAGAGATCGCCTTTCCTGGTACAACTGAGAAGCCCAGCTACTGCGTGGATGACATTGGCTGACGTACCTGGTAGCGTTGATGAACGAATGCTGCGAGCTCTCCATCATGGTCCTTCTCGTGCCTCTCCGGGAGTATGTCGAGGCGGCGTTGCGTCACGATTGTCCTATGTTGCACCATCGCGGCTGGAGGGACAGGCTCATACTCCCAACAACCATAGCCGCCGACCCAATTCCGAACCCTATCGCGGCTCGGACCGGTGCATGCGCGTTATCAAAGCAACGATCCCCCAGCTGCACCAGGAGGGGGGGTCGCTGTATTCGTTGCCTGGGCACCCGTATGCGGGGTGTGGCTTTAGGCAGCTGAGCCGTGCGTTGTCCCGCGATGTGCCTCAGGAGCTGGAGTGGGATCTGATGCGCTACGAGCCATACTGGCAGTGCTTGGGGCCTCTTAGGACCTTTCTTTCTGGGCTGCGATCCGATGAGGTAAAGATGAAGCGACTGACGATAGCCGATGACGGTATTGTGATCGTCGCGCCAGTGATTGAAACTTGTCCGTATCGTAGCTGCTGGGACATGGACAGCAATATGGGGTGGTGCGATTATAGGTTTTGATGAATCTAGACCATCCCGAGAGTGTATTGTTATGCTTGGTGATGAATGGTGTGCGGGAGAATGCATAGCGAGCGCAGTACTTTGAGTGGCCAGATGTTGAACACATTAACAGATATTAAAACAAGAACATCCTAAGATGCGACATTATGCTACTATCCACCACCTTGCATATACAATCCTTTCTTAACATACCAAGTCCTGAACAGCTACAACCGTGCCTCCCTCTGCAACCTCTTCACTTCGCGCCGCAAGATCTTCCCCGACGGATTCCGGGGAATCGCATCCACAAATCTGACCCCACCGCGCAGCTGCTTATAACTAACGACCCTTTCCTTCACATACGCCTCAAGCCTCCTCCCCAGCTCCGCAGTCCCCCGAACCCCCTGCTTGACGACCACATACGCCCGCGGCAACTCCGTCCCCGCCGTGCCGCTGGCCACGCCCACCACCGCCACATCGGCCACCACCTCCTCGAACCCCAAGATGATGCCCTCCAGCTCCGCGGGCGCCACCTGGAACCCGTTGTACTTGATCAGCTCCTTGACGCGGTCGGTGATGAACAGGTGTCCGTGTGCGTCGACGTAGCCCACGTCTCCCGTCTTGTAGAACCGTTTTCCCGGCACGGCGTCAGAGAACGAGTCCGCGTCTGCCTTGGGGTTGTTCAGATACCCCCGGAACACGTTGGGCCCCGTCACCCACAGCTCGCCGGGGAGGGACTTGGTGCCGGGCGCGTGGACGGGGGATTCCTCGCCCGGGACCGCGGCGAAGGTGGCGGTCATGTTGGGCATGAGGCGGCCGACGGAGCCGGGGTGGGTGCGGGCTTCTTCGAAGGTCTGTCCAGTCGTTCAGTGTTAGGGATGCGGATGACGACAGGGGCGGACAGGGAGGTACTGTACCTGGAGATGCGTGCAAGGCGCACACTCGCTCATGCCGTAGGCCTGGCGCACCGGGATGTCCAGCTTCTTGCGCAGGGCGTGGATCAGCTCGAGGGCCAGCGGGGCGGCGGCAGAGAGGGTCATGCGCAGCGAGCGCAGATCGTACTGCGCCACGCGCGGGTTGGTGACCAGCTCCAGCACAACCGGCGGCACCACGTAGGCGTAGGTGATGCGGTGGCGCTGGATGGTGGTGCAGAAGGGGTCGAACTGGAAGCGCGGGAGGACGGCGATGCTCATGCCGATGAAGACGGTGAGGTTGAGGAGGTAGGTGATTCCTTTCAGCATGAATCGTCAGTTGTTGTTTCGATAGGCGGGCAAGTAGGGCTACGTACCGTAGATGTGGAAGAACGGCAGCACGGCGATCGCGCGGTCGGCCGCCGTCAGGTTGCCCCTGTCGATGGCCACGTTCTGCGCCAGGTTGGCGACCAGATTGCGGTGCGAGAGCATTACGCCCTTGGGCAACCCCGTCGTTCCGGAGGAATACACCAGAAATGCGAGGTCTTCGGGGGATGCGATCGGGGGCTGGTGAGGGCGATCGCGCGCGGGAGAAATGTTGCGGTCGACCACCAGCGTCGGCGATAACGCATCCAGCACCAACACCCGGTCGCGCGACAGGCCCGCGCGGTCGGCGGCCTCGAAGACCACGGGTGCTTGTGCCTGGGTGGTCACTACGGCTTTCACGCGCGCGTCCGTCAGGGGATGGCGCAGCTCGTCGGCGCGGTAGTGCGGGTTCACCGGACACACCACGCCGCCTGCGGCCAGCGTGCCGTAGATGACTTCAGGGAGAGCGATCGAGTTGGGCGCAACCACCATCAGCACGTCTCCCGGTTGCCAGTCCCATTGCGTCTGGATCGCCTCGGTGAAGGCGAGAGAGCGCTGTCGGAGTTGGCGGAAACTGAGGCTACGGTCGCTGAGGGGGTCCAAAAAGAGTGCTGTCGCAGTGGAGTTAGCAGGGAGCACCGACTCGAGCACCGACTTCGGTGATGGTGATGAAAATGTTTCGCTCACTTTTATCTAAAGCATAGGGACGGTCGGGTCTCTCGAACAACAAAGTCCAGAGGTCGACACTGGGTATCTCAATCGAAGGAAAAGGCGACGCCATGATGATACTGACTGGAAGAGGGGAAGCAGTAAGACAACTCCGACAGAACGAACTCCCAACAACAAACAAGAAAATGCAGAGGTAAAACGCTGAAAGAATCCGAGACTAGACTAGTTTAAAACCAAACAACAAAAAAATCACGGAAGGATATCGTCATGGAGCAGCAACTCCACCAGTTCCTGTTCTGTTGTTCGCATATCTTGAATCTGCCGTGACGGAAGATGCCCTAAAAGACTCCACCCGGCAATCTTGGATAGCATCGGGATGGCATCGCACCAACCGACAAGCTCCCCTGCCGTGCCGGAACCCACTGCCCCCCCACCGATCATCCTGGAATAACTTTCACCATGTGGTTCGCGATCTGCACTCACTCGATTGGGCTTTTCCGATCGGGACAATTGGTCCAAGATGCTGGGTCGGCACGGGAGGCACGGACAGGGTTCCCACCCCAGCTGAGCTCTCCCAGCTGCCCTGCTTGCACCCTTGGCAGGCTTTGCAGTTCAAAATATCCGGGCCTGCTGGGGTCGCTTAGAAAAGCCCGGATACTGACGGGAATTTGGATAATGGATAGTTCATGCCTCCTCCACTGATCGGCCCCTGCATGGGTCTGTGAAACGGAGGGCAGACGTGGTGGCGGGCTGAGAGCAAAATCCCTGCTCAGCGGGACAAATCAGGGTCTGCAGCGAGGCTTATCGAAATCTGTGCAGATTGCAATACGAGCAGGAGGTGAGATCGACAGGAGATGGATGCTGCAGAGTTCGATGCCGTCAGTGGATGACATGGGTTGCAGGGCCAGGGCAATGCAGGCTGGCTGGTACTGCAGTGGCCAGCGCCTATAAAGATGGGGGGTGCGCGTTCGGTGCTGCTGGTCAGACAGGGCTTTGTTTTGCTTTTTCCTCACGCACTTTGCATTTTTCTGAGCCACCTTGTTTTTGATTTTCTTTTCATTCTGTTGAGAATCTCTTTTGTCGCTGCACTCCCACCATGCCTCATCTCCCCGAAGCGCCTACACATCTGTCCACAGCCCACCGCACCTGGTCGCGGTTACAAGAGCTGCGGGCCAACCCGGCCGTGGAGCTGGATGGCAACAGCCTGGATATTGCCTCTGTTGTTGCCGTTGCCTAGTATGTTGGCCCAGATGCATTACATTACAGACCTGCATACTGACCCCTACTCAGCCATGGCTGTCTGCCCAAGCTGTCCTCCGACCCCACCGTGATCGAAGCCATCACCGACAGTGTGCGGGTGTTGATGGATCACCTCGACCACGGATACTGCGTCTACGGTACAGTACCTTTCCACCCTCCACCCGGATTATAGTTACGCTTGCTAACTCTACTTAGGAGTCAACACTGGTTTCGGGGGTAGTGCCGACTCACGCACCGACAAGGCCTCTGCTCTACAGGCTGCGCTGCTGCAGCTGACGCAAGCTGGGGTGCTCACGGCGGCGGACAAGACCACGGGCGACGCGCGGGGACTGGCCTCGCCCACGGCCTCGCCCACGGCCATGCCCAGTGCTTGGGTGCGTGCCTCCATCGTCGTGCGCGCCAACAGCAACGCGCGTGGCCACTCTGCCGTCACGCTCAACGTGCTGGAGGGTCTACTGGACCTCCTCCGCCACCGCATCACTCCCATCATCCCCCTCCGCGGCTCCGTCTCCGCCTCGGGAGATCTGATGCCTCTCTCCTACATCGCCGGGGCTGTCGAGGGCTCCCCGGACATCTACGTCCAAGTTGCCAACGCAGACCCCGCTATTGCCCCCCAAATCATGTCCGCCTGCGACGCCCTCGCCGCAGCTGGGATCGCCCGCCGCGTCATGGGCCCCAAGGAGGGTCTGGGTCTGGTCAACGGCACGGCCTGCTCCGCCGCGCTGGCCAGTCTGGCACTGCACGAGTCGCACCAGCTCGCCATCACCACACAGGCCCTGGGCGCCATGGGCGTGGAAGCCATGATGGGCACGGCGGAGTCCTTCCACCCGTTCATCTCCGCCACGCGCCCGCACCCGGGCCAGATCGAGTGCGCGCGCAACGTGCTCGCCCTGCTGCAAGGGTCCCGGCTCGCCGTGGGCGTGCACCGCGAGAAAGACCGCAAACGGTCCGGCCTCATCCAAGACCGCTACGCGTGGCGCAGCGTGCCCCAGTGGGTGGGGCCTCAGCTCGAGGACCTCCTCCTGGCGGACCGCCAACTGACGACGGAGCTCAACTCCTCGTGCGACAACCCGCTCGTCGACACGGCCCACGGCGAGATCTACTGCGGGGCGAACTTCCAGGCGGCGGCGGTGACCTCGGCGATGGAGAAGACGCGGCTGTCGCTGCAGATGCTGGGCAAGATCCTGTTCGCGCAGGCGACGGAGCTGGTGGACCCCAACTACAACAACGGGCTGCCGACCAACCTCGTGGCCGACGACCCCTCGTGCTCCTTCACCATGAAGGGCGTCGACATCAGCATGGCCGCCTACATGGCCGAGCTGGCCTACCTGGCCCACCCGGTCAGCGCCCACGTCCAGACCGCCGAGATGCGCAACCAGGCCGTCAACTCGCTGGCCTTCATCAGCGCCCGCTACACGATGCAGGCCGTCGAGCTGGTCAGCCTCATGTCGGCCGCCTACCTGTATATTGCGTGCCAGGCGCTGGACCTCCGGGCGCTGCACCTGCGCTTCCTGGAGACGGTGCGCCCGCGCATCGACGCGCTCCTCCGCGCCTCCTTCTCCAGCGTGCCCGGGGATGAGCTCGAGGCGCTCATCGCGACCGTCCTGGCCACCCTCACCACCAGCTGGGGCACGACCACCCGCGTCTCGCTGCCGGATCGCTTCGCGCAGACCGTGCAGGCCGTGGTGCCCATGCTCGTCGACCGCGTCGCCGCCGCCGGCAGTGGCAGTGGCAGTGGTGCGCAGATCTCGCTGGGCGACATCACGGCGTGGAAGACGCAGGCCATCGCCGTGCTAGGCGACGTCTACACCACGACCGCCGCGGCGTTCAAGCAGAGTCCCCACACGGCGGAGCTGCTCGGCGCCGGCTCCAGAGCGCTGTACACGCTCGTCCGGGAGCAGCTGCGCGTGCCCTTCCACCAGGGGTTCGTGGAGCACCCCATCCCCGGCGCCACGGAGCTGGACGGCCGCGACAAGAAGACGGTCGGGTCGTGGGTGAGTGTGATCTACGAGGCGGTGCGCCGAGGCGATGTTGCTGGACGGTTGTTCGAGAAGGTTATGGGTTAGCTTTTGTTTACTTGGTGTATTTGTTGGTTTGGCTGGGTTGGGTCTGAATGGAGTTCGGATAGATTATGATAATAGACGTCCTTTTTCTTTCCTCAAGATGAACCACCGGTACCGGAGGCGTGGCTTTCCCGATTCAGGGTCGTAAAATAGTTTTGGCTTCCAATATTGAGGGTAGTAGACCGACGTCCAGTCTTCAGGGTTGTGGTTAGCATACCTTACACTTGGTGGTTGCGTCCAACTACCCGTCTCACCTTCACCCCCCCCTCATCCCCCAAACACCGAACTCAGTCCCGATCTCACAGTACCTGACACCAAACCCAAAACTCAATCGACAGCCACCGAACTTAGCTCTGCCCACCGATCGTCCGCCCGGGATTATGCCCCGATTGGTCGATCTCGACCCGTTCGCGAAACCAGATCGTTTCGTCAGGATGCCCGCACCCTCGGGAGGTATCAGATGTGAGCCCGGTTCATGTAGGCTGCGGTTGCGGTGCGATGTGACACGGATGTGGATCGAGGTGACACGGCACTGTAGGCAGAGTGGGATGTGTCATATGTCAGCTGCTGGTTGGATTCCTTGTAGGGAGGTGATGATGGGTTGAAGGGGGGGGGGGGTGTTCGTCATTGTGCAGGGTGGCTGGCTGGCTGAGGGGGAGATCGGCTGTTGGGGTGATGCGGACTGCAGCTGATGCAGCTGGTGCTGCGCGGTGAGGGTTCGGACCGAGGTTGGTGTGCTCTTTCATGGGATGAGGGATTCAGCTGATGCTGATCATGGGAAGGAGGAGGAGGAGGAGGATGCTGATGATGGTGGTGGTGGTGGTGGTGGTGTTTATTGTCGGTGTTCTCGAGTAGTCTAGCCACGTGACCGGAGGGCTCCAGGCCAGGTCTTGTTCTGTACCTTTAATTGCAGTCGTTGTGCGAGGCATAACCTGATATTCAATCCAGTGGTGAATACAGGCTGGTGGATTCTCATCATATGCCTTCCCCCGACCTACTCTCGGTATTGAGTGGCGGAATGCATTGATCAGGTCTTGAAAGCCTGCCTAAAATGCACAAATGATCTGCAGAGCTGCCACACGCATGGCATACGATAAGGGCGCTGCGGCTGTCCCCGCAAAGGAGTGAAGTCCAGGGTATGGTAAAGCATTGAAACCTCCTCTTTATTCCAATGTTCATTGCTACCAGTAGGATTAGATGGATACATATTCGCCAGCCCAGCCAAAATACACAGGGCAAAACCGCCCTAGTCTGCCACAATAAATCCACGCTCCGCCTCGTACAGCACCCCCCTGTCTCTCTCTCTCTCTCTCTCTCCACTTACTTACGTCCCCCCCACCTCAAACGTCGGAAAATGCCGACGCACCACCCCATCCAACTGCCGCAAGATCACCGGCTTGACGAAATACTCGTCGCCGCCGGCCTCCTCCGCCGCCGTCTTGTCCGCCGGCGTATCCTGGCCCGTCATGACGATGACCAACGCCCGTGCCCAGTCGTTCTCCTGCTCCAGCGCCCGGATCTGGCGCGTCGCGTCGACGCCGTCGCAGACCGGCATCTGGAGATCCATGAAGATGATCTCGATCGGCGGGAGGTCGGGCTCGTTCTCCGTGTTTGGGGGTGACGACGACGACGACGACGACGACGACGACGACAACTGGCGGCGTCGGAAGGTCTCGACGGCCTGCCGGCCGTCGGTGGCTGTCAGATGGGGCAGTCCGCGCTTCTTGCAGTACATTTCCATGATGCGGAGGTTGACGATGTTGTCGTCGACGATGAGGGTGGTCGGGCGGGAGGAGGTGCGGGTGGCCGGGACGCAGCCGGAGGATCCGCGGCCGGTGGTCTCTTCTTCGGAGGATTCCCCCGGGGTGAGCAGGATGTTGGTGTCCGAGTCGGAGGTGGAATCGTCGTCGTTGGCCTGTTTCAGGTGCGTGGGCAGGCTGAGCGGTGGGTTCGACGGCGCCACCGGTGTTATCTCCGCGGCGAGCGCGTCGGCGCGTTCGAGGACCGAGGCCAGGGTCTGCGCGGAGAAGGGCCCGCTGGTGTGGAGGACGTTCTTGGCCGATGGCTGTGCGAGAGGCACAGGCGGGTCGGAATCCGCCTCCAGGCCGGAGGCAAGCGAGATGCAGACCGTGCTCGCCGGGATCTGGGACAGACGCGTGTGGTGTGCCTCGGTGTCTGGCGGAGCGTCCACGATGACGAAGGAATTTTCGAGAGAGTTGGATGGCGTGAATCCACTGCGCGTGAGGATTGACGCGAAGTGGTCGCTCAACGACGTTGATAAAGCAGGAGACCTGGGCCTCGACCCAGCGCGAGTCGGAGACTTCAGAATACAGAAACTCCGGGGAAGACTCTCCAACGTCGAGGCCAGCGATGGCGGCGTTCGGTCCGCGTTACAAGCACACTCGAGGTCACGGAACGTCGCCCGGAAGTGCGAGCCCCGTCCAATCGCCGAAGACATCAACGCCACCGAGCCGTGCAAGAGCGTCGCGAATCGAGATGCCAGCGTCAGACCCAGTCCCGCTCGCGCGGAATGCGCGTCGACCTTCTCGTAGGCTTCGAAGATACGCCGTTGATCGTCTTGCTGGATCCCCCGGCCCGTATCCCGGATGTCGATGGTCAGCTGCTTGGATTCGGGATCGACGGTGGAATGGACGGAGACGACCCCATCCGGCGTGTGTTGGATCGCGTTGTAGACGATGGGAAGGAGACTGTCACGGAGGACATCGATGTCCATCCAGAAGGTCTCGAAGCCGGGCGGGACGTCGTGCGTGAAGACGAGGGCACAGCTATACCGTATGTCGCCGATGGTCAGGGCGGAGATGGCCGTGTGGAGCTCGGTCTCGAGCTTGTCGATGCTGTGCATGGCGTAGTGTCGGTCGGTGAGGGCGATGTCCACCCATCGGTTCAGGGTAATCATGTTATTGACGATTGCGATGAGATCGCGGCCGCCCATCTTGATGATGTTGAGATATCTGGAGTATTCCGCGACCCCCAGGAACCCGGTCTTCTGGCCTGCCGTGGCCGTTGGCGCCGCGAGGGCGTCATCCGTAGCGCCGGCCCCGCAAGCTGCTTCCAGTTCCTCAGCGAGAAGATCCGCGGAACCCAGGATCCCATGAATCGGCGTGCGAAGCTGGTGCGAAATCCCGCGGAGGAATTTCTCTTTCGCATTGATGGCCTCCGCCAGGAGTCGATTGCGCCACAGTTGCGAGATCAGGCCCGCGCAGCTCTGCACGAACCACGAGTCCACGTCGTCGAATATGTGCTGAAAGTCCTTGGTGCCCACCATGAGCAACGCTGGGCCATTGGCGCTCTCGCAGGGGGCGGCCAGGACGCGGACGGTTTTGGTCGTCGGGAGAGGCTGGTGGTTCGCCTCTGCGATCAGGGCATCGAGGTACTCGATATCTTCCCAGAGGCCGCCTTCGAGGTCGGACATGAGAAGCGGGTTGCGTGCTTCCATCTCGACATGCGTTGCGGTCGTGGGCTGCGATTTGACGACGGCCTTGGGATAGATCGTCTGGAGGATCCGAAACACCGGATCCGCCGAGACCCCCTTTTCTAGTTCCATCCGCGCCGTCGTGAGCAGGTCGGACATTCGCTGCCGTTCGCGCTGGCGTCGTGCTCGGGTACACTGCACTAGATCCGAGACCACCCAGTCGGCCAAGCGGACCAGCGCCTGCTGCTGGTCTTTCGTGAGAGGGTCCTCGGCTTGACTCGATGCCACGCAGAGCGAACCGAGCCCCACCGTGACGCCGGACTCGTGCTGCAGGCGGAGCGGCACCCCGGCGTACGCGTAGAGGCCGCCTTGTTCGAGGTATGGGCATGCCCGGAACCGCCAGTCCTCTTGGAGGTCCGGGAGAAGGAACACGCTCTAGATGGGATAGTTTAGTGGAGATTCCTATGGGGAAAGGTCCAGCCTACCACCTACACCAGGAGGTCGAGTGACGGTATGTGCACAGAGGGTCTCGCCACGGGGCAGGATGCCGAGTTGCAGGCCGTGGGTCGCCAGGCGAATATAGACATCCACGTCGAGAATGCCAATGACCGAGAACTGCCACCCGGTGCATTCCTTTGCGAGATCGGCTTTCTCCTGGAGCCCGGCGAGCAGTTCGTCTTCGGCCTCTACCCCGCGGGTGTAGTACCACAGCATGGACAATCGAAGTCTCTCATTGTCCGCGAGAAAGGCGCGCAAGTACCGATCCGGATCCACGAAGGCCGCAGGTTTGTCGCATATCGTGGAGGTGGGTGGACTATCACTACTACTAGTAAACTGAGGGTAAACAGTCGCCTCAATCGCTGGGGTCAGGGCGCTGATTGGCTTATCCAGGTTGTCGGGGTCGAAGATCGGGCCAATCGTCGTGGGCCGCGGTTGCTGGAGTGGTGCTGGCTGCCTCAGGAATCGAAGGATGCCCGCATCCGCCTTGGGGAGAAAGCTCGCGGTGGTGCTGCGTTGGGCGGCCATGATTCCCCTCCCGATCTCGCTCTCTCGCTATCCCTCGTCCTGGCAGAGATGGTGAGACTGGGAGAGGGGGAAACGGAGGGGGGAGAGTGGGCGACTTGGTCGACCTTTCGAACACATTTGATCCTGGCTCAGCCGCGGATGCCAAACACCCAAAGAAACCGGTTTTCCTCGACCTCCCCTGCACGTGATGCTGCAAACCGTGTGTTACAAGAATTGGAGCCGGATGATTGGTGGTTTCGGATGCCAGCCCGTTGCAATCTCGTTCAGAAGGGAGAAGGTTCATTGAAGGTTCAATCTTGAACGGGGAAAGCCTGTCAACGTGCCGTGCCTTCCATCCCTGAATTTGTGTATGGAATATGAAAGAAAGAGCAATGCATCACGCATCACTCAGTTGGAGAGTTGAACTAATTCTGACACATATCACAATTCCTCTTTCTTTTCTTATCTTTTCTTTTCTTTTTTTTTTTTTTTTTTTTTTTTGTTGGAACTTTGGAGAGATCCAACTTCTGTTGCGAGAATATAGTAATTGAACATTAGGTCAATTCAGATTCACATTTTCTACAATCTTGATAATCCGGTATAGGGAGACTATTGCCACGGGACGAGTAGATAATTAGTGCTAATCAAAATGTGCCTTTGAACGGGCCATGTTTGTACAAAATCCTTTAGGTGTGCTAGGCTAGGCTAGTACTAGTTTGTGTGATAGTGCGCGTGGCCTTAGGCATCAATTGGTGCCTGGGGAATTGTCAGTCCCATGGCGGTAACTTACTCTATCTATAGTAGAGAGACTTAGTTAGAGGACTGTATGATTAATACTGCTGACTTCAGCTGATCCTGCGCGGTGAGGGTTGAAATTGAGGTCGCTGTGGTTCTTTACAGAAAGAAGGGATGTAGCTGGTGGACACTCGCGTGACGGAATTGAATACCCCCAACCGGCCTCGCTTGTCAAGGGACCAAAAGTCATGTCAGAGTCCTCTTGCAATCTAGGACTCGGGACGCTTCGACTCCAACAATGCTTCACAACAAGCTTGTTCTCGAATTCCGTGCCATGCTTTGCGGCTTCGCAATCAGAGCCGAGCATTCCACTTCCAGGTCACTGCCCCCCGGCAGACCCTCGACTGCGATACACGTGCAGGCCTAGTAGGCACGGAGTCAACAACAAGCGCATGCCTTATATAGCCTGATGACTACCCACCAAACACAGAGGGTAAACGTACCGGCTTAGCGTCCAGAAAATCTGACTCCAACACAGTGTTCACTGCATCCCAATCGCGCATGTCGGTCAAGAAGATGCTCAGTTTTATCACACTGTTTAAGCTCGAGCCGGCGGCTGTGAGGATGGTATTGAGGTTCAGGAGGATTTGCGCCTAGCATGTGGTAATCGTATTAGTAAGTTGCAAGAGAGTCGGCAATGGGTGTGATAGGGACTTACTGCGCGGGACTGGACACTCCCTGCCACTAGCCTGCCTGTCCTCGGGTCGATGGGCAGTTGGCCCGAGCAGTGGATTACATTGCCAACCACGAGAGCTGGGGACAGGAATCTCGACAGGATCGGGAGTTGGGGGGTACAGAGCGGGAGGAGTTGAGGGGGATTCATCTTGTGATGCTTTGCGGGTGACCGTGGTGCGAGCTGCAGATGATGGACCTTATATTGCGGTTGCTAGCGACGTGTCTCACTTTCCTCATCAGGTAAGCATCGTGTTGGCCTGCTTGGGCCACTAGTAAATGATTTCATTCTGATTACTCGGAGTGAATCTTTTATGTCGCTGTTCTACTCAGCTTCTACCCACTAGGTTGTAACCGTTTTCAACCCCTACCGGGTCAACCTGGAACTCGAAGATATCGTTTCTGGACTGCTATACTCTCTATTGATAGGCCGGCCCAATGCACAATTCGTGTCCTAAAATGAATACCATCAATTCCCACATATATCATCATAAATAATACTCTCCACCCGCTCGGAGCCACCGAGAACCTCCAGATCTAATCAAAAGACTCGTTAGGTCAAATCTCGGAAAGTAGGCAGAACATGGCTCATGCCGACGTACCTCCATACGGCAATATCTGCGAAGCAATGATGCCACCCACTCCATTCTCCCGGTCTGCAAACCAGAACAGATTCGGCAGCCCTTCCCAGGACCCCGATCCTGCTGCTCTCCCGGTTGAGCTCTTGGTGTGGCTGAGGGCAAAGGATAGGCCCCATCCGTCGGTGAGGTCGTCTGCACACGGCACGAGCGGGCAGGGGTTGGCCAGAAGCGGCTTGCCCGACGGCGTATACTCGTTGCAGTATCGCGGCATGGTTGGGATCTGATCGGTGAACATCTCTTTAGCACATAGTCAGTTGCCGATGTGACGTGCAGTGGGAAGAATCAAGCGTACCTTGAACTGTCTCCGGCTGCAAAAGCTTAGCCCCCGTGTTGGGACTCGTGCCGTCGTTCAGAAGTGTCGCGATAATCCCTACCTATCTTTCAGCATCATACACAGAACAATCGGTCGGTTTCATGGCCATACGACAATACTCCAGCGGCTTTCCAAAACAGCCCGCCCCTCCCATACAAAACCGCTTACCCTCCTCTTCCGGCCTGCAAGGAAGCAAAGGATACCGGTACAGATGGTCGGTGACAATGAGCGAACCGTCCTTGGCACGCTGGTGCATATAAGCCAGATTCGCCTTCATGTCGTTCGTCGGAAAGAACGTGATATTCTCCACTCCCAGAGGTCGCAGAATGAAGGTCTGGAAGTATTCTTCCAGCGAGATCCCCATCACGCGCTCCACCAACTGACCCACCCAGTCCATGCCCACCCCATACTGGAACTTGGTTCCGGGCTGGTTGACCAGTGGTCGGTGCAGCACGTCGTGGAGGTTTCCCGAGAAATCGTCCAGGCCGACAGGGCGCGACCATTCGAGCAGCTTCAGGTCTTCGAAGGCATAGCCAAAGCCATCTGTGCTTCATCAGCATCGTGCGTTGGAATCTGGCCATGCCGCGAGGGGTGCTTGACTTACAAGTATGATTCAACAGCATCCGCAGCGTCAATCGCCTCTCTTTTGCGACCATCTTGATCCCACCATCAGCGCCCCGCTCCAACACCTGCACATCCCGGAGCTCGGGGGCCAACGATTCCAGCTGGTCACTGTCGTCCAGCCCCAGCTTTCCCTGCTCGACTAATTGCATACAGGCGATACTGGTGAGTAGTTTCGTGCAAGAGGCCATATAGAAGATTGTGTCGAGGGTCATGGGGTCTTCCTGGCCGAGTCCCGTTTTTCCGGATGCATGGCTGAAGATTATCGCTCCGGTCCGGTCAACGGCTGCATACACTAGCCCTGCAATTTTGGGCGATGGATCGCATGTCAATGCATCTATCTCTGCTTGAGCAGCCGTATTTGCGTGCGTTGATAGGGGTTTGGCCATGATGGATGGGCTTTATGTGGGGTGGGGTCTTAAGACACCTCTTAAGAAGGTGTCTCTGTAGTACGGGTGTGATAGAGGCGGAGGACCTGGGTGATGTCCGGTTATCAAGATCTCTCTTTGGAGTTTGTGTGGGGCTTAGAGTGGCTTGCATTTGCCATGTGGACTGACTTTGACTACGTAAATTCGAGTAACAACAACTACCTCATTAGGCAGGAGAGCCAAGACGCAGGATGCAACCGGCGGGGACTTAGGGCAAGTTGGAAATTGCCTCGGTGAGAAGACCAGACTTTGTATAGTTGCACGCCTCGAATGGGAGCCATAGTCACTAAAGTCAACAGTATATATACATAAAATATCACATACACACAGCCGCAACCCCCGCACCCCAGACTCAACTCGACCTTGATCGCCCATAACGACAAATTCCAATGGCAGCGGAAACCATCCAAGTCCACCCCACCTGGCGGACCAAACACCCTACCCAACCACATTTATCTACCCTGGAGGACTACCACGCTCTCTACCAAGAATCCATCGCCTCGCCAGAGTCCTTCTGGAGCAAGCAAGCCAACGACCTCCTCACCTTCAGCCGCGCCTTCCACACCACCCATCTGGGCTCCTTCGCCACCGGCGACAGCGCCTGGTTCCTGGGCGGCCAGCTCAACGCCTCCTTCAACTGCGTAGACCGCCACGCGATTCGCCTCCCAGACCGGGCCGCCCTGATCTACGAGCCCGACGACCCAGCAGACGGCAGCGTCGTCATCACCTACGGCGAGCTACTGAAGCAAGTCTGCCGCCTGGCATGGTGTCTACGCTCGCAGGGGGTCCGCAAGGGCGACATCGTGACGATCTACATGCCCATGATTCCCGAGACAGTGTACGCGGTGCTCGCGTGCGCGCGTCTCGGCGCCGTGCACTCCGTCGTGTTCGCGGGCTTCTCGGCGGAGGCGCTGCGGGACCGCGTGCTCGATGCGCGGTCCGCCGTGGTTATCACCGTTGACCAGGGCCGGCGCGGGGGCAAGGTGATCCCCACGAAACAGGTCGTGGACGACGCGGTGAAGGACTGTCCGACCGTGTCCTCCGTGTTGACATTCAGACGAACAGGTGCTGAGAGCCCCTGGACAGAGGGCCGGGATATCTGGTGCGACGAGGCGATGAAGAAGTTCCCGAGTTACATCCCGCCTGAGCCTGTCGACTCGGAGGACCACCTCTTTCTCCTGTATACATCCGGATCGACGGGGAAGCCAAAGGGTGTACTGCACAGTACGGCGGGGTACCTGCTTGGCGCGGCAATCACCGCGAAGTATGTCTTCGATCTCCACGAGCAGGACCGGTTCTTCTGTGCTGGCGACATCGGGTGGATCACCGGACATACGTATGTGGTTTATGCGCCGTTGCTGTTGGGTTGTACCACCGTTATCTTCGAGGGCACGCCCGCGTATCCTTCGTATTCGCGATATTGGGAGATTCTGGAGAAGCATGCTGTCACCCATTTTTATGCTGCCCCGACAGCACTGAGGTTGTTGAAGCGAGAGCAGGCCAAGATCGAGGTGGCCGGGTTCGATACGAGCCACTTGCGGGTGCTGGGATCTGTGGGGGAGCCGATCGCGCCGGAGATCTGGAAGTGGTATTATGAGGTGATGGGCAAGGGGGAGGCTTGTGTGACAGACGTATGATTACCCTCTGTATCATTATATCTTCTTTCTCCCGCGCGTTGAGCCCATCGTGACTGACAAAATTGACGCCCAGACCTACTGGCAGACGGAAACAGGATCGCACATCATCGCCTCGCTCGCCGGGGTGACTCCCATGAAGCCGGGCAGCGCCTCCCTACCCATGTTCGGAATCGACTTTGCCATCATTGATACTGTATCCGGGGAAGAGTTGACAGGGAACGAGGTGGAGGGGGTTCTGGCGATCAAACAGCCCTGGCCCAGCATGGCACGCACCATCCGTAACAGTCACGATCGCTTCACGGAGACATACTTCAACGTGTATCGAGGGTACTACGTAAGTCTGTTGTATACGCGTTCTACCGATTACCCTTGAGCTGATCGGTCTTGAAACGAAACAGTTCACCGGAGACGGCGCCTTCCGCGACAAGGACGGACACTATTGGATCCGCGGCCGGGTCGACGACGTGGTCAACGTCTCCGGCCACCGGCTCTCCACCTCGGAGATCGAAGCCGCCCTAATCGAACACCGTAAGCCCTGTCTCCGCTCTACGATGAAGAGACCTGCTGACCCGGAGAGCAGCCAGCGTAGCCGAAGCAGCGATCATCGGGGTCCCGGACGACTTGACGGGCCAAGCCATCAACGCCCTTGTCTCACTCAAGACAACGCCCAAGCCAGAAGATATCGAGAAGGAGCTGACGGTCCAGGTGCGCAAGTCCATTGGACCTTTTGCCGCTCCGAAAAAAATCTTTGTGGTGTCGGACTTGCCCAAGACACGGAGTGGGAAGATTGTTCGACGAATCTTGAGGAAGATTCTTACGGGTGAGATGGAGTTTGGGGATACGTCTACGGTAGGTTCTCTTCGAGGTCCATTGGTATTTGGGCTTGCTGACGTCGGACCAGTTGGCTGATCCTGGGGTGGTGGGCGAGATTATTCGAGTGGTTAACGCGGGCTAGATTCGCCTGCTGCGTCAGAGGAGGGCATCGGTTGTCCACATAGAGAGTTGCTTGGTTTAAATGTTATGAGTTTCCATGATAGGGCAAATTAGCCATGGACAGAGAAAACTCTCTACACATTGCTCCGCTAAAAACAACATGATGAAGACATCACTCTCTTCCAAATTAGAATCACACTGCAGATACAGTCAAGTATCTTGTTACACATAATCGAATAACACTGTCTAAGATTAGGGTACAAAACATGCATGATCACCCCGTATGTGCACAACTCGATATCAGAAACCCCTCCGAGCCCCTCCCAAATCCTCGCAACACCAATCTTAATCCTAAGAATGAAACAACGCCGCCTCCGCGGCAATCTCCGCCCGCATGCCCGGAACATTGATCTCCTTGACAATAACCGTGCACCACGTCGGCGTGTGGCCGGGAACCCGCTGTTGAAATACCCTGTGCATCTCGGCTTCGTGTTCTGGGGAGGTCAAATAGCTCACAACCCGGTAGGCTTGGTGCAAGCCCCGCGCCACTCCGGCGTGCTTGAGGGCTGCATCCAGACAGTCAAAGATGGCGTTGAATTCTGCCGTGACCGTCGTGTTTACCAGGCTGCCTGTGGCGAGGTCGAGGCCGATGTGGCCGGTCGTGAAGACGAGAGAGGTGGTGCGTGAGACGGGGACTGTGGCGGTTGTGGAGAAGGAAGTGGGTTTGAGGCAGTCCCCTACCGGGCCGGGGAGGTTTTGGTAGATGATTGATTGGGTGGACATCGTGAGTTCGTGAGGGGGAGGGGGTTGAGATGGTGAGATGGTGGGTTTGAGGGCGAACTGGACGTGGGTTGCAGGGCTTATCAATCTTCTTTCCCAGGATATAAAATGAATTTCCAAATTGAGAAATGAACTCACGGCCCATAAGGCACCCATGCTAGCAGCTTGATCATACCGTATTCTCGGTTGCCTTTTTAAGTCAAATAGATACGCGGTAGTGGGACCCCGGAGACGCCCCGGACTTTCCCAGCGATACCGCCAGTCTACCCCCTCAATATAACTACATAACCCTAATCTCCCACCCACCACAGCTATCCCCGCCCCCTCACGTTTTCTACTTATCCCTACATGGGAGCGTACTACACACACGATTCCTTAGCCTGCAAATTACCCCCTGTACATTATGTCTCACTCAGCAACCCGAACAGCCAGGACCCAGGATGGCTACACCTGGACTCGCGCAACAGGGGTAAGAAAAGGCAACCTCCGTTGCAGAGGAGTCATCGAGCCCAGCGACAACCGCACTGCCCCAGCAGGTCATCTCTACGATGTGATTGTCGTTGGAGCGGGCTATGCAGGTCTCATCGCCGTCCGCGACCTGGCAGAGCAGGGTGAGTGTCCAACCACCTCTCAGCGAGCTGTCTGACGCCCAGAATTCTAGGTCGATCTGTGCTGCTGCTAGAAGCGCGTGACCGTATTGGTGGACGGACCTATACGGTCGAGGAAGATGGTATGGCCCTACCTTTCTCGAAAAAGTCGAACGAATATGTGATGCACCACTGACAAATAGAGCGGATAGGCCTCCTCTACGAAATGGGCGGAACCTGGGTGACCCATCACATGGCCCACCTCTTCAAGGAGATGATCCGCTACAAGATGGACCGCGATCTCACACTGACCCACAGCCGAGAGCACGAGAACGACTACTACACCATGAACGTGCCCGGCGCCACGCCGCGCAAGCTCACCCACGAAGAGAGCAGCGAGATCGTCTCCCGGGCGTGGGACCTGTTCGTCAACGTCGACGGCCAGAACTGCCGCCGCGTCTGCCCACTTCCACACGCTCAGTTGGGCAACATCCTCGTGCAACGCGAGGAGGTCGAGCGGCTGGACCGAGTCTCCTGCCGGGAGCGGTTCGAGGAAATCAAGCACCTGCTGACGCCTGAGGAAGCGGGGCTGCTCGTCGCCCTGCTGCTGCACATCTCCGGCGGCAGCCTGGACAACTCGAGTCTGTGGGATATGATCCGCTCGCATGCGCTCATGTCGTACAGCTCGGAGAACTTCGCGCCGATCTGGACGACCTTCAAGCTGCGCGAGGGCCAGTCCGAGCTGGTGCGGCGAATGTTCGACAATGCAGTCGACCACGGGCTGCAGTACTGCTTCCGTACGGCGGTGCGGACAATCGCTGACCGTGGCAATTCGGTGCAAGTCACCACTGCATCGGGCACAGTTTATCAGGCCCGTCGACTCATCAGCACGATTCCCCTCAATGTGCTCCGGCATATCGAGTTCAGCCCCCCGCTCTCTCCTACCCGCCAGGAAGCGATCAACCTCGGCCACGTCAACTTCATGACCAAGATTCACGCCGAGGTGGCTGGCCCGGGGCTAGCCTCGTGGAACGGCATGCGGTTTCCGAACTTACTGATGTTTGGGTACGGGGACGGACTCACGGAGAGAGGGAATGCCCATATCGTGGGGTTCGGGAAAGATGAGCGGGGCGAGTACATCCCGGAGCGTGATCCAGAGAAGACGATCGATGCTTTCCAGAAGCTGCATTCAATGGAGGTGAAGAAGATGGTAAGAGTCCCTATAATCTGAGGCTCGGTCTTATTTTACTCACCACAGATGCCAGGTCTTTCATAACTGGTGTACCGATCCGTGGTCTCAGGGTGGCCCCGCCTGGTGGCGTCCGCAGTACATGTCCAAGTATCAGGATGAACTGCAGTCTCGCCACGGCAACGTGTTCTTTGCCTCAGCAGATTGGGCGCATGGATGGAGAGCGGCGATTGATGGGGCTTTGGAGCAGGGCTCGTTGGCCGCGCAGGAGGCGGAGAAGGAGGTCAAGCAGTTGCTTCCGTCGGTGGTCAGGGGGAGGATCTAGTGTTGAATCAGACTTGTTGTATATACCTTGTTTCAATTGAGCTTTGATATTTTAACTGTTTAATTCCTGTATAGTGCCAATGAGAGAATGGTAGGGAATAAATGATTGACTGGACATTAGAAATGACTGGAACAGCATGTCAACCCGGCTTGTCCAGGTCTATTCCCATACTAGTAGTCTTTAAATAATAGTCGATAAAGAACTAGATTAACAAATATTGTATGTTCCTTCATTCCCGAACTACCCACTGAGACCTGAGGTGAACAGTCGAGCGCAGAGCTACTCACCACCCCCGTCCAGCCAACATATCCTCCTCCTCCAGCTTCTGTACATTAATCCCGACCATCGCCTCCCCAAGGCCCTCACTCACCTCCGCAAGGACCTTCGGATCCCTGTAATGCGGAACCGCCTGCACAATCGCCCGCGCGCGCTTTTTCGCATCCCCAGACTTGAAGATCCCCGAGCCGACAAACACCCCATCGCAGCCCAACTGCATCATCAGCGCCGCATCTGCCGGCGTCGCCACCCCTCCTGCCGCGAAGTTGACGACCGGTAGCCGACCCCGCTCGGCCGTGTCCCGCAGCAGCTCGTAGGGGGCCTCGATCTCCCTCGCCATGGCGCGCAGCTTGGGCTCCGGGTCCGGCCGCGACTGGAGGATCGCCCGTGCGCGCATGATCTGGGCGTTCAGCGTCCGCATGTGTTTGACTGCCTCCACGACGTCCCCGGTGCCGGCTTCACCCTTCGTTCGGATCATCGCCGCCCCTTCGGCTATGCGACGCAGGGCTTCGCCGAGATTGCGGCAGCCGCAGACGAAGGGGACCTTAAAGTTGTGCTTGGTGACGTGATAGCGATCGTCGGCCGGGGTGAGTACTTCGGATTCGTCGATGTAGTCTACGCCGATTGCTTCGAGGATCTGGGAGGGATGATATGGTTAGGGTATGGTTCTGTATACACTACACTATACACAACACAGTTGCGGCGTGTGAAGCGGTCGTGAAAATCGCCAACATACCTGACACTCGACAAAATGACCTATGCGCGCCTTCGCCATGACGGGGATTGTCACCGCCTCCATGATCTCCTTGATCATCCCGGGGTCGGACATGCGCGCGACACCCCCTTGGGCGCGGATGTCGGCTGGGACTCGCTCGAGGGCCATCACAGCCGCGGCGCCGGCTTCTTCAGCGATGCGGGCCTATAATTGTGAGCATTCTAGTCAGCCAATGACTTGGACCCGTGGATAGACCCCGACTAGATTCGGGTGAACAGACCTGCTCGGCATTCACGACGTCCATGATGACCCCGCCTTTGAGCATCTGCGCCAGACCGGCCTTGACCGTGAGATTATTGCCGAGGGTGCTCGTCTCTTGCGTCATGATGCGTGATGTGGTTGTGTGCGGAGCCAGGAACTTGGTGCGCAAAGTCAAAGCTAACAATCGTGTCCACGTGCAGGTTTATACCTCAGTGTTCAAGTCTGGGAAAAGGGGGCCAAACGCCAAAACGAGCAATCATCCCAACTGCGTTCATTTCTGGCTCACCCTATTCTTAGGAAAGCAATAGATGGAGCACTGGGTGCAGCTATAGTGAGCACCGAGCGCATGAGCAACAGTGCCGCGGCCGCGTAGTGGACTCCACTCGCAGTAGCCTGTATCATCTTCCGTACCGTCATTGGCTACCTAAATCTATCCCCTGCAATATCGGCTCCTGCCAAGCGTTATAGGAAGTGTAAGGGTCAGATAGTGGCTTTTATTCTGGTGCCTAGGCGATGCAGATGTGCTGAATTAGGGTTAATGCGGGGGATGGACCCGCCGCGCGCCTGTCCGGTCTGGAAACGGTTAGATCGGGATGGAGACAAACTCGGTTGCCTAATCCGGTAATTGATGCTGCCTCAGCCAAGTAACAGTATTACCTGCAATGGACTGTGAACCTGCGTGCGTGACGAAGGTGCTCCCAGGTTACTGTCTATGGTACTAGCTCCAGTAATGACACATTATCAGCAAACCGAGATTCGATATCAACCCCTCAATCAGAGCCCCGCTTTGCATCTATCACAAACTATAAGTTGACGAGAAAGTTGTTCAGGACAATGAGATCAAGCAATAGAGTTGCAATCCAGAACAATAATCTTATCTCCTTCTCTTCTGTTACGACTATCTCTTCTCTCTCACGATCTATTCTACATCATGTCTGATTTCACCGGACTTTCGTTGAAGGGCAAGACGGCCATCGTCACCGGCGCTTCAAGGTATGAGCATCTCCCCGCTACGACCCATTCAAATGAGAAAAGGCGAGCCATGCTTACACATTGTCGGGACAGGGGCCTCGGTGCTGGCATCGCCATCCTCTTTGCCAAGCGCGGAGCCAATGTAGTGGTCAACTACGTCTCCGAAGGCAGCAAGCAGCGCGCCCAGGAAATCGTGGACAAGATCACCCAGATCGGCACCAAGGCCATCTTGTGCCAGGCCGATGTGAGCAAGCTCGATCAAATTCCCAGGCTCGTTGATGCTGCCCTGCAGATCAGCGAGACGGGCAAGATTGAAATCCTCATTCACAAGTGAGTGTCGCCCGTCTTACCCGGCCACACTGGGATGCAAACTAATTCACCTTCATAGTGCCGCACAAGGTCTCGAGGCCAACTTGGTAGACACCACACCCGAGTTCTACACCACGCACTTTGACTGCAATGTTCGTGGCCCGATCTTCCTCACTCAGGCTGTCGTCCCCCACCTGCCCCGCGGAGGTCGCATTGTCTTCATCTCCTCGGCTGGTGCTCGCTTGGGTGTCGCGGGTCAAACGGTGTATGCTGCTACGAAGGCGGCGGACGAGGCGCTGGTGCGGGTGTGGGCAAAGGAGTTGGGCCACTCGCACGGCATCACGGTCAATTGTGTGAACCCGGGGCCGATTGCAACTGGTAAGTGTCTCTGCGCGCGCGTGACTGAAGAGCGTTGACTGATCTTGTTGCCACGTAGACCAATGGTTCCAGAGTGATGAGCAGTTCCTGAAGGATATGGAGCCGCTGATCGAGTCGACCCCTGCGGCGCCCAGGGTGGGTGAGGTCGATGATATCGCTCCTTTGGTCGCCTTCCTCTGCAGTGATGATGCGAGATGGACTACTGGCGCTTGCTTGTCGGCCAATGGTGGTCTTTACAACTAGACGGGGTTGCATATGTATATAACTTCATGCAGAATTATTAGACTCACGTTGTTCTTCATGCTAGAAAAAGGTAACGGTAAAGCAGCGCTCTATTTATACCAAAATGAGCAAGACTGGACATCTTGCCTCCCTCCCACAGTGGCTCATTTGCCCTCAGTCAGGCTTCCCTACTTGCGAGGACTAGGATGTCAATCAAAGAGACTAGCTTAATAATTCTTGTGCGTACACCTAGAAGCAATATATATACTGAGTCGCGGCCCCGCATTCCTGAAAGTGGTTTCCGTCTTCCCCCCCCCCCCCCACGACAACCGCTCAACAAGCTTAACTCGGGATCGCGCTCGCCTCTCATCAACTAAAATGGCTCCAAGTCCGTTCTTTGATCTCATGAATGCTCTGACGGCGCTCAATGTTGATAAATTCAAGTCATTCGATGTCATCACCACGCACTACAAAACAGTAGGTGGGAACAATCAGCCGATTTGCACAGATATCTTGATTCCCAAGTCTATAGTGCGGCAGCAACAACCTAGACAATGCCCCGTTATTGTGCGGATTCACGGTGGATTCCTGGTATGTAGCACATCCAAAGCCTTCCCATAATGCGAATCACTCATCCACGCTGTCCAGATCACTGGTTCCAACCGATACGCACCCTGGTTCTCAAGCTGGATCCTAGAGTATGCTCTTACAAACCAGGCAATCATTGTCTCGCCAAACTATCGCCTGCTCCCAGAAGCATCAGGGCAGGATATATTAGATGATATGGAGGACTTCTGGCGATGGCTGCACAGCGATCAATTCATGCAGTCTGTCGCCAAGGCTGGCCGGTCGTATCTTGTGCCAAATCTCGACCAGTTGCTTGTTTTGGGTGAAAGTGCCGGTATGTCTATCAGTCTGTCGTTAACATTCCGGATACCAAGTCGTGCTAACGTAACGTTCAATGAAAGGAGGCTACCTAGCAATCCAACTCGCTATCAGCCACCCGTCCGAGATCCGCGCCGTCATCGGCGCCTACCCCATGCTCGACTTCAAGGTCCCCTTCTACACGGACGTGTACTCCAAGCCTATCGTCGGCGTGCCCAACGTGCCAAACCGGGTAATCGAAGATCACCTCCTCAGTACCCGTGGAGCCCCCATGGTAGTCACTGCGGCTGACCCGCCCGACCGACTGCAGCTCGCGTTCGCAATTGTTCAGAATGGGCGTTTTCTAGAATTTTTCGGCTCGACAAAGGATTCCGCTCTCTTTCCAATGGAGAGTATCGAGCGTCTTGCCGCCGAGGGGAGACTCAAACTCCCACCTCTGTTTGTATTCCACGGAGAGCAGGATTCGGCTGTCCCCGTTGACGGTTCCCGGCGCTTTGTTGCCAAATTGTGCCAGCTCTTGCCTACGGCGCAGGTGGAGTTCTATACCCAGGATGGGGACCACGGGTTTGACGTGGAGGCTACGCTGCACACTCCGTGGCTTAGAGACGGGCTGCGAAGCATTTCCAGGGCGTGGCTGGACGGTCGTAATGCTCGGGGTACACGTTTATGATTTGGGTATAGATACATGGGATGCAACTGTTATCTCTGTTATCTCGCGTCAATTTAGATTGATTCAGGCTTAGAATGAGATATAAGATCAGGCTAAATGATGAGTAAAGGCGATAGTGGATATAGAACCCGATATATATCTTTCGAACAGGAGACGTGCTCCGTGCCATGCTAACCAGCACAGATCCAGGAACTGTCATCATATCTATGGGTCTAGTCACGGGTCACGTTTATCTATAGATTCCCTAAAATGGATGATGGATATCCCTCTTTCCCGATTTGGGCAAATGGGCCATTTCCCCCACCGCAGCGCGGCAAATCCGTCCGCTTTTGGCCTTAGCGCCTTGCTCTAACCCTACTTGCTTCTGCTTATCTCCTTCCAAGTTGCTTCCCCATGCCTATCAATTCTCTTCATGCGCTGTTTTTTGCTTGCTGTCACGCGGCTTGACACTCATCCATAGGAGACTTGCCTGGAAGAACTCGATTATCTGTTTCCCCTGCCTGGAACCGCCTTCCCCAATGTTTCGCCGTCGCAGTGGCGGGCCGACTTCGGGGAAATGAACCCTCCTGTACTGTACGTAGCCGTAGCTTGGGCGCCTTTGAAGGTCTTCAGCCACTGTTCACGTTTACTAGATCAGCGTCTGGCTACCGACATCTTTCGCCTCCACAAGCTCGTATTCCCCACAGGTGAATCCTCCTCCTCCTTTCTGAGGTGGCGGGGAAGGCCATCTCTGCCAAACTGCACACTCAATACAGAAAGAGAATCTTTTCCCACACACTGATTGCCATGTTGAGTAGTCGACTTTACCCTCGCACTGAAACCCGCAATGAGCACTGCAAACCCCGAAAGTACGACTACTACCAAAGGCAAGCGGACGAACTCCTTAGCCTTCGCGCAGACTGACTGCCATACATGCGCCTCGTCCGGCGAACACTGTGACCGTCGCCGCCCGAAGTGCTCGACGTGCCTTCGCCAGGGCCGGCGGTGCGATGGCTTTGTGACGCCGCTGTCCTGGGATCCGCGGCGGATGAAGACGGACGACAGTGCTGTCCATCCTCTCCCCGCAGACCTGTCCATCATGAACAACAGTACCCCACCCCAGCGCTTCCAGTTTGTGACTGGGGCGCGGGCGCGGAAGCGTCGCCGAACAGGGCCCGCTACGTCGGAAGCACGGCCAGCCAGACGGAGTGCAACGCCCGAGGTTTCGCCCAGAGAGGCAGGCGAGGAAACTGCCGGCGGGCTCTCATTGCATCCCGACCCAATCGGGACCGCTCTGATTGATCCTGGTACGCAAGATTCACGACGGATTACCCTTTTTGTATCGCTTGCAAGAAGGTACTGATCGTAGCAGATCTTGCGCTGTCCGGCCTGGGGACTCTGGGTGAACTATGTTTGGACGATTTCAGCATCTTCGAATCCTTGATGCCGGATATCTTCGGGTCGACCCCACCACTCCACGCCCCGACTGACAGCATCGGCGTCGAGGACCCATTCATGACCGAGGCATCAGACACGACAGCCCCCGCGGTACTGCCCCGCACACCTCCAGCCCTCCTCACTGGCGACGACTCCGTCCACCCCGTTGACTCCGTCCCGCAAGATGAGGTTCACAATGACGCGCTGATGTCATCCGCGGAGGCATTCCCACCAGGTCCGGTGGATCAGAGCTGTCCGCTCGCCAGGCAAAGCACGGCCGTCCACATCCTCTCCCCTCGGATTGCGGCCCCGCGCCCCGCGATCCTGGATACGAGCATCCCCAATCAGCACGAGTGGCTTCTCGAACTATGTACGCATTTCCATACCCATAGACCCATCTCTCCACCGACCGTAGAAAGGTTGTAAGCATACTAATCCAATCTTACCTCCCCAGACGACTCGAAATTCTGCGTCCTGCCATTGACGGGGGACACCACCCTCAACCCCTTCAGATGCAAGCGCCAAACCTCGCAGGGCTCGCGCCTCCTCTTCCATTCGATCCTGGCTCTATGCTGCCAGCACCTGAAGCGGCTGACGGGGAGCAGCTGGTCGAGCGAAGCGGCCGAGCATCGCCGGAAGGCCGCCCAATTGCTCGATACGGCGCTGCAGCAGGGGCGCCAGCACGCAGGGAGCGTCAATAACCTGCATCTGCTGGAGCCAATCTTGATTCTTTTTACTTTGGATGTACGTCCCCTCTTTCTGGACCCATCTCTACATATCTCGCCCGTAGGAAGAAGAGAAGCTAAACACCGAATGAGCAGTGCACCCTCTCCGCGTCCGGAACATGGGCCACGCATCTCCACCGCGCGCATTCCATGCTCGAGGCCGCCGGCGGTCCCGGTGCGCTCATCAGCCCGCGGATCCGATCGCAGGTCGGAATGCTGATCTGGTACGCCACCCCCCCCTCTCTTCTTCTTAGAGCACAAGAACAATGTAGAGGGTTCGTGAACTAACATCCAAAAGGTGGGACGTGACCCTCGCCCTGATCTCGCGGCAACGCCCGATCATGCGCCAAGCGTACCTGGACCACCTTATCCTGTGGGAAGCGCAAGACGCGTGGTCGTTCTTCGACCTCACGGGTTGTCCAGGGTACCTGATCGCGCGGCTGTACCACCTTGCCGAGCTGGTGCAGCAGAGCGAGATCGCCGCGTCAATGAAGTGGCTCAGCTTCGATCGCACGCCTGTTCTCGCGATTGAGCGGGAGATCCGGGCGTGGATCAACGAGCACGATGCCTCCTTTTGTTCCGCGGACGACGAGGCAAGCGAACCTGAGGAGGTGGAAAGTCCCGCTGATGCTGTCGAGGAAGAGAAAGAGTTCAACCGCCGGCAGGATGCGTTTCACTGTGCCGAGGCGTGGCGCTGGACCTTGCTGCTGTACATCGAGTCGGTGTTCCGGCGGGATTGGACGAAGACGCCGACGCGGCAGCGAGGCCGTGTGGGACTGCGTCGACCGGTTCGGAAAATCGTCGACCACACGCGGTGTTGTCGACGGTCGTCGCAGACGCAGAAACAGCTGCTTCTGCCGGTGTTTCTGGCCGGGAGCGAGACGCTGGATCCCGATCTGCGGGAGTTCGTCACGGACTACTGCGCGTATTGGAGCGAGAAGAGTCAGTATAGCATGTTCGATAGTGTTCCGGTGCTGCTGAGGGAGATCTGGGCGTCCGGGATGTGGTGGGGCGCTGTTGTGGATAGTAAGACGAAAGGTGGGCAGGAGGAGGCGCGACAGGGGCAGCAAGGGGCTACAGCGACGCAGTTCTTGTTTGGGTAGGGTGGATGTATGTGTATGGCTGGCAGAACATGGAACAAGATCTTTCTTCCATCGTAATTGAGATTTGCATTGGACTACCGGCGTGCATGGATGAGAGACATGAATGGAGCAAGCGTCGTTGCCCGTTTCGACCCTCCATCCACGGCCACTTCTCGCCTCTGTGAAGTTCCAGCGAGAGCATTGTCTATGATTTATCTTTCTTTCTCTTATCAATCCGTCAATTCATCCCCTGCGTCGCATTCAGCGCATCCCAGTTGATATTCGGCCCGGAGAACTTCCCCCGCCGCTCGAACCAGCACAGCATGACGATGGCGAAAATTCCAGTCAGGACCACGGAATTACTGCACGTGGATCCGTTAGTACCCATTCAAAGAGAGTCAAGGAGAACAAGGGCACCTACTAGTTCATATTCTCCAATGTCGGCGAAGTACTCGTCGGGAAACAAAAGAAAATCCCACTCAGAATCACCCAGAGCACCGAAAAGACGTTGACCCCGTACCCCAAGGTGCCCAGATTGAAGTATCGCGCCGGCAGCCTCGTCCGACCGCGAACTGCTAAGATCCCCTGCGGCACCACGTAGGTGATGTTGAGCATCAGCACTGCGGTGTTGATGATCGAGTTGAAGGCTTGCGTGCTGGCGATGTAGAGGAGGCCGTAGATGGCGCAGAAGCCGGCGGATAGCAGGGTGGTTCGGACGGGGATGCCGAGCTTTTCGTCGACTACCGACCAGTATTTCGAGAAGGGGAGTCCGTTCTGAATCAGAGTGTCAGTTGCTGTCAAGTAGAGTTGGGGTGCGTCCGCTCACGTCTCGCGAGAATGCCCATGTCATGCGGCTGCTTGTGATCCATTGGCTTGGAACGCATGCTACAGTCGAGTTAGTATTAGGAAGATTGGCAGTCCTAGCAGAGAGAGGCGGAGCCTACAATAATACAGGATTGTCAAGTAGATCTGCAGAAATGCGGCTGCGGCTTTGCTCCCAGTCGCTTGATAGAATAATTCCAGACTCGGGAGGGAGGAGTTCTGGACAGCGTCCACATCCTGGATCACACAGGTCATTGCAATGATCCACGGCACAAGCGTCAGTAGGCCGATGAGGATCGTGAGATTGCTGGGATTGAGTCAGTCACGCCAGGCTTTAAATGCTAGAGAGGATAAGACTAACATGACCAGCGGAATCTTCCGGTTTGGTTGCGGGATTTCCTCTGCAATATGCACGCAAGCCCCGGCAGCTGCAAAGGCATATTCACCATTGCCTATCCCGAGCAACCATCCGGGTCCAGGCGCCCAGCCACTGGCAGACCGGTACTCAGTGAGCCTTTCGGGGTGATATGACCCTCTTCCCATGACGAGGCAGACAATGACCACCATCCCGAACCCAGCCAGAGAAAGAAACATGGATGATTCGGTCAGGCGGTCGATTTGGCGTTGAGGCACCAGGAATACCGGGAGTACTAGATTTACGAAGATGAGTCCGTTCATTCTTCTCCAGGAAGAAACCACGTCGACTTACATGTCAGAATAATAACCAATAGGTAGCAAAGATAAACCTGCCACTGCGTTCCCGAGAACTCTGGTAGCAAAAAGGTACAAACCCCAAAGGCAGATATGGCCGTATAGATCGCGCCCGATGCCGTGTTCACCCACCAGGCGACTACATTGATCATCCCGACAGTGTAGGCGACAAAGTTTCGGCAGGATTCCGGGGCAATAATGTAAGTAAAATGGTACTGGCCCTGCAGTGGAAGGATGTCTGTCAGGATGCCGCATATTGCAGTTGTAGGCGCTACGTACCCCTGAGGATGGGAAAGCTGAGGCCAGTTCTGAAACTCCCGTAAGCACAATCCACTGCACAATGCCCGACAGCAACGGACTGAACACAGCGACAGAGCCTCCGCCATATGTAAAAGCCACCCCAAAGCAGGCGGCGTAGGTCAACCAGGAATTTACAATGCTACCAACCGAATCAGCAGCGGCTCATCCGGGAGGAGGGAAAAGGGACTATACCTAAAAGCAAGACCGAGAGCACCAACCCAAGAGAACGAACGCTGGAGCTCCGATGTGCAGCCTTGAGCACGCAGAATGGCCTCGTCGATATCGATGACCTCTCCTAGATCCTTCGCATCGGCCCCTTGCGGTGGCCTGGATGTGTTTTTGGTAGTCTCTTCCATGGTGTCGATGAGGCCTTGCAACGACAGATGGGTAGATGGAAAGACAATGGAGAGACTTCAGACGGCGAGTCAATTTAACCTTACGCCGGCACGCGAGGAGAAGAAGGGCGGGGGTTGCTTGCAATAGCCGATCCCTACGTAGTCTTCACCCCCATGCGTCCATCTAGCCCCGATTCTATCTTCCCTTCCCCCGCCTTGCGGCAAGCCAGTCAGGACGCCTGAAAGACAGCGTTCCACTCGTGTATGGAGCTAACAGTCTTGATGATACCGTTGATACCGGGAGATAAGGGGCCTTGATTGGGATCCGGCCTCTCCCGGGCGTGGTGGCTCCGGTGGCGGCGTATCAAACTCGCTCAGCACGGAACGTAATGGGGTCGAATTACCCCAGAATGCGGAGGGCTGGGCAGCAAGCCCCCTGTATTGGGGCTTGATTTTGGCACTTTTTCCTCGGATTCGCTTCCCATCTTTGCAGTGGTGGGCTAGCCTGGGTTGCTCATATCAGGCCTCGAGCGTGCCTCCACCTGCCTAACTAGGAAGCCCAATGTCAACGATCGATGCAGATAATTCGTGTTCTGGAGATATCTGAAGTAAGAAGACAACCGCCCCCCGCCCCCCATATATGGGTGTGAAGACGTCTTTGTGTGCAGCAACCCCATAAAATTGCCATGAGTACAGCCACATATGGCTCCTGCCAGAAGTATTTATTGGGTCATGAAACTGTGCCCAGGGTTGTCAGCCCCATTCTCTAATTGAGACAGAGGCCTCTGTGGATACTTGTCTTCTCTGATCTAGCCAAAAGTTTCTGCTCGTTTAATAGTAGGGCAATTGACAGATCCTCTGTGATGCTCGCTAGGAAACCTGGTACACCTTGTGGATTATACTCTGCGGGCCAGTTTACACGTATGTCAGCTTGTAACTAAATTCGAACCTAAGTAACCCTTATACTACGTACGTTTAAATTTATCTCAGCTATAGCCTCGCGCGCACATCACGGCATGCCTCCTCAATCAAGTCGACCGTAGCCTGTGCGCAACCATAGGAGCACTGATATCCAGCGCCTCCCGCACCGTAGTTGTGGACTACCCAAGTACCCTCAATTCGCTCCTTCGCGATACGCACTCCACCCTCACGCACAGGTCTCAGTCCCACTCCATGTCTAATGATATCGAGGTGCTCGATTCCCTTCCCGTTTGTCAGTGCCGGTACCATCTCGACAGCTCGCTTCATGATCCGGACGGCCAGGTTGGGGTCGGGCTGTGATTCCCAGCTCCCCAGCTGGTAACACCCCCCAAGTATTGTGCCTCCTCCCGCGGCTCTCGTCATAACATAGCATGCCTCTCCATCCCCGTCGTCCGTTCCTGACACGTCGAGCATTTTCCCTGCGTCATTCCGAACAATCACGATCTGCCCGCGGGCGGGAACAACCGTCTTGTCCTCGACGCCGCCCAGCTTCGACGCCATCAGCCCTGTGCAATTGACAACCACATCAACGTTCCCGTTAGGATGTACCCCAGAGGCAGCAGCGGCCGAGACATGAGGAAAGACAGCTCGCTTGAAGGTCACGCCGTTCTTGAGGCACTGAGAAACGAGCCAGGGGAGGTAAATGGCGGTGTTGATGCACACCGAGGTGAAAACCGTGGCGGAGTCGATGCCGGGTCCAAGCGACTCTTTGGGCAGTGTTCGGAACTGGTTTATCCCCGCGCGTCAGGAATGAAGCATATAAACCTGGAGGGACAGGATTGCGGTGGCACACGACTTACATTTGGGACCACTTTTGCAAACCATGGGCTAGGCGACAGCAACTCCGCGAACCATTTGGCCGTCGCGGAGCCTACGTCTTTTGCGCGGCTGTGGATCTCGCAGTCTGCGTTGGTATCAGCATACATTGAACTCAATCTCGCTGCTGTTCACAAGTCGTATTACCTTGAAAGTGCACACCGGCTTCGGGGTAGTTCTTGGCCAGATCCTCCAGTGGTCCCCAGGTGTTCTTGTCCCATTCGGCGGCTTCTGTGTTGCGGATTGAAACACTACCACCTTCAGTTACTCTGGAAAAACGTAACGTTTGATACTAGACCATACGGCATGTAGTTTGCGCCTGCCCAGGGCGACGCATATTCGATGTCGTAGTCGCCGGGCATATGTTTCGCGGCGACCACAATCTTGTAACCGGGTTTCCTGGACAGTAGAAGGGCCGTCGTCAATCCCGCCACGCCAGCCCTAAGTCAAAATGAGCTACATTCCGAGTATGGATGGGAAGAACATCAACAGGCGACGGGGGAACGAAAGAACGTACCCGATAACTACCACATTCTTTTCGAACATTGTGAGCCCAGGAGAAGATTCATTCGCGAGACTAACGGAAAAGCTCAGATTCGTACTATTCCACCAAGTGAGTAATCGAGTCCGAACTACGACTGAAATGCTAGAGGGAATACATCGGCTATGACACAATATTTCAATGACCCAGAGAGCCGGTTGGGATATGGTCTGATGAGAACCTACTTTTTTTCATCGCTCGGCATCTGCCCGCCAGCTAACCCAAAATCCCCAGGTCGTGTGAATTGCAATCGTGCCTATCTTGGAAGCATGACCTTCGTGATACCAAGTGCATTCTACACCGAGGCTGGCAGGGGCACTTCCCCGGGCCCCGCAACGCTGGCATTACCCGAATAGGCAGGCGAGAAGCACGGCCGGACGGTCCTAGCAATCGCCACACCGAAACCCTAACTATCTATGAAACGACTTCACCATTTACGCCATCATAAAGCTCCACCTCTTACCTCCTGAGCTATACTTAAAGGCCGTACGACTCTGCGCAGTCAAGCATCATCCAGACAATCCACATTCCAATCCTTACACCCCTCCACAATCATGGCCACCATGCAGAAAGTCTTCGCCGCCTACGAGGCCCGCCAAGCGGTCCTCGCATCGAGCACCCACCCATTCGCCAAGGGCGTCGCCTGGGTCGACGGGGAGCTCACCCCCTTACACGAGGCCCGCATCCCGCTGCTCGACCAGGGCTTCATGCACAGCGACCTGACCTACGATGTGCCCTCCGTCTGGGACGGGCGGTTCTTCCGACTCGACGACCACATCACGCGGCTCGAGAGCAGCTGCCAGAAACTGCGGCTGCAGCTGCCCCTACCGCGAGAGGAGGTGAAGCGGATCCTCGTCGACATGGTGGCGCAGAGCGGCATCCGCGACGCCTTCGTCGAGATCATCGTGACGCGCGGGCTGAAGGGCGTGCGCGGCACCGACCCCAAGGACATCCACAACCGCATCTACATGTTCATCCAGCCGTACGTCTGGGTCATGGAGCCCGAGGTCCAGCCCGTCGGCGGCAGCGCCATCATTGCCCGCACCGTGCGCCGCGTGCCGCCGGGCTCGATCGATCCCACTGTCAAGAACCTGCAGTGGGGAGATTTGGTTCGAGGACTGCATGAGGCTGCTGATCGCGGCGCGACGTACCCCTTCCTCACGGACGGGGATACCAATCTGACGGAAGGGTCTGGGTTTAACATTGTGATTGTGAAGGATGGGGTCTTGTTCACGCCGCAGCGCGGAGTGCTGGAGGGCGTGACTCGGAAGAGTGTGATCGATGTCGCCCGCGCCAATGGTCTGGACATCCGTGTCGAGTTGGTGCCCGTCGAGAATGTGTATAAGGCAGATGAGATCTTCATGTGCACGACGGCGGGAGGCATCATGCCTATCACCATCCTGGATAGCCGGCCGGTGAAGGACGGCAAGATTGGACCCATCACCAAGAAGATCTGGGATGGCTACTGGGCCATTCATTACGATCCGGCTTTCAGCTTTGCCATCGCTTATGAAGACGAGAAGAGGAAGTCATCGCTGTGAGGGGTCAATCTTTACCGCCAAGCTCATGTATCTGTGATGAATGTTTGATCACTCAATCTTTGTACATCGATATTATTCTTTTCTAGCAATATCATTTTCTCTTTCTAGATCATCTTGAGTCTTCTTTATAGACTTTCTCAACGTCTCTTGGACCCCATCGATTACTGAATGCGACTTATATCTAACCAACAACTTGACAATTCGGTTTATTGGGTGTCCGGTGTTCGTTCATAATACTTAGACATCTACGTGAATATGTTGTGGGTACAGGGTCAAATTTATTGAGTTCTTTTCTTTTCGAATTAACTGAATCTAATTAAACCCAACTCGATTCCATTCAAACCATGTTCTACTACCCTGGTTGTAGCCAGCATGGGCAGAAAAGGATTTTAAAAAAAAAAAGAATTATCAGGTTAGCATGTCCTGGTTTCGATCCAGGGTCCTCCGGGTTATGAGCCCGGCGCTCTTCCCCTGAGCTAACATGCTGATTTGATGTTTTACAATCTTACCTTTGCATTATTGATGCTTTACCAGACAAAGGATAAATGATCTAGGCGAACATAGATTAGGTCCGATTACAATTGATCTACCGTGAACCCCATCGCGATATCTCAATGGAGGCGGCCAAGATCTGAATATCAGCTCCACCAACCACAACAAAATCTCCCATCTTCACTCGCCCACTATAATCAGTCAAGAGAGCAATCAATGGGCATGAAGCTACACTTGGGGTCTGTCACTCTCAGATAATATTCACCTAACAGGCAAGAGAAATTCGGACGGAGTGGGTTAGTGAACTAAAGGTATCAACTTTATACTCAAAGGGAAAACCGAGATTAGGGCATCACCAAACCCCCTCATCAGCATCTTTCCAGGTAGAACATACAATATCATATACACATGGAATCCTCACAATAAGATAAACATCTACCACCCACTATCTACTCATCACCGCCCGTCGAATCTCTCCATCTTCATCCCTCAAACTCCCAAGAATTGCCCACAATGGCAGCAACATCGAAACGCCCCGAAATCATTGCCCTCTCGCAAGACCTGCGGGGCATCCCGCACTGCAAAGAATACGAGCGCATGATCTCCGGCATAATGTACACCCCCGTCTTTCCGGAACTCCGTGCGCCCAAGCCCCCAAGCCCCCAAGCCCGTAGTAACCCATCCCAAACCATAACGAACCTAACCCAAAAGCAAGGTACAACCCCAACACGCCCAAACTCCTCGAGATGCGCCACCGCTGCCGCGGGCTCGCGCGAGCCTTCAATGACCTCGACACGATGACCATCCCATCTTCCCAGATCTTCGAGACGCGACTCGCCCTGCTCCGCCAGCTGGTCGGGAAGGTCGGCGAGGGCACGTTCATCGAGCCGCCCTTCAAGCCGGATTACGGGTGCAATGTTGTCATCGGGAGTCATTGTTTTATTGACTGGGAGTGAGCTGCCCCTTCCTTCTTCCTGATGGTGATGAGTGGGCAGGGGATACTAGGGTTATGTTGCTGACTGTGGAATGTGAGCGTAGCGTGACGGTGCTGGATACCAGTCTGGTGGTGATCGGGGACCGCGTGCAGATTGGCACCGGGGTGAGTATCTTCACGGCGGGCCACGATACCAGTGTGCTGTCGCGGCAGAAGTTTGTCGAGTTCGGGCCCCCCGTCTTTGTTGAGGATGATTGCTGGATTGGTGGGAATGTGGTCATCCTGCCGGGGGTGCGGATTGGAATGAGGTCGACTATCAGGGCTGGGTCGATTGTGACCAAGGATATCCCGCCTTTCTCGGTGGCCGTGGGTGCGCCTTGTCGCGTGCGGAAGACGATTCAGTCGCCGGAAGAGGAGCAGTATCCGAATAATCCGTATCGTGATTTGGTTCGTGAGGATCAGTAGACGTTACATGGATGCATTTGTCTAGGAAATTCATTATGCATGTCATTCATGACAAGGCTCACACTCAATGCTATCTATGGTGCATTCAAGCGAGTCAATATATAAACAAACGATATATACAATCCATCATTACCCAACAGCCAATTACTTCACTCCCCTAGATCGCATTGCTGGCACAGGAGAAGCTCGACTTGGACGAATCGTCGTGGATGGCCTTGCCGGAGACATACAATCCCAGACCGCACTGGCATTGGTTAGCATTCAAGAAAATGCGACAAACCGAGTCGAAATACTCACGATGATGGCACCAATGCAGAAAATCAGCATGTTGATGATGGTTAATGCAATCTTGCGCGGCGAAGACCACCACTGGCCCCAGTTCATGTGCAACCAGTAAACACCCGACAGCCCGTAGGTGAACCAACTGGCAAACAAGGAACTGATCAAGCTGACAATGTTGCTGAAGGAAGGGATACCCTCCGCGATGATCCAGGCGATAACCCAGCAGGTCACGCCAATGGCAATCCAGGAGCCAACAGCGACAAAGTCACGCTTGCCCATGCGGTCGGAGTGACGGAAGATGCGCACGTAGATATATTTCAAGCCAACGTGACCGTTCACGACACCAGCTCCGACAATCTAGGGGTTTGTCAGTACAGATGATAATAGCTAGACAAATATGCCGAGTCATACCGTCGGAATGGCAATGCCATAAGCAACCTTCTTCAACACCGGCCCAGCGGAGCCAAGAGCCGGCGAGTCAACCCCGTTACCGACATAGTAGTAGATGACAATAGCCGCGGTGATGTAGAGAGCAATCTCGAAGCCCTGGAGCAGACACAAGGCCTTAGGGAAGTCCTTGGGCTCCTCCATCTCGGCAATCAGACCAAAGAAGGCCACGTGGGCGCAGTAAGCGAACACGATCTGCGTGACTCCGTTGAACGCGTGGTACAAGTTCGTATCGGTGGTGACACTGATGTTCTGGCCACCCTTGTACTGCACACCCACACCAATCATGGTGATCATGACCGCAGTGAAGATACTCAGGAAAGCTAGGCGAATCAGTTCCATTCCATTGATAGTCAATGGGATAACTCACAAGCACAAGAAATGTAGGTCAAGTTCTTGATCGTCCGCGGCAGCGACAAAACCAGACAGATCACGAACGCCACAACACTGAACACCATCGAGCAGGTACCGTGGTCGGTAATCGTGTTCATCATGACAGTGAACGTGACAATATGACTACCCATGATGAAGATCGAGAACAAGATCTGACCAAGCCCGAAGAGCTCGCGACCGAACCGACCCATGAGGATCTCACCTGCATCAGCCAAGTTGTGGATCGAGGGATGGCGTTCGCGGAATTGGCCGATGACATAGCCGGTGTAGAGCGCGAGGATACCGAGTCCGATGATGAGGATGATGGCGCTGTATCTGTGAGCATGATGTGGAGAATGAGTCAGGACAGCGGAACTTACGGCACCAGGCCCAGCGCGGTCAGTGTCGCGGGCAGGGACAAAACACCCAGGGAGACGGACTCTGCGATCATGACTGTTGCGGTTAGTATTGATCTAGCCATTGATCTGTTGCATGCCACATACACATTCCACATTGCCTGCCTGGTTTGTTAGCTTGATTCGTCAACTGCGGGCACCGCAGACAGTACATACCACCACTTGAGCGTCTTGTACTTGACCTCCGCATTGGCCTCGTCGCCAAAGGCATCGGGCTCCTTGCCCTCATCGACAGCCTTCAAATCCTCGACATCGTAGGGAGGGAGATCATTCTTCTTGATCTCTTCGCCGGTAGTCGGAGTCGCCATGTTGTCTGCACGTTGTCGATATGTCACGGGAAGGAGTCGCAAAAGAACAGGCACAAGCCGCGCAGCAGATCTATCACAATCGGCAGGGAGACGAACGATGGCGCGCCGCACCTGCAGGACAGAAAATTTCTGGCGGGTTGGTGGGTCGGACAGTGAAACCTCCGCTCCTCCGCTGCCGTTGAGGTTGATGCAGACTTGAAACTGAGTTCAACGGATGAACTAGATAGTCTCAACAGTAGCACTGACACCAGGACACAACAACAGAGGAGAAGAGAAGGAGGAGAGAAAGGAAAGCAAGACAGACAGATAAAGATCCTGGTAGTTTTCCACGGGAAATGAGATCTGGACTCCGTCGTAGCTACCCTGTTCGGAGATCAGCCCTGGCTGGGGCTGCTGCAGTGCTGCTGCTTGCGGCCATAGCGGAAGTAACGCGGTGATGGCTGCCATTGGTGCGTTGCGCTCCACCCCGAAAGACGCGGGTGGGGCGGAGAAAAGCCTAGTCCGATTGTGGCTGTCCGCGGTTAAAATTAAGTAATGGATTGGCCCCGCCCACCGCACTGTGCGCGGCTTGCCGACAATAACCGCCTCTCCGCTGCCCGCTGATTGGTGCGGCCCCGGCAAGGTTTATGCGGCTCGGTGGGATTCCGTTCCCGCTTCTAGAATTTTTTATTCAGGTTATAAAAAGCTGCCGACTGCTGATAAGTTGCCTGCCACGGCAGTTGACTGTTTTCCATGACCATCTATTAGCTGATGAAAACTGGGGAAGGCGTGATGATTTGTCGCTGCAGCGCTTCTTATCGCAGACGCACGTCGGTTGCGGCTCACTACTCCAGGTTTGGGGTCGGTGGACGGCGGTGCCGGCATCCGAGCCATTCTTGGGTCTTTCGGTCTTGGCAAGAAAAGCTTTGGTTCGCCTTCCAGAGTTTTTCTGCTTGGCTGGCGGTTATCGGTGTTTTAGACAAGAATGTTGGGCCGTGCAATGAGATTAGCTGCTCAACGCTGTAGAGCTGTAGGCTTACGTTCATCTGCTTGATTACTCGCACCGGGCTTAGTACATTATTGGGCTTTGATACTGACTCAACAAGTCAATGCCACCTACGGTGCATCAGTCGTGATTATCCTCTTATTTGTCTATTGTGGTTCGTCCGGGTGCATATCCAGCTACTGAAGTATACTCGAGTAGTAAGGTCCCCACTTCGGCAGAAACTTTGCCGATGCTGTGATTTCCTGGAATTCGAGTTACTCAGTATTAGAGCGTAGTGTTCATAACATGGTGCCAAAATCGCTTATAGGAAGCAACTATTGCAAATCACGTTTGTGTCTTTCTCTCGTAACGAGTTCTTTCTTTTCTAACCCATCTCAATCGATTTTACTAATTCTGTCATGAAAGCGTACCTGGAAGATTATCTTTATTGGAAGTTTCAGTTTCATTGATTGATAATCCCTAGTAAATTCAGATGTGTCTAATTCATTAATGAAGAGATTCCCCTGTACCCAATTGACATTCCCTGTGCTTCTTCCCTTCCCTTTCCTTTCCCTGCCATGCTTTGTCCTTGACATCACCTCGGCGAATTGGGTGATGGAACTTGATCGCAGCATCTTGAAAGGACCGAGGCCCTCGAAAAAATGCATAGAACCACCTCATCTGTCCTGGTTGGAGCGCGCTGCCTCAGAGGATGTATATTACTTCATAACCAACACACAGAAACCACAACACTCCGATATCAAGAGACCTGGAGTAGCCTTGACCACCCGCAAGCTCCGAGACTGCGCCTCCTGGCTCTGGGAAGAGTAGCCCTCCTCTGGGAGCCTTACGCCTGCTCGTTCATCATGAATCTTCTCGGGTCAATTGCGCCAAGCACTCGGAATAACATATCCTTCCATGAAAATTATCAACGATTCAACAGTCTCACCCATGTTTGTTCAATTACCAGTAACAGGCATTCTACGAGGGAATACATGCCACTAGTCTCGCCACGCCCGTCCGTTGCGGATCGAGGCTGCTCTATAGTGCTACGTTTTAAGTATGCAGCTGGAATGCTACTCATGTGAAACCATTGATAAGATTCACGCCTCCTCAATCACAATCTTGGTAAAAGACAAAAGTAAAGCTCCACGATCGTCACAAAATCCAATCACTCAGAATCTTTCAGTTTAGCAAAGCAGACCGACCGCTCAGCACCCTAAACACCAGATCCAAACACCAAACCTCCCCCGCACCCCCCAACTACCCCAAAAATTCTCACACAGCCCTTCTAGCATAAGGATACTCCCTAATCACCCTCCAAGTCATCCCCTGAATGACAATGGGCAAATCTAATGCGGCACGGAGATCAAACCCGGTCGGATTCTGCCACCTCTCGATCTTCGTAATGAGCCCGCGATAGCTTTCCCCAACGTACGGCTCGTCCTTCTCGTCCTCGTGATCTTCCTCAAACTCCTCCCGCAACCGGATCCGGCCCCGATGGCAGTTGATATCCAACGCCCCCAGCCGCGTAGCATTCGTATCAAAGCCCTCGCCGCGCAGATCCTCAAGAAACTCTCTCCGCATGTGCTTCAGCGCCCTCCGCACGCGGAAGATCGCCCTGCAGCGCCAGTGGTTGATGCTCTCTGCTCCCAGAGTACATATCAGCATCATTCTCAAACCTAACTCAATCCTTTCAAGCATGATAAGAAGATAAAGGGGAGGGGAAGGCACATACCGATGATTCTACAACTGACAGGCAACCCGTACACATCCGCCCGCACCGTATCCGTGGCATTTTCGATCGCCATCCGCGTGCAGCACCGCAGCACGTTCTCGCGGCCGTACACCCAGGCCACGAAGATCCACTGCATCACGGTCTCCTCGGTGTACCGCCGCGGCAGCCGGCGCTCCAGCCTGTCTAGCCACGAGTTCACGTAGAACTTGACGACGGGCACGCACCCGTAGTAATCGGCTATGATGGTTAGGTCGACTAGCGTGGCGAAGTCGACCTTCTCGGGCCATGGGTGGGTTTGGTGGTGGATGATCCGCATGAGGAGGAGGAAGGGGGGCAGTGGCCAGTCGACTGTTAGGGTGAGGTGGCCTGTTTGGGTGAGGGTTTGGCCTTCGGTCCAGTGCGGGCTGGCGAGCATGCGGGAGAAGAAGGGGGATGCGCTTGCTAGGTGGGTTTTGGAAGCGTGGATTGTGTGGATGGTGGGAGGCGGGGCGGGGAGTTTGTGCTTGGGGTTGTGGTGGTGGTTGGCTCTGGTCTGGGGAGGACTATGGGAGTTGGGTTTGGGTCTGGACCGCGTGCTGGGAGTGGCCTGCTCCTGAGTAGCATGCGAGTGCTTGGTTCTCTTGCGGGGAGGGCACTCGGAGATGGCGACGTTGGAGAGTTGCATGGCGAGGGTGTCGGAGTCTTCAGCCTTGATGGTCGGGTATGGGGTTGATGCAGCGGTGGGATCTTCCTCGACGAGGAAGGTTACTTCTCCGCCTTCGTAGATGTTATGCTCTGTAGTTTCACTCATCGTGGATGTGTTGCGCGTGTTGTTTGATGGTAGTTGTGGATGGATGAGGATGCAGGAGGAGTGTCGGGTAGGGGCACAAGGATGGCGAGGGATGCAGGAGAAGAAAAGAAGTGCTCTTGGTCGAAACAGAAGACTCTATTTATGCCTCTCATGTTCGCTGCCTGAACACTGTTGCACGACGCAGCGATGCAATAGTTCCTGTCATTCCTTTTTGTAGTTGGTCGTGGCATGCATCAGGAATTTTCTGGCGGCTTCACGACCTAAATTCACTACTGCTCAGAGGTATGTTACAAGGATACTTGTGCACTCTTACATAGGCTCTTTCGAATGTCTGTCATTGACTGTTGCTCCAAGACAAGGAAATTGTTTATGACAGGACTTAGGGCTTAGGTAGAACTCGATGTTTTGGTAAGCAACCATTCAAGAACCATTCACTCATCCCCACGTTGTGACCAAGACCAACAGCTCTGGCTCAGCCGCAAGCATCACTTACTTGACTTGAGCTACAAGACTCCGATACAGAAAAACCATTATCATGAATGGAAAGTACGGATGCTCTGTAGATAACTTAACCCTTCGGGGCTTGCATGAAGACGAAGAGTTGAAGGATAAACTGCAGAAGAGCGCGCGAACAGGAGCTACACCAAAGGTATACTGAGAACATCTACCAATTTTCCTTAAAAACACCGATAAATTCATTCACATGCTATGCCGACCGACCATTGTCCGAAAAAAACACGTCAAATCATAATGCTAGCAACAAGAAAAGGTATGTCAAGCAGTATATACAAGAAGGCGAAAATTAAATCATCTGTACAAGGGTGCGTCGTCAAATGACGACCACCAGAGAGTGCTGCTGCTGGAATGCCGTTCACAGTCAGCACACAACCATCCCTCTAATCCTTTTTCTTGTCCTTCCCCTTGCCCGGGCGTCTATAATTATACCGCATCCAGTTCTCCGTGACCCACCACTCGGCGACGTGGGCCGCATCCCGCACCCAGCTGACCACGTCGGGACTGTACTCCGCCTCCAACGTCTTGGCCAGGTCGACCAGGTTGAAGTTCTTGACGGGATGCAGCTCGATCGGGTCCTGCGAGAGATCGGTGAAGCGCCACTCGACGTCGTCGACGAGCGGGATGACCAGCCGGTAGGCCGGGCGGGCGGCGGAGCGCACGGCCAGCCATGATCCGCCGGTGTTCATGACCGTGAACTGCCAATTCTGCCGGCCGTCCTTCTCGGGGATCTGCGGGCGGATCATCGACTGGCCCTCGTACATCGACAAGAGGTCCTGCGCGGCGTGGCCGCTGTCGGGACCCAGGGAGTGAGACTGGACCAGAAGGTCGAGGATGGTGGGGATGATTTGTTGTGAAATGACAGGTGTGGTGACCTCGACTTGGGGGAGGTGGGGGTGGGCGAAAAGCAGCGGGACGTGGAAGCTGCCGACGTGGGGGTTGTCGTATGGCGTGACGCCGCCGTCGTTGGGAAGGGAGAGACCACTATGTTTGTTAGCAGGTTGTCATGTAGTAAAAGATCCGATCTGGACATACTGATCACCAGCCATCACGATCAAGGTCTCGTTGATGATCTTCTTCTCGTTCAAGATTCCGATGATCTCCCCCAGCCACTCGTCAATGTATCCGATGGTATTAAGGTAGCGGTTGAGGTCATTGTTGGATCCTGAGCTGGTCGAGCCCACGATCGACTCGTAGGTGTCGTTGGGCATGCCCCAGTGGTGATGGGTGGTTCCAGTTAGATGGGTCAGGAATAGACGGGTGTGGTTCTTCTCCGCAGCGTCGATGGCGTCCCGGACGTAGTCTCCGAGAACCTTATCCGGATAGCCGTAGTAGTTGACCTCCTTTTCCTTGACGGGATAGTGTTTCGCCTTGGGGCTTTCCAGCGTCTCCTTGGTGATGACATCATAGTACCCCAATTTCGGGGTCAGCTTGTCCTGATTATCGTAGGTCTCGGTAACGGACTGCATCCAGACGGAGTGCCAGGGCCAGGTGCGGTAGTCATTGGAAGCGGGGACGGTGTTGTTCTCGCGCACATCGGGCAGTTGATTCAAGGCGGTCAGCACATGCGGCATGCACGGCTGGTAGATGTGATGCTCGTACTCGCGGTTGAAGTCCGCCACCAGCGGGGTCACACCGCACAGGGTGCCCACCAGACTCTTCAGGGTGTAGGTTCCCGTGGTGAAGGCGTTGCTGGCGCTGATGCCACCGTACGACCGACGTCCGTAGTCCTTAACCATGTCGTGCTTGAATCCAGCATCAAAGCCAGTCAGCCACTCCGCGGTCCGAGTCAGGTTGGCAATCCGCTTCTGCACGTCCTTAGGGATCTTCTTGTCGGGATAGGTCTCCGCAATACGGTCCCACATGAAAGTGCCGTTCTTCAAGGGGAAGACGTCGCCACGAGTGCTTTCGAGCTTGAGCAAGATGACGTGTTTGATGTTGACTTTACCGCCGGAGAGCGCGTCATGCAAGGGGTCGAGTAGTGGGCTCCGAAGGTTGGAGATGTGCAGCGGGTCTCGGTTGGGATCGTAGTGTCGCGGGGGTGGGTGGATTTTGTCGGATTGATTCCAGTCCCCAAAGCCGGGGAGGGGCTCCTTGGGTAGCCACGACCATTGTGGAGGCCGCTCCAGCGCAGTCTGTCCTTCCAACCAGCCATAATCTCCCGGCAGCCCTTCTGCTCGAACCGGAGACACCCGGTGGTGTCCCAAAAAGGGAGCCACGGGCAGCGCTTCGGACAGGAACATGTATGCCGGATCCCACGGGCGGACGACGCGCAAGAGAAAGAGGCCGATAAAAGGAATCCAGACAGCCAAGCGGCGTGCCAGTGAGTGACCCCGCTGCCGGGGCGGGGCCACAGCTCCGTAGGGCTCCAGTAGGTGAATGGACGACCCGTCGTCACTCTTATCGTCGAGATAGTCGTCTTCGGAGAGATGGTCATATCGCTCCGGGTCAGACAGAGAAGTTGTCTTGGGGATGAAACCGCGCACACAGCCCGCACAGCATTTGAAGGGTTGTGCCAAAATATTCAGGATCCCACCTACGGCGCGATGCAACGGTGCAGCGACGAACCAGGCGACAGTGAGCATAATCCCCTCGACGATCAAGAAGCCGGTCAGGCCGGTCAAGAGGGTGCGCATGGCGGCAGCATCGTGGTGGAAGGTGGTGGCTTGTCTCCAGTGGATTTCGGCTCCGGTAAAGACATAGAAGGAGGTATTGGCGGCGGTCATTCCGGACATGATTAGACTATGACCACCGGATTAGCAATGTGGCGTTTGCCCGACCCAGGGAAATCAGTGAGGGGAGTGAGGAGTGATCTTTACCTGAACGGAATAACGATCAGCGCGGAGATGGCGGCGACCGACCGCCACGGCAGTTTCTGGGTCAAGATGCGCACCAGCAGCACGAGGACCACATCTTGGCAAAAGAAGGTGACTCCCCAGAGGAGGAATTTGGATGGAGGTAAGGAATGGATGTGAGCGTAAAGATGCAGGAGCTTAGCACCAAACATGGCCATCAAGGTGAGAGCGAAGAAGTAGCGGCGAGTGAAGTCCCAGAAGTGATCGAACGCATCGAAAGGCGAGGCGCGCAACCGCACCCAGCCGGCCAGGCAGTAACGAGCCGGGTTGAGGTTGACGAGCTTCATCTTGACGAAATCCACAAGACCTTGGAATCAAATCACATGGCACACCAGTAGGAAGACGAAATCATCAAATCACTCCATGAGCCAGCTGGAATGATTCACCGGGATGGGAGGCCGGACGAGAGAGAGAGAGGAGGAGGTGGTGGTGGTGGTGGTGGTGGTGGTGAAGATGGTGTGATGCGGGAAGAGGGAAGAGGGAAAGGGAGAGATGAAGAAGGAGGATGTGAGTGTGAGTGTATTGTAATCAACCTTATGGTGGAAGAATGACCGAAGAGGGGAAAGGGGAGAGACAGTGGTTTAATGTACAAAGAACAAAAGGAACACAGCCAGCGCATCATCATGAGATGATGGCCGTATGGCAGCTCCCACTAAAAAAAAAAAAAAAAAAAAAAAAAAAAAAAGACGAGAGAAGAGAAAAAGGGCTGAGTTTAGGAGTCTTGGATCAGAGCCGCAATCCATTCATTCATTCATTCAGTCAGTCATTCTTTGACTAGGATCAACTAGTTCACAGCAAATTCACAGCTAAGAAAAAACCGGGGCCGAATTAATGACCGGGTTGGAGCTGCTTGGGAGGCTTAGCGTGGGTGGTTGACTCCATAATGCTCAGAATGTTCATATCAACCTTCCATCGTCTCGCAAGCCCCTACTGGATGTACTCAAAGGGCCGAAATGGACCCTGAAAGCCCATAGACCCTGAGTTTGTGATTGGTGCTGTCTCTTCATCTGCGGTAATTTTAGAACCCAAGAGTGGAGTTGGGAGTGCCGATGGGAGCCCAATCAGCCACCCTGCCAAGGCTGCAGGGTCTGGAAATCGGATGGATTTGAGACAGGGGCAATCATTACCTACTGTGTAGTACCAGGTACCTACTAGTACTGTAAAACCATTGTGCTCAATTGAGCGTTTGAAGAGTGTGAGTGTTGTAGACAGATATGGTATACTATGTTGTAGTCAAGAGACAGTGACACCAGCTCTCTAGGTACAGTCACTCCTCATCTTTTCTGGCAACCCCTGGCCAGACAATAGTACCATCACTTCCCACCACTAGAGTTTTTTTTCCTCAAACGCCGGGCAAAATCACACAGGGTCCCCTCGGCCCACTAATCCCAAATAGGCAATCTGACAGTCAGCGAAAGTTCTGAGCAGGTGACCTCATTCCCCTTTTGGGTGACGGCCAGTCCCTTCCAAACCGCCCACCACCGCCCACCACCGCCAATCACCGCCTTCCAAGTGGAGATTCTCCAACTCCCATCGCTGCAAATTTCCTGCCTGCCCTGCCCGCACTCCTGCACTCCTGCACTGCCTGTCGGTGTCTCACTCTATCAGTTCTGCCTGTTCCTTACCTCCTCCTGCTGCTGTCACACTAACTTTGCCACATGGACCCCCCAACCTGAACACGAGGAAAATGCCCCTTATTTGCCTTTGGGGGCTTCTCCCTCCCTCAGGGTCTGTTCAAGATGCAGCTTGCAGCCCCCCCGACCCCTTCCTGCTGTTGTCGGACAATCTTCCTGCAGGGACTGGCTGATGGTAGTGTCCGCGGCAAGCAGCCGCGGCACGATCACTTCCAACGGGATAGCTTGTCTAACGGCTACTTATCTGCTTAGAGGAAGTCGATCCGGATGCACTGGCCGACACCAACTAAGAACTAAGAGTCGATCCCGTTCTTCCCCCCCCCCAAAGCATGTTCGTGCCTTCGTGGCAGTATCGGGTATCCGCTCCCAATTTCAGAGTCACCTATCCACTGCAATATTGAGACTATTTGTGGTCCTGGAGCGAAATTCAGGCCGGAGATCACCGGGAGGGGCTTCCCTAGGCGGCGCATTGGCGGACCCCAGCTGGCGGTGGCACATTTGCCTTGGCTTTCGTATTGCCGGACTCTGGCCGCCAGAGTCACGCTCTGCCTGTTGGGGGCAGTCAGCCCTTTGGTATCTGTGATGAAACACCCGCCAGGATTGACGTGCTGTCGACTGTATCTCGTGACTTCGGGCTCAACCCTCTTGGCCATGCTGCAGCTACTGTTAGTCGAATGCAACCCAGGCTGTCATTGGAAAGGTTCATTTGGAGGATGCATCTCCGGTCGTAGAGAAGATCCATTATAGTCAATACGTAGCAGCTGTATCTCAGATATTGTTCTCTGTACATGTACTTGATATGTTGATATGTAGTCTAAGTGTTTGTGTTGTTGCCCAAACTGGCAATCCGACTAGTGACTATGGACCGCTGACCGTGACTTTCAGGGACTCCCAGGAATATGTTTCCGCCGCGACCGGGGTCTCGTCCCCGCATAATCTACTCCGTACTCCGTTCTCCTCACCAGTAAACAACATCACCAACGCGATCAGTCATCATTTGGCTCAGACCTTCGCAACCCGAACACTAGGAACCTAAGAGCAATGCAGGTTATTGTCTCTTAGTTGAAACTCAATGGTTGCTCCATGATTTACTGGATTCCCATGGCCGATCGCGCCACCGTCCTCGCTAAACTCCACTGGCAGTTGAAACACCCTCCGCCCGCTCGTTTCTTACACCCATGGTCATTGTCACCACCATCAATCCCACCGCAGCCAAGCCCATCCAGAACCATCGTATTCGATCATTACCCCAATCAGCTCGTTTCTGAACACTTGTTGATGCGCTTCCTTCCACGATAAAATCGCCCCAGTGTACCTGCGCCAGCTCCGCTTGATACTGCCCCACATTCTTCGGCCAGCTATGCACATTCCGTCCGTCCTCAGTCTTGTACCAGCTGCTACATCGCGCATCCGCCCATGAGGTCTTACTCAAGAGGCTTTGCAGTTGCTCGTTGTATGCCTGAAGCACATCGGGCCGTATGCGCAACGCCAACGTTCGCCCCTGCGATCGGGCTTCAATCACCGCGGTAATCAGTTTTCCGAGATAGCGTGCCTGAGCCTCAATCATGTGGATGACCGAGTTATGACCTGCCTGGTCAGTATCTGAAAATCATTCCGCTTGAGCATGCACTTGCACTAACCGAGATTTGTGTTCCGCCCATAGAGTATGCCAAAATTCTGAGATCTTCCGCTACCACCCTTCGATACGCCTGAGCGCCCGCCTTCCACAATTGCCGCAATGGACGGCCATCCAGCCCGTAAATGTCCATTGAAAACCAAAAGTCAACCGTGTGAAATCCCGTCGCCAGCACGATCAGATCGTACGGCCGAATTCGCCCCGTGTCCACTTGAATCCCCGTCGCCGTCACTCGCCGAATGGGAGTCGGCTATAAATCGACATGCTTATGGTTGGGCACCGGGTAATAATCATCGGAGGAGGAGAATGCGGTTGCACCCGAACGGATACCGCGGGGTCAGTGGATCCAGTAATTCTGGTTTATCTGGCAGTTGGGATTTCGTCCACCGCACAATCCACTCGATCTGGGTTGAGAGTAGTCGGGGCTTGTGATGTACGCATGGAGGGACTTCCGAATGCACATTAACACCCCGCGCTTCAACCAGCGTACGGGTGGAACCCACGTTAGCAAAACCTCCTCCAGGCGCCCAATGGGTCGGTCCTGGCGAGGAATAATCCATTTGGGTGACCTTTGATAAACCGTGAGTTGTGACGCGGTCTTGGCCAGCTCAGGGATTATCTGATCGCGGAGGCACCTGGTCTTCGTCAGTCAGGTCCTCCATCGTCCAGGTCAAGGATCATAACCGTTTCCGATGACAGCAATCCGCTTCCCTGCAAGATCGTAGGTGCTATCCCAGCGAGCGGAGTGCATTTGCTGCCCGACAAAGCTGTTGAGACCTGGAATGTCGGGGTAGTGGGGAATGTTCAGTTGTCCAGCTGCAGAAACAAGGAAGTCGGTGGTGAGCCGGTATGGTGGCTGCATTGAACGCTCCAGATCACCGGTAGAAACGTGAACCTCCCATTGCAAGTGCTGGTTATTCCAGTGTGCTTCATGCACGGTCGAATCGAACCGAATATGACGACGCAGATTCCATTTACTGGAAACATCATCCAGATATTTCTGTACAGTGGGTCAGTGCATGGTCGACATCTCGAAATGGCGCAAGCTCATACTAGGATTTCCTTTTCGGCAGGGTAGTCCCGTGTCCAATTCCCACGCTGTTCAAACGAAAGGCTATACAGAGCGCTGCGGACTATACTTTCATGAGTTGTCGAGGGTTACCGGGTGTCAAGTGTTCACGTACTGTCGCATGCGCATCCAGGATACCGGTTCTCATACCATGTCCCTCCAAGACCGCTGTTCTTTTCCACAATGAGGAAGCTGGTGGTGGGTGTGTGACGGAGGAGCTCAATGGCCATACAAATGCCTATCGATTAGCTCGGCCTTTGACCATGCATCTATACCAGGGTCAAATATATCTGATACCCCTGCTCCTATGATGACCACTGAAAAGTGATTAGAGCCTTCGCATGCGGGGTCTTTATCTGTCACGTATGCCATCCTGAAGGTACATGAGATGGTACTATATCCGAGACCTGTGCAAAACTGCTATTGCTTGTTTTTATGAAGGAAAGCAACGCCGATACCACGCGGCGAGGATGCACCACCATTGCCGGTCGGATGATGAATTTGACTGGGGCACGCCTTTCGTGGTGGTCTGATATCATTCTGGACCTCATTGATGGATTGGAGTCATGAGAGGGCGTCAATCGACTTGTTCCGCGGGTCGATTCAGCCACAGCAACATCATGGCGCGGTGATGATTATTCGACTCACCACAAAGGCATAAATCACAAGCCGTCAACACTCTTGGTTGGTTGATACAGTCAATAAAATACGTTGCAGGTCCGTGAAAACTCAGTGAAAAGACTTTTGCAGATGAGCATCCGTGTAATGATCGAGCTCACTTGGTGAAACTCACCATTCCAGTCGTCCTTGCATGGTCGAAGTTTACAGGTTTATTCGACAATGACAAGAAGAAGCTCAACCAGGACTATCGCCCCAGTGGCTAGGGGGCTCGAGAACTATAATATGCTTGAACGAAGGCTCAAATGGAAGGGCACCAGTAACTTGCATTACTCTAATGTCGTTCCGAGGGATCATTTAAAGACAATCTGATTGACTTCCCCCAACGCGTGCGATACTCGAACAATTAAACTCTTTCGACAGTGTCTGCTCTGCACCTCCTCCGACCACTGACCCTCACTATGCAGCTATACCATCCACCCCAACCCGGCCTCGTGAATGGCAATGACTAGCTCTGTGACCAGCCCCTACATCTGCATGTCATATGCATCGATGGCGTTGTCGTATGCATCATCAACATCACCGGTTCCCTGACGGATGGTCTCCTTGTCGGCTCCGGCCGCCTTGGCCTGCAGGGCCACGGACAGACCATCGGTCTTGACCCGAAGCGCATGGAGGTTGGTCCGGATGGTGCTTCCCACGCCGGCGGTGATGAAGAGATTCCGCTATACATTGGTCAGCATCATGGTCGGCCACGATTGGAATATATGAAAGATGGAAGGTGAAAGAACGTGAGAAGTGCATGCATGAGCAGATGTGACTGACCTTCAGGACCAGAGCTGCGATGGAGCTGCGCATGACCGGCTCCAACTGGGTCAGAGCCTCAGTCACCCGGCTACTCTCCGAGGCCGTGAAGACCGCAGTGCCGTTGACGTCGGCAGAGGCCTGGTCAAGGGAGCGCTCGACAGCGGCCTCCTGGGTCTGGATCTCAAGGGCCGCGGGCAAGCCTCCGGAGTAGCTGTAGACGGCAGCACTCAGAGAACCAATGTCGGTGTTGACCTGAGTCAGATCCTGGATGATGGTGGGGATATCACGCCTGATGACGCGAGCCGTGGCCACAGCCAGGAGGGAGAGGACTGACGCGGTGGCGAGATTGAAGCGCATGTTGCTGATGTGGCCGATTGGATTTGTGGTGTGGATGCGTATATTTTGGTGATTGTTGTTGAGCTCTGAGAGAGGAACGATTGGGTCTTTATATCCAATTTTGAGGGATATGCTGGGCTCTCAAACTGTCCCCGTTGCGCGCGTGTCGCTCTGGATGTCCTATGTTTGACAATGAAATCCATGGTCCGGTGATTTACTCCGTGAGGCTTGTGTTGCCATGAGTCTAATGTCATACGTGTGCTTCGGTTTGCTACAGATCGGTGTTTACGTGTCTGACGACAAGTGCGACAGCAGAGCGCGAATGCAGCACTGAGAGATACGTTGCGTGTATAGTACGGCGTTCTGCTCAGCACCCATTGTAACTGGACTCATTACGGGAGTCTAGTATACGAAACGAGAGAAGATTCAACGAGGTGAAAGATCAAGGGACGGCGACGATGCACCGGGACCGACAGTCGACGTCGGGATTTTGCAAAACCGTCCGCCCGATGGAGATCAAACCGCGACAGGAGAAAACCAGACGTAGGCAAAGGTGAAACGCACATAAATCCCTCCAGTCTCTCTGGGTAGGGACGGGTGTATGACTTGGTGTTGTTCCACCTTTCATCTCACCACCGTGATACTTGCGCAACGGCGGTCTCTGGAAACCCACTCACGCATCCTTCCCATCTGCACTATGGCCGACCGCAGGGGGACACGGTACCTGAGTGTGTTATCCGCCTTGTGTTTCGACTGAGCCGAGGCCTGACAATGTTCTGTTCGCCACGGGAGAAGATCGGAGGGGAGTCACTGAGCGACAGACACACGCGCGAACAATGTCCGACCGGTACCAGAAGCTCGCTTTTGGTAACTTTGTGCAGCTGGGTGTCACACCGGCAAACCTTCCGTTGGCCCAAAGCAGGCATCGAAACGAGGGGTGACTCGGACCGAGGAGAAAGCCGTGACCGGCCCAAGGCAAGACGTGAATCAGTCAGCAGTGCCCGAAATTCGGATTGGCCCCTCGGGAAAGACGGAGAGACGATGACGATGAGCAGTGCTGATTAGCAAACCGAAACGAAAAAGAGGGGCCCCAGGCTGACCGAGGCTGGAATTTGGGGAAGGTGCAGTGGGAGGAGGAGGAGAGATATGGAGGGTGGGCCGTGGGGTGAAATGCTTCGTTGCGTAACAGAATGCTTGATTTTGCAGACGGTTCCCAAGTTATCAGTCAGTCAGTCAGTCTATCTTGACCAGACCATGCCGACTTGCCGAGGGGCGGGTTCACCGATGATTGCATCAGGGAAGGAAGCCACCAGTGAGTTCGATCGGCAATCCTGCTTTGGGTCACCCTCACCTGACATCACCTGACTTATGATCTATCACCTGACCAGGCATTTACCCCCCGGGGTACGGGGATGACTCAGCCTCCCCATCTCCCCATATCGGTGCACCAATCAGATGTGGATGCTTTCATAGCCGGACTTTAGGCTAAAGTCCTCCTCCCTCTTACGCCACTTCATCTTGGGAGGAAAGCTTGTCCGAGGCTTGTTTTCCGTCTGCGGCCGACTTTCCAATCCCCCCCCAATCCCCACGCTTGCCAGTCAGCAGAACATCTGCCGACTGACCATTCAACATCAGAGCATGAAGATTCTCCATATCTATCCCTCCATCCCATTCTTCTGGAGAACTTTCCGCTGACCCACCATGCCCACCACTCATTGGCCACTCGGCCATCTGTTCACCGGAGAATTCAAACCAGGCCAGCAGCAATGCCAGCAGGACGTCACCGGCGGCCAGAAATGACTTGGTTCTGTCAGCTTTAAAACTCTCCTCTCCCAAAGATAAGCCCATCGGTTCCTGAATTCTCTTCGCTTCTCGTATCTCCTCTGGTTCTTTCTGCCCGTTATGGCTGCTCCTATGAACCACAAGGACTTGGAGAAGACGGAGCAGCATGAGTCGCTGCCCGTCGTGGTGACGGCTGAGGAGGCACTTACCCGCGCCCGCCAACAACCGAACGTTGCCCTGCCGCTGCGCATCACCTTTGACCACCATGACCCCGACAATCCGCGCTGCTGGGGCTTCTGGCGCAAGTGGTACATCACCGTATTCGTGAGCATGCTCAATGTCATTACCACCTGGTGTTGTGGTTCCTTCTCGTCTGGCGCCACCCAAATTGCCGATCACTTCCACGTTTCGAGTGAGGTCACCACCTTGTGTTTGTCCCTCTACGTCCTGGGCTACGCCGTTGGCCCTGTCCTACTCGCCCCCTTGTCGGAGTACTTCGGCCGCCAGCCGATCTACATCGTCTCCTGGTTCATCTTGTGTATCTTCCAGTTGCCCTTGGCACTGGCCCCCAACATTGGTACCATTCTCGTGTGTCGTCTGATTGCCGGCTTGGCTGGTGGTGCCCCCTTGACCAACACCGGCGGTACGATCAGTGACCTGTGGGAGCGAGACCACAGTGGTTGGCCCATGGCGGTGTACGGCCTCAGCAGCACCGCGGGCCCTCCCCTGGCGCTCGTCATGAGCGGTTACATCGGTCTCGACCTGGGCTGGCGGTGGATCTTTTGGATTATGATGGCCATCAGCGGTGGGTTCTGGATCGTGCTGGTCTTCACGATCCCCGAGACCCGCCATTCCATCCGCCTGCAGCGCAAGACCGCCAAGATCCGTCGCCAGATGGAGAAGGAAGGACTGCGGTCGGCGGAGTCGCTGGACGACATCCATGGCGACAACCGCAAGGGACTGCACCAGTTGCTCGCCATCACCCTGACGCGACCCGTCCGCTTTCTGTTCACCGAGCCCATCACACTCTTCTCGGCCATCTTCAACGGCTTCCTCTATGGCCTCGTCTACCTGTTCAACGAAGCCTTCCCTCTCGTGTTTGGTGCTCCCCACGGCCACGGCTTTAACGTCGGCCAACAAGGCCTTTGCTTCCTGGGCATCGCCATCGGCCCCTTCATCGCCTTCGCCGCCCACCCCCTGCAGGAACGCTACTACCGCCGTGCCGTCGCCGCGCACGACGGCCTCAGTGTCCCCGAAGCCCGCATGTGGATGGCCCGCCTGGGCGCGTTGCTGATCCCCATCAGCCTTTTCTGGTTCGGTTGGACCAGCTACGCCTCGGTGCACTGGATCGTCCCGATCATCGCCTCGGTGTTCTTCGGAGCGGGCCTGTATATTGTGATCCTGAGTATTCTGAACTACGTGGTCGACAGCTACCAGACGTACTCGGCCTCGGCGCTGGCGGGCGTCATTCTGGTGCGGAACGTCGTGGGCGCCGGGTTCCCGCTGTTCGCGACGCAGATGTACAACAAGTTGGATTACGAGTGGGCGTCGAGTCTGCTGGGGTTCATTGCGATTCTGCTGGTTCCGATCCCGTTTATCTTCTTTTATAAGGGGAGGGCGATTCGGTTGCGCAGTCCGTGGGCCCGCGAGCATTTCGATTCGAATGAGGATAGTCCTCATTAGTTTAGCTAGGCTTGATAGAACTGAATTGCATTAGATATGTTCAATGTTGTGCATGAGGCTTCTTGGTGAGATTGGATATGACAGTAGTCATTGTATAGTACCTTCTCACCCCTGTCGTTGGATGTAACTAGGTAAGTGGGCTTTGAAGCGGAGCTGTGGTATAGGATGAGTCTATGTTTGTTATCATCGCCCAATGAAGTGATACATCGACCACTGCTTCGAAAGACTCTGGTGAAAGATGCAGTTTTGTCAGCTTTCTTGTCGGTCGATAGCCTTGTTCAATTCTTTCTCCTGTTATCCGATCATCCCGAGGAGGGTCATCTGGTTTGCACACTTCTGTTACAGCCACAATGGGGGTGCTTGACACGGGAACTGCAATTCCAAATCATGTTCCCTGAGGCTCTCATATATCTGATATCATGTTGACCGGGAATTGTTGGGATATTCATCAGGTTCGCAGCGCCAAGCCTGGGAAACGTGTATGTGCATCATTGCATTGTTGCCTGCCCATCGCGCCCAATCGCTGACTCATCCATACATTGAAGGAGGAAACCCCCACCCGAGTATTTGAAATAACCTTCTTTTAAGTTAGGCAGAGCCTCTGGCTGACGACCAACACGAGGGAGAAATTGCTGGGCGCATCTTGGCTGGCGGGGCGGACGCCAAAGCCGGTCGACTCAGCCTCGCCCCGGTTTCTTTACTAATACGCTCCCTCCTCCCTCCTCCCTCGTTCCTCCTCCGCCGCCCTCCGACAATCCACATTCGCATTGCGACTGAGCACAATCCTCTGGCGCTTTTCCTCATATGCCACATGATATGGCCAATCAGTCATTACAAGTGAGCGGATACAGACTCCGGAGAACACACGAGAAGTCCCGGAATGGGTGCCTTAGGTGCAAGCAGCAGCGGAAGAAGGTTCGTGGGCGCCCAGCCCTAAGGCTCTGCCCGCACGGTGCTGATGTCAATCCCCCAGTGCGACGAAAAGAGACCCAGTTGCTCCCGATGTACCAAGCGCTCGTATACTTGCCGATATCCATTCCCTCTCAGTGATGACAATTTGTCAGAAGAGCCGGAATCGGCCGCCCATTCGCCCGTCTCCGACTTGCATGTAATCTCCGGGCCCGAGTCTCCCGTCTCACCCTCACATCATCATCGTCTCTCGGATCCCACGCCTTATCTCGATGCACAAACTAGCTCCCAGTCACGCTCTAGTACCGATGAAGCAAGGCTGGACCCCAGCCGGTTGGGGCCGCAATCCCCCGGTTTCCTCGATGCGACCGAGCTGAGTCTCCTAGCACACTATCTCACGCACACGAGCCACATCATCCCGGTCGACCAGCTCGACCTCTACGCCCTTTCCGTCGGCGTGCCCAACCTCGCCTTCAGAAGCAAAGCGGTCATGTCCTCACTGCTCGCCTTGGCAGCAGCATGTCAGTCTCACGACATCGCCAAGCAAGCCCTGACGCCGCAGAGCCTCCTGCAAATCCGCGAGTTACTGGGGCTAGCCGAGCGCCACCACCGCGCCTCGCTCCGCCACATCCAGGAGTCCATGCAGAGTCCGGAGATGTACGATCACGTCTTGGCCAATGCGGCTCTGATGGTGCTGTACGCGTCTGCCAGCCACTCCATCCGCGTCCACTTGGCCGCCACGGCCAAGCAGCGGGGACAGCGGCTGCCTGGGGAACTGCTTCCGCAGCACTCGCAGTGGATCTCATTCACTCGTGCCGCGCATACAGCCTCTACTGCCGTGCTGAATGACATTGTGAACGCCGCGGACGGAGCTAGTCCAATCATACATACCGAGTCAAGCCTCCCTAGCACAGCCCTAAGCACCCCCGGGGTCCTATCGCCGCAGGACGGCCCCTCCGAGCACACGAAGCGTCTCTTCCTTCCCATCGTCGCATCAACCTACACCCAAGCCTTCGAACGTCTGCGCAAGAGAGCAGAGACCACGGTCACTTTACTGAAGAACTCGAATCAGTCCTGTAACATGGCCCAACTCCACGCATCCCTCGAAACAGTCTCCATCCTCGAGCACTGCGCCGCAGCAGCCTTGACTCCCCGCCGAACCCCGGCAACCAGCCCCCGAACCCAGGCCCTAGCCCTACACAAACGCGCGCGCGTCTCCCCCTGGGTTGCGAAGTACATGATCAGCGTGACTTCGATGGAGGCGCCGCAGATCCTCCGCCGGATCATCATGTCGTTCCTCAACAAAGCGTCGACCGAGTATCTCGGCCTCGTGCAGTCGGTTCTCGACGCCACGTCCACGGGGATGGAAGGCTCCGCCACCGCCGAGGTGAGGGCGCTGACGGCGACGCATGTTCTGGCGATGGACATTTTCGCGCATTGGTTGGTGTTGGTCATGTTGCTGGACGGGGTGTGGTGGATCGGGGCGATCGGGCAGTGGGAGCTGGGCCAGGTCTTGGCCGTGCTGAAGACGCAGGATCCGCTAGGCTTGGCGGAGACGGGGGAGACCTGGTGGCCCGAGAGTATGTACTTGGTCAAGCGGGAGCTGAGCCCTAGTGCTCCGTGATTGAAAGAGGTAGAGAGGATGGGTGTTTGAATTCCAAATATGTGTACATACATGGCTATTTCCAAGCGTCTGCATGTCTCCACATCAAACAGAATGCGCTAGACAACGAGATCTCGTAGCCACAATCTAGTCAGCAAGACATCCATCTGCAGAATCCGCCAAGCGAGGGAATTGGCGACTTGCCAAGCATGACTGCATGCCAAGTCAGTGAGACGCAGGCATTGCGCTGGCGAGACGTAGGGCTAAGGGTGGGGGGGGGGCGTATTAGTAATACGCTCCAGCTGAGGCTGTGGCTGTGCATGCGTATACTGACGCCCTCTGACAATGCGATTGTATATGCGCAGTGAGCTGGGATATCTTGGCTATGGAGCGTAGACACCATGCCAGAGAGTTGAGAATCAACATTAGAGACTCAACAATATATAAAGCAACAAATCTCCCATCCATCTCCACATCATCAGCCTAGCATCAACAGCACAACTATCTACCGCGTCGAACAAACCAACTGGATTCTATATCAACCCTTCACCATGTATCTCATGTCTACCTTCCATTCCATCCTCGCGATGACCCTCACCTTCGCAATATCTGGTCAAGCAGCACCATCACAGTCGCTCACCACGCGCGCAACCTCCGATCTGCCCTTGACAGCTCAACTGAAACTGGCAAACACGTACCTCCCCTGCCCTGGCCCAGAACCCTCCCGCATGAATAAAAACTAACTCAAGCAGAGCAACCGAGCGCTATGCTCTCCTCCCCAACGACAGCGACTTCATCTACGACTTTACCGCCAGCACCAACAACGAAACCGCCCTCCCCATCGCCAGCAGCCAGAACTGGCCCGCCCTCGTCGGCGTCGGCCTATCCTTCAGCATCTCCCAGCTGCCAGGTACAATACACCCCCATCCATCACCCAGCCCAGAGCCAAACTACCCCGACCCAAAACCCCCATCAACCCCAACTAACCATACAAAAAGCATGCACCATGTCCTTCCTCCATCTGCACCCAAGAGCCACCGAACTCTTCGCGGTAACCTCCGGCCGCATCCAGAGCTACATGGTGCCCGAGACAGGCGTCACCGATGCCCAGGGAAACCAGCGCGTGGTCAGCACGGAGCTGACCGCGGGGACGGTCACGGTCTACCCGGCGGGGTCGTTCCACACGCAGGTGAACCCGGACTGCGAGGCGGCGAATTTCTCGGCCGCGTTCAACTCGGAGGAGTTTGCCGTGGGGTTGGTCTCGGCTCGGTTGTTTGCCTTGCCCGATGAGGTGGTGAGTCGGGCTTTGGGAGGCGTTGGGGTGGACGAGGTGCAGAGGATTAGGGGGTTGGTGCCGGATGAAGCTGCGTTGGTTGTGGGGGAGTGTGTGAAGAAGTGTGGGTTGTAAGGGTAGGGTTGCTTTGGGAGGGATTATGGGGGGGCTGAAGGAAAGGGGATTGAGGGTGCTAAGGGCTAGAGGATGAGAGGATAGGGGATGGGGAGGTGATGGCTTTCTCTTGTCTAGGATATAGATTTGGGGTTTATTGTTATCGATTGTGCATTTTTATGGGATTTCGCGCTGAATGTCTCTATTGATTGGTGGTATTGCCTGTGACTTGAAGACCAAGCTGGGACCGCTGCCTGTATAGTAGATGGTTAGAAGGATTAGCAACAACATCAATGCAGGGGCATTGCGAACTGTCGATTGCATCACGATGTCCCGTTGCGCCCCAGGCAATTATAGGCTCGGCTAGATGGATCGGAGAATATTAAGCCATCCCCTTCCTGATTTTGAAGAATGCATATGCTGTGCGTCCTGTATGTGGTAATCTCCTATAGGGCGTTCATGCACATCCCTGGCTAACCCCGGACTACATACACCCTCGCAGTAAAGGTTACACTTCTGCCCGTGTAACTCGAGACTTTCGAATAGACCTTTGATAGACAGATAATGGAACAATTATCTGGAGTTGATACCTATTGACCAGGAGAGCTGGGGTCTGATGATGTGAGCATACTTTTGTAACGCGTGCGTCGATGGCTCTGGTCAGTCTGGTCAGATATCTTCCGACTATTACACTAGGATGAGAATGGCTGTCCGTGACTAGAGGTCGACCATGCATCGGGCGATGGGATCTGTACATCTACAAACTGGCCCCTTGAGTTCCAGCTACATGCATATACTATCCCTTGACATGGTCCCACTTCTATCTTCAGAGAATCGTTGCCCTACTCGGTTGGCTCGCTCGATATAGATCTCCTCGAAAGCAAATCCAGCTATGCACACCACCCTGAGTTTGCTTCTTACCTCGGCTTTGATGACTGCCGCTCAGTCAACCACCTCGACCCTTTTAAAGACCTTGACGACATCATCGAACGAGATGTGGCCATAGTTGGCGGAGGCTCCGCAGGCACATACTGCGCCATCAGCCTCCAAGACCAAGACAGGTCCGTCATCGTGATCGAGAAGGAACCCCGACTCGGGGGCCACGTCGAGACGTACGTGGATCCTGCGACAGGCATCGCAATGGACTATGGAGTTGCACTGTTCGACAACACCCCCGCGGTCAATGACTACTTCGCACGCTTTGACATTCCCTTAGTCAAGATCAGCGCGTTCAACATCTCCTGGTTCAGCTACGACTTCCGTACCGGCAAGGCAGTGGCCCCCAGCTACAACCCATCGCGCGAGGAGGTGTTGGCCGCGTTCGTAACCTACTTTGCCCAGCACGCGCGATACCCTGGGCTGGAGAGGGGAATCTTCCTTCCGAGTCCCGTTTCCGAGGATCTGTACATGCCGTTCTGGCGGTTCGTGGAGAAGTACGAGATCCAGGCTGCGGTGCTCACGATGTTCCTGCTCGACGCGGGGGTAGGGGATCTCCTATCCAACCCGGTGGTGGAGGTCTTTCGCGCGCTACCGCGCCATATGGTCGAGGGGGTTCTGACATCCAACGTCCTGACCCCCGCCAACCACACCGTCATCGAGCTGTACAGACGGGCTGAAGCCGAGCTGTCGTTGACCTCCAGCCTCTTCCTTTCCTCCGAGGTGCTGTACGCCTACCGCGAGCCCACCAATACCACCGAAAAGAACAAAATCACCCTCCTCGTGCGAACGCACACCCCCACAGAGACACAACTCACCCTCATCCACGCCAAGAAGCTCCTCATCGCCATCCCCCCCAAACACTCCCTCCTCGACCCCTGGCTCCGCCTCACGGCGGACGAACTCTCCGTGCTCATCCGCTACATCAACACAGGCATGTACGTCGGCATCGTCAACGGCACGCGCTTCCCGCCCACCGCAGGTATCCTGAACCTCGCCTCCAACCACACGATGTACTCCTTCCCCTATCTGCCAGACATGTACAACCTCATCCCCGCCCGCGTGCCCGGGCTGATGCTCGCCATCTACGGCACCATGCAGACCCCCGACCCGTATCCTATGTTCGAGGTAGCCGTTCGCCAGCACATGCTGGAGGATATCCGGCGGATCCAGCGGGGTAATCCGGACCGGTACCCGGGGACGGAGGAGCCCGCGCTCGTGGCGTTCGCGGGCCAGGCGCCGTATATCCTGCAGGTGTCGGGGGAGGACATCAAGGATGGGTTCTATGAGAGGCTGTATGCGTTGCAGGGGCAGATGAATACGTTTTGGATTGGGGCGGCGTGGGCGGCGGATATTAGTGGGGAGATTTGGAAGGTGGCGAGGGGGGTGGTGCTGCCTAAGCTGGTGGGGGAGTTGTGAGCGCGATGGGTTGGTACTGTACTTCGTTCTTATGTCTTCTTTACATGTGAACAGGGAGAGGTTGGTATGCAACGTGGAGGCATGATTCGGTCCTCCAGAGGGGTTTACCTCCCGTATAACTGGGGCGATCCGTCAGCCTGTAGGCGGCCCCCTTGCCGATTTCTCCGCAGCCAAAATTGATTCCATGCATGTACTGGACGTCTATGGCGCTTCAGGAAATATACTCAAAGAGTTCAAGTGTGTCCTGCGGCTACAAAGTTCCTCGAGCCGTCTGTCCAACAGCTTTATCCCAAACCCTCTGGCCATGGCAAAGGATATCAAGCTGGGAGTCTAGACCGAAAATCTCAATCCGCTAGACCGTCCGTTCTGACTCTTTAGCGAGGAAAAGGGAGAAAAAGGGAGAAAAGGAACTATGCTGTTGGAATTGAATGGTCTTATTTATGCTTGATATTCTAATTTGGGAGCGGATGACTCGTTACTTGTGCTATGTGGATTTGCTCCAGATCATTGTCTGGGACAACCTGATTGAAAGCACCATAGAACACGCCTCACCACTGGCAGCCCGGCATGTGGCTACTTCCCGTCGTGAATTGCGACGGCGAACTTGGAACGCTGTCGGATGCGGCCGCCGTACTGGGACAAGAGGAACGGCGCAGGAAGACAGAGCAGCGACAGAAAGGCGGGGACACTGCTTGCCCAGTGGATCCCAATGCCCTCGTACATAGCAGTGGTGAACAAAGGGAACGCTGCACCGCACAGTGAGCGCAGGACCGTCGAAGCCGCCAGCGCCGAGGCTGCATAGGTCACATAGCTATCAACCAGGTAGTTGACCAAAGCCAACGAGACGCAGATGTTGCCGAATCCGAAACAGGCGGTGCCCAGCATACAGACTACCCAGGGCACCGAGGGGGCATTGGTCCAGGCGAACAGGAAGAGACCGCCAGGAAGCAAAACCGCTCCGACCTTGCCAGACTGCAGGCGCGCTTCGGGGGCCAGCTGGCCGCTCTCTGACTCTCGACACCGTCGTGCATATTGGCGGTTGATGACAACCATGAACGCTGTGGCACCTAGCATGCCGATCGCAATGGGGAGGAATGCGAGGCCCCCCTCCCCTGGGCTCCATCCGCGGACGCGCTGGAAGACAATAGGCAGGGCCGCCAGCAGTAGGTAGGTGGTGCCGTAGATGCAGGACATGTAGACGGCAAGGACCACGACAATCGGCTCGCGAACGAGGAGTCGCACAGGACGGGTCATGGAAATGCGAAGTCTCGCCGCCAGAGATCCGGGAGGGCTCCGGTGGTCGACGCTCGTGATATAAGATTTCCCTGTCTGTCTGGTGAGCGCAGCGGCCCGTCGCCGAAGCACCACATCCCCGACGGTCTCGGGGACCAAAAGAAGCCCCAGCACGAGCATCACTCCCGCGTAGATAGCGAGCAACGCCTCAATGGATCGCCACCCTCGCGTCTCGCCGAGAAATCCGCCCACGATCGGCCCCAGCACAGGCCCGAGAAACGTTGCGCCCGAGTAGAAGACTGCCGCCAGGCCTCTCGTTTCCGCACTGTACAGGTCGGCTACAATGCCACCGGAGTTGGTGAGAGGGGAGCTGCCGAACATGCCGGCCAAGCATCGGAATGCAACCAACGAGCCGAAGTTCGGCGCGACGGCTGCTGCGACATTGAAGACGGCGAAGAGGCTGAAGGTGGTCAAGAACAGGACTCTCCTGCCGAACGCTTCCCCTAAAGGGGCCCACAGCAATGGTCCGATGGCGAACCCGAGGACGTACAGCGACAGCCCCAGAGTGGCCGCCTCGTCGGAGACGTTGAAGTACTCGCAAATGGAGGATAAATCTCCCGAGTAGGCACTGGACGCAAAGGCAACTGAGAGCGTTGAGAGCCCTGACAGAACTATGATCATGGCCTTGCGTGGGGCGGCGAAGTTCCGGGCATTCAATCGGTCAGTCGGGGGCCACGATATGATCTGTGGATTCTCACGAGTGCCATCCCCGGGCCACTCGTGTTCAACATCTCCGGCAATTTTGTGGACGTCGCCGGTGCCTAACAAAAGAAAGCACCAGGTCATATACAGCATACTCGATTTCTTGTGTGGGTAGTGCATCGGGTTTGGTATAACTCTTGGTAGACCCTCGGATCGCGAGGTATGCTCACAGCAGGGCGTGCAAGGACGGGGAACGAGAGTGCGGGAGCAAAAGCCAGGGGCAGCTGGTATGCATTCTCATCCTTTGACTTGACTAGCTGTGTCTCGCTGAGAGAAGGAGAATGAGAATCACACAGACTGACCCACGGTTTGTTCGGCCATCTCAAGCGAGCTAATTGAGGCCAACAGCTTCGATCATCGATCTATCTATCAGTACCTGTCATCCTATGAACTCATGCCCGGTATTAGGAGTTAGCAGGGCAAGCACCGATACGTGTTGAAAGCTTTTTTTGGAACTTTAAAGCCCATTTGCCGCCATTCTTGCTGACCTTTGGTTCAACCGGGCCGTTGAGTGTCATTTTGGGCTAGTCCCGTAAGCGATCTATCAGACCCGAACCCTGAGTGGCGTCAATCAATTCATAACTGCCATCGGATCAAGAAGAAAACCAAAAAATAAATAAAAAAAAATAAAAATCAAAGGGGAATGATTTCAATTTCAATGGTTTTTGATGACCTGTCTGCAGTACGGGACAAATGACCGGAGATGGTCGGTCCTCTTCAGAACCCCTCGGTGAAATACTTAAGGTACTGCACGGTGCGTCGGATCCAACACTTCAGATACATTCACCTTGGATTCGAGTTGCCGCCTTACCAGCGACCTACGGGTTGTGACTCGTAGAGCATGACTTCCTCACTCGCAAACGAAATCACCATCACTGCTCCAGGCTCGGGTGCATTGAGCGAGCCATCATCTGCGATGGCCCCTGATTCAAAACCCAGGACCCAGGACCCGCCGAATGGTGGCTGTCGGGCATGGCTCCAGGTGGTTGGGTCTTTCTTTCTGTTCTTCAATACCTGGTAGGTGCTACTTGTGCTTGGCCCATCGTTGGAAGCAAGACTGATCATCGCCAGGGGTCTGATCAACTCCTATGGCGTTTTCGAGACGTTCTACGAGGAGACATTGCTCCAAGGAACTGCTTCATCGACCATTTCCTGGATCGGCTCGCTGCAGTCCTTCTTGATTATGTTCCTCGGCGTCTTAACCGGACCCATTTACGACGCGGGGTTCGTCATCCCCTTGCTGTATCTTGGCTCGCTTCTCGTCGTCTTCGGTCACATGATGCTCAGTTTATGCCAGAGCTTCTGGCAGGTTCTGCTTGCGCAGTCATTCTGCGTGGGCATCGGCGCCGGTCTGATATTCGTCCCCAGCATTGCGATTCTTTCGACCTATTTTACCACCAAGCTGCCCCTGGTCATTGGCATCGCCGCCTCGGGGTCGAGCATCGGCGGCGTGATTTATCCGATTCTGATCCGCGAGCTGCTGGGCCGAGTGGGATTTGGCTGGACGATCCGCATTGCGGGCTTTGTGGCCCTGTTCGGACTGGGCATCTCCTGCGCGGTGCTCCGGGTCCGCGTTCTCCCTGCCAGTCGCCGGAAACTGATCGACTGGCCCGCGTTCCGCGAGGCCCCGTACACTCTGTTTGTCATCGGGCTCTTTCTCTGCTTCATGGGTCTGTATACCCCCTTCTACTACATCCAATCCGTGGCGATCCAGAACCATCTCACCTCGGAACACCTGGCGTTCTACTTGGTGCCGATCATGAATGCGACATCGACCCTGGGACGTCTGGCACCGGGATATCTGTCCCAATGGATAGGGTCGCTGAATATTCTGATTCTCTGTGCGTTGAGTTCCGGTCTTCTGGTCCTGTGCATCATCGCCGTGCAGACACAGGGGTCTTTGTTGGCCATCTGCGCCTTGTATGGGTTTTTCTCGGGTTCACTGGTCTCGCTCATGGGTCCCATCCTGGTCATGCTGTCCCCTCACCGTGGAGTGACAGGGACCCGGATGGGGATGTGTTTTACGCTGTTGGGCGTAGCTCTATTGATTGGGACTCCCATTGCTGGCTCCATCCTGGGTTCTCATGGTGCGAATATGGTCTGGGTGTATAGTGGTGTTCTGACTCTGTCCGGAGGAGCAACGATTGGGGCTGCTCGGATGAGTTTGACGGCCGGGATGATTGTTGCAAAGACCTAGATTTCGATTGTATGGTGTTGGAAGATTGATATTATGACTGGGTTGCTCTGAAGCTCCCATATAAGCTATATTAAAGAGTCGAAAAACTCCCTCGCGCATTGAAGAGTAGTTTCATAGGAGCTTACTGGGCCCTCGTGTTATATCTGGCATTGAGTTGGATAGAAATGAAGTTTGCCAGATGAAGTACCTGGGCCTTTGTATACCCTCCCTGGCCACGTAGAATGCAAAGCAACTAACTGATAGCCAAGCAATTTACCTGTAATCTGTAATGAACACTTCGTAATACAAGTAGTTTATATCCAAGTATAACTATACTGTTCTTTGAATACTAGTTGGTACTGTCTGTTTTAAATTAATATATGGCTTATTGTATATATATAATACTATAAAGTCACATTCCATAACTATATCTTTAAAGCTGATTATAACATTTAAACATGATACATTGTGTATTTGTATTACAGCAAGATCTAACCGGCACTATGACACTGTGGCTGCATATACGTCCTAGCAAGTTGTATTCTACGTGGCCAGGGGGGGGGGGGGGGGGGGGGGGGGCGGGGGGGGGGGGGGGGGGGGGGGGTGGACACCGGTGTAGCTTCTAGCCGGGTGACTTGCCATTCAATGTTGAGAGATCCTTACTTTTGATCCTACCATGGTATCTTTCGTACACTTTGGGGGTCCACATTGGAAAGCCGCATAGACAGAAAAAAAAATAAAAAGCTAATCTGAAAAGCTGATCTGCAAAGAAAATGAATTGGGGCAAACTGGGGCAAATCTGGGTTCTAACCAGTTTAGGCTAGCGGCGTAAGCATGAAATGCTGCCCCCGCTTTAAGGTATCTTTAAGGTATCTTTAAGGTATCTTTAAGGTATCTTTAAGGTATCTCCGGTTTTGCCGTCCGCTCTTCCACTCTCCCTCTCTCCCTCTCCCTCTTTCTCTCCCTCCGCCCAGCGTTCTTTTCTCAACCTCTTCTCTTCCTTATTCCTCCTAGCTCTGGGTCTATTAATTTTATTTTTCTCCTGTCTCCATTAAGAAAGTGACGTTTCACAGCCTCACTTGCCAATGAAGGACGAACAAATGGCAGGCCCCAACGCTGATGACTTACTCCACCTGGATATGAGGGCTGAGAGACGTAGGATCCAGAATCGCGTGAATCAACGCACTTATCGTAGGCCCCCTCCCCACCCGGCGCTCAGGAGGGTCACCCGCAAGCAGTCCATGTGTCATTAACCAGATCATGCTTAGGGATGAGACAAAATTTGCAAGGGAACGATCCCCCACGGCCCAGGCGTTGGAAAGTCATCGGCTCGCTAAGCAGTCAAGATCCCGCCCCTATCAACGAGAACTGTGGTGTAATACAGCACAGTGGTACTCCTCACCCTTCGTCACCTCACATGTCCGATAATTCCTTCCACCAGACCAGCGAATTCCAGCCAGATGCCATCATTTGCCGCCTTGCGCCGCCCCACGGCGGAGAACGGGGCCGCCAATTCGAGCTGGCCGCGTACCGGCATTATATGCAGGGGACTCCCCAAGTCGACCATCTGCTCACTCTGGTCAAATTGAATGTCTACCGTGCATTAACCGCCAACCTGAACGCCCTCGGGATGACGGACCTTAGGGGGTGGATGCACCCGGATGCAACGTCTGCCTTTGCCACCCTGCAGCCGAGCGCAGCCCGCGATCGGGCCCTGCCCAAGCATCTACAGCCCACCGCCATCCAGCGGGCGGTGCCACACCACCCCTGGTTGGACTTCTTCCCGCATCCCCGGATGCGCGACCGGCTGATCGTGGCCGGGGATCAGTACGACGACGAGGAACTGTGCGTGGACATCATGGGCTTCTGGAACGCCGGCAAGGAGGACCCGGCGCTGATCGTCTGGGGCCCGCCGTGGGACATCGCCAATTGGGAGATGTCGGACGCCTTCGTCCAGAAATGGGGATGGACGGTCAAGGACTGCCCGGATCTGTTCCGGGCGACCAATGCATGGAGGGCCCTACGCGGGGACAAGCGGCTCCGCAGGGGCTGAACTGCGTTCCCCTGGTGCGCCTTGACTCTAGTCTTGCGGATTGCCATTCGATGCGGTCATAGCCGTTTCACCTGGGTCAGAGCTCGTTACAACCAGCGTAGTGAGGTGGGTTACCGTGGTCTAGCATTGCGACACACAACAAACACAATCATTTGACCCTTGTGGCGTTCAGTTTACTAATACATAACGATATCGCGCCCGTCCATGGTCCATATCCAAAATCACCTGGTTAGCCTCCTTCATCGGTCGTTCTTCGATCCACGGCCGCACACCTTTAGCCTCTGCCAAAGCAAGCATTTCGCGTATCTCGCCAGGGCTTCCAATCTTCGACCCACAGAGTCGAAGACCGCTCCCGATCAATGCCCCGGCAGCGACGGAGAACGGACCGTCCTCCGGGTTACCCACCTGCACGAACGCACCATTGGGTCGCAAAAGCTTGAGGTAATCTGCCAGGGGGAGCGTGTTGGAGGAGACGGTGGATATGATGAGATCCAGGGTGCCGGCGTGGTGGCCCGCCCAGTCGGGCTCCTCGGCCGTGGCCACGTAGACATCGGCCCCGAGCGTCCGGGCGTCGTCGCGCTTCGACGCCCGGCGCGAGAAGGCCACAACCCCGTCCGCCCCCAGCGCCCGCGCAAAGAGGATGCCAAAATGGCCCAGCCCGCCGACGCCGACAATCCCGACCCGGCGCCCGGGCCCGCAGCCGTACTGCTTGAGCGGCGCATACACCGTCGCGCCCGCGCACAGCATCGGCGCGGCGGCGGCGGACGGAATGCCCTCGGGGATCCGGATCGCGAAGTGCGCCGGCACGCGGTGGAAGGTTGCGTAGCCCCCGTACGAGACGCTGCCGTCCAGATACCGTCCCGCGTACGTGCCCGTCCACAGCCGGGTGCAGTACTTCTCGTTCCCCGTGCTGCACTCGATGCAGTGGCCGTCCCCAACCCGCCCGCGGCAGGAGTCGCTCTGCGGGCCCACGCCCACGCGATCGCCGACCGCGAGCCCCTGGCCTTGGCCTTGCTGCACCTGCGACCCGACGCGGACGACGATCCCCACGATCTCGTGGCCCACGCAGCACGGATACGGGGTCGGACGCTGTGTTGGAGAGAAGAGTCAACGACTGGTCACTCCCACAAGGGGGGACAAACCTACCCAACCGCTGCGCAAGACACAGAGGTCGGACGCGCAGACGCCGCAGTGGGTGACGCGGATGTCGACGTCCGTTTCCTCCCAGGGCTTCGGCTGGAACTCCCGCCACACCAGTTGCCCTCGGGCGGCATTCGGGTCCAGGCCCATCCACCCTTCGAATTTGGGGGCGGTGTCTGGCATCATAAGTAAGTGTTGGAGGAAGCTGTAGGTGGCTGACGGGAAGAGAGATGTGGAATACTGTATTCGAAGTCAAAGGTCTTCGATCGGGGTGGGCGGAGAGGAGCATTGGATCGTTTTATATGGCCCTGGTCGGGTGGGGGGCAAATCAATCAGCCATAGTAGGAAGCAACGAAAAAGGTTCAGTCGGAGTTGTTTACTCTTACGTGATTGTCAGCATCATGCTGTTCTCTGTATTTTACTGCCGGGTCTGTCCACGTCTTCGAAGTGTATTTAGTTACGGGGTAAGCTGGCTGGGTCTTCGCCCTCAATGGGTTAGGCTTGTCAGCGTGCGGGAAGCAGACCCGCTCGCTCATGCTCAAAGGAAGTGCAGTGCTGACATGATGGATGACATGCTCGTTGCTCTTTTCATATAAACTCCTGGTAGATGGACTTAGAGCAGTTGTTACCCCCTATCTCCGACTTCAATTCGAGGAAGGTTCAACTCTCGTGGCGGTAGCGATGCAGACAATTGAATAAGTCCCAGGCGTAAGTCACCCCATTCCGCCCCTAGTATGCACACGTACTCGTGCAACGTGTCATCGATACCATCAGGATAGCGACCAAGGACGGCAGTTTTCTCTAGGACTAATTGTCAAGTAAACTCAGTGGGGCTGAAATCTTCCCTCAGACACGAAGGGAGAATTGAATCAGACTCGGAGTCAAGCATCCAGTGTACTCTATCTGAGCTGGCTATTGTATTCGAGATATCCATGGTCCCGACCGGTCAAGGGCATGCTTTTGGAGAGGTGGCCCAACTACGGCCTCTACAACTAGTCAAGATACTACTACGAAAGAGGCAAGAGGCAAGCAACAAGGGAAATTCATTTCAAGGTATCGACCATCCCATTCGCTCCTACCGGGTGAAGGAATCCACCTGAAGGGGCGTAACCTCCCCCAAGAGCTGAGCGCCTACTCGCTCAGAGAGACCGTATCGACGTAAAGATACGGCATCATACTGCCTGGATGCCGGTCGCCGTGCACCTCCGCGGCCTGGATCACCTCAGTAATCTCTTCCAGGTCCTTCGGGTCCAATCGAACGTCCAAGCTGCCCACGTTCTCTTCCAGGTTCCGAATCTTCGTAGTCCCCGGGATGGGAACGACCATTTTCACCGAGGCGCAGAGCCACGCCAGACTCAGCTGGCCGACGGTGCACTTCTTCTGCGCCGCCAGCGCCTGCAGCCGGTCGACCACCGCCAGGTTCTTCGGGAAGTTCTCCGCCGAGAACCGCGGCAGGATCCGGCGACGGTCGGTCGCATCGAAGTCGCCGGCGCTGCGGATCTTCCCCGTCAGGAATCCGCGGCTGAAGGGCGAGTACGGCACAACCGCGACCCCGAGCTCCTCGCAGGCCCGAAGAAGGCCGTTGTGGAAGGCGTCCACGGCAAAGGGCGAGATCTCCACCTGCACCGCCGCGACGGGGGTGGACGCGGTGCGCGCGCCGGAGCGTCGCCGCGGAGCACTCGCTCAGCCCCAGGTACTTGACGAGCCCGTCGTCGACGAGCTGCTTCATGGCTCGCATCGTCACCTCGATCGGCTGGTCGGGATCGATGCGGTGGCAGTAGTAGAGGTCGATCGCATCGCCATCGGCGAGACCGAGGCGCGCGCGGCTGCGCAGGCACGCCTCGCGCACGTACGCCGGGTCGTTGTGGATGCTGGACGGCAGCCCCGGTCGCTGTTGGATGCCGAACTTGGTGGCCAGGAAGATGTCCTGTCGCTTGCCGCTGCGTTGAAACCAGCTTTGGTAGCTCGTGTGGTTAGCGGGCTCTGGGGAGCTATGCGAGTGGGCTGCTTGGTCGTCGTTCAAGACCGCTGGCTGTACCTACCGCGCGAGAATGTCTTCATTGTCGGCGTAAACGTCCGCCGTGTCCCAGAATGTGACCCCCCGAGCATGTGCCTCGTCGAGAAATCGCAGTCGATCCTCATCAGGCATGGGGACTCCGTAGAACATGGAAAGACCCATGAGACCAAGACCTACAACCTTGCAATCAGTCTTGTGCGGTGATGTAGAATCCGAAACCTGCCGAATCCTGCTCACCGTGCGCGGGCACCAGAGGGCCGTTGGCGCCCAGTTGGACGGTGGGAAGCATTGTCTGGTTGGGAGAGGTGGTGGACATCAGTGCAACTGTTAGCCAGAGAAGAGGTTCGACTGCTTGTCCGGTAGAGAGATCTAAATTCTTATACCTACGTCCATCCACGTCAGCTGAACCTGGGTAGGCTCAATGGGTTCAGCTTTAGGGTCTTCTACCCTTGCATCCTCGGCCGGAAATGGCTAGTCACATAAGCATTCGGGTATAATCCCGTGCGTTCCAGGTTCCAGAAGTCGTCAAACAATGCCTGGCGGACCCACTACCATCTGATGGGATGACGAGCGGCTTTATCTCCGGATGGTTGGAGTCGGCCAAACCCTGGAGCTGACTAGCTGATCAAAGTTAACTAATGAGAGTTGAAGGCAACTCTAGCCTGAAGAGTAAAGCACCAATCCATAGATCTCCGACACTTTGCCATGGCTTTACTTCCAAGATATCCACACTATACACGGGGAGTTGCAACAGTTTTCAGTTCGTTAATTGAACACACAACTGTGGCTGTTACGCTTTGACACCTAGACCCACCCATTCGACTGCAATCAATTTCTAGTTGCACTGTGGGCAGGCAGCGTGACCATGCACAATCATGTCTCCAGGGTCAAAGATGTGACACCTAGATGCTTACCCTATTCAATCATCTTTCTGGCACAATCGGCGGTTCATATCGTTGTTAGGATGTTTGACAGGGAAGAATCAGCCAAGACGGCTTTTCGTATCACATCCAAACTGTACTACTTGATCTACACTCACCGATGTTCCAAACACCCCTCTATTACACCTGCGCACCCATTCCCGCGATCATACGCATCATCTCAACCAGGCAAACCATCTACTCAAACCACCGATCGACCACCCACCACCTCCAGCCCCCCTTCTTTTTGATGCGATGCATCCATCCCCAAGCACCCGCTCATACTCATCCACCTCCGCCCGCAACCCGCCGACCCCCAAATCCGCCCTCTCCGGCCGCACCCACCCCGTCCTCCGGGAAACCTTCCACCCCACCCCCAGCACCACAAACACCGCAATCATGGCATAATCCAGCACAAACGTCTCAATGCTCCACCTCCCATGCAAGAAAACCTCCCAGCCCAGCACCAACACCATCACCCCGGTCCCGCACACCGCAAACCACCCCGCATACGGCTGCAGATACCCGCGAAACGGGAGTGTCGTCCGATCGACACCCTGCGCTTGCAGCGCCGCGTAGAAGTGCAGATACGTGACGCACGTCCCGAAATAGTTGAGGAGGTATGAGGCAGTGATCACGCTGACCAGCCAGTTCAGGACGGTCGCGGAGGCGTGTTGCACCTGGAGGAAGGCGAGGCAGCAGAACGCCATGGTTAGGGCGATCGCGTAGATCGGGAGGCCGCGGGTCGTGCATCGCCCCAGAATGGCCGGGGCTTTGCGGGTCAGGGCCAGCCCGTGGAGGGTGCGTGAGGCCGAGTAGACTAGGTTGTTGCCGGCGGAGAGGACGGAGGTTAGGATTAGGAGGTTGACCAGGTGCGGGAGGACGGGGATCGAGAGGTTGTTCATGGAGATTACGTAGGGGGATCTGTTGCCGTTAGGCTTGGGCTTGAAGGAGAGATGGGAGGTAGGGTCAGGGTGAAGGCAGGGCTCACGCTGCGCCGGTGCCGCTTCCCTTGCGTGTGCCTGCGATCGTGGCGGCGAGCGTCGGGTCATTGTACGGCAGCACGATCCCCATGCATAAGGCGCCGGCGATGAAGAAGACCATCAGGCGCCAGACGAAGGAGGTGAAGGCTCGGTGCATGATGACCCGTGGTCGCTCCGCTTCTGCGGCCGTCATGGAGATGTATTCTGGCCCGACCATGCTGGAACTCGTTAGAATGTGTTGGGGTTTGTGGTGAGGGTGGGAAGGGTTACGTGAACGACGCCTGGATCATGCATGCGAGGACACCACAAAAGCGACCGGTATTTCCTGCAGCGAGGTACGAGACGAAGGCGCCCTGTGGTATGGTGTGAGCGCAAGGCAGAGGGTCGGCTTGTGGTTAGTTAGGGTTGGACTCACTGGGTCCTTCCAGTAGCGGAAGCCATATGCATCGTGATGAGGGTTCCCTCCGACCATCGTTACGAAAGTGTAGCCGATCAGCCCTATCATCAGGATGATCTTGCAGATAGAGAGGTAGAACTCGGCCACCCCGAAGTATCGGACAGTCAAAATGTTGAGGATGCTGCGAGGGTTAGCACTCGCGGCCAGACAGACGGGGATGCTGTACCCATATATCACCATGACAATGACAACGACGGCCGCCACCGGGATGCGATCCGTCCAATACGTGAGCAGTACATTGATTGCGACAATCTCGTACGGGATTCCAAGAGCTATCTCACAGTCAGCTGCCGAATATGCTCCCCGCAGAATACTCACCCATCGTGAGGAAGAAGTTCCACCCCATGGCAAAGCCTAGGGCATCGTCGACCCAGTGACCGGCCAGCTGAACAAACGGCGACGGTATGGGCAGATAACACACCATTTCCGCTAACGATGAGTTATCAGCGCCAGTCCTCTCCTGCTAGCGTGTGAGCCTCACCAAAACATTGGTTCACCGCGAGAATGATGGTGCCATATGCCGCAAATCCCAGAAGCAGCCCGGCTGGTCCCCCTTTCGGCAGTACAGCGCCCATCTGCACGAACAGCGCTGTCCTCGTGAGTATCGCCACAGAGTATCAACCGATCCCGAGACTTACAGGTCCCGATGGCGCCGCCGACCGCGAGAAGCTGCACCTCTCTGCCCCGCAGCTTGCGGTGCAGATGCTGCGACCCCGCGGAGAGCACGCGGGCCTCCTCGACCACCGTATCGGGGGTTTTTGTCGCTGTCGATTCCATACGAGACTGATCTTGCATTGCGAGCTGTTTCGTGTGACATTTCGCACAATATTGCTTTGTGGACATTTATATCTGCTTTTTTTCCCTAAGCGCGATGGTGGGGTGCGATAGCGGGGTTCGGCCTATGAGCAGGGATGCGGTGGTCGACGTGCAGATGCTGTCTTGGTATGACTTCACTTATCGCCTCCAGTTGACTCTATCGTTGTTTTCCAGGAATATAATGTAACAGTTCTAATGACAAATCGCTATAACACCATGATAACAGGACCAGCCTGTTGCCCAGCCACCACTCTATTCATCATCGCCAAATGGCATCGCCACCCATTCAGCCTCCTCGACCGGAGGCTCCTCACTCTCACACCTTGAACACCGACACACAAATCGAAACAGCGTCTGCAGACGCTCGCGTCGAGTCTGGAGGTCCGTGAATTGTGTCAGGTCGAAATACGAGATACAGCATTCTTCCCCAGCGGCGATGTCCTTGGCCGCCGTGAAGATCATACGGCCGTGCTGGTCGGGCTTATGCGTCATCTACCTCCGGGTTAGCAGCCATAGACGTATGCACACTGAGGAAAACTCACATTCGGTCCGCAGGAGTGATTTGCGATGGCCGCACGAGGATACACCGCCGCGCCGAACTGCTCGCCCCGGTCGAGGGCATCCGGGGGCACGGGATACAGCCCCGTCTCGCGCGGGTACAGCCCGAACGAGTTGGCCTCTTCCTGACAGATGAGCTTGAGCACCTCCCTGTCCGGCAGGGGGTGCGGCAGCACCGGCCCATGGCGCAGGTACTTCTTGACGAGCGCCGTCCACGCGCGCACCTGCGCATGCGACCACGAGTCCTCCGATCCGCAAAACGACCGCATGGCCTGCCAGCCTTCAGCGAACCCCCGGCCATCATCAGCCGGATCATCCGGCGTCGTCGACTCCCCACCCTCAGCGGACAGTTCAACCTGTCGCGCCGCGAGAATCCGCACAATCAACCACAGCATCCCGAACTCATACTCGCCCCGCTTCTCGCGGATGGAGGCCGCGAACCGCTTGAGCCAGGTGCACTCGAACGCGTGCCGGGCGTGGTCCGCCGCTTGACAGGCGGTACTGCACCACATCACATCGCCCAGACAGCCCTGCGGACAGGCAATGCGGTCCGCCCGGCACGACATCCGTCGACTGCACGGGGGGTGACTGCACAGCAGCGCATCGCTCGTCCGGGGGTCATCGACCGCGGGGATCACCGCGTAGGGCGTGTCGACCAGCACCACCTCGCCCTGCGGGATGGGCTGGGCCGCCCGCAGCTGCCGGCCCTTGTAGGGGTCGACCCCTTGCTCGAGATGGGGGTGGATCCACGCCTTTGCTTTGGCGGCAGTGACGTCTGCGACAGTGGATTTGGTCACTGCTGCTGGTTCTAAGGGTATTGCCTGCCCCAGAGGCTGTAATAAGGGCATCTTTGCGGTGGATTGTTGCGTGCGTGTGGGCACCAGATCGGTCTACCGGGAATTCACGTTGGATCCCAATTCTGGTCGAAAATTTGACCCGGCCTTTTTTTTTTCTACGGGATTACACTATCGCATCTCTTATCGTCTGCAGAGCTGTGGGTCCTGCGTGCGCTGGAGTCGTCTGGGCCAATTATTCGGGCATGAGGGGTTGGTTAGGCCAATGGGATGCAGGCAAATGTGATGGGTCTTATCGGCGGATCGCGTGGCAAAGCTTGCCCTTTTTTGCGGTCTGATGGAAGTCGGATAGACTCTTACTTTCTCCGCAAGGGTATCTGGGGAAACTCTGGGTCGATCTGTGAATATGACTATTCCTTGAAGTCTGGGTTCATGAATTTGGTCAACCTTCCTGGGTGTATCTTCCAATTTGACCACCGCTTGAGTCCAAGGATGCGCGGAACTTGGACTTTGGATGGTATGCGGAAGGGCACTGGCATGACTTGACACGCTTGATATCAATTTGTAGCTGCCATACCACGGTTGCGATTTCCAATCTACTGATGAGATTGGTCACGCAGTAACCTTCTACTGAGTACATGCACGAGGGACTGTACTTGAACACGAACTGGGGGCCTATGACATGCATAATAAGTAATCAGCTTGCGTGGATGCATGACAAGTGCATAAGATTGGCTGCTCTCTTGAGAAGAATCGACACTGATCTCAAGATTCAGATTGTCCTACAAAGAACCTGAAGTGCATATCTTTGTTACGTGAATCAGGTGTGATCATCTACGTCGTCCGTGTGGGTGGAAAGCACTTCCCGGGCTCAGCCCTTCATTTACACTCAAAGTAGAGCAGGATAACAGAATGCGTCAATGTACACAACAACTCAAATTGACGGACAAAAATCACAACCGATCATTGACTAACAGCAGCGGCCGCGACCAGCGCATCGCAGGCCGAGCTCTGCGTCGAGGCATCGGCGCTGGCAAACGGGCCCGACCAGGTGCCCCCCAACGCATCGCCGTCGCCCCGGTCCTTCTCCCAGATACTATCCGCATTCTTCAGCAGGAAACTGCGGATCTGCTCACTGGGCGCCGCCTTGTAGAGCGTCGCCAGATTGCGCATGAACACCCCCTTGAACTGCGGCGCGTCGCCCGTGCAATTCGGCTCGCACGGCTCGGTCAGCACGCCGTCCGCATTGCTCAGGGCGCTCATCGCCGCGCCCGCGATCTGCTGCGCCGTCGACACGTACGACCCGTCCCCGAACAGCTGGGCCATCTCCACCAGAGCCCCCAGGATCACGCCCTGGTTGTACGTCCACACCGTGCCCCCGTCGTTGCGGCAGCTCCCCAGATCCAGCCCGTTGTTGATCGTGTGCTGCTCGTTGATCAGCCCGCTGCGCGCAAACCAGCTCCAGCTCTGCGCCGCCCAGTCCTTGTAGTACCCGGCCTGGGACGGAATCCGCCGGCCCAGATGCGCCGCGACGCTGAGAAACAGTTCGTTCTCGATGGCCCCGTTCTGCGTGTGCGACTTGTCCCACCACAGGCCACCGCAGGTCGCGTTCCAGCCCGTGGTCATGTCGGTGAAGATGCTCGCGGCCGTGGTCAGGTAGCGCTGGTCCTGGGTGAGGTCGTACACCTGGATCCAGGCGAGCGCCCACCAGGCTTCGTCGTCGTAGTAGTCGTTGATGAAGCCGGGGTAGGCGCGGCGGGTGAGGCGGCGCGCGCGGGCGTAGGCGTCTCGCTTCACGGCGCGCGCGGCGGTCGACCCCTGGGCGCGCGTGAGGGTGTTGGCGAAGACGGCGGCGTTCTGGCTCAGCTGGCTCGCGTCCAGCGCGGTCAGGTCCGCCAGCACCGTCAGGCAGTTGGCGCTGTTCCACCAGCCCGTCGTGTCCCACAGGCCCGTGCTCGGGTTGTACCATTTCTGCAGGGTCGTCACCGCCGCTTTGGCGTTGGAGAGGTAGTCGGTGGCCGCGAGGGCGCCCTGGAGGCAGAGCAGGGATGCGAGCGAGGTTTTGATAATCATTGTAGCGGTTGATTCGATTCTCAATGGTCAGATGAGTTGCGATAGTGAATCCATCGAGAAGCAGCAGGGATGCGCAGGGTATTTAGCATTGTTGTGGCCCGGGCGGACGGTTCTTTGTCCCCGGCACAAATACAGACCACAACTTGTGTCTTTGTTGATGAATGGCTAGCATAGCGCATGATTGGGCTGTGCTTGTTTTTGAAACACTTCTTCGGCCAGAAATAGTGCTGCTTTTTTGGGGGCCAGACGCGCCCAAAACTGGGGGTTGGTCGGTGATTGGGGGGAATCACCTGGCTTCAAATCTTAGTGCGACGACGATCTTCCGCACTGCCCGCAGTGCCTGGCGTGCCCTGTCCCCCTTAATATGGAATTGCTGGGTTCCAAGGGTCCAGGATTGTATTTATGGGGCACATTCCATGGACCCTGCTTTATCCTCAGGATTCAAAGGATTGAAAGGATCCAGGGTTTCTGTTTCTGTTTCTGAGCGTTGGGGCTAGGGTCGGTGTTATAGTGGTTCGGCACTGCTCCCTTGCCGAAACGGGCTGCCCGCCCTAATTTGAGCACTCCTGCAGACACGACCCATTCTTTGTGACGGAATTCTGACAGACATCTTGACAGGTAGTAGACATACAAGTGCTAACACCCTATCGTAGCAGTGTTAGCTGTTGGACGCATGATAGCCATTTTTCATTACCTGGTTCGTACCTTCACACTCACATCCACAAAATGCCACAAAACCCCGATGCAGAGTGAGGGCCTCAGTAAATAAGGTAGGTAGTGAGTGGCACGGATGAGAGGCCTATGGCCACAAAGGTTGAGCTAGAATGGAATGCTAGCTGTCACAGCTGTCCTCTGTCTTATCTGCCAGTGATCTGAACATTCCCACCAAGTCAACGCAACAGGCGATGTCACGTAGAAACCTCCCTCCGAACGGGGTCCATGTGCCGTAGAATTCTTGCCTGCAAGATCGAAAACAAACCCTCAAAAGCCCGCGGCTCTGCTTATTTGTCTACCAGCCAGCCACTGACCTAGAATCTTCTCCTTCGGCCTCTTGGCTGTTTTCTCCGACCGAGGTGAATCAGCACGTCAAAATGGCAGCTGAATCAGCTCGGTGTTGAGCTTCACCCCGAGCTTTTGTAATGAGGTCACCACCCCTGCGACACGACCCAGACCCTCGTGTTTTCTTTTTCTTTGTCTCTTGTCGCCTTTATCCCTGTCGCACTTGCTGCTCTAATTTCAAAGCCAACTTTGTCATTATTCTTTGCTGTTAAGGGACAATCGCTGTTCGCACTGTCAAAACTGCGTCCGAGCGATATATAACCAGCGCTGCCTTACGTATCCCACCGGGAGAGCCAGTGATAGATACTTAACCAGTCAATATCATGGCAGCGATCCTAGTAACCGGCGCCACCGGCAAGCAAGGCAGCGCGCTCATCCGAAATCTGGTCGCCAGAAACGCACCTTATGAGATCCTTGCCGTGACGCGAAACTCTAATTCCGGATTCGCCCAGAAACTGCTCCAACTCTCACCCAAGATCAAGGTCGTGGAGGGCAATCTGGACAACCCCGCGGGAATCTTCGACAATGCGCACAAAGCCACCCAATCTCCGATCTGGGGAGTATACAGTGTCCAGGTACGCCCACATATTCCTCACCCAGTGGTGACCGCAGTCTTCTAACCACACCTCAGATGGCCATCGGCAACGGCTCCCAGGAAGAACCCCAAGGCAAAGCCCTCGTCGACGAAGCCCTGAAGCAGAACGTCAAGTTCTTCGTGTATAGCTCCGTCGATCGCGGCGGTGAGGCCTCGTCTACCACCCCGACCAAGATCCCCCACTTTCAGCATAAACACAACATTGAGCGGTACCTGGTCGAGAAGTCCAAGAACACGGAGATGAAGTGGTTCATCCTGCGCCCAACGGCGTTCTACGAGAACCTGGTCCCGGGCTTCTTCGGCAAGGTCTTTGCCACCTGCTTCAAGATGGCCCTCAAGGGCAAGCCGCTGCAGATGGTGGCCACCAGCGATATCGGCTACTTTGGCGCCGAGGGCTTCCTGCACCCGGAGGCCTGGGAGGGCAAGGCGCTCTCCTTGGCGGGCGATGAGATCACCTACGACCAGATGGTCGAGATCTTCCAGCGAAAGACGGGGCAGCCCATCCCGTCCACCTTCCGGGTGCTGTGCTCCATGTTCATGGCCTCGATGAAGGATATGGGGTATATGTTCAAGTGGTTCCACGATGAAGGGTACAAGGCTGATATCCCGGAGTTGCGGCGGATGCACCCGGAGCTGAAGGATTTTGGGACGTGGTTGGAGACGGAGAGTGAGTTTGAGACGAAAGAGTAAGGGGACACAGCAGATGGTTCTGTTGATTGGGTTTTGGCGTCGCTTGGAGAATTTTATTTGAAGATGAAGATGGATGTAAACTAGCAATCTTATTGTAATAATTTGATAATGTTATGCTATTCTGGTTATGCGGGGAATTATGCAGCAGGAGCTAAGGCGGATGCAGGATGACTCAGCGGACCCATCCGCCTTCCTCTTGTCGATCATCGCGGCGAAGATAACTCCATCCTTCATCCCTATCCCAAACAAACATTACCCAATAAGTCTTCTCTTTCTCTAAACTCTCCGATTCTGTCTCTCAGTTGACAATATCTTCCATCGAAACTTTAAACCTAAATTTGAGCTTTCACACCGGCCTGTGTGAGTATACGTACGCTACGCCTGCGTTAAGGATGCCGCCCGGGTCTGACCGGAAGACCGGCGGATCCAAACGGAGCTGCATTCGGTGCAACCAGCGAAAGGTGGGCTGTGACAAGAAGAGTCCCTGCGGTCGATGCGCCAAGGCTGGCCTCGAATGCATCCATCCGGGAGAAAAACGCGCCCCGCGCAAGCTGAGACGCCCGCCAGTCGCGGAGATTCTGGCCCACCTCAAGGAATTAGAGGCCGAAGTTGAAAGGCTGCGCTCGGGCGCGAGGCCAAAAGACCAGTCGGATCAAACCTCCCGGCCTGGCACTGAGTCCGGCTCTCGGAGCGATGGAGAAGGACTCGCTACAACTTCTCGCGGTCGGCTGGTCGTTCAGGGCGGACGGACCCGATATGTTGGGGACGAGGCCTCGGTCATTCTCGGGGATAAGGTAGGCCCATTCTGGTGGATGGATAGTACGCATGCTCACTGATTTTCCCAGATCCGCGAGTTGCAGGAGGTGTGTGATGAATCCTCGGAGGAGGACATTGACCCTCGACTGCGGCCCAGCAAAACCGGCCCAGCCCCTGTACCGTCCGTAGGAATTTTGGGGTCCGATCACGCAGCAGCAGGCCATAGTCCGAGCGTGTCGATGACACCTCTGCCAGTATCCCAGTTACAGGCCCTGTGGGAGATTTACCGCGTGAATGTAGCTCCTATGATTGCCCTTCTGCACCTACGCTCGACGGAGGCCATGATCCTGCAGGCGGCACCGGACAACGACAATCTAGATCCCGGACATGGAGCGCTGATCTCGGCTGTTTGCTTCGCAGCTGTGGTGAGCATGACCCCTCGCCAGTGCATCTCACTGTTCGACGAACCTCATGATGCGTGCATCGAGAAATACAAACGTGCCACGGAGCACGCCATAGCAAGGGCGAACCTGATCAGTACCCAGGACATCCGCGTCTTGCAGGCCGCCACCTTATTTCTCCTATGTCTCCGCCGAGGGAGTGACTCGAGGCTTGTATGGGCGCAAAGTGCCATAGTCGTACGGGTTGCACAGCGGCAGGGGCTGCATCGTGATGGCCAACGCCTGGGCCTGAGTCCCTTTGAGGTTGAGATGCGTCGCCGACTATGGTGGCACATCTGCATTCTCGACATGCTCTGCTCCGAGGACCAGGGCACGGATACACAGATCCGACCAGAGATGTTTGACACGCACATCCCCTCCAACATCGACATCGAGGTGATGGCGCCGGAGCCAGCCACCATGCCCCTCCCAAGCTTGGGCTTCAGCGATATCACACTCTGCATTGTGCACTGCGAAATGATGACCTACCTCTACTGGCCCAGCAAGTCTTTTGACGAGAGGGTCGGTGCGATGTCCTCGGAGCAGAAGAGTAGTCGATTGCACGACTTGGAGGCCTACCTGGAGACCAAGTATCTACAGCGGCTGGATCTGGACAGCCCCATACAGTGGATCACGGCGGTCATCGCCCGGCTGACGCTGTCGAAAGCATGGTTGGTGACGCGCCTCACCGCTGCACCCGCGGAGCCCACCGCCACCAACGATGAGATCTTCCGCATGGCAGTCGAGACGGTCAAATTCGCCAACCTGCTCCACCGGGACGAGCGCATCTCGCAGTGGGCGTGGCTCAGCAAAAGCTACAAGCACCGTCACGTCGTGGCATACCTTCTTTCCGAGCTGTGCAATCGCCCCATCTCGCCCGACACCGATCATGCCTGGGAAGCTGTCACCCAAATTTACGATCAGTGGCAGCACGACGACGTCGAGACGAACGATATGCTGCAGAAGCCATTATCGCGGTTGATGGAGCGTGCGGCCCATCTGCGGAGGAAGAAAACACGCCAATCTACGAGGTATCTCCCCATTAACGCTGAAAGCAACCCGGTCCAGGCCAAACCTGCCCAGTGGATCCCAAGCTCAGGGGCGTCGGATGGACAGGAGAGCGGCCTCAGCACAGACGGGATGGGCCTGACCCCGTCGCCGGATTCCGCCCTGGACGTTGCACAAAGTCTGAGTGAATTCTTCAGCGGCTCTACATCTGCCATGGATTGGCTCACAGGATCATTGCTGTGACGAATAACGAGCGATGATTCATCGCCTCCCGAGTGGCGACCGAGGCAAATAACGAGTAAACCAGAATTTGCATGGAACCCGCCCGCCAAGCTTGACCTCGGGGTTGAGACTCAACCCGAGAATTAGTAAACGCCCTGGCTGTCAAGCATATAAAGAGGACAGACTGCGTCTTGATTTGAGATTACAATCAACATCTATCCTGCTTCTTAATCTCTTACAATCAAATCCTCAATTCAAAATGGCAATTACTGTTGGTGTTGCCGGTATTACCGGAAAGTTCGCTCGCCGCGTGGTCAGCCATCTGCTGCAGCACTCCGACATCACCATCCGCGTCCATCTCCTCATCCGAGAAGGTCACCCTATTCAAGGGAGATGCCTTTGACAAGGAGGCGATTCGCTCATTTGCAGAGGGCTGCGACGTGATCGTGTGCTGCTACCTGGGCGACGACACGCTGATGGTGGAAGGCCAGAAGGCCCTGATCGACGTGTGCGAGGAGGCCGGGGTGCCCCGTTATGTCGCCAGTGACTGGGCCTTGGACTACACCAAGCTCAAGCTGGGCGAGCTCTTCCCCAAGGACCCGATGATCCATGTCAAAGCCTACTTGGACACGAAGCAGAAGGTCAAGGGGGTGCACATCCTGATCGGCGGGTTCATCGAGCCGGTGCTCAGCCCGTTCTTCAACATCCTCGATCCCCAGACGAACACGTTCCGCTACTGGGGTGAGGGCGACGAGTACATGGAGGGGACTACTTACGACAACGCGGCGGAGTTTACCGTCGCGGTGATCCGGGATGCAGAGGCCACGGGCGTTGTTCGCTGTATGTTTTGCTTGTTGTTTGAACCGAATCGAGGATACGTGGAGCTAACAGGATCCAAAATGTAGTTCTCGGTGGTCGTGCCACCATCCGTGAAATCGCGCAGTCCTATGAAAAGGTCTACGGTGTCAAGGCCAATCTTGAACGACTGGGGTCCTTGGACGAGTTGTACCAGACCATGCACCAGAAGCGGGCGGAGAATCCTGCTGACATTTACGGCTACATGTCGCTGTATGTCCCTCCCCCCCTCTTGGTTCGAACCTCTCCCCTCAGCGATGATGGCACTAATTGTGATCGGCTCGATTTAGCTTCTTCTACTACTACTGGGTGAATGGACAGACTTTTGTCGGGCCCGAGACGGATAATGCCAAGTACCCGGATGTCAAGCCGGTGGACTGGGAGGGATTCATGAGGCAGTGGCCTCTGCAGCAGCTCCCTACGGCCTACTTCGCCTTGAATGCTTGATCCTTGCAGTGGTGGAGGGGTTAGCGAAGGGAGGCGTTTCTCTTTAGCGTATGAGCAGCGAGCAACCGGGATTATTGTCTGGAGAATGGAATGCTACACATCTGATCCATCTCCAAAACAACCACGATAGATGTCAAACGGACGATGCGGATGTTACACTGCAGGGGGAATCTAGGCAGCGCCAGGCACCAGCAGTCAGGTGACCCGCCTTGCATCCAGCTTTCACTTCCAATTCACCTCAGTCTTCTCAACACAACTCACACTGGCCATAAATTCAATCCCAAGTCCTCGTTCCAACAAGAATCTTTTCCAAACTCACACTCACATTTCCATCTCACGTTCCCTAGAAGTAGTTATTCCATTACAACCACATATTTTCGCCGTGTGTCTTCACCATGTCCGAGGATTTCGATCCCACGCGAGAGCAAAACACCAACGATGACGACGAGCTCAAGCCCAAGCGCACCCTGGCCGACTTGGAAGCTGATGTCTCTGCCGCGGTGATCCGTGTATGTGAATTCTCTGTTCCCCCGCTCCTCGAAAGTCATCCACCAAGCTGACAAGTGCATGAGTAGGACTGCAAACTAGACGCCTGCGTGGGGTGGTTCAGCGAGAGAATCAGGGCGCTGCGGCGACTCGCGAAGATAGAGAAGACAGCAGACTGGATCAAAGGTTGGCCGGACGTGACTTCGCTCGCCCCGGAGACAGCCCAGCAGGTGGAAGAGCTCAGAGGTGAGCTGAAGCGTCACCTCGCTCGTCTCATGCCAGATGAATTCACAGAGGACATGGACGTCGCTACGGATCATCCCGACATCCTGAAGCGACTGGAGCGGAACTATCGATCGCGTTATGCCGGCTCACCGCCTGCGCTCGATCGTCGTATTAAGGCTCTCTTGGATGGCTTGCTTCGGTCGCATGAGGTCCGGCTTCCGGGGACTCATCCCGAGTCGCAGGATGATCATGCACCTCCCACCACGGCACAGGAGGAGGCCACTATGGGACGCCGATACTTCACTGAAGCCTGTACGCGACTCCGCACCGCCATCGAGAACGAAAATTCTTCGGCCCTGTTTGCCTGCGGTGGGAGTGTTCCTGTCGTGGACCGTGGCCAGTCCGGGTCGGCAGACAGAGCGGCGGCGACGACAACGACCGGTCCTGTGCAGGTGTACTGGTCGACCGCTCGCAGTGACTCCACCGCGCGAAAGCTGGTTCTACCGCTAGATGGACTGGCCCCGCAATCCAGCGCGGCCGCCTTGGGTGATCTGGTGGCAGACTGCCAGCCCGCCAGTTTCGGCCGCAACGGGGAGGAGATCCTGGATCCCAGCTATCGATTGGCGGGGAAGATCGATCCGTCCCACTTTGCTTCCAGCTTTCATCCGGCAGACTTCGAGATCCTGCAGATGGTCGAGAATGTGCTGCTCCCTGGAATCAGCGAAAAGGATCTTGGCCGTGAGGATGATGGCTCCAAACCGGTGGTGAGCAAATCTGCTCGGCATTACAGAAAGCTGCACGCCGAACTTTACAAGTTGAATGTGTGTTCCCTCGAGGCTTTCTTTCTCAGTAGCCAGGCGTGTACGCAGAAATTACTGACGTGGAAAATGATGACAGGTGTACTCCGGCCCATCGGGCCATTTCGCCACACATGTCGACACCCCCCGCTCCGAGAGTCAGATCGGCTCCTTGGTGGTTTGCTTGCCCTCGCAGTTCTCGGGGGGTCGACTGACGGTGCGGCACGGGGGCCAGCAGAAGACCTTCGACTGGAGCGAGGCCAGCCAATCCGCCATCCAGTGGGCCGCGTTCTACAGCGACTGCGAGCACGAGATCGAGACGATTACCGAGGGCCATCGATTGACGCTGACCTACAACCTATACATCACCCAGGCTCCCACGGCAAAGATCGACGCATCCAACCTGGTCCTTCAGCCTCAATCGTTCCCGTTGTATAACGCGGTGCACGAGATCTTCTCGAACCCTCGTTTCATGGAGCAAGGTACGTGCCCATCACATCACATTTGACTCACATATCCCAGCGTTCGTGCTCACAGAAGAAATCGTAGGCGGCGTCCTCGGGATGTTCTGCTCCCACGCTTACGCGCACACCTCCAATGACGCACACGTGCGCCTGCCCCGGGCGCTCAAGGGCGCCGACCTCGTGGTCTACTCGGTGCTGAAGAGCTTGGGGGCCGAGGTCAGCGTGCTGCCGGTGCTCGGCGACGATGATCGCGCAGTCTGCGATGACTGGGAAGAAGCGTATTACAACACCAGCATGTATCAGGGCCTACAGACGTACTTCAAAGAAGGCGGCGAGCTGCCTAAGATCAAGACGGACGAGTTCCTGGGCGCCGAGTATGGCCGAAAGTATGATCTGGACCGTCGCTGGAAGCTACTTCTCCTCATCCGGCGGGTTTCGGCGGTGCGGTGCGGAGCTCGGATCTTGCACTCTATTGATAGCAAGAGACGCAGAAATGGCAAAGCCGAGGAAACCGTCGCAGGTAGAATGGACGAAGATGAAGCAGAAGCAAAAGAAGCAGAAGGAGTGGTGGATTGGTCCGACGGTCACTTCTACAGGAAACGCGGGACACTTGTCGCGCCACGCCTGTGGCCGTACGACACTACACACTATGGCGAGCATTCGTCCATGGAAGAGGTAAGTTCGGGTCGCCCACCCGCGAGTGAAAGAAAGAGGGTGTTGGAGGGAGTCGATTGCTGACTGAGGCGTCACAACGTTCCATAGACCACAATGGCCGCGTGGCCTTTTATGTATCTCCCAGGTATTACCTGGCTGAATCGACCCAAGCATGCGGAGATGGCGTTTAGTCATGTTACGTATGGTAATGAGGCCGGAGTCGGGACGCAGTATTCCTATGCGGCAATCTTTGCGGCCATCCCACCGTTCGAAGAACGAAAGAAGCATTTGACTCAGTGAGGGGAGGAAGGCTACTTGCCTCTCAGACTGTCTTCAATCCCAATGACAAGATGCGGCTCGCAGGGCAATGGCTCATCTCTTCTTCTGTCCGTTGATTCTGTCGGGCGTTCTTACTGGAAGTCTCTTGCCGCTTACACATGCAACACAATTTGGGACTCTTATGATGTTTTGTGTTTTTGCCTCGAGGAGCTCAACCAAACCCGGACAACACGTTCCAGGCAAAGGTACATTGAACTCCACCATTCATCTTGAGCCAAGTCTCTCTTTCCGTGTCCAATGCCCCGAAAGGATAGTTATCGGGATAAAATAAGCTACTGAATTCGATCGAGTTGATTCTCAGCACTCTGAGCATATTTTCACCCCCGCCAGCTCCCGCTCGACTACGTAGCTTGTCATCCGTCTAGGTTGATTTTGATAGGAAGTGTATTGGAGTTGATTTGCCTTGCCCTCTAGGCATCATTATGGAGACATATCTTACGCAATTCGAAGACGGCCATCGACTTTTGAAGTATGGACCACGTATCCATCTCCCCACCGACTGATCATAGCCTCATAACCACCCACCCACATCGACCCAACCCACCAACCCACCGCCACTCCCCCCAACTCACGCAAAAAACTCCCTCCTCAACCTCTCTGAATGCTCCACCTCCCACGGAAACTCCCCCTCGACATCCCGGATGATGCGCTCATACCCCGCACTGCGGGGCGTAACCCTGACCCCAAAGGGCGCGGGATGGCTTATCGTCCCCGGCAAGAACTCCGGACGCACTTCGACCTCCTCCCCATTCTCCGTCAAAGCCTTCCCAATCCAGCACGACGCCAGCGTCTGCGCCACCGTCAGGAAGATATTCGAGTCCGCCAGGGTGCGGCCGGGGCACACGCGCCGCCCGAACCCGAAGGCCAGGTAGTGCGGATCGCGCTCCGGGGAGGGGCCCAGGAAGCGCGCGGGGTCGAAGGTCATGGGGTTTTTGTAGGCGGTGGGGTCGTGGCAGAAGGCCCTGTATCCTCTTGTGTCAGTATTGGGATGCATGCGCGGGGTATTTGGGGGTTAGAGTGAAGGGGGGCAAGCTGACCAGATATTCGGGAGAATGATCGAGCCCTTCGGGATCAGGTACCCCCCGCAGATATCGTCCTCCATCGAGCGGTGCGGGATCCCCATCGGTCCGACGGGGTGCCAGCGCAGCGCCTCTTTGACTATTGCGTCGATGTAGGGCAGGTTCGGCCGGTCTGCGTCCGTGGGCAGTCGGCCTGGGCCGATCACGCGGTCGATTTCTTCCTGCGCTTTGCGTTGCACGTCGGGGTAGAGGGCCATCGCGAGGAAGAAGGTTGTCGTTGTGGAAACGGTCTGTCCCTGTTAGCTTCATCGACTCACTTCGATTGCTGGGATTGAAACGGAGGGTGTACCGTATCAGCGCCAGCGGCATACAGCGTGGCGGACGACCATTTGATGACCGTCTCTTCCTCGGTTCCCGGGGTCAGCTTCTTCCCCTCAAGCAGATTGGACGCGTAGGAGGGCGCGTACCCCGGCTGCGCCATCTGCTGATGCACGAAGGCGAACGGGATGTCGGCCACGGCCTGGCTTTGCTTGCGAAAGAACTGCGCCGTGCGCTGGAACCCGGCGCCGGGGAACCACGCGGGGATATAGCGGACTTGAGCCTGGATGTCAGATGGAGAAGCAGATACGAGACCAGGGCCGACCTACGGAAGGGCAGAACATCCACCATCCACGTTCCCGGGCGCACGGCCAGCGAGAACTGCTCGACGGCTTCGTCGGCCAGATCCACGAGCGGATCGCGCTTGTGCGGGTCGATGGAGTACCCGTAAGCGATTTTGAGGATCACGGCACCCGCCAGTCTGACGGTCAGTTTTCATGGTATCTCTGGGGTGCAGGATGATACATACTTCCGAATGTGTCCCACTAGATCCTCGGGCTTGTTGATCAGGCGGAACAGGAACCGCCGCACTTCCACCTCCTGCAACGCGTTGAACCGGGCCACGCTTGCTTTGGACCCGATCTCGCGGTGCAGGCTCTTACGGTACGCCTTGAAGCGGCTCGAGTATGGAAGGATTACCAGCCCGTCGCCCCAGCCGGCGCTACTCCCGTCAGTATGCACAGATCAGTGCCGTTGGGGACAGGGGGTGGACTCACAGTTCGGCAAATGGCATCTTGGGCCGGTCTGAGTGGATGGCGGATCGCTTTTCCAGAAGCTCGATCGCGAGGTTGGCATCGTTGAGGATGATGAGGCGCTGTCCGAGAACGGAGACGGTGCTGATGGGTCCTGGATTGGATGTGAGCATGGCTGGTCGTGACTGTATTGGAGTTGCTCCCTACCGTAGGCATCCTTATGCTTGAGCCAATGCAGCCAGTCTGGGCTATCTGGAGAGGGAAGGTCGCGGATGTTGCCCACTAGTGGCAGAGCCGAGGGGCCTGGAGGCAACGGTGCAGAGGCACGGCGCGTTGACGAGAGAAATCGCAGCAGAAGGTAGAGGCCGAGGAGGCCGACGAGCAGCGGTAACAGGTACATTGCGAGGGGCGTTGGTGGAGTTCTCAGGCGCTGAGCATGGTAGACTCACGGGATTAGGGCTGCAGCGCTTGGGAGGGAATGCGTGAGGGTCAATTGAGGCGACAAGCGGGGAGAGAGTTCATATATCGGTTTTTGCCTCCGCGATGGCGATCTTTTCACCAAGCGAGCTACGCTACGGGCCGTCTGGCCTCTGACCGCGGGCCATGAAAAGAAGATGTAAAATGTTGCCAAGAGGTGTTACGTTAATTAGCACGGGTGTGGAGATGATACTATCGCATTACTCGAACCGTTGCGAATCACAATACCGCGCCGGGTAGTATAGGTGTGACCCTTATAGTTGGGTCACTGGGCCATCGGGCAAATGCCGCGGTACCGCCCTCCTGGGTCCACTTGATAGGCCGGGCCTGAGCCGTCCCATGAAGACTGAAGACTAGCGGCCCTGGAAGTGGCACTAAATTGACGATACGAGCGAGAGAGTGGAGACCCACGGAGGCTCGGAGTGGGGAGGCGAGTTTCACCGTCCGTCCCGGTTGTTGCTGATGGCGAGAACGTGTCGTACGGGGAGCACAGAGCCTATCATAAAAGCCTCATTAGCATGCATCGGACTTTGATACGACTCCAACGATGACCCTGGCTCGAGTTACAATTGTGCAACCCGCAGGCTTATCAATCTATGGGTTTGTTCGATGCTCCACGCTGGCCGGGGTTGATGCCTCAGGCATTACTTCACGGACACTTACAGTACATCTTGGTCAATGTATCTCCTGATTTCTAATAGAGCTTTGGCACGAAGACTCTGAGCTGGCTTCGGTTTTTCTATTCTTGACGGTGGTCTTATCAATTGGTGTCTCCATGTCCCCATATCATTTGGTGGTGCGCTCTACAAGCACGGCACAAAACCGTTATCTCGTATCTGCAGGCCCGTGGGCAACGTGGATACCGCAGATGCAGGTGCTTGGACTGCCCACCAAGCCACTAGTGCGGCTCGTTGATAAATTCTGCGCCCTGTGCCTCTCTGCCAAGAAGAGCAATATCGATAGTCCCTGTTAGTAGGTACGTAGTAGTGTTGCCAACACGTCCCCGGCGCGGCCTGGGGCCCTACTGCGTAGAATTGCATGCATGTCTCAATCAATGCGAATACAGTATTAACTACCTACTCTAACATATCCAAAATGTACAAATTACTGCTTCCTAACCACTTCCCTCGCAATAGCATCCTCCACCAGCTGCACCACACTCCGCCGGTCAAACACCTTCCGCGTCCACTCCATCAGCACCTGCATGTACCAGGGAATCGCCCAGCGCAGCGGGCCCAGCCACCACGCCTTGGGCGCGACGATCATGGCAGCCCCACTGGCGGTCTGCGTCGCCATGAGCGTGGCCCCCAGCCCGGGGCTCATCGCGAGCCGCTGCCCGTGCACCGCGTCGACGAGGGACAGCATCCCCAGGAAGAAGGCGGCGTCCATGTCCGGGGGGAAGTCGCGGGCGAAGGTGCCCGTCGGCGGGCCGGTGTGCGTCTTCGGATGGCCCCAGATCAGGAGGGTGGTGTCGGTGTGTCGGCCTGCAGGGAGAGTGTTTGCGTATGCTTGGCCTTCGGTGGTGGACCAGAAGGGGTCATCGGGTGATACTCTGCCCTTGGATTAGTCGGGTTGTGTGAAGGAGGCTTGAAGGTAACCCACGGCCAGAAGTTATGCGGGAGGTATGGAGGGATCACTGTTACTCCGTCTGCTGACCGAGCAGGTAGCAGTGGTGCACGACCACCGCGAGAGAGAGTCTGAGGGTATGCTCCCTCGGTCGTGTGGATGGTGTCGATGACGTCGTATGTGGTGGTAGTGCCTGCCGCTCCGGATTCCACGATGAACGACTCGGCTTGGTAGAAGTGGATGTGTAGTGGAGGTGCCTAGCTGGGAATTAGTATCTACGTGCATGAATGAATGCACAATAGGGCCACCCACCTGAGGATGCTGCTTCCCCAGCTTCGTCAAAGCATGTGCGCCAAAATAGGTCGCCCGCATCAAGACGGTAGCGTCCAAGTCGGCGGGTACCTGCAGGAACTCGATGACGAAGGAGCCGTCGAACATCTTGTGGGGGCCCCCGAGAGGGGCAGGGAGCCGGGGCTCCTTGCCTGTGGGACGGAGGATTGCCATTTAGCGGAATGCGACTGACACGATGGAGCGCAACCTTGCACGTTGACGGGGATGCTGATGCTGGCAGGATGCTGGCAGGATGCTGGCAGGATGCCATGGCCGCTTATAAGGGTTGATGCGCGAGGCTAGCGGCGCCCAACCGGGCTAGTCGGCTGCCATCCAGCCCCAGTTGTAAGCTGACACGCTATACGAGGTTTGCGACCTAACGCCATGGGACGACCTTAGTCATGGACTTGTATTCTTCTTTGTCAGTCTGACAAAGGGAGCAAGATGGGTTCATCCGTATTATAATAGTGGGCGTTGGTGGCAACGTTATTTGGAATTGCGGGCAGCAGCACACCGTCAGGGTCACAGAGTTAGGGCAAAAGATTGAACTGCACTATCGTCCGTGACCCAGGATCTTACAGTCACATAAATGCCTGCAAGTCAACCAAGATATCGACGAAAGTCAACAGGTAACGACCCACGCGGGAGCCGAATTGGCAGCGGACAAGGAAGTCGCCATCGCTGCCTCAGGCTGCACCACATTATCATTCCGACGCAGTGCCCAACTTCCCTATCCGGACTAGCTCCTCCGATCGCGGCGGACTAGCCCGCAATTCCCGCTATTGGGCAATTTCTACAGGTGAATGGTGTGCCATATTGTGGAAGGGTGGTGTTTTCTGTCCCTAGACAAACAAGTGCTGGCTGCTATTGGTCAAGAATGCCATCGGGCTTGTTCAGGTGTACCTCGTGGTCTCACAAGAGTTATGCCTCCAGTGCAGATGACGGTGTAGGAAAAATCCGCCCCACTATGCTTCAGGCGGGGCGGAATCAAGGGACTTTTCTTGCTTCCATTCTTCCCTAATCTCCTGGACCTAATTGTTTTTTTTTTCTTCTTTTTCTTTGAAATACTTTTCATTTTCAGGGCCAGACTTCCTTGCACACCGCATTCGAATTCAACTACTCGCAGTTCTGATGCGACTCGGGAAGTGCGACAATCCGGGCTTCATATAGCGTCGATTCAGAATTGGTAGATAAACACAGCTGTCATCACAGACACGTGCAGCGAAAAGTCAAACATACGGCCATCTGCTTGGTGGTCATGATTCTTCATTAGACATGCAACAACATTCATATCCACGGATGCATCCTCTCATCCAACCACCTTTGTAGTCTCTGGCTCTCTTGGTCCCTTTCCTGGCCCCGGGGAATCTAGCATTATCTCAGTTTGCAGAACGATTGCGTATCGCACGTATTTGCGCAGCAACCACCTGAATTAATTAGTATAGACTTTACTGAGGTTGGACATATCATAGGGCAATACTCAACGCCACAACTGCCAAAACCCCCAGTCCCACACTCAGCTTAATCAGTTTATTGTGATTACTGTAATACTTGTGGGTGGACGTGCTATTACTTCCAGTTGCAGAACTACTAGTTGAAATAGCTATTTTTAATAAAGAAATATAAAATACTGGGCTGCCGGTGTTGCGAGCAGGGTGTGCGCTCCCAATCCAAAGGCGCTGGTATTCGACAACAAGATAAATATTTCTATTGGAGATGTAGCAGCTGCTCCGGATGCTATAATTATAACTGGGGTTAACTTAATGTTAACTAAGGTAGTAGTCTGCAGCGCAACCGGGCAGCTGATAAGACTGGTGGATGTATATTATACAAGAGTATACTATATTACCGCGGAGAGTATTATAATTTCCAGACTTGTATTGCGCTGGGTAAGTGTGGCCGACGAAGTAGTCATCGCCGAGGCAGTCGTGGTCTTGGTGCCCGTACAGAGGCTGGCGAAGGTTGTGTAGAAGACCGGCACGGTGGTGTTGGAGTGGGGCCTGGAGGCTGCCGTAGCCCTGGATGGTGATCGGCAGGAATTCTACTTTTCCTCTGGGGCTGTTCACGCTAGTGGCGCTCACTGATATGTTGTGTTTGGAGAACAGCATGGCCTTTTTCCAGAGCTTGGGAGACTCACGGTGTACCGCTTGAACGATGCCCAAGAATTGCAGGCAGGCGAGGGCACAGCTGCTCCAGCACATCATGATTTACGCGGTCCCACCGTGACTTCCCCCCGCCTCGGGGTAGGACGGAAGACATAGCCTGTGCGAAGACCACGTCGTAATGCTAGGCCTCGCTGAGCCCAGCATTGGGTATGCACCATCTCCATCCGCTCAACCTACATTTCAGCAATCGATCTTGATGTGATTGTCTAGCTCCAGGACACAAAGATACCCCGATGAGTTGGAGCGACATCTACCGTCGGCCGTGCGTGTATGGGGCTTATTTTCTAGGCTAAGAGATGGTAGTAAGGCGCGGCCACGGGGTTGCAAGTTCAATATCCTGATACGCACGTGTGTGCGAGTATATATACAACGCTTCCGCTTGCCTGTGCAATTTGTGGTTCCAGCAGCAGAACCGAAGAAATGGGTATAATATGATGAAGACCGATGCGCTCGTAGACCCTGTTGGAAAATAACTTCGCATGGAACCCGACAGTTAGCGAAGCCTGGGGGGCCCGTGAGTCCTGCCATTGTCCAAGGAGTTCGACCGTGATAAGTGATATTAGACGTTCTCAATCGAACACGATGCGTGATGTCAATCCCCAGTCCGAGAGATGGGCAGACACGGACACATAACAGCACTTACACATCGCGTTCACCTTGTACGCAGCATGTGCTAGATCTCCAGAACTAAATCCATCAAGTCTCCATGGCAATCCCGCAAGTGATCCAGCATCGCACGATCGGAGTCAAAACTGCGGTGGTCTTTGATACCCCGGTCGCATTCAAAGCAATACCAGACATGCCCATGGCTATCGGAGCCATAACCCCATGCAACCCCTGAAGAAGGCCGCCGAATGCAGTGCGTGTGTCGGTCATGGAAATGCTCGATTAAGTCTGCTGCGTCCCAGCATACCTCTCCGTCTTGTGTGCAGGTGTAGGGCGACATGATGCTGTTGTTTCGATAGAAGCTTGGTACTCAGGAATCAGCGAAGTTGGATATTGTAGGGATTTCAAGATGAGGGGCGATCTATGATAATACTATAAGAGAGCACAATCCTGGATCTGCGTCGTCACATAGATGTCACCTAGTGCAACGGACCGTATGAACTGTCATAGTGTACAGATTAAGTCCCATGGGTGTGATAAGAAAGTCATTCCTGGATCTGGTGAGCATGTGAACATTATCTCATGATGGTACAAGTTCAATAACCCTATAACCAACCACTGGGTTCAATAGGCGTTTGAAGCAAGTCCGGCTGTATGCCAGCACTCTACACACATGGGATCAGATCCAAGGCTTCGCTGTGTCTCGTCTTTCCGGGCCCTCTCGAAATGATGAGATTATGATCCCATGGGCTTTCATATGAACATCTCACTAAAGCTTGATAAAATGGGTGGTTCTGTGTCCCGTGTATCGACACAGACGAGCCACCCTAGTAACTTTGTCCACTCCTGATCTGCTTCACCAATCACTCGGTTGCCTCACTCAAATGCGATTCCATTCAAGGCGATTTTGCGTGGGTGGACCGGCCCTTGGATATGGGGATACCCTCCCCCGTGCCACTAGACCTGCTCACTATCAGCCGACTCTTCCCTCTCGCCATCCTCATCTACGTGGAGGGTATCCCACTTTTCTAAAAAAGTATCCAAGTCCGCATCATCCAGCTCCGACCGGTCCCCGCCCGTTTTGGACATCGAGTTCGGATTCGGATACAGACTCTTGAATCGCCCGCGGTCCGTGCTCTCCCACATCGCCTGCTCCAACTCGGTGAAGAGGGCGTCGGTCTCCGGCGGCAGCACGACGCTGTTCTTCTGCGCCAAGACCTGGATCATGCGAAGGATCCCCTTCATCAGGGTCCACTTGCGGGAGAGGGCGCGCGCGAAGACGCAGAGCTCGGTGAACGAGGTCTTGTACTCCGGGTCCGCGTGGTCCAGCACCTCCAGCAGAGTGAACAGAGCCATGCTCACCCAGTGGATGGTGGTCGGGTGGATGTAGTCGATCCCCCAGCGCGTGCGGTGGATACGCAGGAGCCGCACGATGGCGAGCGCCGCGTCCACGCAGAGCTTCCGCGCGGTGGCGGCGGTGGCGGCGCGGTCGCTCTCGTCGTCTTCTTCGTCGGCATCATCGGCATTGGCTTCCCCCTTGAGGAGGCCCCAGAGCATGATTATGAGGGTGTAGTAGAAGAAGCTGCATGCTGCGTTAGTCCGCTCTCCATGACTGCGCTTGTCATCGAGAAAGTAGGGAAGACAGAATAGGGAAGAGCGCGGGGAGGAAACAGAACAAAGGTCGCAAGACTTACTGTAAGCTAAACGCCTGTGGCACAGAGCTGTTCTCGAGGGTCAGGCATTGTGGCAGTTGCGCTCGCCAATCATCCAGCCTTGGTTGGACCTCTTTCAAAGTCCGGTGCAGTTCGCGTCGCGGCAGTTTTGATCCGGTCCCGAATATCGATTTGTTGGTGTCTACGTTGATTTTGCTCAGCTCACACCAGCTGTTGAAGACACACGGGATATGCGACTGCAGTGGGCCAGCTTGCGGCTGTGGGTAGGGTGACCAGGTATCATCGTCGGCGTGATCGCATGGAAGCAGTGGCCTCCCTGGCTGCTTGATGACTAGGTATTTCATGTATGCGATCGATGCAGTCCTAGGAGCTGTGAGCCAAGTTGCGACGCGCCAACGCTAATAACAATAGAAGCAGAAGATGAAGATAGTGGTGCGAAGCACACAAGTACGCACGCTGTGAGGCAATAGAGCCCCCAAATAGTATTGTTCGCCGCACGGCTCTCCCGGGTCTCCGTGGACGGTGGTCGATGTCGTTTCGTGTACTCCTGCGCCATGTCGTTGATTTGGCTCAGATACCACCATCCGACTCGGTCCTTCCCCATGGCTGCCATACTAGAGACGCTTCGTCAGCACGGGGGACCCGGTTGCAGTCATCGTAACCTGACTTACCACACATACATCACCCCAGAACCCTGGAGGGTAGGTAGGTCCAGCTGCCCTTCTACCTTCTCGTAGTGTCGTCGGGCCTCCTCATAGAAATGCGCCCCCTTCGAATTGGGATCATCAGGATCCGCGTAAGCTTCCGGATAGTCGGAATGGAACTGTGATCGCATGGGGGTTAGTGGCTGGTCTGCAACTCAGCCGAGCAGTAATCTTACACAGGCTTCTGCAAGAATGCAGTTGAACAGGAACGGCGAGCAAAATGGCGAGTGCAGTTTGCCTAATCGCGCATCGCGAAGGAAAAGGTCGCGATCCACCCAGTTGTAGAAGGGGTGACTCCAGGTGAACCAGAGGGAGACGAGATGCGATACCAGATCGTCGGATGTGGTGACGGATGTCCAGGGCGCGGCGGGGACCCGGTACACGGGGATGTCGACCAAGCGGTTGATGTCCATGGCGCGGTGGAGGGAGACTTTCTTATTGGCCGCATACAGGAGTTCATATCGGTCTTCTTCGGACAGATGCTGGTCCATGTAGAGCTTGAGCTCGCCCAGCGGGGCTTTGCTGCGCACCAGGTTCAGCAGCTGGGCGGCTTTGGCGTCGGAGCTGTCGCGCAGCGAGTGGACCACCTGCAGGAGAAGATCGCGCTCCTCCTCGAGTTTCTCGATCTTGCGCTTGTGGGCCAATCGGCGGCGGCCATCGTCGTCCAGGTCGAAGATACATTGCAGCTTCTGCTTGGTACACCGGTCGCAGGTGGTGGCCCCGTCGCGCACGCGGCACTGTGGCGGGGATTCAGTCGTGCAGGCCAGAGAGGTGGTGAACAGGTGGTGACTACCTTGGATTTGAGCCGTTTACACTCACTACATGCCATGGAGGCTTTTCGCTGTGGGGGCAGCGACATGTTGGTGGGTGGCGTCCGATACCCTCGCCCGCCCTCCTGCGCCGACGGGGCGGGGGCAAGGGGCTGCATAGAGGGAAAGAAGACGGCGAAAGGTGAACTGGGAGGGAAGGAAGTTGAGGATGGATAGATGAGGACGGTGGCCCATTTTCATACCTCCTCCAAGCCAAGCAAGGGGACAAAGGGAAGGAGTTGGTTGAGTTCAGGGCCACTTAGGGTGAGGGGGGCGAGGGAAGAACAAGTCATTTTGCATGCTTGAGAGCAGGATATTTATTCCGAGCCCCGCCGGGATCGACCGTAGTTTTCCCCGTAAGTTATGGTACAGTACGGACTCGTATCTATCAGGAACTAATTGCTGTAAAGTGGAATCTTTATATTACCGGAAATCAGCTCCGTGGTCGAATTGGGGTTGAGATTTTTCGCAGGTCTGGTTCTGAGTGAGTGGAAATGCTTTGCCGAGTGGCCCTCACCCTTGCAGCTTGGCAGCAATCGATCGACAATCGATCGATTACCCAATGAGCTAGAGTGGGAATGTGACGACGGCGAGCAGGTATCCACAATTGGAATGCAATTGGCCGCTGGATGCGCTCTCCTGGCAGTCAGCTTGAGGCGTCGGCTATTTTTGCCCTAAAGGCTTCAAGTTCTCTCTGCGGGTTCCCGACGGCGAAATTGACATTGACACTCAAATGGCATCAAAGCACACAAATCAGGCCAGAGGATAGATCACAATCCCTGTGTAGCGTCGTATAGGAAGACCGAGGCTTTCTGGAGTTCGTACGCGGCTGATTGCCAGGTGGTGTAAGTACGGTACGGTGGTTTACTCTAGTAGGCGCCCTTGATGTCATAGCTCGGGATTTGGTGACAGTCTAGGAAATTTGGACCCAAGTTTGGATCGGTACGGAGTACTCGGGAGTCTTTCGACGCGTCAAGCTAGTACCAATCGGTCCAATGCTGGGGGGTTGAGCAAATCCCGATATTATGAGTATGTATCCATACGGGGGTGAAATATGCAATGACGGTAGCTGGCTGACTAAGGGGGACGGTATGCATGCAGCCAACTCTAACTAAACCAACCAATCTCAGTGCAAGTGCATGCAAGTCCATGTTCCCAACTTGAGTTCTAGACCGTACAACACTTGCCACAGTGGCAACAGTACCATAGTATCGTACTATGTACCGTACATGTACCATGTACGGATCTTACGAGTGCATCACTGAAATTATGGCTGCTATATGTGTACAAGTACATGCTCAGTTATCTCTCGATCGTATACCTTCAGCAGTATCTAGCGGGCCACTTCATCCACGCCACATGAGGCCGGGGCCATCATTATCACCGTGCAACTTACTCGCCAAACCAGCTTTCACCTCAGACCTGCTCCACTAAAGGATATCTCGTCATGGAAACGACCCGATCCCCCTTCATTTCTCGCCAGCTGGGGATCAGGAATCCCGTGCCAAGGTAGATCCAAACCACGGCATACTCCATCAGCAGCCCCATGAGAACAAACGGAGCGATCGGACCGGCGAGATCATTCCATCGGAGATCGGTCGCATGGAAAACCGAGAGAAACAAATAGGTGATGCGCACGACGAGGAAGGGTAGGGCCAGAGCCATTGCCCTGAGAACCTGTGGTTGGACGGTCAGTACAGGCATGGGACGCTTTGGGTACCGCCTCGCAGAGATAGGGAACTCACAATGTAGCTCATGTGCGAGAGGTCCGGAAGGTGCATCCAGAGATACGCCTGCACGAGGAGCAGACAGGCTTCGAAAACCACGACAATGCTGTATCCGGCTTTGACGAGTTTCACCCCCGTCGCGACGTCGCTGGCGCTATCACTGCCCTCGAGGCACCCACCGGCAATCTGCAGGCCCAGTCCCACGAAGAACAGCATGCGCGAGAACATCAGACAGCGGTTGATTCGTGGGGTGACTACCTCCTTCTCATGTGCCAGGATGATGCGGATGAATCCCAGGGTCGCAGCGATCAGGGGGAACACGCCCGTATTGAGCAGGATAATCGAGGCCACCATGATGCCAGTTCGGGGCTTGTGCTCAAACAGAATCACCAGAATGCCCGCGGCAACTCGAACTGGAGAGGATGTCAGATCAAGTTGTTCGCATATAGTATGCTCCAAGTCAGAGCGTGTTTGACCACTTACTGAGGGAGAAAAAGAGTATAATGAGCCATGACATACGCGGTCGCTTGTGACGGTAGTATGCGTGGTATGCTGATACGAAGATAACAGGGATATAGAAGATGATCTGTGCGATGCTGGCTTTGGAGTGGTCGTTGAACATGGTGGGGGCGGTCGCTTGCGGCGTGAATATCTCGAGAGAAGAGGGGTGTTTGAGGAGATCAGGATGTTCAGTGAACTTGGAGGTCGAAGAATGACCGAAACAATGTCAATTGAGGAGTTTTGTGAATATCCATCTGGCTGGACCATTTCTCCTCCTTATATAGATCTTCTTCAAGATGTGATCCTGCGATGTAGGGCTTTTAGGGTGTTGGGGGCAAGCTCCGCCTCTCGCAAGATGAACCCCCTTTTCGGTATAGCGGCGAGGTTAGTCATCCCCATTCCCTCCCGTCTTTCCCAGTTGGGCATTGACTCAGCCCCAACTCAACTCCCCTGGCCATCGATCTTAGAAACCTCACGGCACGCAAGATACAGCCCGTTCAGGACTAAGCTCACTCGTGTACAGTCACAGATTAGCCTCAGTCTTCTCCACTGACTTGGGCCACCTCAGCCATTCGGGTCAACTTTCTCGGTCTTGTCCACTCCGACTGAGGGTTGAGGCAGCGGCAGCCTTACGGGGCAAGGGCAATTCACGCCCCACTCGGCAAGCATGGTTGGAGTGGCCGGAAAGTCCAAGGGTTGCAATACTTGTCGAGCACGGAAAATCGCGGTAGACCCCTATTCTTCTGGCTTCCCCTCTATTGCTTGTCTGGACACTAAATGTCTTGAATTAGTGCGACCAGCAAAGGCCGGCATGTGCTCGATGCACTCGATCGAATCGCGTGTGTGGCGGGTATGAGCGGGATAGGGTCTTTGTCATGATGCAGCCAGGCGCGAAGAAGAAACACGTTTATCTCAAGTCTTCTCCCTCGCCGTTAGAATCCTCAGTTGAGAGTTCTCCGCGCTCCGCCGAGACATCGACACTCTCACCTGCTGGGCGCAATCAAGCACGCTACTCATTCACGGAAAGAGCTCCAGCTTACACGCTGCTCCAGAGGCAGAACGACAGTCATAACCTGGTCTTGTCTTTTCTCGCCAATTGTCTCCCAGCCGCCTGGTCCACAGCACCTTCCAGATCGTGGATCACGCTTCTGGCAAGCCTGCGCACAGAAGTGAAAGCCCTGGAAGTAAGCAGTGCCGCCCTGGCAGCCGCAGCAGTGGGACGCAGATTCAACGATCCGGCATTGGTCCAATACAGCCACAGCCTCTACACCCAAGGACTTCAGCAACTGCAGCGCGCGCTGTGGGATCGTAGGCTTGCTCAGGATGATGCAACTCTGGCAGCGTGCATGGCTCTAAATCTGTACGAGGCGATGGAATGTCCGAATGCCGGGTCGGAAGGGTATTTCGGCCACTGCCAGGGCCTTCTGGTCTTGGTGGAAGCGCGTGGGATTGACGCTCACTGCTCCGGTCCGGGCCACCAATTGTTCCTCGGTGTCCGAATCCCAGGGGTGAGTTCCTTGCTAGCTGGATCTTGAGTCGATAATATGAAAATCTTTGTGACACTCACCTCCCTCGATCACAGATAATATACGCGCTGGAAAACCACTCTTCAAGCTTTCTATTCAACGCGGCGTGGATGCACCAACCGTGGAGCCAAACCCCGAAAACCTCCTTCACGCAGGTAGTCGATTGTCTCGCGCAGGCGCCCGGGATTCTGCAGCGAGTGTTCCTCTTACCCAGTCTCAGCCCCGACCAACAAGTCGAGGCCTGTTTCCAGCTGATCGCGGAATGCTGGCAAATCGACGCGAGACTGGACACGATCTACGCAGTGATGCAGGATGGCAGGTCGGACCCACTCTACTGGCCAGTTGCCTCGAACTATCCCTCTCCGTCGACAACTGCGCATGGTCAGAACCTCTTTCCCTTCGTCTTCCATTTTGCAGACTTTGAGACCGCAGCGACGCTTATCCTGCTGTGGGCGGTGCGGGTCCTGCTGTGGTCGGGTCTGTGCAATTTGTACAAGGGCATGTTTCCGACCAGCTGCATGCTGCCGGCTGATGAGCGAGTGGGGCCGCTTCGAGCCCTCGGCCATCGGAGGGAGTATATCTCCATGGCCCATCATGTCTGTCACTCGGTTGAATACCTGATGCAGGATGATTTTCTGCTGGCGGGACCGCTATCGGTTACCCCAGCGCTGGGGATCGTGATCGACAGTCTGCGGTATCAGCCCGAGCATGCCGCGGTGGTTGCATGGCTGCGGGCGGCTTTGGACCTCGTTCGGCAGAAGGGGTTGAAAGTGTTGGAGCACAGTCGTTAGTTGTCCGGTCTGCTGTATATAGGTGCATGACTGTAAAGGATACCCTGTGTGCTTGTGGGCTCGTCATCTTTATAAACCATTCATTGTATAACTAATTTCAACTATACCAACTACAAAGCGCTCTATCCTCTCGTCTCTTGCCCGAAGAGATTGTCATTTGAGAAGAATGTGTTCATTGGATTGCTGCCAGACAACCTTCAGCTAGAGTTTGTCGCTGCAGTCCCAGTGCTGGTAGGAAGGAAAAACACTTTTCCCATACTGGAGGAGACTTGATTGCTCTAGATATCGATGTCGTCTCGAATAAACAAAATCTTGGTTTTTGACACTGAACTGTACATGTCGAATACTGGAGTATATGGCCGAGAATGGTATATAAGGTATGAGACGGTCCAGGAAAGGATCCTTTGGCATGATTCGTTGCGTGGTAAAAGTGGAGACCCACCGGGCAAGCGATTTTTCTGCCTCAGCTGGCCACGCATGATCCATCTCAGCTTACCAAGACAGATCTGATTTTCCAACGGAATGCAGTTAATTATTACGCACATCCCTGTACTGGTAGCACAGCACTAGTTCTCTCTGGCGCCAAATTCCATAGGACTTGTACTACATTCAATCTGATCTCACCGCCACAACTTTACAACTTTATGCAGGTACTAACCTAAGTGCAGGAGAAAATGTTCATTTGCCTAATGCGGGAAAATAGCCGACCCTGGCTAGGTACTGTACTCTGGTCCTACCACTGTATGCAGCGGTTCTCATCGAGGGGAGACAATCCTGCAACACGTGGACAGTTCCAGGCTCGAATTAGACTGGTCCGCTTTTACTCGGTGGTTGGATCGAGGGTTCGGCTGAGATCATCCACCGATCTCGATCCCTGGTTCTTGGCAGCGCGATACACTGGTGACGCATGAGAGTATGGTCGGGTGGTATCGTTTATCAGTCTTCACTCGGACGCCAATCGCTGTTCCTCTACAGAGTAGTAGCCATAGGCTTCGCTGTGATCACCATCACCCTCCAATTTCGTTTCAACAATGGACGAGGTAGATACTGATCTGATCCTCGGAGTCAAAGGTTTCTATATTCTGACTCAACAACACAGCACCTAAGCCCCTCTGGCTATGGCTTAAGCCTCATAGTCTTTTCAGCATGTATATTTTATGTTGCCCTTGTCATGACATCGCTCAAGCTAGCCATTCATTGTTGGCTATCCAAGTCAAGTATAGCCGAAGATCTTTGTGGTCTCGGGGCCCTAGTAGCCTGCGCGGGGATGCTGGCGACCATAATATTAGGTACTGTACTTTCTCGTCGCCAAAGGTTCTCCCAATCTCCACTCATCAGATGGCAGGAGTACTGCGTGGAATCGGCCGCACGAGCGAGGAAGGCGGGATTGACTATGATGCCCTGGGAAAGGTTCGCGCACAAGCGGAGAAGATCGTCCCCCGCTGACACCCGGCCCTAGATCCAACTGGCCGTGCAGGTCCTCTATATCACCTCTGCTGCGTTGGTGAAATTGTCGATCCTGTTTCTGTACCGCCAGGTCTTCCAGCACATGCGAACCATCATCACCATCACCATCGCGGCGATTGTGGTCATTACCGTCGTTTTCATCTTCGTGGCCATCTTCCAGTGCCATCCGATCGGAAGGTTTTGGTGGGAGCCGAAGGCTGCACAGGGTGCATGCATATCCCATCTCATTTTCTGGTGTGATGTCGCGGTGGTCTTTCTTCTGAGCAACATCTGGATTACAGCTTTGCCTGTTCGACCGATTCTGGGTGAGTCTTCATTCTTGAACAGCTCACCACCAGAAGTGATTCGAGCATGGTTTAGGGCTTCATGTGAAACGCCATCTCAGATCCGGGATTCTCCTGCTGCTATGCTCAACAGGTTTACTGTGAGTCCCGTCTATGCAATGATGGAGGCGACTGGACTGGACTGATGGACTTGATCAGGACGTGTTCGACGGCAACGATTCGCCTGGCCTATGTCATCAAGCTCTACAGGGGCAATGACCCGACGAGAGACATAGTCCCGATCTACTTCTGCTCCATCTCAGAGATATGCGTTGCTCTGGTCTCCTTGAGTATACCATCTCTGCGTCTGGCCGCCCGGCGAAAATGGACAAGCCCGGCCCCATGCTGACTCTTCGACGCGGCTGCATTGCTTCGAGATTTTATACTTTATCAAGATTAACAATAATTGTCTAATGAATGAAGAGAGGTTCCGATCGTATATGTTAACAGATAAATTCTACTGTATACTCGGAGGAAGTGTAGAGTCGATATTTTCCAACTTAGAGAATGTGGAGAGCTGTCATACTCCAGACAGCCCCTCTCATAAAGGCAGACATGGTGGCAAGGAGGCTTGAATATCTGTTTCTGAACCAAACAATGATTCTAGAAACATATGAATCTTCTTATGCAGGCTAACCAGACCTCATTGTACCTTCTCATCAGAGTTCTACAAATATAATGTGGTTAAGTAAACAGGCTCTGAGCTTAATCCCTGACAAGGCTTCCTGGCGTTGCAATGAATGTCTACCACTCCAACCACATGTTCTCGTTCACCCTCCAAAAACGCACAAGCTTCCTTCTCATAGATTCAGTCTTGTCACGAAGGAAAGCGATGACGATAACGTGAATGGATTAGTCCATTACAGCGGTCACAAATTGCAAGAAGAAACTAATTCAACCACTCCACAATCCACTGCCGGACCCATTGCGGCTGCACGCCCTCCACCTCTTGCAGCCGTCTACTAACCTCAGCTGTACGCACCGTCTCCAGCGCATCCTCCGACTCAGTCTGTCCGATCAAGCCCTCAAAGAGCCCCAGCAGTTTGATCGCCGGATGACGCGCCAGAAGCAGTTGCAACTCCGTCTCTTCGAGCTTCTTACGGTCCTTCCCGCGCCCAGCGGTCTCAATATCCAGCCGATCCCGCTGCACCCACTCCCGCAGTGGGATTATCTCAAGCTCGTTAACATCGCTCCGCGCCGCAAGTTCTCTGGCGATAACAGGGAGGATCTCATCTAGTGCCCCGCCGAGAAGCGCCAAATCTACCAAAACCTCAGCCAAAAGATCGATCGGGACCCAGTCAATACGATTTAGAGCGGGGCCCAATGTGTTTGGAAGGGCCTTGACATGAAGTGGACTCCGGACGAGACTTGGGGAACCATTCTGCCGGGTTCCAGAAGCCCGGAGCGCGCACTGCCCCAGCTACTTGGCCGACTCAGGCGAATGCCAAGGAGGGCCTTCGCTCATGACTGTTCTTGGAGTGCTGCTGCTGTTGCGCAGCGCGGTCCAGCAGATGCTCGGCGATGTACTTGCTGTTCGCGTAGCCGTTCAGGGCGGGGGTGGTGGTGGTGGTGGTGGTGATGACCGTCTCGGGGGTCAGGCTGGACTCGGTCTTGTGGCCTGTGGTTGAGCTGATGGAGGTGAGAAAGAAAAGGCGCGGGGACTGGGGGCTGCGAGCTGTGAAATTGCTGAGGCTCACCACGCCCTGGAGGTGGGGCTCGAAGAACGCGAGCGAGTGGTTGAAGTTCACCGTCCAGGCGTTGTGGATGATCAATATTGTCGTTTGCTGTAGCTGCTTGAGGATCCCGCGTTGCAATCCGAGATCCCCTCGGCTGAGATGCGCCGTCCAGAAACTCACACGGAACTTTTGGTTAGCCAGTAAGGTCAGACCATACGTCGCCATGCGTCCGTGCTGTGTCTCTCGGGCGCGTTCATTGCGGTTGAGGCAATGAATATGCCTCACGGAGGGATTCTTCAGGAGCGCATCGAGGATGTATGAGCCCAGTTGGCCCGTCGAGCCAGTCAGAATCACCGTCTACATTTGGGGTCTATTTGCCGACTGCGAAATACAATCACTGCTCGGCTCAATCTGGCTGATGCACTTCTGCAGCAGCTGGTCACGTTCCTGAAGCAAAGTCTCTTGCTGCAGTTGCGTAGACTCCCTTCCCTGCTGATGCAGCTTTTGGACTGCATGGGTGAGTGCCGTCACGGAAGGATGCAAGTAAACCAGATTAGGTGTAAGTGCAGGGAGATTGAGACAATGCTTCAGCTCTCGGGTCAGCGTGATGGCTTGCAGTGAGTCTAGCCCCAGATCGAACCAGTTCGTCGCGTCAGACAACTTGTCTACGGCCCAGCCTGTGATATTTATAAAAGAGGAACGAATCTATCCAGCGACTTCACCAGCATCATCCACACTACCAGGCCCTGCCGCTATGCCCCCGGTGGCCTGCGCCAACCTCTCAGCGTCGGTGTAGAGAGCCTCCAGCTCCGGCGCATAGAGCATCAATGTACCAACCCGTTGGATGGTTCCCTTGCCAGCGCGCAACATGGGCTTTTTGGGGGTGGTAAACAGAATGTGGCACCTGGCAATGCGCGCGTGAGCTGGAGACTCACTGTTCGCCGCTTGAATGCTGGGCCAGAGCTTCTCAATCATAGCAGCGCGCTCACTGACAGTCAGTGCTGCTTCTGTCTGCCCGAGCTCCACGATCAGCGCCGCCTGAAAGCGTTGTGCACCAGCGACCAGGCATCCGGTCACCTCCCGGTTGGCGGCGATGACATGCTGCTCCATCGAGATCGGGTTCGTCTTCTCGCCGTTGAGAAAGACAATCACATCGTCTAGGCGCGATGTTGTGCGCCACAGATCGGCCTTGGCCGGATCCGGATGCCGGATGAAGAGGTCAGAAGTGTGGTACTCCTGCAGGTCAGGGAAGACACAGAAAGGGAACTGGTGGCGCTCGTAGTCAGGAGTACGCACTAGCACCAGCTCATGCTATTCACCCGAGACGTGGCGCATCTGCATCCCCAAATGCGGGTGAAACTGGATATATCGCTGGAGGTGGCTGTGGATAGTGGGCGAGCATCTGAATATACGAAAGGCGAGACTCTGAGCGTGTGGACACCGACCTGGGTAACGAGAAGACCTCGTGATCAATCAGTATGTGCCCTCATTCTAGCTACCTTTGTCAGGCAAACTCTCGAGACGAAGCTTTTTTGCATTGTGTCCCGGGACTATTTTCGTTCCCTTGAAGACAGTCATTCAGCCCAAGGGCGATACGTGTTGCACGTCCTGCCCATGTTTTGCGGTAGCAAATGAAAACATCGCCGATCAAGGATCGCATATTCGACAGACCCGCCTCTGGTCTCTTGCTAGCATATGCTCAACGGAACTATTTGTCTCAACTTTGGCAAACTTGACCCGGATGCAATGAGCAGGGCATGCGACGGATGCTACTGGTATCATGCTATGCACCGCTAGGCCGGGACTCAAGAAGAGTGGCAAAAATATAGTCAACATGGCCTTGCCACCCGGTATGCAGACAAAACCTGCTTCAACTAAAGGTCGATCTTACTAACGTAATGGGGATGGTGCTTGGCGATGGTGCTCGGCAGCAAAGGCCGAACAATTGCCCGACGGTCGTCTACGGACGACGCCCACAGTCGCGTTCCCTCGGGCAGAATAAGCCTGTATTCGTGCTCGCAGGTCCAGGCAATTTTGCCGCCGGAACCTTTTACAATGCTAGTTTGACCCGTCGTCACATCTTGCGTGGTCATCAGGCAGGTTCACTCCGTCTTGGATCTATGAGCGATGACGGCGCCTGTAGACGACACGGGATGCTGGATAATGTGCTGAAGTATCGGTCCATTGTGGGCCACTCACATCCGGTTTGAGATTTTGCGAGCACAGTGCTGGCATCTTGACTGGACCCTTGGACACCTCGGCTCGAGCCAAGATGGTGTGTCGAATGTAGAGGTGCATCGCAGAGCGCTATGCTGACAAGCTCTGATCGAAAGAGAGAAGAGGTCACTCCCCTTCTTAGGTCGATTCAGCACAAGCGAGTTGTTCCTGAGTTACATTAATCCTAATATGAGCGCATGGACATATTTCATGCTGTCAAAACATCTGGTTGGCCTAGAAAGCAGTTAGAAGCCCTCTTAGCGGTTCTGGGGACGATAGGCAATGTCGCGTTTGCCACGGTGGAGATACTGGGGGTCAACAGAACTCAAATATCTGTCCAATATGGTCATGAGGCTAGCTACGAGTAAATCTATGAGTCCAGCAAGATTTGTTGCCTGGTATGCCTCTCAGTGTGGTAGCATTGAATGTGTAGATAGTATAGTACTGATGGGACCGATGATCACGTGACTCCACAGTAGCATTCGCATTCTTACCGGCCCGGTTTAGCTTCAATCTTCCGGACAGTGAATGTCTTCGGTTCCGGCGGAAGCTGAAGACTCTCGGGGCCGAGTGGGAACGGATCTCACTACGGCTTCCGGAAAAAAAAAAGCACTTCCCCTCACTGATCCGGTGACTCAAATCACCTAACATACAACAACTCGACGGGGATCACTTGCTGGCTCTGCAAGTTTCCTCCTGCCATTGGGCCTGCTGAGTTCAAACTAAGAGCCCTTAGTGTGCTAGGCCAGCCCTGGAAGATGTTCCAACCGGCTTGGCCTGAAGCCTGTCGGCCTGGCCTACGTTACTGCGGATTCAACCCTCGTTCAAAGGCTCCACTTCTCTAAACCTGGAGAAGCAACCCTTCGCTACCCCATGGGACGACGCTCTGGGGTAGAAATAGGGCTCCACGGCCACTGTGTCCCGGATTGCTCGTGCTGCATCAAGATTGTCACTACAAAGAAACTTTTTTTTCCTGATTGATAGTGCTCATCTGAGGCACTGTGGGATAATGTCGGTGAAAGAAGCCATTGCAGCAACCGACAAGGCTGCCCTAACCCGCACCGCGCAGGCGGTGGCTGCTCGCGAACATGAACAACAAGGCTGGCTAGAGAGAAAGCTGAAGCCCAAGACCATCACCGCCCGATATCCTTTCAAGGGCGCTCCCTTGCTTTATGCGACATGTGCTTTCGGTAGTTTGGGCGATGCCCTGTTCGGGTACAACTCTGGTATGTCTCATCACCCCAACTGCCAAGCAAAGAAAAGACGGCTGATGGCAGGATCAACCCAGGGATCATGTCGGGTCTCCTGGTGAACCCTGTGTTTGTTGCCCGTTTCTTCAAGGATTACGGTGGCGCGGATGGTTCAACATCCGGGGTGGATCCGTCAATCACCGGCATAGCGGTGGCTTGTTTACAGGCCTCTGCAGCGGTAGGCGCCCTCATCGCGGGACGTCTCGGCGATATTATCGGGCGCAAGAAATGCGTCCGGATTGGCGGGTTCATATACTTCTTCAGCGCGTTCATCCAGATGTTCGCCCCCGGGTTTGGCACCTTTATCGCGGGTCGCACCATCCAAGGCTTGGGTGTCGGGTTTCTGTCCATGACGGTGCCCATCATTCAGACCGAGATCGCTGCCCCGCATCGGCGTGGTATGATGGTGGGGATTGAGTATACCTTCCTCATTGCCGGATACATGCTTTCATGTTGGGTAGATTATGGGTTCAATTTCCTTCTGCCCGGGGAGATGTCCTGGCAGGGGCCGTTCATCATTCAGATCGCCCTTTCGTTCATCTTGTTGATCATGTCATTCTTCCTCCCTGAGACCCCGCGTTGGCTGGCCAAGAACGGATTTATGCAGGAGAGTCTGCAGACTGTCGCCGACCTGCATGCGAACGGGGATACCGACGCAGAGCATGTGCAGAAGGTGTTCGTTGAGATCGAAGAAGCTGTCATTTTTGAGAGCAACCTCGGAAAGTCCACGTGGATGGTAAGACCCAGGTGCCTTTGTCATTCATGACGACACTAATACAACTAACAGGAGATGTTTACTCGTTACCGCAAACGGACCATTGTCGGAATTACAGTGCAGATGTTCGCCCAGCTCAACGGCATCAATATCATCTCCTTCTATCTCCCCAGCACCCTCGCCACCGCCGGCTTTGATGAACGAAAATCTTTGCTCTACACCGCAGCTAATGCACTTCCGTATACTGCTGCCACGGTCGTAACATGGTGGTTGGCAGACAAGTGGGGTCGGAAGCCGTTACTCATCCTCGGAGGTGAGTTCTTTCCCTCGTCAAAGCCCTATCGCGAGATAGTCAGCTAACACCCCTCGACCCAGGCATCGGCATGGCAATCCTGCTCAGCATCGTCTGTGCTTTCACGGAAGCGGACCTGGACATCCACACCCGCGCGAACGGACAGTACGCCTTCGTCATGCTCTACAACATCGTGTACGGGTTCACCTGGGGCCCGATGCCGTGGCTCCTCCCCGCTGAGATCTTCCCCCTGCGCGGCCGCAGCAAGGGCATGGCGCTGGCCACCACCAGCAACTGGATCTTTAACTTCATCATCGGCATGGTCTCTCCGGACGCCTTCGCCGGGATCCACGGGTATTTCTACCTGGTGATCGCCGGGTTCTGTCTGTTTTCGGCTGGGCTGGTGTACTTCTACTACGTGGAGACGGCGAACAGTACACTGGAGGAGATTGCAGAGCTGTTTGGCGATACGGCGTTTGCGGGGGCGGATGGGGAAGTGATTCGCGGGGTGTCGGAGGTGAGAACTGATCATGGCAAGGATATTGCATAGGGTAACATCCCTGGTCAGAGAGTGGAATCCTCTGTCGGGGTAAGTCTTCCAGGCAGACGCTGCAGACCCTGGTGTGACATTTTCTTGTATCAATGAACCATCTATGATTGTACGCAGTCGAGATGACATAGTGCTTAGATATATGTATGCTTTGGAGTGCTTTGAGAATTCATCTTATTCCTTCTTCCCTTTCTCGAAATCATACATTCCAACATTCCAGAAAGAGTCAACCGTGGATTGCGCCGGATTCGACTGCGATTGTAGTGCAGGATGCGACCCGCGCGCCGTGGAAACCAGGCATGCCGAATCCCCACCCGAATACGGGCGCACCCGAGCAACCTCGCGATCGCTCTTTGTTCCCACACCAGAAAGGATGGTACTATGTCCTGTTTGAAAATCCTGGCTCCTTGTGCTAATGGGATCTTAGAAGCCTTTCAAACCCAAATTACGATCCCGAGTCTTGTCCCTACGAGCCTAGACAGATCTTTCTCGTATTCAAACTTCCCAGCCACTGCTATATATCTTGTGGTCTCCTTTCCCGGGAGACCCGATTTTATGTATCCTACAGTACAAGGTCATGTTGCGTTGTACAGTACTTTCCCTCAACTCTGTGAATCGAGCTTCAACATCAGGTTAACTCCATGACTCCTAGACAAAAGACTAATCCGGCGGCTCGGTGTATGTTTGAATGCCAAAGCACAAGGAAAATGATTCATCAGACTAGGGCTAATAGTGTGCTACCACAGCCGCGACTTGCGGAGTCTCCCGCCCAACGCAGCAGCAAAAGGAGACGTGCACAGACTACCTGCTCTTCGACGCCTCGCTGCAGGAGTTCCTGACCTACAAGCGCGACGCACACGGACGACCCCCCTGGCTCGACTGGACGGACGACGGCTGCTCGGCCTCGATGGACTACCCGCTGGGCTTCAACTTTCACGACAGTTGTCTGCGCCACGATTTCGGCTACCGGAATTACAAGGAGCAAGGCCGCTTCGACCACGCACCGTCGAAGAAGGCCATCGATGCGCGGTTTAAGCAGGATCTGGTGGATATGTGTCACGGGGTCACGACGCCGTGGCATCGCATCAATAGTCACTGGAACTGCGTCAATTGTGCGCATCTATACTATCGCGCAGTGCGGTGGTTTGGGAAGTTCGGCAGGCACGTCCCTAGAGTTCCTCCGTTCAGTAAGAAGCGGTAGAATCATCTACAGGAACAGATCCGTGACTCTGAGGTGGTAATACCTTTCACATGGTGTTTGTGTATGTCGTTTCGCAACATCGGGAATATCCTCGCCGGTGGGGTAATTCAAGGTTACGAGTACAGTACAGAGTCGGTATTGAATTGGAACGTCGCCTTTCTTCGAGTGACCAATAGCCTTCCCATTATTTCTTGTCTTGCAGGATCTCTTGGTTGTGGTCTAGTAGATGACAGCACACTAGGGGGTATGATCGCATCTAATAAGGGGACAATGCTGAGGAATGAATGGTGCCTCACGAGACCCGATATTATGACTGAATGTGTTTTGTCTCTCAAAAGTTTATCAAAGCAAAACTGCTGGCTTTATCTCATAGAAGCATCATTGGTCTAGTGGTAGAATTCATCGTTGCCATCGATGAGGCCCGTGTTCGATTCACGGATGATGCACTCAGCATTTCATTTTTCTTTTTTGCTCCTTTATATTCCCGTGCCCGACCTGCCACTGGCCTTGTAGATTAGACCGTGCTTCAGTCGAGATATTCTGGAGTACTTTCTCACCTATGGCTAGAGCACTTCTGCTTCTGGTGGTTTTCATTCGGGGGTCCCAGATGTTAAATGGGATCTATAGCCATGAAGAATTGCCAAACTACATCTCGCTGACTACCCAGTGCTTGACATAAATACCCATGGCCACCTGTCAGCAAGAAGAGATCAATTTTACTTCTTGACAAACCAGTTGGTGAAAAGTACGTCGTTCTATACACGATAGTGTCATCTAAGAGCTAAGGACAGTAGCAACGCACTTGCCTGTTTGGTCTTAAGTTAGCGGTCGTATTGACTCATCCAGGAAGTCTACTCCGAGCCATAAATTCCGTGACGCAGCCGATGCCTACAAGTTCTACCCTTCGGTTCCCACTGCCCTTGAAAATACATCCTCCATGCGATATACCTCATAAGCGGTTTTCCAGAGCCTCTTCCGTGGTGCTGTACCTGGATTAACGCGCAGTCTCTTTGCTCACAATCACATATATAGACGACAGGGAAAAAGGGTGACCCCATGAGGTTCTCACGATATCTCGGCGGGAGCAGTCGATGTTATCCCGCGCATAATGAATTTGCCGGCACGTTGCTACTGGGCTTGGCGCGGAATTGAATCCTGCTCTTCAGTCCGTCCAGCCGGGAAAAATGGTCTGATCTCGGCTCAAATACGTATCTACGGGCGATATTGATTGATAGTTATGCGTCATTCCAGGTGCCCGGCTCATCCTTCCTTCACTACCCCACACACCCCACGCTCCTCTTCCCGCCTCACGGCTGTCTCCGTTCTCGGCCATTCGCCGTACTCGGAGCTTTCGGATACCGCATGTAGTTTGAGTGTATAAATTGCCCCGCAAATCAGCCCTTCCAGGTCAATTTGAGATGTGAATCAAATCCTTGCATCGAGGATCAAAGCTATTCAGTGGAGAAGTGCAGCAATTTCGCAAGTCATGACTCCGTGGGCAGCCTTTGGGTGGCTCGGCCTTGCCTCCCTCGCGCTGGGCGAGTTGAACCCTCCTTATTATGCGGATCTGAGCTGGCAACCCGCGCGGACCTTGTCCAACTGGTCGAACCTGACCGTTGAGACCCGGACTGGAACCTTCATCGGCATGTTGAACGATACCTATCCCAATGTCCGTCAGTTCTTGCGGGTACCCTATGCACAGCCACCGATTGGTGACCTCCGCTGGCTTCCTCCCCAAAAACTGGCGCACTCGTCGAAGAGAACTGACTCAACTCGATTTGGCCCGGGTAAGTCAATGCAAGGAGAGGCTTATTACTTGACGACAACGGCTGACCTTCTTCTCTGCAGCATGTCCACAGTATGTTGCTGCAGGCGAGTCCATGTGGGCCCAGTATGAGCCGCCGAACCTCCTGCTGAGCATCGGCGAATCCGACAACCAGGGCTCCGTCGCGTGGTCGTCTTCGGAAGACTGTCTGTCGCTGGCCATCTGGACCCCGGCCTATGCCAACGAGACCTCCCAATTACCCGTGGCGCTCTTCGTCACGGGCGGAGGAGGGACCACAGGGGGCATCGCAATCCCCTCCCAGCTGCCCTCGAACTGGGTTGCCAATTCGCAGGAACATATTGTGGTGACCATTAATTATCGGGCGAATATCTTCGGCAGTGAGTATCCGACTTGAAAACCTCATTCTTCCCTTGTAAGTGACCATCTCTAACGAGAGAGTTTCACACTTCCAGATCCCAAGTCTAAAGCTTTGAAGGAGACATCCTTGACTCTCATGGATGTGCGCGCGGCGGTGGAGTGGGTATCGGAGAATATTCGAGCATTCGGGGGAGATCCAGAGAACATCATGGTGAGTTCGCAACAAGTAGTTCCCAACAAAATTCTCCAAATGTCTTTCATTAAGCCTGACCACAACATGACAGCTGTGGGGCCAATCCCAGGGTGCTGCCCTGACACACCTCTATACCCTCGCCTACCCCGATGATCCTCTCGCGGCCCGCTTCGGCGTGATCTCTGCGCCGCCGTCAGTGACCATCAACCTCACGGAGACGGATGATGTTTACGAGGACTTTCACATCGTTGCCAAAGGTCTGGGATGCAATTACGGGGACGATGCCGAGGCGGAGCTGGAGTGTATGCGCCAAGTGTCCTGGGTTCAGATCGAGGAGTATATCAACCGCTATAATGGCACCCCGTCTATTGCGTTCACAAACTATATCCGTTTGTCTCCCCTGCCCCCTTCCCTTTGTCTCAATTCCCATCCTCTTCTTTAGTCTGTTGTGTCAGAACATGGCTAACGAGAGAGGGGATACTTCACAGCCGACGAGAAGTACATCTTCGCCAATGAAACCGAGCGCTACCGAATGGGTCGCGTAGCCCCCGGGCCGGCGATCCGCTCCAACGCCGCCCGCGAAGATCCGATCACCCCCGGCAATGACACCGCCACCATGGAGACGACCGGGGAATGGCTCTGCGCCTCGTATAAGGATGCGCTATTGCGGGCCTCGCTGGGGCTCGAGACCTACCGGTACGAGTGGGCAGGCAATTTCACCAACATCAGCCCCGTCCCCTGGCTGGGTGCGTTCCATTGGTCAGACCTGTTGATGATCTTTGGTACTTACATGCTGGATGTCGGTGAGATCTCGGAGCTGGAGGTTGCGACCTCGCGGACGATGCAGGATTATCTGCTGGCTTTCCTCAAGGACCCCGCGACGGTCAGTACGACGGTGGGTTGGCCGGTGTTCAATGCCAGCGCCCCGTCAGGAGGGCTGATCCTGGAGTTTGGGAACACAACCGCCGTGCGGAATGTCACTGGAGACTTTCTTGAGGCAGGTTGTTGGGATTCCAGTGCTCCGTTCCGCATCTTCGGACGCGATGAAAGAGTCCCCCTGGAGTGGAGGGGGTGAACTCTGGTGACACTGACAGCGGCTATGAGTCTGGCACAAGATCGGAGGTGATAAGACGGTCTTCGGACACCAGCCTTACCCGGCAAGTACATAATTTTCTATTTCTTTATGAGCATGTTGATGAGTGTTAGATATGGATTAGCGAGTGGTAGAGTGGATGATAATGATAGAACGTCTAGAACATGAAATAACCCCATACGGGTGACAGCCATACTTAGGTGCCGACAGCCCCCCTCTCGAGTGACTAGAGACATTCGGATGTATCGTACTGTATTCTAGATCATGTTTGCTATGATTCTGAATCTGGGCTTATTCTTCTACATTAATCATCGCAGCCTGTCATTGATAAATTATTCATCTTATTAAATGAGAAGTTGGAGCCGGGGTCGTTGGTAAGAGCAGAAACCGGGGCTCGAGTCGACTACACAGGAGATAGTCTAATTCCATAGAGATCCTGCATGCATCGAGGCGAACCCAAGTCGGCATGGAATCCTTTCTGCTTACCAGTATCAAACATTTCAAAAAGTGGTAAGGTGCTGTAGCTGTAAAGTGGTGAATTCCATCTGTCCCTAAGATGTGACCCTGCCCAAAAGCAAGCTTGTCAAAGACCTAAGTACTTGCATTAAAAGAACGCTACCAAAGCAAACGCGAAGAATACCGTTACCTCATGTTGCCTCGAAGAGAATTATCTGTTCCGTGCTGAAATACTCCTATAACAATCACCGCTCCCTTTGTTGTGATGTGAAGTATATAATCCGCCCTGGTATGCACGTATTCTACACATGTCTCAATATTCCCCACCCACCCCTCAACATTCCCATCACCCGACCACTCCAACTCACAAGTCTACACCAAACATGCCTCCACCACGTTACCACCTCAGCCTCGCCTACTACGTGCACTATTTGCCCGAGCAGCTCCGCCCATTCCAGGTGCCGGTAGTGCGCCCTCGGATGACGCATCTCCGGTGCGGGCTGTGCAACAGCGTGGAGCTGGGGGACACGGAGAAGCCGCTGCACCAGTGCTCGAACTGCTACAGCTGCTTTCATCTGGACTGTGTCGCGCAGCTGAGAGTTAATGAGCTGACCGAGCGAGACACCCGGCTGGTCTACGGCTGCGCGAGCTGTGGCACGCCGTGGTTGACTCCGCAGCACTCTGCCGAGGAACGGGGACAGCCCACGAGCCCGGGGCAAATAGAGAATAGAGTGGACTCTCAGATCCTCTACCAATACCAGCGGAACGAGCAGGGCGATTATGTGTGTACTGTCCGCAAGTCGGATGGTAAGCCATGCGGGGTGACTGCGGCGTTCTGGGATGCATTTGCGGCTCACCATGCGTGCCAGCATGAGTCCTGGCGGTGATCTCGTGGGAAGTAAGAGTACTGTTTTATGCATTTTGCTTCTGCACCTGCCTGCCATGCCGGTCGTTGCTAGATCGTACGAAAAACAAGATATAAAATCAATAAAATGACCATGTAAGGATTACCCGCATAAATCTGCCTTTCCTCCACTCAGCTGTCATCCGAAAATGTAATAAGCTGCTATTATAGCACAAACTATTTCTGCGCTCAGTATGGAGCAACGCCTCTGCTAATCAAGTACATACGACCACAGGGTGTGGAAAACAGGGCTTCCCGTCCGCTCAGCCGTACTTAAGCCACACGCCGGGAGGTTAGTAGTTGGGTGGGTGACCACCAGCGAATCCCTTCTGTTGTATGTTTTTGTCTTCTTCTTTTGTTTGTTTTATTTCAATCCCTTTCAAGAGCAAGTCAACGTGAAGAATCCAGCCTGCTGGTCGCTGATATTGGTCCATCTTGCTAAATGTTTGATCCGCGGATATCTTCGCCCCAAGACGCACATCCCCGAGTCACAGCTCATAGTGGGAGTCGCTCAAAGTTTGAAGTCGCTGTCGGCCACGGCTAGAGCCTTGAGGCGGTGACATATATGTAGATTGAATACACGTACCTCTCGATGTTGCTAGCGGCGTCCTCTGAAAAGGCAGCATTTTGATAAAATTACCACCCCGTTACCCCGTAGTCCTCGAGACGCATAACCCATCGTCAATATGGAGTAGGGTCTACTAAATAACACCACATACAGCCAGATACCTCACTCATGAGACTCGGACCCCCGAAACAAGTCTCAATGACGCATTGCGGATCGGCTCCTTCCCCAGGCCATACCGCCACAATTTGCAAGAGGGGCTCGACACCCAGTAACTCCTCCCACTGCCGCCTCGTCCGCTCCATCCCGTTACAAGGCAGCCACATCAGCATGTGCATATCCGCCCGCGCCAGCGTCTCCCCCGTCTCCGCCAGCACCATTTCATTGATCAGCAACCGCGAGTGTAGGCCCATCACCTGGGCCGTGTTCGACAGGATCTTCCGGGCTGCCTCGTCGTTCCAATCGTGCAGGATTGAGTTGAGGTAGTAGACATCCGCCCCTGGAATTTGTTCCATGGTTATGTCTAGAGGAAAGGCAAAGAAGAGAGAACAGAGAGAAAAGAGAAAGTAAGCTGATCAAAAGCAGGGAAAACAAATTTTACCTTTAACTGGCTGCGGCGTAAAGAAGTCATACACCATCGGCTGAATCCTCGGATCGAGGCCGAGGGGGATCATGTTTACGGTCTCGCGGAGATCCTGGAGGATCAGCTCACATGGCACGTCGGGTAATGCCGTTGCGAATCGCTGGAGGTCTACTTCCTGGGACCCGCCAATGTCGACAATGGTGAATGGCTTCAAGAATTGCTCCAGATTGGTGGGAGACAGAAGAAGGAGGCGCTCCCGCACCGGGTACTGTACTTGCTGTGCCACGGCACCGAGAAGCTCTTGTTCCGGGTGGTCATGTTATTGTCGAAGGCTCGTTGTCAGACCCGGTCTGTGGAGAGGGTCTTCCAGAGTGTTTCCCGCATGGCGAAGGTGTAGGAAGCGGGCGACTCGTCGGTGGCGCAGGGTTTGGGCTGGTGGAGGTATTGGTCAATTTGGCTGGCGAGGGGGTAGAGCATCGAGTGGCATGCCATTCAGTATGTAGTTTCCGGATAAGATGAAGAAACGAAGATGGTCCACGCCGATCGTGGGGAGGAAAGACAAGGGAAAGTACGAGAAACACTGACGCAATGACCAAACCCCCGATTGAGCCTGGGCCGGACTGACAGATGGTTCGCGCGTTGGCGCGGTAGCTCTGGTAGCCGGTTTCGGTGGCGAGTCCCAGTGCAGTCATCATGCGCATAATACGGGCTAGGTTCGTGCCTGGTGTTGTTAGCTGGGTGGTGCATTCGAAGATGAGAATGGTGGGAAATGCAACGTACCGATTAGGGTTTCATCGTAGCCGGACTCTCTGGCAAGGTCGGATGCCGTCACGCTCTCACTCGCTCTGGCGGAGAGGAGGCGGAGGAGACCCATCTCCACTTCAGCGACGAGACAGATATTCTGTACTGTCTATGAGAGTAATGGTCCTTGCTTATGCGCCAGCGGGAATTTCCGCGGCCCTACGAACCGACCCAAGAGGGGAGCTTTATGTCTCGATGCTGATGCTTGTATGTGTTGGAGAGGTATCCTTGGCACCCGAATGGCAGGCTGTCAAAACTGATATGTTTATACACATTGTTATCGTGATGCAAGGTGAATGCAGAGCTGGCTGCAAGCACGTAGCCTTGGCAGGATGTCTAAGATAACTCGTAACACTCGTAACAACTGAGGGGCGGACAAGATATAAACTTTTATCGCGACACCGACGCACTTGTCTGTCTCCTGTCTTTTGTTTTCGCATTGCGGTCAACCCGGCTAACAGCATCATATATTGTGATACTTCAGTGTTACAATAATGAACTATCTAAGCACTCATTGCAGGAACCATACAGTGATCGGTCTGTTAGGTAGTCATCTCTTGCCCAGACACTATGTGTATGTGTCCCCTCGGAAAACAAAAAGAAAAGGGGAAAAAAAAAGGAAAAGCGAAAAAGGAGAAAAAGCTCAATTGAGAAGCAAACAGTCTAGAGATTTGTAGGTGTAGCGGGGGCCTGAGGCGAAAGACCGCTTTCCTGATTAGGAGAAATAGAATCTCTGATCCTCTATCCACACATTTTGCAATGGAAAATCCGATTGCCAAACAAATGTCGAAAGATATACTTTGTATATTGCGAAAGTATCGAACGCCCACTTCGCGGTCACGTGCTTTGAGCAGGGCTGGTTCCTAGACAAAATGTCCGTCCTTTTCAACCAACATAGAGTTAAATGAGGAAAGTTCCACCCAATTGGATTTTCATCGACTATCAAAATGATTGGATCTCTCTGGTCAGCTATTGTTAGGGTTGCTAGGCAACACACTGCATACATACCATGCAGCGCCTACCAAATGAACTTTTTATAATCATTGGCGAGTACACCCATGAGGAGGAGAAGTTCACGAACACCCTGTACGCCCTGACTCGGTGTTGTTGGTGATTCCATCAAGTCTACCAACCTCTACTTTATCCTATCATCCGCATTCACAGGTGCAGTTTCAGTCATGTGACAATGATCGCACATCTCTGGCGAACCCCCGACGTGGCCCGTCTCTCAAGAGCTTAAGCATTGTGGAAATCGTTGACGAATATTACTCGAATCTGCTGTCGGATCTGTTGACGCTGGTGCGAGACCGGACTTCCTCTTTCCAGCTGGAAGAACTAGGCATTGACCTGGCAGGGTTGCCTGAGGAAATCCCGAGTTTGTTGAGAAACGAATGTGACACCGCTGGTATCCGGCTGAAGTCTGATGTATCTCCATTAAATCCCTGCAGAAGGAGAGGGGGCTTTCCATACCGTTATGTGGATTCGTGATTCTATACCAATTGTCTGAAGAAAAACCTTGCTAGTGGAGGAAAGATCTACATAGACATTATTCACCATCCAGATCAGCCTAGAATATCTCTTAGTACGATGTCTGTAGCTTGGAACGGCGCTGTATCAGTCTGTATCCACTGTCGCGATGACAACCACCTCGTCCATCATTGTGAACCAGCTCCAGCGCGCTTTTGTTCAATCATCTCGCCGCTTTAGCAACTAACGAGCGGTTTTTATTGCTCAATTCGTGGTTAGTGAGCTGTCGGTAAGATAAGATAGATAGTTAGATAGTTAGGTCCTGAGAAGGTGTGGTCGGGGCACCGGATCACGCATCTTATGCCGTATGGTGAAGACGGGGCCCAGATCCATGATGATGATGATGCGTCAATCTGATGCGAGTCCATGCGAGTCCATGCAGAACTTGCCCAATCAATACTGCGTCGACTGACAGGGGTTGGTTTAACCCATTAGGAAATGATTGTCGCATGCAGTGCCAGCAGTGCAGCGCCCCGCAGTGCCGTGCCCCTCTTCAATCACTTAGGACTAAACCCCACTTCGGTAGCAGTAGAGTGGAAGCTTTGAGCAGGAAACTAGTCAGAGACTCTTATCGTAAGTAGCATGGGCCCATCATGATTGCTCCCAGAAAAAGAGGTTGGATCCTGCTTCTGTACTCACTACTTTCCAAGACAAGTGGTTTCACTCAGCCCAAGCAGTTTCTACATCGGCTTGCAGCATGAAACACCTCAAAGCCCTACTTGTAGCAAACCGGGGGGAAATCGCCTGTCGACTCCTGGTAGCCGCCAAGTAAGTAGTCTGCACCCCCGTATTGTGTCAATCACTGATCAAGGGGACTATAGAAAGCTTGGCATTCGCACGGTAGCTATCTACACCGAATCGGACTCGCAATCAGGTCATGTTGGTGCCGCGGATGAGGCAGTTCTCCTGACCGGGGATGCCAGAGCCGCGTACCTTGATGGGTAAGACTTCCTAAGTGCTCGACACACACCCTACTCAGTGGTTCGTTCGAAGGTTAGGCTAACCCATAATTTCATCCTGACAGAGAGCAGATCATCGCCATCGCCAGGTCCCGGGATGTGCAGGCCATTATCCCCGGCTATGGGTTTCTCTCCGAAAACGCCGCCTTTGCCCGGGCAGTTGCCGCGGCGGGCCTGATCTTCGTCGGGCCCTCGCCTGAGGCGATCGAGTCTTTCGGTCTCAAACACACGGCCCGAGTGCTAGCGCTGGATGCAGGGGTACCCGTGGTGCCCGGATCCCCAGGCCTCGTGTATTCAGAAGATGCCGCTGTGGAGTTGGCTCAACAGCTCGGCTACCCGGTGATGCTGAAGGCCACCGCCGGCGGGGGCGGCATGGGCCTGATAGCATGCACCACCCAGGCAGAGCTGCGCCAGAACTTCCAGTCCACTAGGTCTCGCGGGGAGTCGTTGTTCAAGAACGCTGGCGTCTTCCTGGAACGATACTATTCGGATAGTCACCACATCGAAGTGCAGGTCTTCGGCAACGGACAAGGACAAGCCATCAGCATCGGGGAAAGGGAGTGCTCCATCCAGCGCCGGCACCAGAAGGTCGTGGAGGAGTGCCCCAGTCCCTTTGTGACGCAACGATTTCCAGAACTCCGAGCTAAGCTGACAGAGGCCGCGGTGGCGCTGGCGGAGAGCATCCAATATGGCTCCGCCGGCACAGTCGAATACCTGGTGGATGATGAGTCTGGGGACTTCTTCTTCCTGGAGATGAACACGCGACTACAGGTCGAGCACGGAGTTACTGAGATGTGCTACAACGTGGATCTGGTCGAGCTCATGTTGCAACAAGCTGACTACGAGCTCGGTGGGTTCGGCGGCATTCCAGCGGAGGAGCTAAAAGTCTGGCAAGCACAGTGGCTGGAGCCACACGGACATGCTATCGAAGCACGAGTCTATGCCGAGAATCCGGCTAGAAACTTCGCTCCGAGTCCCGGTCTACTGCAAGAGGTGACCTGGCACGAGCTCCCCGGAACCCGAATTGACACTTGGGTCAGGGCTGGTCTCACGGTTAGCCCTGACTATGACCCCCTCCTGGCCAAGATCATCTATCACGCACCCACTCGATCCGACGCGGTGATCGGCATGAGAGAAGTGCTCGCAGAGAGCGTCATTTGCGGCGCCCCAGTCAATCTCGACTACCTCTCTGCGATTGTCGACGACGGCCGATTCTGCAAGGGCCATACCATGACCAAGTTCCTCGACTCTCTGCATTATGCCCCTGCAGCCATTGATGTCATATCCGGCGGATCATACACCCTCGTGGAGGACTATCCCGGGCGGCCGTTCGTCAGCCACGGCTTCGGTCATGCCGGTCCGATGGATCCCATCGCCTTTCAAGCGGCGAATATCCTTGTGGGAAACCCGCCGACTACCGAGGCGCTGGAGATCACCCTGGTGGGCCCGGAGCTTCTGTTCCTCGGAGACGCGGTGGTAGCGCTCTGTGGCCCTCCCATCCCTGCGACGCTGGATGATCAAGAGCTCGCCGAATGGACGCGCGTCAGGGTCCGAGCCGGACAGAGGGTCAAGATAGGGAGACTGGCGGCCCAATGCCGTGTCTACCTGGCTGTCTATGGCGGATTTCTCAACGTCTCAAGCTGGTTCGACAGCAAATCAACTAACCCGCTGGTCGGAGTCGGCGGGTATCAAGGTCGACCCCTCCGCGCTGGCGATTTCTTGCAGATTGTCTCGCAAGACCAGCTGCCGGAAGCACAAGCCGTCCGCATGCCACGCTCCCTTATCCCTCAATACTCTAACGACTGGGTGATTCAAGTCATGCCTGGGCCGTACGAGACCGGTTATCTGACCCCGAAAGCCATCGAGATGTGCTTTTCGACCACCTGGACGGTGAGCCACAATGCTGCCCGCGGTGGCATCCGCCTCATTGGGCCGCGACCGGAGTACGCGCGTGGCGACGGGGGAGATGGAGGATCCCACCCGAGTAACGTCTTTGAATATGGATACCCAATGGGCGGCCTGAACTGGACTGGGGACGAGCCGGTCCTATTTCCGGTGGATTGTCCAGATTTTGGCGGCTTCGTGTGCAGTCTGACCGTCATCCGGGCGGACTTCTGGAAGCTCGGCCAGCTTCGCGCGGGAGACACCGTCCGGTTCCACCGCGTCGACCTCGATACTGCGTTGGCGTGCAGGCGCAGACACGAGCGTTTTCTGCAGAGCCTCGTTTCTTGTGTAGAGAACAACTCGTGGGACGATCCTATCGCTTTTAAAGACGCGGCCCTGAATTCCCTTGCCTATGCCGCGAGTCAGGACGTGGTCGCTTCCTTGGACGCCACTGAGACGCAGCCCAAGGTGACCTACCGTTCTGGAGCGGACGACTACCTCCTCGTTGAGTACGGCGATGGCAACTTGGACCTGGAGATGAAGTGTCGGTCGACGGCCCTGAAACGCGCCCTGGAGTCGGCCACCGGGGCGATCTCCACCAGCCGGGACCAAGGCGGCCAGATCTACAACCTCGTCGCGTGCGGTAGCTCGTTGGCCGTCTGGTACAATGGAATCAAGCTTGCGCGAGCTGATCTGGTCCACCGACTGCTTGAGATTGAACACACGTTGGGGGACATGCGCGCGGTGCGATTCCCCATCCGTCGCTACCAGCTCCCCGTCACCTTCCAGCACCACAAGCTGGTCGAGATGGTTGAGCGCTACACGACCACCCAGCGGTCGAGCGCAGCGTACCTTCCGGATAGCTTCGCGTATGTGGCCGAGTTCAACGGTATGACCCCACAGGAGCTCAAGAATGTTCTACTGGCGGCCGAAAACGTTGTGCTCGCGGTGGGATTTATCATGGCCTTGCCCGTTGCCGTGCCCCGAGATCCCCGCCTCCGCATCCGCACCCCGAAGATGAACCCCAGTCGCAACTACACCCCTGCCGGCTGCTTTGCATACGGAGGCTCCTCTATTTCCATATACCAGGTCGATAGCCCCGGCGGGTATATGCCACTGGGCATGTCTCTCCCGACGCTCGACCTCTACGGCACGAATTCGGTCTTTCAGCAGCAGGCCTGGCTGATCCAGGATATGGATACAATCAGCTTTTTCGAAGTGTCAGAGGAGGAATATGACAGGATATTGGCGGACCTGCGTGCGAGACGGTATCAATTCCAGGTCGAGGACGGTGTCTTCGACATGGCCGAATACCGTCAACTGCTGAAGGAGACCGAGGGGGAGGCTGAGGCAATCCGGCAGAAGCAGCTCGTGGCAGCCGCCCAGGCGACGGCAAGGGAGAAGGCTCTCCTGGATCAATGGGTGGCGGAGAAAGATGCAATGGTGCCTGATGATGATGAGGTAGCACGCTTACTGCAGGGTGGGTTAATTATTGTTTCTGAGTGCAGAGCCAGACCAAGTTACTGATCGCATATCAACTCTCATAGACGCGACAATTCAAGCGGTCGAAGCCCCGACCAGCGCGAACGTGTGGAAGGTGCTTGTTGAGCCAGGTACTAAGGTAGCCCAAGGCCAGACGCTCGCGATCTTGGAGGCCATGAAAATGGAAATCAATGTGAATGTAGCTCCGGAAATTGCGGGTGCCACCGTGGTGAAGGTCTTGGTCCAGCCGGGGGGTAGTGTACATGGTGGTCAACCGGTCATACTGCTGCAACAACAAGGACAAGAAGTGTGAACAGGCCGGAAGAAGTGGGAAGACAATGTACTACCACAACTGATTGCCTGTTCTAAAATTTGAGCCATGAGTGCTGTACATAGCACTCGCTATAATTGTCCCTATCAGTTGTGCCCTAATCAGCATAAGCAAGGCTCTCATGCGGCACAGCTTACGTGATAGTTTATAAGTTAGTTAAATACTTATCGTCTGCCCTGTTCTCCTCAGGGTCTGTGCCCCTCTTTCCTTCCTCGTTCCCAGCCTGTGCGAGCCTCTTCCCATGGATCGAATGCCAGTCGAAATCAAGCTACTTATCGTTGAGGTGGTGAGATCAGTACCATTTGCATTGATTATTGATGAACCCCCTAACCACATCTGCTAGATCGGCGAAGTATCGCGGCAAGCCTTGCGGGCTTTATCGCAGGTGAATCATCAGTGGCACGACGTTGCCGGACCTGACGTCTATGGAACCCTCCTTATCCGCTTGGAGGACGACAAGCCAGCTCATCGTGACCGCTTGCTTCGGCTTTTGGACGCTGCTCTCATTCTACCGCATGTGAAACACGTGATGCTGTTGAATAGAGATACAAGACGTTCCATAACAGCAGGGAAGGACGCGAGGCTCTGTCGGTATCTACGCCAAAGTCACCCAGAGGATATCATTGTCCCCGCGTTGGGTACATATACATATAAGGGGGACTGGGCCCCAATTATCCGCCTCGTGCAGCGGCTGATTTCGTTGAAATGGTTTGATTTCCTGATTCACAGGCACTGCCCGCCGGAATTGTTGAATGTTCTCGCCCAGACGCACCCGCACTGCCGCGTCTCCGTATTCCCTCGCTGCAGCTTCTTCCTAGCAGAGGACCTCTCGCGGAAGAAGTGGGCCCAGTCCCCGCTGCTACATACGGTTCATATTGTCTGCTATGAGGATCCATTTCTCCAGTCCTTTCACACTGACCATCCCGATCGCGGTCTGCGAGATCTCCTCCGCCAAGCACCCCATATCAAGCGGCTAGCCTTACAGATCAGCTCTAAGTGTCCAGGTAGCACGCGACAGAACTACGCCCAGTGGCTCGAACCCCGTCCGCCGGAGGGCGAATTCGATGCCAGCCCTGCACGCGCGAGGCTAGAAGTCTTGTCGTTACCCTTGATTACCACATTGACCGGGGACGGTTTCCAAGCGTGGTCCCGGGTGGCCGACCTGGGCTACCTGACTGCGTGGACGGCTGGTGCCCTGGAAGAGGAGAGCGCGTTGGCAGCCATCACGGACTTGCAGCCCTTCCGCGCCCTCAAGCGTCTCACCATCTCCCTCCACCCGCCTGCAGACTTCCTACCCTCATGGCGCCAGACCATCCAGGCCATGTTCGACTCGCTTCCGACGCTGACGTATCTCTGCCTTCTGGGCACGTACGATCCGACGATTCTCCCCACGGCCGTCCTTGACCGCCATGGCTCGACTTTAATCGAGTTGAAGCTGCACCGCGAGACGCCCCAGTACCAGAGCTACGAGTCCACCCGACTGGCGCAAAAGGGGCAGATCGCCCCGATATATCCCGCAGATGCGATCCGCCGCATGGCCGTCCGCTGCCCGAGGCTGAAGACCCTACGCATCTGCGTGCAGCGTCACCGGGGCCACCCCGTCGAAACGGAGGCTTACGAAGCCCTCGGCCAGTTCCCGGCGCTGGAGACCCTGGACCTCGTTCTCAACTGCCTCCCGGTAGTGCAGGACGATGGGACACCCTTCCCGCCGCGCGAGCTGAGTGAGTACGAGCAGGGACACAACCAGGACCACGTGCCCAGATGGATTATCCGGGACTGCGCCATCAACTGCGCGATCGACGCCCCCCTGGCTGCAGCAATCTTCAAGCGTATTCACCCGCAGCCGCGCAGGGGCAGTCTGCGACTGCTGCGCCTCCACCCGCTCGCAGGCCACCACGGCCAGTATCGGGTTGCCCCCGGGATTAGCAACTCTCAGGCTCTCCTTGCGCGCAGGAATCTCAACTTCCTGATGCTGGGTAAGTGGCAGGTTGCTTGGGATGGCGCCGGTCGGCTGCGGGCCCGAAACTGTGAGACAACACGCTGGGAAGGAGGCAGCTTAGCAGTGACAAGCGCGGATCTTGAGATCTTCGAGTCCATCTGGCCCTCCTCTCGAAGCACTCAGACCTGGCCGTTCGACTGGCGGAGCTGGCCTCTGCAATAGGCACGCACTTTGTTTCTTTGTTCTTTGCTTCGAGGAATCCATAGTCAACGCATTTGGAAGGATCGAAAAGAAGAGATTCAACCTGACGAGTAGCATCTGTGGAGCCCGTATAGTAGTGTATTCATATTCCTAGCCACGAGATGTCGCTGGCTCCATCATTAGCCCCAGCACCGATCAATCTCCTGCGCTCAGCCTCCTTCGAGAAAGCCTTCTCACATTCTCTCTGCCATCTTCTCCTCCTCCGTCCGCAGATATATCCCGACATGCACCCAAACTGATCATCAACACCCACTCTTCCGATCCTCTGTGCTGCGGAGTACCTCTTCGTCGTGGGGAGGCGAGCGGCATTAGGGATCGGAGCTCCGACGGGTGGTGGCGGTGCAGGCATAGTGTCAGTAGGGTTGGAGACTAGCGGCTAGCCCTGATGGCGACTGGGATTGATCCGGTCAATCACAAGGATACAAGCCATCAGCTTACTATCACCTATCCACTTCTGGCCAGCTAGCATCCCAGTCGCGCAGTGCCTGCGTGAGTCACAGGTCCACAATGCTACTTGTTTATGCCCGTTCCAGTAAAGAGTGATTCATTCTATGGCTATAATCTCAACCCATGTCTATTTTCAAATCATGATGCGACTCATGTGACTCACAAAAGAATCTCCGCTTGCATCACTCTTGCATCCTCACCGTGTCTGCGCTATCTAATATCATGTGATGCGCATAGCATCTCACTCAACTTCCCATGAAACCCAGGAAAAGACCACCCCTAGGTCAGCGCACTCTGGCAGCGATCAATCCCCAGCGCATGGATCAAGAACTCGTTGATGAATTGGCACTGGGGATCCATCTCCTCCTGTAGGTCGAGCCACTCGTTCATCTTAGGGAAGATGGTGGCGGTGTAGGTCTCGTTGTGGAACTGCATCTTGTTCCAGTGCGGCCGCACGTTGTACTTCTCGCCGAACCGTGGGATGAACTCGCTCGCCAGCTCCTGGTAGAAGTACTGCTGCGTCCAGTTGTTGTAGGTGGGGATCCACGAGTACTCGAGCGAGGCGAAGACGCCCTGCGAGCCCGCGGGCAGGTTGTAGTCGTTGACCGGCGACAGCCAGTTGTCGTCCGCCTTGATGAAGCGCGTGATCACGGTCACGTCGTCGCTGAGGTAGCCCTTCGACTTGTCCGCGGCAATATCGGGGTTCTGGAAGGGAATCATCCGCGCTGCCTGCGACTGCGCGTGGTGCAGGTAGTCCTCGCCCGCGGCGGCCAGGTTCTCGATCGGGAGGAAGTGCTCGAACTGGCCCATGAAGCCCCGGTAGCAGATCCCCTGGGGCGGGGTCGCGACGGCGAAGTTCTTGTAATCGTAGCACACTGAGTCGCGGTCGCAGGGCCCGCAGTCGTTGGCGCAGAAGTCCAGCGAGCAGTTCTGCACTGCGCTGTAGTTGCTCGGCTCCCATGAGACGACAGTGAGGTTGGGCTTTAGAACTAGGGCTTGCTGCTCGACTGACCAGTCCAGAGTGGGGCCGAGGATATTGATCTGCTCGTACTGGTCGCCGATCGCGGCGATCTGCTGGTAGAGCTCGGTGATATTACTCGAGCCCTGGATGACGCGGGTGGTGCGTTTGAGGTAGGAGGTGGGTTCGACCTGGATGGTTGCTTCGACTACAATACCCAGGGCGCCGATGCCGATGCTGAACGCCTTGATGAGGTCCGGGCTGGTTGATTTGTCCATGCTGTGGATGTTGCCCTGAGCGTCGAGGACGCGCAGGCCGAGGATTTGCGTCGCCAGGTTCTGGTTCTGCTTGCCTGTACCGTGGGTGCCGGTGGTCACCGCGCCGATATAGTTCTGCACCATCTCACTGCCCAGGTTGTGCACTTCAAGACCCTCGTCACGGAGGGCGGGGATCAAGTCGATTAGATCCCACCCGGCACCAAAGGTGACCGTGTTGTTGTTCTTGTGGATCTGCATGTGCTTCAGGTTGGTCAGGCTGAGAATATAGGACTCGCGCGAGGTCTCGCCATCGTTGATGCAGGTGGTGAGGTTGCCAAAGCCGTGCCCGTTGCCGACGGGCTTGAGAAAGGTCTTGCGGGGGTATTGCTCCTTCACAAAACTGACGAGATCTGCTTCGTCGTCAGGGACAAAATAGCCCGTGGCATCGCAGCTGATGTCTTCCTGCCAGTTAAACCAGCGGTGAGCAAGGACCCCGGGGCTGTTCAATGCCAGGAGGGAGAGAAGGGCTGTGCCCAGATATGACTTCGTGCCAACCATGTCGAACGATGGGGGTATTTCCTGCTCGTGCGTGTTAGTTAATGTAAATTCATAGAATCGTCAAAGCGGCCCACATACCGATCGATAATTGCAACGGTGAGTGAGATAGAGATTAGAGCACTGGCGAGAGTCTTCAATGCGTCTGCTCTGTACTCGACTACCCGGGACAGATTGATGCTTTTATAACCATCCTTCTAGGTGAATCTCCCTCTCAAATCCGTCCATCTAGGCCATCTTTCGTCTCCCAGACAATTACCAATGTCGCACAGAGCCTGAAGGTCGAGGCCAGTCTGATGGACAATCATTGACTCCACGAGTATCATCCTTAGCAGAGACTGCTAAAAAGATCGGCGCATCCTCTCGGACCTCGAGACTCTCAACATTGGATTTCAAATGGTCCAGGATCCAGAACTGTGAGGCTTTCGGGATGCAAAGGATCAGAGCTATGCGAATAGTAGTCTCTCGGCGCTGAGGCTGTTCAGCATGAAAAAAGCCGGTGGAGGAGCAGGCTGACGTAGGACTGGCTATACTTGGACTACTATCCCGACACATGATTGGAGACTTCGACCAGATGAAGAAGTTGATTGACATTACCGCTTTGAGATATCGGAGTGGAACCTGAGGGCTCAATCACCGTCCAGAACTATACGAGACGGTGGACTCTCTCATGCAGCATCGGCCTGGGATGGCCCGCACAGTGACCCGAAAGTCAACTGCAAGGACACCACATGGAATTCTTCTGCAAATGATAGCCCATGTGGGCGACAGCGATGATGTGAGAACCCCGAAAAACCAACAATCCCAAGACCGAAGACCAAAGCCGCCAAGAGCCTTCTCCAAGTCGGAGTTCTTCTCAGCATCGTAAATGCTGCCCCATAAAGATTGCAAGCCGCGCCAAGATGGGCCGGGAACTGCAGTGCTTTTAGCTTATTACCCGAAGACACAGTTTATCCGAGCAGGTGGCGTCGGTGTCTATACTCTAATCCCAATGTTTTACACAGTATTGTCAAATTTTCTTCACAGCTTCCCGCCCTTCATCATAGTGCGCACCATGGACGATCCCTGGAGGTCCTGACCGTCGGGGTAGCGCGGGGATTTGGCTCAATGTCCAGCTCAGGCCGGGCTGTCCCTTCCCGTGGGGGGGGGAAGGGTCCTTCTCCACCAGACTGAAGGATCTGCACCAATGCAGTAGGGATCAGAGAATGAAATGCGGTTCTAACCTGCGGAGAGGCTATACTAACCTATATTATACCCCGCAGGGCTCGTTGCTTCATGCTCATTTGTCTGCATCACCAGTCCCCACTTCCCTGTGGGCCCACAGAAGGTCGAGGACAGCTTCAACTCAGGGAGCAGTTGCTGGTGGTCGAAGAAAGGAAGAAAGGCCTCCTCCGGTTCCTGGCTCTGGGTACATGTCGGCTTGTTTTGATCCATGCTACTTCATGCCGGCCTATGCCGGTTCATGCATGCCGGAGTCGGAGTTAGATGAGGGAATCTGATTACAGAGAAAAGAGCATCTAGACACATCGATGGCAAATCAACTTACTATCTCGACTCGTTCTGGAGTGCACTCACCAGGTTGAGGACCCGGAATTGTGTCGATCCCCTTCGGTCAGAGCACGAGGCGGTCCTAGCTGCCTGGACCCGAGCCACCAGCCACCAGCCGTTCTGATTGTCGGAACAGATGTCTGTGGTTCACCTGCGGAATAGTCTACAGACTCAGTCGAATTGTGAGACTGGTACTTACAGGCCAGCTACTCCGTAGTTTGTGAGCTCTCGTGAACACAGTCTGGACCGATGGGTTCTAACTTTTCATCTGCTTTGGGTATCTCGGATCCTTCACAAAGGTGTGGTTCTCACTTCGACACCTCATCTAACCTGCATATGCGAGGCATGATTATAGTTGAGATACAATTATGATAACCAAGAATTCACTCGTACAGAGAGGCAAGAGGAAGAAGGAAATATATCACTACTAGTATGCAATAAGTTCACCCTGGCATGGATGACAAAATTGCAGTCTTTAACATCAGACGGGGCAACTGACTCGATCACATCGATATCCAGCCTAAGCAAGGGAAAGGAGCGTGTTGCAGGAGCAAGGGGAAGGATGTTCGTGATATTGAGTTGGAAGTGGCTGCAGGGAAAGTCAAGTGATGAGCCTGATGGCAAAATATATAAGATGGTTTTGACATTTGTTGGGAGACCTGACATAGGAAGCTGATTATGTACATAGATGATCTTGATAGCTATGCCCTTAGATTTGGTTATCAATAGAACAAGCTAGCAAGGGAATTGTCTCCTGTTCTAATCTGATGTGAATAGTTGTTCTAGAGTATAGAAAAACTACCATAGTAGCTGAAATTCCATATCGATGCCTCTGTATGGAGTCTTCTCCTTACGAATGATTTCCGCATACCCTGCTGTGAATGCAAGGATAATCTTCGCCCTCTGGCTAGGTGGTCATATGAGATGATAAGTAGGAGTGGAATACGAGATACGTGAATACCTGACGCTAATGCCAGATTATAGATATTGATTAGCGATATTCCTATTGTCTTGAGAGATCAAAGTAAACAATTGTTCTCCGCCTGTATTAGAAGCTACGTTATCCTAGGGTAACGTGTTGATGGCTGTAAGCTATGCAGTTTGGATTTGCTGCTTGTTCCTACAAGGAATGCGCATTGAATGCGCGGAATCCCAAGAGCCAACCTCAACTCTCGATTAGCGGTGCGATTAACCTTGCAATGGAGTCCTGTCGAGTGGTCGAGCATTCGACAGTATCGACCGTATCGACTGAATCCTGATCGATCTCGTGGATTGGGCCGTTCTTACTTGCTCCTGGACGTATCCATCCGCAGGGCGTAGTTAAGAGAATCTCCAGATCTCCGAGTTTTCGGATCCCGTCGGGGAAATGAGTCACTGGAAGCGGGCCTAATGCGACCGGTCTCGATACTATCATGTAGAAAATCGCTTAATCCGCCACTAAGATGACGCCGAGGAGATCTAAGTCATGAGTTAGGCAAAGCACGCATCCCAAAAACAGCCAGTGAGATGGCCCATGCGCTTGCAGGTTTTCTTCCGTTGCATGTTTATATGTCACCATCTTCCTCCACTTAGGGTTCAGTGGGTAGTATCGTTCCGCGTCCCTTCAAAATGGCTCATCTAGTCGACAGGATCTGCTGGGATGTTCTGACATCCAATCTTGTTTTCCAATCCCATCCAACAGCCGATGTAGACGAGGCTACGAATCTATACTTCCGCTTCAGGCCCCAGCAGGGCCAAGAGATTGGCCGGTTCGCCGACTCCTTGGCCCATGCGATCGCCCGCGAGACCGAACGCGAGCGGGGGAAATATCCGGCGAGGTATGACCCACCCCAGCGAGACGATCTCATCTTGGCCGACGAGATGGCCCAGAAGATCCAGCCCCTGGCCTATACATGGTGCCATAATGCCTGCTGGGGATTTGACTGGAAGGTGACCACCTCGCCAGAACCGTGTCGACATGTCGAGAGTGAAGGCTTTGCCTGCGGATGCCCGCTGCCCTACAGGGAAAGACTGGGATCCGCATTCCTGCGTCAATACCACGACAACGATTGTTTTAGATTTTTCCAGGTCAATGGGGATGCCTTTTTCAATCTGCAGGTGGTCAACGCCCTTTTGGTTCTGGGCGAAATGGACCCTGTTCTACAACTCTGTGCCCATCCAGCAATCGGTCTGCGGGAGTAGATGGAAGTCCGGGAGTGTTATGATTCAGTACATCGCAGTCGTGTTCAATCAAATTCTTTCGCGCATTTTCCTCCAAGGTCAAATCAAGCTAATGTCGATTTCAGGAACCAGAACTCGGGTGGGATAAAGTCTTCGAGGTCACGTTGGATTTCTACCTCCTGTTGAACCTTTTATACGATTTCCCCGAGCTGCGGGAGGGTAGTCAAACAGGATTGGATGACTATCGCGACACGAAAATGTACCAGAAAACCCTCTTCCTGTGGACGCAAATGCACTCGCAGGCGGAAGTTCCGAGCCAGTTTCATCGCCGGTTCTTCGGACTGGAGGACCATCTCGAAGCGCCTTTCACAATCGAGCGGCATTTCCACCTGCCGGTCTTTGCCAAGCTGCTCGCCGAAGAAGAGGCGAGGGAGCGCATCAGGGTAACGCACGACAACGATGATCCCTACAAGCCATATCTCCACCTTGATGAAGAAAATTTTCCTTTTGGAAAGGTTCCGTTTGAGGTGTTCTTGACCTGTGATGCGGAAGCCCCCTATCATCCGAGTGCATTGGAGATTGCGCGGGTGGAAGCTTATCTGCGACACCTGAGGTTGCCGCAGGAGTTGGTGCTGGAGATCACAGCATAGACCAAATACAATCGACCACGAGCCAGTCTCCCCGTGCCGAATGAACCCCTGCACGTGGGGAACCGGACGGTGCTGGAGGAGTACCTGGATGAATGTTTCCGGATCATGGTCCGTTGCAATATGCTGGCGCAGGAACTGGGGATGGAGATACATTGGCCGTCGCGCGTGGTGCACGCCCTCGATCGGCTCGTGTCGAGTCCCGCCGGCCAGCGACTTTTCGTGACCAGTCACTCTCGGACTATCTTGACGGGTGAGAATGGAGAGTTTCCTTGGAGTACACCCGAGTAATGCTGCGTTTCTCTCACGGCCTTGATGGAGCATGGGATGGGTCGCATGACGACTGCAAAACGACGCGGAGATACCCGAGAATGCATTCTGCAAGCCTTGAAAGCATGCTTGAAATCACCTCAAGAATCAATTCTGTTTACAGGGAGTACATGTTTGGGTGCTGGCAAACGCCTCCAATAGTGTTATAGTAGTAAACCAACACATCGCACGCGTCAAGATTCTCTCTACTATCCTATTTCTGAGCTCCACACTCCTTCACCTCGGACCCCTTTGAAAACACAGCAGTCGAACAACATATCATGCCCTCCGATCACCACTTCACCAATCGCTCAAAGAGAGCACTGATCAATAGTTCCACAGCAGGTATATGAACGACCGGCGACCGTGGTCGATATTGTCGCTAAAGTCCTGAAAGCCCAGCCTCTGCGCGGTGGCCGCGGTCATGGGCTCGCTCCGCCGCGCAAGCACCACCTGCTTGACATGGCGCTCGCCCTCGCCGCCGTAGCGAAACTCCAAGTAGCGATACAGCCCGCCCGCTCCCTTGGCCAGGTCCAAGGCTCCCTCGCGGGCGTGGTCGGAGAAGACGACCCGGATGTCGGATATCCCCGTGCCTCGCTCATCGTGGTATTGGGCGACCAGCCAGACGAATCTGCGGCGGTTTCGCTTAGTTTCTCTTTCAGGACTCGATGTGTAGGGTATCAATGTAAAGAGAGAATGGAACTGAAAGGAAGAATTGCTGCGTACTTTCCACCGTAACCGGCATTGATGTCCCCGTTGTCGTTGTTGAGGACTGGGATGGTGTTATCAGGTTTATCACTCGCGTGGTCGCCATACACAGGCTTTGCGAGGGAGAAACGGGTTAGCGGACTGAACTCTATAGAGAAGTGTAGCGAGGTGAAGGATAGTGAAGATATACTCGAAGAGTACCGAGCCAGCCCATATTGACGAATATATTGAATAGTGGATGTGCGAACTGGGACTGCGTCGAGGATTGCTTTGCGGTATAAAGGATTGATGTCGCGGATGTTGTTCTGCTGCCGTTCTTCAGTTAGACGATCAGCGATCATCATCCTTTTATAGAGAAGATGCTTTGGGTAAGAGTAGTAAGTCCTCGAGTTCAGCTGATAGAAATTTTGAGTCTCAGGCCCTGGAGTACATGGATGGCGGGTGCGACATGGCCGCAAGGACTCGTCTTGGCCTCCAGCCAAACAATCTATACGAGCGCCCAGTACGAGCGCCCAGTCCGAGCGAGGAACACTTGGTCGCGATGCAAGTCCAATTGCATGATGCAAGCAGTAGCAAGAGGAGGCTCTTCTCATGGTGTCCGGGGTATTGCTATCAGCTGAAAGATAGTCAGAGTCAGCGGGGTCTTGGGCGATCGTCGCCGGGGTCTGTGCACTATCGGGATCTCCGAGGGCGTCTCGTATTCATCGTTCCAGCTATATTTCACAGAGCATTCTCGCTGCATCTAGTACACACTCTATTATGAACAACTAGAAAATATCCCGAGTAGCGCACGGAGGGGAGTCACCCCAGCACAAAGCTTCACGCGTCCAGGACTGACTGACCCGTTGGGCCAACACAGATAACATGCCCGAAAAGAGCATCACTTGCCTCATGCAGATTGGAACAATCCTCATTCACCCAGGGATTAAACGCGCGAATTGCCGAGACTCCAAACCAGGAGGGTTCGAGATTGAACTCACGCTCAATTGAGTCGCACGTATCCCCATACCTAAGGGTATAGGTTCTACACCTGAACGGAGTGCACAACCTCGTACCCTCGGGAATAGCGAAACAGTCGATGAGCGGCCAACTCGCCGCTCGAACAGCCGCCGAGGAAACCTGGAACTGCGCCGCAATGCTGTCGCATGTGTCCCCTGGTGAAGTAGTATATGAAAGCAGGGTCGCGCAGTACGGGTCACGCTCTATATGTGGATCCTCGGAGAGCACGAGCTTCGGGATGGCTGTGGGAAGGTTGAGATCACAGGCACGGTTGATATGTTCAAGGTACGACTTGTAATTTCTGTCGTAGAGGGAGTAGGGAGATGTTTGCATGACTCGATGCCATTGCACATTGCAGAAGGAACAGAGTTCTTCGACCGGCAATTCATCGAGGAAGGGAGTGGTAAAGTTATTGATAACATCTGCGCAAATAATGAATGTGAGCACTGTGTCTATACCAATTGGGACGAAATGAGAGAAAAGGGAGCCTACCACCACAGTATCTCCCTGTCCCGGCATCCCTCAGACACGTCTCGTTCCAACCCGCCCACAGCTGTCCACCCCGCAGGGTTAGGAAAAGCATTCTCTCCTCTAGCGTGGCGCAATCGCGCTCAACGCTCCGGACCCACGCGGCGAGGGACTCCCCACAACCGCTGTCACAGACCAGATCGCTAAGCGTGTTATTTTCCAGACCCGAACCCTTCCTCCAACGCGCCCACTGCCGTTGCAAGGATCGTGTCTTCGCGTGACAGTGAATCCTCTGTGTCATAGATGCCCTGCATGCGGGGCTGAGCTTCGAGAGCGTTTTGACGTGTAGTTTGTTATTTTCGTTCCATAGCTGAAAACCGCGGAAGTTGGACGGAGAGGCTAATTCACCCCCCTGGGCAGTTCCCAGTGTGTGTTTGTGTTGAGCAGGATGTTGAACCGCGAGCTCGGGCTGGCTAGCATGCTGAGCAACTGTTGCCATGCAGAGCAGGAATACAGCAAAGCAAAGCTCAGCACCTCTCATCTCGTAGTGCCAACGCGGCGCGCATGCGGCATTTGATCTTCCTTCTCGACTGGCATGATATGGATTCGAGGAGCAAGCCCCAAGGTGTTATAAATTGTTTGTTAAGTTGTAAGTTACGTAGGGAGCGTTGCCGTACCCGTTACGCGCGCCGAGCCGCCAGCGCGCGTAAGCCGGGAGAGCAAGAAATCCACATTTCCCGCGTCCAAGCGCGATGATTCGCCCTGAAGCTCGGACGGCGGGCTGCCAAGCCAATAGAGAGCGAAGGGCAGTCGCGGGGCGGTCACGGGGCGGTCGCGGATTCTGCCACTGACTGCTGCTCCCGGAGTCCGCCGGGCGGTCTCTCCGTCAACACCATCCACAATATAGTGTAGTAGTACTCATCTACTCTAAGTTACTAGGTCTTCCGTACAGTACCCATGCGACGGCCTCTGATAAGTGATAGAGCACGTGATCCCGGATAGTGATCATCTGTACCGCTAGCCAGGGTGCAAAAGTAACCCCCGTAGGCCTCCACATTCTTCGATTACGCAGTTTTGCACCTTTCAACACAGGGCTGAGTAACTGCGCCCAGCATTTTGATTCAGCAAGAGACAAATATAGCAGATCCGTCTCAGAGAATAAAAGGGTTAACTATCACGGTCCGGCCCGATCCCACCCGGTACCAGGGCACGAAACCTACCTTGGATTGCCTTCACAATCGTGCTGCAAGAATGGGATGACTCAAAGTGGTTGAGGCTGTTAGCAAGCACCATCGATCGTCATTTGGGTAGCTCAAGATTTATTCCTGCACAGCCTTCGGGCCAATGTTATCCGGGCGCGTACTCTAACACTCACAGCCACAGATGTTGCCCAATCGGCGGCTGCGTTCGCCTTAGTGGCATTTGTGGCATTACATGATTACAGGGGCATTGTGCCTTTAATAAGGGCGTCCGCCCGTCCTACAAGCAGCTACGTAGCGACGACCTTGGAAAGCTTGCCCATTTGTGTCCTTTGATGGCGGATAACTCCACTGTTTCTACCCGCCCAGGTTGGGTTGCTGAGCCGGACGGACGGGGATCGTGGAGTATCCTTTCAACTTGTTTATTAACCATCGTTCTCTGCTGTTGGACGGCAGTCTTCCCTAATATACCCGCTCGAACCGATCAGTGGTATCACCGTCTACGGGACCGTTTGCATTTGGCTTCGATTGGGGTGTTGGGACCTGAATTTCTGCTCATGCTGGCGCTGGGTCAGTGGTCCTCAGCCCGGGCATCAGTAAAGGTAAGGCAAATCACCAGATTGCTATCCTCGCATGAATGGCCGTTAAGCTTCCAGATCTCAGAAATTCGAGCAACTGGCGAGAGACTTTCCCAATTCGAATAGACCCTCATGGACCCTTGCACATGCCTTCTATGCCGACATGGGAGGCTTTATTCTCGAAGAAGAGGGAAACGCGACGTTCTTCCCCGTCAATGCTGAACAACTCTATTTCTTGATCGCCAACAACTATATCAAGCACCCGCCCTTAACGGAAGAAGAGATCAATGATCGTAACAAGTCAGACAGCTTCTCACGGTGCGAACAACCCGTGCTTTGGGGTAGTGACCCATATGATCTGTGGACTAATAGGGGCACTCAGTGTGCTTGCCGTCAGCCAGGCGTTGTGGTTCCTCGTTAATAGCGCTCTTAGAGTAGCGCAGGGATTATTCCTGACTACCCTTGAGCTCACGACCATATCTTATGTGGTGGTCTTTCTAGTAACGTCATTCTGCTGGCGTGCTAAACCGTCGGGCATAACCGGTACTATGCCGGTCAAAACAGAGACCCCGATAGAGACCATTCGAGCAGAGGTTCGTGAGAAATCATCAACCGTCAATGGCATCTAGCGCACCCATCCAGCGAATGCACTAACCAGATTCCATGTTCGGTGCGATAGCACTGCCTCTTCCCAGACCAGCGCTGGCACGGTACCCCCCTAGACTTTGTCCATGCCGACATCTCCTTCTGTGGCGTGCACTGGCGCTACTATACGCAGATACTCCGCAACATACACCTCCCAGTTTTCTCGCGGCCCATGACCGCTCAGCCCCAGAACCGAATTATCAGTGATAACTTCCCCGTGACCGATTTACGGGCGGATTGCATCGCCACGCCCGTGCTTCTTCTTTTTGGCTCCATGTTTCTCATTGCCTGGGACTTCCATTACCCGACCCGCGCGGAGCGACTTCTTTGGCGAATTGCCAGTGCCTATAACCTCCTCTTCACCGTGGTCGGGGGTTTGCACGCCGGCTACTGTGACAAGATCCTCCTCCCCCGCGCGTATGTGGAGCGCAGACAGCGCATTCCGTGGATCGCGTCACCATCACCATCGCCATCTTCGAGGGGCTCGCAGATGGAAAGCTGCCCCTCCTCCTGCTCCCCTCCCCTCAAATCATCAAGCCAAGGGTTCTGGACCCGTCTTGCGGGTAGGTTGCGCAATATTGACCCAACGCACGATCCCAAGGCGGAGCTTCCGCTACGGGTGCTCGTGCCGACCTCGGTAATCTGTGCCCTGTACTGCGTGGGACGAGCGTATATCTTGGTGGAGGACTTCATCGCTCTGCGAAGTTTGCCGGCCTCGGCTTTTCAGACCGTTAGTTGGGAGGATTATGTCCCTCACCTTTGAGAAGAGTATATGCCAGGAACGCAAACACGGCGGTGCCTGCGATTGTCTCACCATGGAGATAATTCAAATATATAACATGCAACTTATTACAGTTTCTACTGCAGGGCTATGGAGTTGAGTCACTACAAATATACTTAGCATGATTCATCATCTTTGTTCAAAAAGTTTTATTGGGACTTGACGGTTAGAGGAATAACTCATTCTTCAAATCTCCAGATAAACTGATAACACTGCCACTCGCTTCAGTCTACGGAGTACTACGTGTGAGATTGTTTCGAGGGGTTCCGACCTTCGAAGCGGTTGACCTCAGCACCGCTCAACCAATTTATGTAAATATATATCCGACTTTAAGTACGACACCGCAATCAATAATAATCACTTTTCGAACAAGCAACAAATTGTCCTACTCATGAGATTCCTCCGGTGAAGACTGGTTGGTGTCTTTCATTACCGTACCTACGACGCACGCCCTAACCTCGGAACAAAGCTGTACCGGACTCCTACTCGAGAATGCACCAAATGGGCCGATAACGGTCACGTGACCGAATGAGAAGAGGGGTTAAGTTTATCTGCCTGAGGCTCGATTGGCCTCCAGCCCCCTCTTTACATCAATCACCAAGGTGTACGGAGTACCTAGTAGGTGTATTGCTGAATACACGTGATACCATTCAGAATTTGATGTTGGAAACATCTGAGATGGCGGGCGCTCATGCAAAGCCCCCAGCAGAGGGCCAGGCTCCCAGCTCAAGTCGACCATTCCCGTGCGATGAATGTCCGAAAACATTCACCAGAAATGTAAGTATCATGTATTTGCTTCCTCCACTCTCTAGATCCTCTGATGCTTAACTTCGCTGTCCTCACAGGAGAACCTGCGACGGCATAAGCGCGCGCGTAAGTTCTGAGCCTTGAAGAGCGGACGAGACCGACAAGTAGTGATTGTTGTCCACTTAGGTCATCATCGTGCCCTGAGTCATGATTTCGAATGCGATGGCTGTCATGCGGTTTTTACTAGAAGGTCTCTATCATACTTGCGCCCCATGGCTCCTTCTATTATTACTAAACAGCTCCCAGTGACGTGTTGAGAAGGCACCGGGGTCGTTGCCCGGCAGAAGCATCTGCTAATCATGCATCTCGGCCGCAAACAAGTCCACAGCAGAGCTACCAGCCAGTTGTTGAGACGACCACGCTTGTAGCTGCGACCGATATCCTGACACCGAGCGAGGCGCTGACTGCAAATGCTATGCCTGGCGATCACTTTTGGGAGGAGCATAGCTCCTTTGCTACCAATCTTCCGCGAGAATACATAATGCCCTCGCCAATGTATGTCTTTACCTTTACCTATTGAGCTTGATTTCATGCACACGGGAGGACGTTTCTAATCACCACAGCTACACCGATCGAAGCGACTATGACATGGAAGGGAAAGTCAAGAACTACTTTGAGCATTTCCATCCGTCGCTACCGTTGTTGCACCGGCCTACATTTACAGTATCATCGGCACCGAAGCTACTGCTCAAAGCTGTGGCCGTGATAGGTAGCTTATGCTCGTCAGTGGTATGCACCGATGAAGAAGCCCAAGCCCGGGTGCACTGGCGTCAGGATACGTGGCAAAGTGGACAACAGGAACTTCGAAATATGGTAAATAAGACATTGTCCATTCTAGGCTTCATGTGCTTGGATGCTAATCAATGTCGAGATAGGTGTCCAATGAATGCGGCAACATACGGAAACCCTGGGTGATGCAAGCCTGGATACTGTACATGATATATGGTGTTTATGCAGGAGAAGCAGCCCAATTCCGGACAGCACGGGACATGCTGCGACAAATTGTCGATGTTAGTTCAAGCTCCCCTCCCTTATTTACCGTCCCGTGAGACGGTAGCTCATCAAAGCTCAGGCTCTACGCGAGGTCGGTCTCTCTCATCAAGAGATTGTCATGCCCGAGTCACGGTCCTGGCTGTACGACATCGACTACCCCCACACAGAGCAATCGCAAACCGTGTACACCCGATGGACCTCCTATATAACTGCAGAGTCCACACGGATGGCGCTCTACACATTGGTCTTCCTGGACTCACATGTTTTCGTACCCTGCAACTCCCGGCCATTGATGTCTTCAATGGAGCTACGATGGGAGCTCCCCTTCCCAACCAAGCTCTGGGAGGCGAAAGACCCTGAAATATGGATTCGGAGATTCAGCGAGTATTTCGGTGTCTCTGCCTTGACATTCACCAACGATTTGCTCCACCAGCCTCGCGGGCTAGCAGCAGCTTCCTTGACAATGGCGACGCAGCAACTCATGACTGAAGATCCCGGAACCGAGTTAACCTCTGTTCTCGAAGCATCGCCGATTGCAGCATTCTACGTGCTAGCAAACCTGGATACTCTGGTGCGGGACTTCACACGGTGTTACTACCAAATGCCACCCAGCTATTCTGACCCAAATCCATTCCACATCCTGACTCAAAGTCAAACCAAGAGTGTTCACATGGCCATACGTAACATTGGCAAACTTGTGAAAGACGCGGCCACCACGAGTGACAGTCCCCAGTTTCTTCAGTGGAGAACCAACGAGCTCTTTATTGTATCCCTGCAGGTCAATCTGTGTCGGCCCGATCAGCTACTGATTGGAGGCATCGTCGATAACAGCTTAATTGCCGGCCTGGCTGCCTCAACCCATCTGATGCGAGGTAACTTTGTCGCGGTTCGACGATCTGCGCCTTGGGTGGCACCTCGACCGGGCGGCAATGAGGGTGTGCTTGCCTTACTCAGTGAGCTTTCTGCTGCACTCGCTAGCATATACGGTGAGGACTCGCAAAGAATTGCTTTTGAAGCGCCGTGGGTCACAGTTACTAGCTACGGGGTCCTTCTGTGCATCTGGGGAGCGCTCAGGCGTGCAACAACGGAGATTCGTGATCATTTGAATACATTCAACGAACTTCCACGGACATCCGAGCCATGTATGTTGATCTTCAACTCACTCCTAGAGGCCGCCTTGCAGTACTCCCCAGCTATTAGACAAGATCGGGGGAGTCGCGATCCACGGTTGTGGTCTACGGACCGTGAAGCCTTTTTTACTCTATTAGAGGAAGGGCAAGTGAGGTTTGCAGAGCTCGTCAAGACCTTCTGTCAGCAGCGACTTGTGTGGAGCATTGGGCCGTCGATGTTGGCTGTACTGAGAGAACTCCCCGACGAGGCTACGTAGTCGTGGACCAGAGAGTAAGTGGAGGAGGATGTGGAGCTCCACTTGGCCAACTTAACACACACAGGTTGTCACTTCATACCCCGCTTTCGCTATCTGCGCGGCGCCTGCGGGCCGGGGCTCATTTAAGACAACCACACGGGCGCGGCGCATCTCCCGCATACTGCATTATCTTCAAGAGACTTTTCGAACTAATAGTCACTATTCACAATCAAACAAAGACGATGATTCAATCTATCCCCCGAGTTGGCTGGGTAAGTTTCAACCCCGGAATTCCACTTGTATGCACGTGACTTACTCGGTGATGCCCTAGTATGGCCTCGGATCCATGGGTCTTGGCATGTCATTGAACCTCCAGAAATACTTTCGAGCCAAGGACTTGCCTCCTCTTCGGTACAGTAACAGGACAATCTCCAAGGGAGATGCTCTTCGTGATGCAGGAGCCGTGCCTGAAGAAGAGTTCGGTGCGCTAGTTCAGGAATCGGATGTCATTTTCACAATGGTGGGTGTCGCATTGCGACGTTTGAGTTCAATGAAAACGCTGACAGGTTCAAGATCTCCACCGATGATGTCTTGAAAGACCTCCTAGAAAACGCCGCGGCCATGGAGATCTCGCTCGAGGGTAAAATATTCGTTGACACGTCCACGATACACCCCGACACATCCGAATGGGCAGCGAGGCATCTCCAGGACCACGGGGCGACATTTATTGCAGCACCGGTGTTCGGCGCAAGCCCCGTAGCAGCCGCTGGGAAGCTCATATTTGCTGTAGCTGGTCCTGCTGCAGCAATTGAAAGAGTTCGACCTCTTATCATGGATGTCATGGGACGCAGCATTATTGATATGGGAGAAGATGTGCACAGATCGAGTCTCCTCAAAATTTCAGGGTGAATCCATCAACATCTCCCTTATTCGACCGTCCTCAATCAACTGATTATCTCATCTCAATGAAGGAACATCCTCGTCATCAGCTTCATGGAGGTCATTGCTGAAGCACAGGTCTTTGCTGAAGTCACAGGAATCGGGACCCAACAGATGGAAGACTTTATTGCAAACATGTTCGGACCCGTACTGCAAAGTTACAGCAGACGCATTACGAGTGGAGCCTATGCACCTCCTTTGGACACAGCGCCTGGGTTCGCGGCCGCGCTCGCATGTAAGGACATGAAGCATGCTCTGTCTATTGCCGACAGTTGTAATACCCGCCTTTGCACGCTCGAAACGGCGTCCAAGAGGCTGAGCACTGCGCGCGAGTATGCCGGTGACAATGTGGACAGCTCGGCTATCTACGGCACGGCGCGGCTAGAGGCGGGGCTGTCATTCTGGAGTGCGAATAGTCGGCAGGGAAATGAATCTCTTACTTAGTATAGTCTATCATCTACGTGATACTCCCAGCTAAAGCATGACCACGTCCCCTTGGGGCCTACTTTAATCTGCATCAGTTGTACAGCACTGTTCCGAGGTCTCAGATTGCGATCGTGGTTAGTATGTATAAGCTCTATCACTTACTCTATTCTTGGGACTGCCTCCCTTTTCGTATTCAATTCTAGGAAGTATGGGCTATTTACACATTTTCTCTAGATCAACCACCCTCTGAATGGGGTCCAGGACATTCGCGCTAAAGGTATCCACAGTCCGGCTTTCCAACGGCTTTCGTCCTTGCCCTGAACCATACCCAAAATGATGGGAGACAATGGCTTTGACACCAGTTACGCCCACTTTGACGAGGGCGTCGTCTGCATGACTGAGACAGGATTGGAGCTCTTGGGCACCCCTGATGTCACCATCCTGATATCTCCTCAGCACTTCCACATGCACTTTTGGAGCAATATTGGCAAGAGCCGCGATGATGCCGTTGGACCCGGCTACCAAGGCGGGCAGGAAGAAATCCGACTTTCCCCCAAAGGCAGCAAAGGAGTCTGTAGGCAGTGTGGATGAAATGCGCTGCAGCTTACCGACATTGCCACAGGTGAGCTTGCAGCCAACAATGTTGGAGTTGGACTGGGCGAGCCGAATGATCGAGTCTGAACTTATGTCGATACCGCCGGTGACGCCAGGGAAGTTGTAGATCAGCATCGGAAGTGGGGAGCTGCATGCTACCTGTGTGGTTGAGGCAGAGTAAGTTAGTCTGACTTGGTCATCCGAGGTGACGTTCGAAGCGAGGGAAACATACATCGTTGAAAAATCCCTCAATCACAGCAGGGGTCATGGCTGCGACCCAATATGATGGAGGCAAGATCAGTGCAAAATCGGCGCCAGACTCTTCGGCCTCGGTAATATGTACCAGTGTTTCTCGGACACTGGGTGCGCCACAGCCAACGATCAGCTGCATTTGCGCATACCCTAATTCATTGAGATGATCGCGCACCGCGCGCACCAGGGATTTGCGGTCGCTGTGATCCAGATGTGGTGCTTCTCCGTTACTTCCTTGAAGAACTAGACCAGCGACGCCGCCCTCTGCCATGCGCTTTGCATGCGTCAAGGTGCTTGCAAGATCGAGAGATTCGTCTTTGGCGAAGAAGGTCACCAATGGTGTGTACACACCGAAATTCGGCTTCCGTGGAGCCATAGCGGTCGAAAAAGTTGGAGATGAAGGGAATTGTCGTTTCTGATCTTGAGACACTTTTTGACGAGAACCATCGAGCTAATCCGTCGTAGGGTCATCGATTTATCTATCGATGCTCACGATGCTTCTTATCTCGATACGGAGTGGAGCTCCACCCTTTTCTCCACTCCACATTCACGATCAAGATAGGGCGCCCGCCCATTCAAAGGTCAAGGATTGTCTCCTCAATTTGGAGACTTTGGTTTGCGCTTTGTAAATCTCTCTCACTCATTCTCCTGCGCAATGTCATCAATGTCTTCAGTCTTTGCGACCGTGGCCTATACGCCGCCGGACGCGATCTTCGACCTGACCAAAGCTTATAAGGCTGACCCAGACCCTCGCAAAGTGAACCTGGGCCAAGGTACCTATCGAGATGGCCATGGGAATCCTTGGGTACTCCCAGCGGTCGAAGCAGCTAAGGACATTATCAAGAATTGCGACCACGAATATCTCCCAATTTTGGGCCATCCACAATTCCGCAAGCTAGTTACGGAATTGGTCTTCAGGAAGGATTCCAGCGCTATACGCGACGGTCGGGTAATTATCCTGAGCCATACTACTGCCGCAAGAGGTTCACGTGGCTGATCATCTCCATCTAGGTCGCCTCCTGTCAGGCGTTATCGGGCACTGGGGCACTGCACGTGGCAGGAATGATGCTCAGGCGGGCATTGGGTCATGATCGAACCGTCTACATCACCAATCCGAGCTGGTCCAACCACAGACAGGTCTTTGAATCAGTGGGCTTCTCGGTCCGGGAATTCGATTATGCCTCAAGGGACGGGATTGACATGCAATCGCTACTTCGAGCGCTGAACGAGGCAGACCCAATGTCAATCGTTGTGCTTCATGCTAGTGCACACAATCCGACTGGCTGGGATCCTAGCCCAGAGCAATGGCGACAGATCGGTGCCATCATGAAAGAGAGGCAACTGTTTCCCCTGTTTGATGCGGCCTACTTGGGATTGACATCTGGGGACTACGATCAGGACGTGTATGCCGTCCGGTACTTCGCTGAGGAGCTGGATGTTGAAATGGGTGTCTGCATTTCCTTTGCTAAGAGCATGGGACTTTATGGTAAGCCTTCTCTCCGAATAAGGACAGATCATCCGGTGTTTTCAATTCGAGTAATTCTCTCTCATTTATACGCCTTTGCTCATTCTCACAGGCGAGAGGACGGGGCTATGTGCTTTCGTATCACGCAACCACAAAGTCGCCAGTAATGTGGAGTCAAATTTGGCGCAGTTGATCCGCGGCGAGATATCCAACCCCCCGGCGTTCGGGGCTCGTATTGTTACTGCGATTCTAGCAGACGATGGCTTGTCCTCCCAATGGCGGCGTGATCTAATAACAATGAGCTCCCGGATTGCCGGAATGAGGAATCAATTATTTGACGAATTGACAACACTAGGTATCGCAAGGATCACTCTTCTTTATAATGCCTTCATTCCAGGAACTCATTTTTCATCAGGTACCCCGGGCGACTGGACGAGGATAACACAGCAAAAAGGCATGTTTTGCGTACTCGGTCTCGCACCCGAACAGGTTCACCTTCTCAAAGGTAAGTAGATAACCATGAGTCTATAGCTACACATCCACATTATGCTTACACATTCTGAGTCTAGAGACACATCACATTTACATGGCCGAAAGCTCCAGAGTGTCTATAGCTGGACTTCACAAGGGCAATGTGCGGTATGTCGCCGAATGCATCCATCAGGTTGTCTGTCGGGCAGGAGAGTAGTTGAAAAACTCGCATGCTTCCTACCTATTGCTGTCTGCAGTCAAGGCTCATGTACATTCTCTACTTCGATGCTTGCAATACAATTACATCTTTTTCCGCGAAAGCGACTGCTCTGCTCTATTCCAAATTTAAGATCTCTGTAGTTAGAAACATACAATGAATTGAGCCGAGGATTTCGACAAAAGGCAGCAGCACAGCGATTGGCAACATTTGTCTCGAATACTTGTTTGAAGCTGGCCTTACGTAATTGTTCCTTATCACTGGTAACGCCTCGAATTATGCCGTGAATGGGTAATACAGGACGAGATAATTTGTACCTGTGAATATCATTGATAGGATTCCTGTGCTATCCTATGACTGGATCATTTCACACCATCCACAGCTTCTGTTGCTGCTTGAGGGGTTGTCCAAGGAATTCACACTCCGATCACCTCTCGCTGGAGAGTCGGGAATAAGGTCTTATCTATGGAAATCCACGCCAACCCCCGCATCATCTCTCGGTTTCAGGAGAGATAAGAACTTGCCGGCTGATGGAGCTCCACCACCCCCGCAAAATGGCTATCTTTGGAGCAAACCATGATGTCTTGGACATTCAGGCGTCTTGTATTCCATTTTTATCGGGTCAGCGTGAGAATCCATTTAAGGAGCGGCGATGGGTCCAGGAATTGAGAATTCTCTACCCTAATTCAGATGAGTGTGACAGAAGGCAGTATGACCACCCAACCCAACGAAAAAAAGGTCTCTCCGTTTCCACCAAACGACGACGTGGAGCAACTAGACACCGAGATCCAGCCTGGCGAGATCAAGCATGGAGGCACAGGAGACGTTGATCCAGCCCTACAGTTTCTGGCCGCAGAGGCAATCGAATATACGCCCGAAGAGTCCCGCAAAGTGTTGTTCAAAATCGATCGAGTTCTGATGCCTCTACTGTGTTGGGTGTATCTCATCCAGTTTGCCGACAAAACATCTTTGAATTATGCCTCTCTAATGGGGATCCGCGAGGACACCCACCTGGACCCAAACTCGCAGCAATACAGCTGGGTGTCGAGTATCTTCTATGCTGGATACATCTTTTGGGAGTAAGTACCGTTGCACGTTCCCTTAATTACCCCCTTGGCCTTGTCCATGCTGATTTTGATATATGTTTCCCACCACGTATCTCTTACGTCGACTGCCGCTGGGGAAATATACCTCCTTCAACATTCTGATCTGGGGTGTCGTGCTCCTCTGTCACGTCGCAACCAATAGCTACGCTGGCCTGCTTTGTGTTCGGTTTTTCCTCGGCGCGTTCGAGGCAACAGTCACTCCGGCCTTCGTACTGTTCACCTCCTGCTGGTACAAACAAGATGAGCAGGCCAAACGCATGGGCTTCTGGCTTGCTTGCAATGGCTTTGCTCAAATCCTGATCGCGGCAATTGCGTATGGACTGTCGGGTGTACAGACATCTTCCATTGCTGTGTGGAAGATTCTCTTCCTCGTGCTGGGCCTGCCTACCGTTCTAACCGGCGCTCTTTACTTTTGGCTCATGCCCAACGATCAGATCCAGGCCAGATTCCTGAGCCACCGGGAGAAGCTCATTGCTGTTGATCGCATCCGGGGCAACTTCCAAGGCATTGGTAGCCATACTTGGAAATGGGCCCATTTCTTCGAAGCCTTCCGTGATCCGCGCACCTATCTCTACGTGCTCTTCTCGCTCTTGATGAATATCCCCAACGGGGGCATCACGACCTTCGGTTCTATCGTGATCAGCTCTTTTGGCTTCTCCAGTCGCATGTCCCTCTTGCTCAACATGCCAATGGGACTTGTCGACATTGTCTGCAAGCTCGGGTTGACATATCTCTCGGACAGATTTCTGGATCGCACCATCTTTGCTATAATCGCCATCCTGATACCCATGGTGGGTGGCATCCTGATGATTGTCCTACCCCTTCATGCCAAAGCTGGCCTGCTGGTAGGCTACTATTTTATCGGCGCTGCAGGCACCTCCTGGTGTTTGGTCATGGTGATGATATCCAACAATACGCTCGGCTACACCAAGAAGGCCACAGTGAATGGCCTCCAGATATTGGCCTACGCCGCGGGAAACTGGATTGGACCGCAGACATTCCGCTCAACCCAAGCGCCCGAGTATTTTGACGGCAAGCTGATGGTCGCCATCATGTACGCTCTCGCAGCAGTCACCTTACTGGCTATTCGTCTGGTAAACATTTTCGAAAACAGGAGACGCGACCGAAAGGCTCTTTCCGATCCCGCAGGCGATAACGTGGCTATCGGCACTGAGTTCCTCGACTTGACGGATTTTGAGCAGCCGGCTTTCCGCTATGTACTTTGATCAGCCTTTCCATAGGTGGTGCAAGTTGGGGACCCACAGGATAGGTAATTCGTTTGTTTGAAGCGTGCTCGACCTTGATTGCTGGGTTTCATGATTATCCGGGATAGCTGTAGCGTTTCCTGGAGTAAGATGTTGTTACAATACTTTTTCACAGCGGGTAGTAGACCCTTCACGGTTTCTGCCTGGTCAAGGAGCATGACTACATCGTCTCTTTCCTTCTAACTGTGCAAATCAATACCTGTGTCAATTGATTTTCTAAGTGCCCTACTCTGGTGCTGGACCGCAAGCTTCGAGGACGACATCATGCTCAAAAGTCCGCCTCCGCATTTCTCTTTTCCCAATTGAGTCGTAAAGCATCACAAGATTGGAGACACGTCCGTGCTACTTGATCATAGGACTTGACGGTTGTGTTGGAAGTGGAGGTTCATTCACATTAGCGCAGAAAGTGAGTGAGAGGGTGGGAGGCAGGTGGAGTGAACCGATGTGGAGTGAGGTGGAGTGGAGTAAGTGAAGTGGAGTGGAGTGGAGTGGTGGAGTGTCAGGTCTTGATCTGCCGTTCACCCAAGCAAATATTCACAGACTCTTGGATAGGCTTAGGAGAATGACCAAGCTGTTTTCGACGCTACCTTAAAGCCAGAGGTTAAAGAGACCATAGTCAGCATTGCACCTTTCCTGACGTTAAACGTTAATGCAACAGTTGGTGAACCCGGTCCGTTTCAAGCAGCTTCCCTTTCACTCTAGGAACGATCACCATGACAAAGACGCAAGTCAATGCAAAACCCAAGATCGCGTTTGTTGGTCTCGGCGCGATGGGTAGAGGAATGGCTATACAATTGCTCAAAGATGGCTTTCCCGTCTGTGGGTTCGACGTCAATCCCATGTCTCTCGAGACATTACTCGCCATGGGCGGCACTGCTGCCTCAAGTCCGCGAGAATGTGTTCAAGATGCCGATGTCTTTATCTGCATGGTAGCAAATTCGGTGCAGACAGAGGAGGTGTTTTTCGCCGAAGCAGTTGGTGCTGTATTTGGCCTGAAGGAGAATGCAGTTATTATACTATGCTCCACCGTTGCCCCCCACTTCCCCCTAAGGCTCTTGGATCAGATCCACCAGCAGTTCTCAAGGCCAGATATCAGTCTTGTTGACTGTCCTGTATCTGGTGGGGTGCTCCGTGCAGCTCAGGGCACGCTGACAATCATGTCATCCGGACCGCAGGATGCCCTAAGACTTGCTCATCCAGCTCTACAGTCGCTTAGCCAAACGCTATACACGATCGAGGGGGGACTCGGCAGCGCCAACAAAGTCAAACTTATCAATCAGCATCTTGCAGGAGTTCATATTGCTATCGCAGCTGAGGCAATGGGACTAGCCGCGACCGTGGGGTTGAATACAAAGCAATTTTATGAGACGGTGCTAAAAGGTCCTGCGCATAGCTGGATGTTTGAGAACCGAGTGCCACACATGCTTTGCGATGACTGGTCGCCCCAATCTGCTCTCAGCATCTTCGTCAAAGATATGGTACGTCAGCTCATCTTGCAACCTAGTGGAGGTGTTCCAGAACGCTAACCCCGGTCTTAGCGAATCGTCACTTCGGAAGGCCTCAATAAGAACTTCCCGTTGTACATCGCCTCTGCCGCCGAGTCTCTCTATCAATTTGCTTCACGGACTGGTTACGACAAGGAAGATGATTCTGGCCTCGTGCGAATCTTCATTCCTTGGGATTTATCCCTAGTTTCTACGGCGACACATCAAAAAGACTACACTTCTGAGCATGAACGAAAGTCGAAACTGATCTGCCAGATGCTGGAGATTGTTCACGGCGTGGCAGCAGTTGAAGCTCTTGCCCTCGGGAGCAAACTTGGCCTCTCACTCAATGCCCTAAACTCGATTATCTCGAATGCAGCAGGCGCAAGCAAAAGCTTCAAACTAGTCGCTGCGGCAATGATGGGACAACAAAGTGCTTCACCACATACTCTAATAGAGTCGAGGGACACCCTAGTCAGTATAATCTGCCTTGTCTATGTGTGGCATCTATTAACTCATGGTTTAGAAGCAGGTCACAGTTCTCGCCCAGGACTACAACTATCCTCTCCCGATTACAGCTACTACGCTGCAGCTATTGCAGCAAGGTGTGGCTCGTGGCCTAGGTGATGAGGATCCATCAGCCCTTCAGATACTATGGGGCCCCGTGACATGTGAATCCAATTGAGATACCAAACATTACGTTTTTAACCCCTCTTTTAGTAGTAGGTTTAGTCTTTAAGGGCAGCACATCCGTTCAATTTGCGGAAGCGGTTGTTGTTCAATGGCAATAGCGTATCGGTGACGTTAACTTATCAGGACATGATGTATACTGCCTTGTCATTGTAACAAGAGGCCAACTAAAGCGACAATCATATCCCACCTCTGAGAGGCTGACAACATGTTAATAGTAGCAGAAACCTTAGCAGTCGAACCCACGAGATTTGTATACTGCCAATGGGATCTCAAAATCCTAGTCCTCGGGCAAACAACATCACAAGCTCTTTTAGAGTTCAGGCTCAGTACTGTCTCGCCAGAGAGGGCGATCTCTCTAATCTCTCTTAAAGTCTGGGTGGTCAACATCACCATATTCTAAAGCTTCGGATGTATCTCGATGTGTTTCACTTCATCTTGGTTGTCGGTCTTCTGAATGGCTACGAAGTCTTGCAGCCGTTCAGAATGATCCAAGTAAATATTCATTGTTGTAGATATCACCCCAAAATCTAGTACACCATGAAATCTGTAAACTCCTCATCGGGAAGATAGGCCTGCTCATTGCCTTCCAACGTCCCGAGGTACCACGACAGATCGCTTCCATCAAACTCGCGGGCGGCAAACCCGTTTCCCAGATATCCGAATCGATTGTTTGTCGTGTATCGAAGATGATAATCTTCCCAGCGGGGCTGCTTCATGGTTTCGAAGAAGTGGATTCTGGACCCCGGCCACATCATCACCTCGCCATCGACCGTGCCCTGCTTGAACCACGAACGACATGGAGATGTCCAAGCCGTGCGGGGCATAAACTTTCTGTGATGCTCGAAGAATTCTGCGACTGCCTCCGCTTTGGGTTCAAAGGAGGTGACACCCTCCGATGACATTTTCTCGAGAATCTGGAGAAAGTGGCGCGACAGGGTTTCTGTGATGGGGAGGAAGCTGCCGTGGCCGTATGGGCCGAAGGGGCCGTTGAAAACTGTGAACCAACCCATGATTAGCGTACCGTATCGCCAGGAAGAAATCCCTGCATGAAGTGAAGCTTACTGAGATAGTTGGGGAAGTTCGGGACGGTGATGGAAAGGTAGGTCCTTGGGATGTCCTTCCACTGTTCACTGAGACTGCGGGATTCCCTGCCAATTGTAGGATACGATGGCCGCCAACTGACATCAAATCCAGTGGCACACACAATCACATCAACTTCATGCTCAACACCATCGGTGGTCTTGATCCCCCTGGGGGTGATCTCTGCGATTGACTGCGAAACGACCTCGGTATTGTCGCTGCAGAGTGCCTCGAGGTATCCGTTTCCGGGAGTAGGCCGACGGCAACCCACGGCAAAGTCCTTGGGCACGATGTGGTCAGCGATATCGGGCCGACTGGCGAGCTTGGTTCGCATGTCTTTCTCCGCGTACTGATCAATTGGCATATCCATAGTTAGTCTTGGGTGTATTCTGTCGTCAATTGCGAACGGGATCATATCGTACCGCTCTTGCGTTGGCCTGCTCTTCCGAGCCATTGAGGATGAATCGGAAACGTGAATTGAGCTCCGATTCGATCTTCTTTCGATAAGCCAGATATTTCTGAGGGTCGTTTTGAAGTATCTTCTTCTGTTTCGCAGTATCTGAAGGGCCATTAGCTCGGCGTGCCGTGGGTTTCACACCGGCGGGCCAAAGAAGACTGACATTGGAAGTTCGTCCCTCCCTTTCCTGCGAACCGCTGGCCGAATCCTGCGGTCACCCAAGATGCGCTGCGGATAAAGCATTTCAGGGACGAGACCACTGTATTGATTTGGTGAGAAACAGAAGTCTCGAATCAATTGTCCCGGTCAACTCACTTGGTTGGATGGTTGGAACAATTTGCACCGCCGAGGATCCTGAGCCGATCACGGCCACGCGTTTTCCTTTCAACTCGACTTGGTCATCCCAATGCGCACTATGAAGCATTGGGCCCTGGAAGGTTTCTCGCCCCTGAATCGCAGGCCATTTCCACTTGCTATGCACCCAAATAAATTATTTTTTGGCTCAGTCAATGCACTGACGAGTTAGTGGTTCAACTTACTTCAAGACCCCGGATGCGTTGACCAGGATGTGACCTCGATCCTCAAACACATCATCGGGATTGTCACCTCTTTGCACCTTCACACGCCACTGTTCGTCATGTTCATTCCACGATGCCCCTACGACTCGGTGACTGAGGCGAATATATTTGTGCAATCCGTGCTCGTCCGCAACTCGCTTGAAGTACTTCAAGATTTCAGGGGCGCCCGAGTAACTGCACCACCTCATGTCAGTCAGTCAGTTGGTGAAGATGGAGTCTTGTCAAAACGTACAATGAGGTCCAGTCAGGCGAGGGCGCCCATGAGAATTGATAGTTCACCGAAGGAATGTCACATCCACATCCGGGGTACCGATTCTCAAACCAAGTGCCACCAATCTCGGGGTTCTTCTCATACAGAACCAACTCGATGTCGAGTGTGCTCTGGTCGATATCGTGGGCGAAATTCAACGCGCTGGCGCCCGCTCCGATCACAATGATTCGGATCTTGCGACGCGAGCGACTCGGTTCATCGATGATCTCGTAAGACTCACGAGATTGAACCTTCGCTGTGGTATAATCGCCAATAGAGCCCATGTTGACAGAAGGGAATTAAAAATGGAAGTGGCTTGCGGGGTCAAACCTGGAATTTTCTGGCCTTGACCGAAAATATATATCGTGCAGTAACAGGGCTACACGACCATTTATGGTTCCGAAAGACTTGAGTTCCTGGCCGCGGACTCTCCAATATGGGTCTTTTGGATTGTCTGATTAACTTACGCCTCATGTTTGGTTGAGCACAAGTGAAATCAATGGATCTCGACATTGACAGCTGCGCAATGGGTGGAGCTCCACCAGAGCGTCCACATTGCCAGCCCCGCCTCCACTGCGGAGCTTTCTCCGATTTCCCCCCTCTTTCAATCTCTCTTATCGCCTTATCTCCATACAGCGGACGGAGGAACTCCTATCGTTATCGTGGGGTGAGTTTGGACGATTGGCGTATATATCTCTTTCCCCTAAGAACGAGAAAGAATGTGTAACGCAGATCGATCATTTCAGCTTGAACACACACCGTATTAGCATTGAATTTACACCTCTCACCTCTCACCTCTCACCTCTCACCTCTCACCTCTCACCTCCCATCACAATGCCCACCAGTACAGACACGAAGCCTCTGCGCATCTCAATCGGTGAGTCTCAAGCCAGTGCTTCAGGTCACAATTGTCATGTGACGAGCCCCCAATGCTAATGTCGAGTACGGCGAGCAGACCGAGGCGGGACCTTTACGGATTGTATCTGCAAAGTCGAGGGTGCGGAGGATATTGTCGCCAAAATTTTGTCGGTGGACCCGAAGAATTATGCGGATGCACCCACCGAAGCCATCCGTCGCGTCCTGGAAAAGTACTATAACTCCACCATTCCGCGTGGAACAGAGCTCGACCTGAAAGACGTCGGTACGATTTTGGTTTCCCTCCCTATTTTGGTAGCAGTACTAAGCTTCTTTGGCATCAGAATGGATCCGCATGGGCACCACGGTTGCAACAAATGCCCTACTCGAGAGGAAAGGCGAGCAGACAGCCTTACTGATCACCGAAGGCTTCAAGGATGTTCTCCAGATTGGTACCCAGAGCCGACCCCATATGTTTGACTTGACCATCCGGCGGCCGCTACCCTTATATTCCAAGGTCTCTGAAGTCAGAGAGCGCGTGACTGTGCAGGCTTGCAGCGACTCGGATCTCCGAAGGATACAACTATCATCCCCTCGGCCTGCCGAACAGGTCATGGGGGAGTCCGGAGAGATGATTCATGTCATCCAGCCCCTAGATCTGGCCAGCACGAGACTTGATCTCCAGAGAATCTACGACGAAGGGTTCCGCTCCCTGGCAGTGTGTCTCATGCATTCATACAGCTTTCCGAGGCACGAACGTCTAATCCGAGATCTAGCGCTCAAGGTTGGGTTCGAGAATGTGTCACTCTCACACGAGACATCCGCAAGGCCGAAGCTTATCCCCCGTGGTAACGCCACGGTTGTTGACGCATATTTGACCCCGAGCATCAAGCGATATCTTCAACAATTCTCAGACAGCTTCCCCAACATTGAAAAAGGTCGCACACGACTGGAATTCATGCAGTCCGATGGAGGCCTGGTACCTTCAGCTAGTCTCTCAGGGCTCCATTCCATTCTATCAGGGCCAGCCGGAGGCGTAATTGGCTATGCGCAGACCTGCTTCGATCCTGAAACTCGAAATCCGGTGATTGGTTTCGATATGGGCGGAACCAGCACTGACGTTAGTCGCTATGACGGCCAGCTGGATCATATCTTTGAAACAACGACGGCTGGAATCACCATCCACGCTCCACAGCTCAATGTCAATACAATTGCCGCAGGCGGCGGGAGTATCTTAAGCTGGAAGGATGGACTCATGTCCGTCGGACCGGAGAGCGCCTCTTCCAACCCTGGTCCTGCTTGCTACCGCAAAGGTGGTCCCCTGACCGTGACGGATGCCAATCTCGCGCTCGGTCGTTTGATTCCTGAGGAGTTTCCATCAGTCTTTGGTCCAAATGAGGACGAGCCATTAGACAGAGACGTCGTTCTTGAAAAGTTCGAGGAGCTAACCCAAGTTATAAACCAGGAGACGGGGATGTCACTTACATGGGCAGAAGTTGCAGATGGGTGAGTGATAGCAGAGTTGTATGTCATTGTATAGCCCCGCTAATCTGTACCATTGGAAAAGCTTTCTCCAAGTCGCCAATTCAGCAATGTGTGGGCCGATTCGGAGCTTGACCCTGGACAAGGGCCACGATGTTGCCAAACACCATCTCGCCTCCTTCGGCGGTGCGGGTGGCCAGCACGCTTGTGCCATTGCTAGCGATCTCGGTATACAACGCGTGCTCATCCATAAATACTCCTCCATTCTGTCTGCCTATGGAATCGGACTAGCAGATGTAGTGCATGAAGAGGAGCGAGTCTGCGCGACGGCGTTTGAGGAGTCCACTATCGAAGCTCTCAATGATTCCGTGGACAACCTTGTCGAGACTGCTCGTCGCAGCGAGACGATGGAGCCATTCAACAATGTCCAAGCTTGCCGATTTCTGAACATGAGATACGATGGCAGCGAGACCTCCATTATGATCCCCTGGGATAGCCCCGCTAGTGACGCGAAAGAAGCATTTGTCAATGCACATCATCAACAATTCGGATTCACTCCGGTAAACCGTGCTGTGTACGTGGACACCATTCGTGTCCGGGCGATTGGGTGCAGTACTTTCCAGGAAAGCTCCCCTCATCTCCAAGCCAAGTCTGTCTTGAACTCTACATCTAATACAATGGCGGCCACCCCGAGCTCGAGGGCTTCCACTTATTTCAGCTCGCTGGGTTGGGTGGACACTCCTGTCTTTAAACTTGATACACTTCCTGTGGCAAGCCAGATTCAAGGACCCGCGATGATTATAGACAAGACGCAGACGATCGTCGTCAGTCCCGATGCAAAAGCGACCGTCGCCCATGATATCTTGATTCTTGATCTCGAGTCACCCAACCCCAAGTCAACTAGCTCAGAAACCATTGACCCAATTCAGCTGTCCATCTTTCGGCATCGGTTCATGGGAGTGGCTGAGCAAATGGGTCGCGTGCTGCAGAATGTCAGTACCAGTGCAAATATTAAGGAGCGACTAGACTTCACTTGTGCGATTTTCACGCCGGAGGGGGACTTGGTTGCCAACGCCCCTCATGTACCAGCCATGATTGGAAGTATGGCCTTTGCCGTACGATCACAGATTGCTGAGTGGCAGGGAAAGCTGCAAGAAGGGGATGTCTTGCTTTCTAATACTCCAGGTATGTGATGCAGCTTATTCTCGTTCAAGACCCATGTCAATGCCTCTTGCTCACTGTCAACACAGCCTACGGAGGTGTTCATCTCCCCGACCTAACAGTAATCAGTCCGGTCTTCGACTCTGCTGGCAAGAATATTATATTCTGGGCCGCTTCACGCGGCCACCATGCTGATGTGCGTGACTTCTTTGTTGTTTTTCTATAATCATGCCCGCTGACTATCTCGGTCGGCAGGTTGGTGGGATACTCCCCGGATCGATGCCACCAATGTCGAAGCTTCTCGCGGAGGAAGGCGCTATCTTCAACTCGCATCTCCTGGTCCGTGCGGGCCACTTCGATGAGGATGAGCTATACCGCGTTCTCTGCGTAGAGCCAGCACGTTACCCAGGCAGCAGCGGGTCGCGACGATTCCAGGATAATGTCACTGATCTCAAGGCCCAAGTGGCCGCGAACCACTGCGGTGCTCGTCTCATGCAACGGCTTATCGAGGAGTACTCTTTCCCGGTAGTTCATGTATGTACCAACCTCGACGAAAGGAAAGGGATACGCTGTCTGATAGAGAATAGGTGTATATGGGTGCAATCCAAGACGCAGCAGAGCTGGCCGTGCGCACTCTGCTGAAGCGTCTTGCGCAGGAGCGCGGTGGAGAAGACATCTCGGCGGTGGACTACATGGACGATGGGACCCCGATCAAACTGAAAGTCACGATCAACCCTACCGACGGGTCTGCCATCTTTGACTTCACCGGCACTGGCCCCGAAGTATACGGTAATTATCTCCCTACACCATTTCCACGTAGCTGGTCCATCGCAATCTAATCCTATGGGTGACAGGAAACTGGAATGCTCCGATCGCAATTTGCAATTCCGCCGTCATTTTTGCTCTGCGCTGCATGGTCAATTCGGACATCCCGCTCAACCATGGCTGTATCAAGCCCGTCAAGATCATCATCCCGGAGGGCTCGCTCCTGTGTCCCAACCCGGAAGCGGCCGTCTGCGCCGGCAATGTGCTGACGTCGCAGCGCATCGTGGACGTCATCTTCAAGAGCTTCGGAGTGTGCGCCGCGAGCCAAGGATGCATGAACAATCTGACCTTCGGCAACGACGGCGAGGACGGGTTCGGATACTACGAAACCATCGCCGGGGGCAGCGGTGCCGGCCCCAGCTGGGCGGGAACCGGAGGCGTCCACACCAACATGACCAACACGCGGATCACCGACCCGGAGTCGCTCGAACGGCGATACCCGGTGCTCCTGCGACAGTTCAGTCTTCGTCAAGGCAGCGGTGGCGCAGGCAGGTACCCCGGTGGCGATGGAGTCATCCGGGAGCTTGAGCTGAGGCTCCCCATGTCGGTGTCGATCCTCTCGGAACGACGAAGTTTCGCACCGTACGGGATGGCAGGCGGAGAAGATGGCCAGCGGGGAAAGAATACGTGGATCACGAAGGCTGGTCGCCGGGTCAATGTCGGTGGAAAGAGTTCGGTCCAGGTTCAACCGGGCGATCGGTTCATGATCGAGACCCCTGGTGGTGGTGGTTATGGATCCCCTGAAGAGGTGGTCAGCAAAGACAGGGACGAGTCGATGGTGATGCCCGCATTCATACCGGTGGCTAATGGTAGTGTGGCTGCACATCGGACTTTGGCGGAACAGGTTTGAAACTGTGAATCCACCGAAGTAAGAAAGGTTCGGGCTTGCCACATCGAGGTCTATCTTAAGACGGTGGTTCTCAAAGGATGCCATCCAATCGACGCCAATGTTATACTAGGGAGCAATAGCGGCGTCTCACTGGACCGGAGAACCTCCTGGGCCATGGACTCTAGATACATGTCCGACTTCCAAAAGACGGGATAGTGAAATCTTCCTTAGATCGCTTGTACCCGTGGCACATATGGCAGTAATGTCTACCCTGCTCGCTGGAGATTGCATGGATGTGAGATATCAGAGTTGCTAAGTATTGCATCAAGGAATCACAAACTGGTTTCCATCGAACTGCAACGCGATAGTAATGTAGTCTCCTCCTGGATGGTACATTGTAGATTCTGTTGTGTTATGGAATGGGTAGATAGAGCAAAAGATGTAGCTAGATCAGAACGCCACTGAAGGATTTCCATAGTCAACCCTTTGCACACATATGAAGCTTGGTCAACATCTCGCAACATCGTCTGGTACTACATGATTCAGTGTTTCCTAGTGTCCTTCGAGTGGGGCTCACAATTATACCGAGGACCGAAATGAGCCTGGATTGAGCTACCTCTGTAGAGCCCTATCGAGGGGTAATCTTTTGAATGCCCACAATGGGCTCCTGGCCGCATTCCTCGCACTGACCACGGCTTAGTGGCAGTTTGGCCAGGAATAAATGAGCCTCGCCTGAAGTCCTGTTCCAAGACCTTGTAAGAGGCCGAGCAAGTTCCTTTGCATTCTCAGTTGTGCGTTGTTGACAATCAGCAATGAGAGACTCAGGAATCAGGATGGTTGAACCAATTTCGCTTGCATCCACTTTCCTTTTAGATGAGGCCGAGCGTGGCCTGCATTGTCACTCTGAGACTCTGATCATCTCCGAGTTCGCTCGTACAAGACCAAGTTGTGTCTTGATATCCCCCCTTCAACTCAAGAAGGGTCAAAGATTGGTCGGGGAATGATCCGTACGCAGGCCACTTACTTAAAGGGCGATCGTTCGGAAAGGGCTGTTGACTAATGAGCCCGTTAAAGCCTATCCGGCCCCACTCTAGGCGCACGTTACGTATATCATTAGCAATAGAGATTTCCTCCACCACGGTTGCCGCGGATGTATCTTTACCCGCCACCAGGTGATATTATTGTGCATAGCGTGAAGTGGTAACTACCTCTAAGTTGAATCCAGCAGCAGACGTGCTTTCGCAGTGAGAGCCCTTACACAAAAGGCAGAAAAGGCAATGGTTGGGGAGAGATGTACTGAAGATTCGACCAGCACGAGATCTGGATAATGAGTACCATACAGAGAGATACGATACATATCTGGGCGAGGTTCTCCACACCATTCCTGTATTAACTGCATATAGTCTCTCTCGGACACCTTCCGAGTCCCGACCGATGCCCAGATAAGCTTGACATTGTCAAGTCGATCGATAGTTTCCCACGAGGACCCACAGCAAAGCCGCAACGGTGACAGAAACGCATAGATTCGAAGCCCGACTTAGCTCCCTTCAGTGATAACCACCTTCTGCCCGAGATTGTGGAGCACGATAGCTGCGAAAGGTCGCACAACAATTGCCTCGCTCAGGTTAAGTGGCTTTCAAGGGGTAGCAGAACAGATATAAAAGGTCATTCGTTCACCAAGAACTCTTTTGCTTTGATTCCCCCACAAACAAACCATTGAATCCTTTCAAGTCACAACTCTCCTTTCCTCCGCCATATTGCAGTCACATCCATGCTTGCCGACGGGTATATCATCTTTCTTACTCTTGTCCTTGATCTTTGTGCTGCTGTTATCCGTTACCGAACCGGAGAATGGTCCTCTCCCGCCAAGTCCTTTCTGGTCTGCTCGCATTTGGCCTTGCTGGGCGTTGCCTTGCGGGCTACAACGGGACTCACGTAACTTACATCCCGGAGTCCACCGAGTGGGATGGCGCAGGTACCAATCTGACCGTCACCTTTGACACGGTCAATGCCGACTACGTGAGTCTTTACGCGCAGGACGGGGAACTCGCCAAGCGCACGGGGATCGCCACTGCTGTGGCCTACGCGACGGTGGTCGGCGGCGTCTCGACCGTTGTTCTCGCCGCGGAGGCTGGCGTCAATATCTACGAGTACATTGCCGCGATCATCAAGGCCAAGTCCACCGCCGACTCGTGCACGATCACCTACGGCGTCGACTCCGAAGAAAGCTATGTCGAGGGCTACGCCTACGAGGCCACGACCTCCGGCTCGAACTGCGAGACCACCGCGGAGAAAAAGACGATCCTAGCCGCTGTCGAGAAGTGCGCCACTGCCCTCAACGCCGCAGGCGCCGTCCGCGGCTGCTGCACGATGACCCATGGAGGCACCTGGGAGGGTCACTTGCGCTTGACCGCGGAGCCAAGCGTTTACCCTGCTACCACGGTGACTTGTTGAGGGGAATGAGATAGACTGATAAATGAAGGGCTTTTTGTATCGAATGAAGAATGCAATTACTTATGTCTTTGCGAGTGTGTAGTATTCACCCTGACTAGATTGTTCACGTGTAACGCTTCTCCTCCTTGACTTCTTTCTGTGATCCTCACCTCCTTCCTTACACCACTCACATGTCCGAAGTATGCGATAGATCGATAGAGTAGATGATCGAACTTATCAGCACCTCTGGCCCGCTTCTGACCCGGTGGGTTGGGGCTTCTTCAAGTTGTCGGCGAGTTGCAGGGTGGCGAGGAAGCCTCCGACACCAAAGCCGAAACTCATCGTGAAGATGAGGAGATATCATCCAGTAGTCAAACTAATATGCTCCGTCGGGGGGCTGCGAAAGGAGAACTGTAGAACTTTGGGGACACGACAGAACTGCGACCGAGCTGAGTAGCAGGGTGTCTGAGCGCGATCGTAGCGTAGCCGCCTATGCACGCTGACAGGGATCTTGCAAGGCAACCGCTCGAACAAATGGAGATGTTGGCTACCTAGTACCTTGATCACTAATCAGTAAGGATGACCTGCTGACTCTATTCGCGCCTGGACAGCTTTACTCCAAGCTCGGAGACCTGAACTGGATCATTCCGATGCCCTATCCAACCGTCATCCCCCCATTAATCCTCACTGTCTGCCCGTTAACCCACGAGCTCTCATCGCTCGCAATAAAGGTAACAACATTTGCAACTTCCTCCGGCGTACCCAGTCTTCCAGCAGGCGCAATGTTATTCTGCATCTGGACCATCTGCTCCGTCTTGCCGACAAAGTACGCATCTGTCCCAATCGGCCCCGGCGCAATCGTGTTCACTGTGATCTGGCGCTTCCCAAGGTCCTTCGCCAATACGCGCGTCATCTGCTCAATGGCTCCTTTGCTGGCTGTGTACAACAGATAATTTGGAGTAACCATGCTAAACGCAGCCAGGGAAGTCGAGAAAAGCATCACGCGTCCGCCATCCGGTATAAACGGTGCGGCTTCCTGTATGGTAAACAGGGGTCCCTTGCCATTTGCCGTGAAAAGCGTATAAAAGCAGTCTCTGTGACACTAGCAAGATCCCCTTGCTGCCAGAGCAATCCGGTATTAAGGATAAGCGTATCGATCTTTCCAAAGCGATCAACAGTGGCCTTGGTAAGACAGGATATTTTCTTGCGCCTTGAGATGTCTGCTTGCACTGCGATTGCGCGATCAGCGCCAATCTGCAAGACGACTTCTTCTGCTGCGGCGGATGAAGAGATGTAGTTTATCACGACGCTTGCGCCTTTGTTTGCAAGGGCTAGGGCTGTTGCGCGGCCGATTCCGCGGGATGCGCCGGTGACGAGGGCGACTTTTCCTTGGAGGCGGGACATTGCTATGGAGATTTATTTCTTAGGGTTCGATTTTACAGATGTAGTAAGTGGTTAACTGAATGATATTGACGGGAATCAGGGTTAATTTTTATTTCTGGTTCTGGTTCTGCTTCTGCTTTTGTTGCTGTTGCTGTTGTCCTTGTTCGAGGTCAGCTAGGCTCTGGGCTTTTATAATTTCGTACCTACTTACTGTACAGTACATACCTACCTGGGAATGGATCTCAGTGGTTGAACGAACGAGTCGACCAACCACGATATGACCATACTTTAGAGCCAAAATCATGACGGTCCAGGATGATCACGTCATCGTCGGTAACTTATAATTTCCGAAGCTAAATCCATCCTATAACTAAGCCACTGAGCCACTTAGCCACTTAGGTCACGCACTGCTGCATAAATCCGAAATAGTGGTTTATCGCCAGGTTGCCAGTCTATCTATATCGTGCTGGCGATGGAAAACGCGCGTCCCACACCCTGCCCAACATCCGAGCGATAAGACCGTGATCGAGGTCGGCGTCACCGGGTTTACGGCGGAGACCGACAGGGCCGAAAGCACTGGTCAGTGTGGTCGGCGCTCCTCGTGTGGTGGAAGGCCGAACGTTGAGTGGTTAAGGTGTAACTATATAGTATCACAGTTACCCTGCTCCTCTTTGCCATGCCCCATTCCATCTTTCTAATAGCGCATACTGCGATAGGCGTCATGGTAAATCCTACAGACCCTAAGCTGCAAGGCTTTGATCTCATCTCTGCCGCATACAAAACGGTCGGCGACCATGCCATCCGCACAGACATCCTCGTGCCTCAAGCACCACATACCGGCAGAAGGCCTACAATCATTCGCTTCCATGGTGGTGGACTAGTACGCTGTTTCCTTTTTTTATTTTTTATTTTTTTTCCTACCTTGTGCTGACCTGGTGTTTAGCAAAGTTAAAAATACTGACTGGGACTAGATGATCGCCGATTCCCTCTTCATGGCCTTTTGGGCACCATGGTTGTCCGACCTGGCCCTCGAGCACGGCGCCGTGATCATCAGTCCTAATTACCGACTCATGCCACAAGCGAACGGCCTAGATATCCTTGAAGATATTGAAGACCTCTGGAAATGGGTAAACTCTTCAGCCGTGCAAGACCTTCTTGCAGCACACAGCATCCCAACCGAACTCGACCTCTCCCGCGTCTTAGTAGTAGGAGAGTCGGCGGGCGGACTTCTAACTCTTAACTTCGCGCTCTCGCATGCAAATGAAATTCGCGCTGCTACTGCATGCTACCCCATGGCAGACATCTCCTCCTTTAACAGCCCCGCGGTGGCACCACCATTCGGACATCACACACCAGAGTCGATCGTTAACGAAGCTCTAGCGTCTGAGAGAGGTAAAAAGATCATGACATCGTGGAGCGAGCCCGAGAGTCTCCCATTTATGCTCTCAGCGATCGAGCATGGTCGTCTGGGTGAATGGTATAAGCGGGGCACAGAGGGCAATCCACGAGCTGCATTACTATCGCCAATGCAGCGACTACAACCAGGTGTTGGATTCCCACGAGGAGGAATTGTATGCATTCATGGAAAACAGGATAGTGTGGTACCCGTATCGCAATCCGAGAATTTCATCGCTCGGGCGCGGGAGATCACCCAGGGACAGGCTGTGAATGAGAGACTGGTGCTGACAGTGCAGGATGGGGAGCATGGATTCGATGACATACACTATGAAACTAAATGGCTCAAGGACACCTTAACGACGGCAGTTGAGACATGGCTAGAATAGAATATCGCTAGCCCTCCATCGGACGTATAGCTCGGTGCAGTCTACCCATCACTCAGTATATTCAACAAGAAGCGCAATGGAGTTTAGACTATACTGAGCTTTTACGTGATATGTTCTACATTACAAGCTTCTGTTGGTCTGGGCAATCGAACAGGTAGTTTTCCGCGGAAAGGTGCGTTGGAAAGACAAGCGGGGGATTGGATTGACAAGGTCACATGACTGTTCACGGAGTCCAGACTGCTGCCCAGGCATCAGTCAAGTCGCAATGACACATTACTGTCCATCCTTAATCCTAGGATATTGACTGTTCACTTGCCTACACCCAGCCACACTCGTTGTTAGATCTTGTCTCTAAATTCCGACCACTGACAAAAATGTGCCTTGCAGCCTTGGTGGGGCCATCAAATTCCGTTCCAAGTTTGTCGTTGTTTGTCTGTGTTTGTCTGTGTTTGTCTGTGTTTGCTTGTGTGAGTGATTGGGTGATTGGGCGGTCTAGCCGAATTGGAGACTCCACACCGAATGCAAACAGTCCAAATGCAACAAACAGAAGTGGTAGGTAGTAATCATCCACTATGCCTACCACCTGCCAAAGAGTCGATCAGACGTTTAAGAACGATGGGATGGATACTTGAAATATGGAATCTTTTCCTCTCACTTCTTTCTTCTGTGTCATCTCTGACTCCTGTCTCCTGCAAGCATCGCCTTCAGTTCAACCTGTTATTCCTAATATTCATAGTGCAAACTACAAGATCTTTCCTTGACTACAAAGAGCATGCCGAATCGTATCGCAGTGTACGGCCATCGGGGCTGGGTGGGATCCGCAATTGTTAGGAGCTTGAGTCAATCGCCCGCCGTCGTCAAGGTTCTTTATCGCCCGGGGTCCAATGCGCAAGGCTTGCCTTCAAATGTGACTGCAGTTCAGGTTGATATCACCGATGAGGAGGCTCTGGTGGCCGCTCTCCGGGATGTCGATATTCTCATGTGAGATGCCCTAACTATCAGACACAGATTTTGCACACTTCACAGGCTGATAGATGGGCAACAGCTCCCTAGTCGGCCATTCTGCAATTGAGTTCCAGCACAATCTGATCAGGGCTATCCCAAAGACCAATGTTCAATTGTTTGTGCCTTCCGATCTCGCCGTGAGATACAGCGGGCAGGGACTCGGGATTGAGCTCATCAATGCCAAGATCAAAGTGGAAGAGGCAGCGGAGAGATTGGGCGTGCCGACAACAGTCGTGTTGACCGGCAACTTCGCGGAGTTTGCGCTTGACACACTGTAAGTAGACCCTGGGTCCACTCTGTGGCTGGGCCATGGGTCAGACAAAACAGGGACTGGTGGCTGACATCTGTGGCCAGAGCCATGGGGGTGGATTGTAGGCACAATCGCATCATTTTCACGGGAAACAGTGCATCACAGCCACTGAATCTCTGGTAAAACTCCGCTGGAACGCCAATCCCTTGCTGCCGCTAATTGCTACCCTCGCTGCTTAGTACCCGTGAATATGTTGCAGCAGCCTTTGCGTCCATCTTCAGCACCACGCTTATACCTCAGCTTCAAAATCGCACCCTCAGCTTGTCAGAACTAAAACCAACCGGAGACGAGATTGCACAAGCCCTTACGCAGAGGTTTGGAGCAACCCCAGCGAAGTTCACGGTTCCCCTTGGAGAGGTCACCTGCCGAGTAGACGCCATGATCGAGGCCAACAACCCTCTAGCGCTTGCCTGGTACACGCGTAAGAACTGGGGAAATGGTGATCAGCTGAAATTCCTCGGGTCAGACATTTGGGAAGTGGATGGCTATGACAAGAAATCCATTGAGGACCTGGTGGTCGCAGGAAAGCTCGGAGAGTATCGGGCTATGCCGGAACAGATTACCAGCATCTTTGAGTCTGAGTTCTTGAACTGTCAATAGGCTTGGACGGCTTGGAGATTCCAAGATGCATGTTTATATTCAGCTCATATAGTACACATCCCTCATAGCATGTTATCTACATATCAAATTGTGACCAAGAAAGAACTACCGGGAGAGCAACAGAGGTGTTTATTTACCCAATTGGCTATACAAGAATTGCATGCTACTATCTTCATAGTTGAATTGATAGAGACTATCAAGGTGACTCTATGGCATGTTATCACTTCTTGGGCTTTAAGTAGTGGGTGGTCGGTCCTGGCGGATGGTTTCTGCTGCCATGGAGCGAGCTTATGCCTAACGGTTCCACGACCTTTCCATTTAACAGATCGCATACCATCGGTTGTCGGCTGAATTCGTGGTTCTCTTTGCCTGAGACAGACACAACTCCCTGTTGAGACTGTGCGAAGTGGTCAACTAGAGGGGTGGGATTTACATAAAACGAAGCCACAACATATCAATTTCAGCAGTCGGTGCATAGGAGCATGGTAGCTACCTCCACAGACCAACACCCAGTGTACTGCTCGATGGTGTCGAGGAGAGTAGAGCCAAGCGGGCTGCTGGCGAGTGATTTGAAGTAAAATCATCGCCTTCCTTGTCTGCGCGCAGAGGCCTAAGGAGCTTGTCCTTTGCCTGTATCGATGACCTGCGGTGAGTCTCTTTCTCGCTTGACCTCCACGAATCGATATGTCCACGTCCAAAATGTTCAATCTTGAGGATACGGCTACGGAGTCAAGAAGAGGAGCAAATTTTGGGTTATTTAGAGCCCAGTTTACAGTGATCCTGAATATAAGGAAATAACTGCCAGCGCAATCTCCCAACCAATCAGACCCCACAAACAACTTCATCATTCACTCCCTATACCACCATGATATTAACTACAGCTCGCATTGGTGAGTTTCTCTTGAATAACGTTGGTGCTCAAGGGTTATAATGGCCTCAACAACTCTTCTCTTGTTCTCTCCATCCCCCACTCCATCGTCTCCTCTCATCTTCATCATCTCTCCTTCCTCCTTTCATACCGTATGTCAGCCTCCACTTGACAGAAATCATGAAGCTCTCCACATTGTGGTCTGTCTTCAGCCTCGCTGTCGCTGCTGGCGTTGCAGTGGGTGATCCTTCCTCTCTTTCTGATGCCACCGTTATTGAGGCGACCAGCCTTGCGACGAGCACCTCCTGCGTCACTTATCACACGTTCGTCACACATACCTACACTGTCAAAAAGGGAACAACCGTCTCGCAGACTGATAGCAAGACTCCTTCTGTTCCTGTCGCTGTAACGTCTACAGCCTCGAAGCCCGCTGACAGACCTTCAACTTTGACTCAAGGTGTTCTTTCTACCACCAGTGGCCCTGTCGTCTCGAAGATCTCTTCATCAACCGCTCCTTCTCCGGTGCTTCCTTTCCCTTTTACCTTTTCTCTGCCAGGTATCGGGATATGGCCGCCTGTCAGAAGCTCCTCGACCTCGAACCATGGAACAGCGCCGACTGGTGGAACTCACAGCAGCGGGACCTGGCTTTCTCCTACCGAGCCTCAGCCTCCTCGTGGAACATCTAGTGTTGAACCAGCTTTCACAAGTAGTACCACCGACGTAACAGGGAAGACCAGTTCCGTGCAAGGCAGTGCTAAGCCCAGTGGGGGAGCGACCACCGGGACCACGCATGCTAAGATTACGGGCGATAGGACAGGGGTCATCAGTACTACCTATACCAGAGCAACAAGTGTCACAGACTCTGCTGGTGTAACGCTCACCCAGCCAACTTCCATGTCTATCAGCCTACCTCCAAGCTCTATGATTACCTCCAGCGCGTCCGTCATCGCCGTTCGCTTCCACAATATCGTCCCGATTGTCAAATTCTGGGAAGTGGGCCCTGAGCCCCGGCCAGATAAACAACTCATCGATAACGTCAAGAGAATCAAGGATGATATTGCTGACCTGGCAAAGAACATGGGCGAGAAGCTCCCGAAGTGCAACCAGAAGAAACGCGGTCTCTTTGACGGTCTTATGAACCTCGCCAGAGACACCACCGGCCAGATTTTGGATAAGCTCGGTTGTCTTGAGAACAAACTGGATGACCTTGTGGATAAGGTCAAGAAGAAGGACGTCAAGGGTGTCAAAGACATTGTGAAGGCTCTGGACATTGAAAGGCCCCCTGGTGGCCCTGAAAGCTCGGTGACTAACGGACCTGGCAATGACCAAAGAACCTCCAGCCGCTCGTCCTCGTCGTCGTCATCATCCTGTACATCGCAGTCAACGGCACACCATGTCACAATTCTCTGCCAACCGACCTCTATCACTAATGGTGGCTCGACAGTTTCAACTGCAACATGCACCCGGACAGCTACCATCACCACCACGGGGTGCTCTGTCACCGCAACGACAACCACTATCACCAACACGCCGAGCTCCACCCCGACGAGACGCCTGTGCGCACAGGTAGAGTGTGGTGCTTCATGCTTAACCGGGAAGGGGGGATGGGTGTCCATCTCATCAGTGGAATGTGCCTCTATCCCAACAAGCACCATGGCAGCCCTGCCTACAGGCAACGTGGGGACCATTCATCGTCGGTATGTCTCTGCTGCCACGGGCACAGGAGCCAACCCATCCAAGCCAACCTATACCCTTGTCAAGCGAGCCCTGAAGGATGTATCCGCCGTGGACCCAAACCAGTATCTGCCAAAGATCAACCACGAAATAACTCAGAACAACCAGTGGGTTAGCCAAAGCGAGCCCGTGACGGGCAAATGGTATCGCTGGCCAGATCTGCAGTCGGCTCTCGGCGTGAAGGGCCTCCACGGTTGCACTGTGCTGATGATCGTCGCGAAAGATGGCGTCTACCTCTCGCACATCTTCGAGTCCCCCATCTTCCGCACCCCGACCGAACCCGATGTCGCTGATTATTTTTTCATGGAACAAACATTTACCGCACTGAGTACTGGGCGTAGCGGGCCTGCCGGTCAGGTCAACCATCAGATCGAACCCCTGCAGGATCTATGGGGAACGGAAGCGAACCCCGGTCCTCTGCATCGCACCAACAACCCCCAACTTATCATCGTCACTCCCTTCTTGCCTGAATGGCGACCCCAGGAATATATGTACGCCCGCAGAGTCCAGTGGCTCGCCGCCCAGTTCAACCGCTTCCTCTACTTCCCCACCGGTGGAGCGCCCGCAGACAAAGCCCCGATCATCCGCGGATACGAGCCGACGGACTTCTGGCAGTCCAACAATGATGATTCTTCTGTGGGGAAAGTCGTGATAGAAGTCGACAAGTACAACAGTTTCCTGCAGGCGGGTAATCACCTTCTCGCTGTGGGTCAGTGGCGGCTGTGGTTGTGTGGGCAATATGTCATGGACTACAACTTCTGGGATCCGGCGGCGGTTCTTCAGCCCGTTGCGCAGCCACAGGGGCATATGCAGCGGCGAGATCGGTGCCCGGGGCATTTTATTTCTGTTCATCCTACGCTGGTGACTTCGACAAAGGGTGCCGCAACAAGCACGACAAGCTCGTCCACTACCAAATCGGCAACAACCACGCCAACACCTCAGATGAGCGATCAGACCTGCCTCTCCAACAAAGACTTCCACCAACCACTCGACTCCCACGTTGTCGACACTGTCGCCTCTCTCTGCTGGCGCGGCACCCAGATCCCTTCCATCGATTCCGAGATGGGACCCGACAGCAAACCACTCACATGGTCCTCGGGCAGCCCCACGCTGACGAACTGGCAGTACCGCGTCACGATCACCTGGGTGAAGGGTTGCAAGGGACCAAAGCAGAAGCCAATTACCCCGACCGGACAAGAAGGAACCAAGTACACCTGCGAGAATATTGTCAAAGATAACTTCAGCAAGTGCGTGCTTGATCATCGAAGCTACGGTGGGAGCAGAGTGTTTGGGTGCTTGGAGTATCGGGGTTGGATGGAGCATTGATTCTTAGGCCAGATTCTGGGTATCCTCCCCTGGGCTGTGGTTAGAAGCTCATGTCGGCTTACATGCTGCCAATCACTTCGTTCTTCTCTATCGCTTTCTGTATTCTACACCTTCAGCAGACTTACGAGTTTGGATGGTTAACATGTGTATTTTATTCGACTGATATCTAGCTAAGAGCATAGGTTATCCATTTCGATGCCTGAAGCCTAGTCAGAGCATGCCACATAGATCTGTGAGCAACAGCAACAAGGAAAACCTGATATGCCTCAGATTTAACCAAGTTGTTGAAAACTCGAGCCTGAGAAGTAGTGTAGCAAGAAGTCAGGGCTAAGTTGAGTCGCCAACCGCGGAAAGCCTTCCGCCCTGCTGAATCAGCCGCCCGTCAGCTCTGACTCACCAGGCCCTAAATTCACTAACATTCACTAACCTCACTAATGAAATGAGCTGCAGAATTTTACTCTTCCTTGACATAACTCCCATAGTGTTTTATTCTCTTGCTTGGATCCCAAAATGTCTAAATCCACTTCTCCCCTTGACACCAGTCCAGCCATCCGACCGACCCACACCCCCTTCGGAGGCCGTTTCGTGCGCGTTGAACCCCTAGCCGAGCAGCATGTAGACGATCTATATCACCACATTGGCCTGACCGAACACACCTCGCTTTGGGACTACCTCCCGTTCGGGCCCTTTGCGGACAAGCCCACCTTCACCCAGTTCCTCCGCACGCTAATCACTCATGCCGACAGCGTCTTCTACGCGGTGGTCGACCTAGCCCGCAACCAAGCCGTCGGCCTGCTCAACTTCATGCGCATCGACCTGCCCAACCGCGTCGTGGAGATCGGGTCGGTGGTCTTCTCCCCCCTGCTGCAGCGCACGACGGCCGCGACGGAGGCGTTGTACTTGCTTGCGCGGGCAGCATTTGAGCAGTTCCACTTCCGACGGCTGGAGTGGAAGTGCAATGACCTGAATGCGGCGTCGAAGCGGGCGGCGGTGCGGTTGGGCTTCACGGCCGAGGGGGTCTTTCGGCAGCATCTGATCGTCAAGGGGAGGAACCGTGACACTGCTTGGTTCTCGATTCTGGATGGCGAGTGGCCCGCAATAAAGGGGGGCTTTGTGAAGTGGTTGGACCCGAGCAATTTCGATGAGGAGGGGCTTCAGCGGGCGAGGTTGGAGGCTTTGCGCGGATTGTAGGCAAGGGTCCAGTCCAGCCGTTCTAATCTCGGCTCGGGGACAGTGGTAACCGTTGAGGAGAATCAGAAATTCTGGATTAGATATGGTGACATTGGCACTAGATTGATGGGTAGCATCGATTTAATATAGCATCAGATTTAGCCCCGGTGGTCTTCTTGGCAGGTGTTGGTAGACGAACCCCTTTCACAATAAAGTGTGGCGCTATACACTTCACTTATTATCCATTGTATGTAAACTCCTGTCTCTTCATCTCGTTCTTCTTTTTTTCCCCTTGTCTTTTCTCCCTTTTTTGCTTTTCATTTTTCCTCCTCGGATCGTTTCTCTATCTGCGGTGCTGGCAGGCATTTGGCTTATCTTGCTGTGGAAACTTCGGCTGCACGAAACAGCCTATTTTTGCTAGCTTCTCCACCAGACCCTGAAAAGTCCACCGTCCTTCGTCCGTGGCGTCTTGGCTGTGCCTAGCCGTTAAGTTAGCGAAGTCTTCCTGTGTCACCACGTTAGCTGCTTTTTATCTCTAGTTAACCCCCCACGCGTTGAGGCGCACCACACAATTGGTACCACATACTGGCATGCAACTCAAAGAATTCAGCTCGACGCTTGGCAAAAATCAAATTACAAAACTATAGTACATCCCTAATGTAGGTCGCAGGAGTTCTAGCCCCTCACTAATCTAGTCGACGTGAATCCGCCGCAGACACCGGTCCGACTTGCCCGTAAACGAGCTGCGCGTATGCATCGTCGTCACATTATCGCTGATCAACCAGTCGCCTTTCTCCCAACAATGCCAGTAGGCCACGCGACGATCGTGCAGCAGGCTATCGAGGGTTTGGCACAGTTCCTCCGAGTTGGGCACACCCTGGATGGTAATTTTGGTTGGCTCAAAGACCGTCTTCTCCTGCGGCCACGGCTCGTGGTAGCGGAGACAGGGACGCTGGTGTGCGAAGTGGTCCACCACGAGAGGGAGATCGGTGATCTTGGTGTGGTCGAAGGAGACAGTTTCGACCGTCCAGGACAGAGTGCGCAGGTGTTCGACCGAGTATTCAGATGGTAGATAGTGCCAGACCAGGTGGGAGGGGGAGAAGAGGGTGAATCCGGTGTCTTTGGGCGAGGGGGTCATTCCCGTGAAGAATTGGAATCTGGTGCAGTGGCCATTGGATTAGTATGGCTGTTCGTTAAGACTGCAGGCGGTTACTTACTTCGGAGGACAGGACCTAACAACTTCCTGCCCATCTGCATTTTTCATCTTGACAATCTTGAACAGGCCATCGTAGTGGAACGGCATCCACTCCGACGACAAAACATTGTTCAGGCCCTGCGTGTCTGTGCCGTGGTCCTTCACCTCGAGGATGAGACCGAATTTCCACCCAACGGGGTTACCCATCTCCTCGGCCTTTTTGACGAAAAGCTCCCGGTCGCGTGTGTCCTGGAACCCCCGTAAAATAACAGGGGAGTTTTCTTCTGCCAGAGCGCGAAGCTTATGCATGTCCACTTCTGCACAAGACACGGGTTGCGTAGGTCGAATGATCAGGCCACAAGGGTACTGAGGCTCGATTTTCACGGGTTGTGGCCAGGAATATAGTTCTGACTTGTAGCGGTAAAGCCACGGCTGTCCTGCCTTGTGAACCAACTCAACATCGGGGTTGTGGTCGAATGACTCGCGTAGGCCATATTCCACGCGGCCGTCGAGGGTGAAGCACGGCGTTGAGTGCCAGGGTGTCACACAATGACGAGCCAGAGGCAAGACCTGAACGGAGATTTTGGCTGAGCCGCATGACGGGTGAATCGACAGACGAACATGGTCCGGGTAGTTCTTCTTGATCGCCTCTGCAAATGCCTGGATGCCAGGTCCCAGATTAATCACCAGCACACGGTGGTCCAGGGGCGTGTCTTACCTTTCCACGAGCGATCATCTGCTTAGCAATACCCTCGAGCTTCTGTTTGTAAGACTTCTTGGACACCTCGCCCGCTTCCACAAAGGTATGTTCCAAATCCTTGGCCAGAAACTTGATATATCCTCGGTAGGTGGTGCACACATCTTCGTCGGCCTTGATACTCTCGGCACAGTCGTAATCCAAGGGGGTGAAATTGTCGATCAACCGCTGACGAAAGGCGCCTGCCAGCTGTTCGTAGGTGGTAACGTCGAGGGGAGTGTCGATCTTCCAGTGGACGAGGTCCCGCAGACGAATGAACTGGAGGTGTCGGTAGCCCTGCGACTGGACCATTTTCCGCAGCGCCTCGCCATACGTATAGACCTCCGCGTCGGGAACACCTAGCAGGTCTACCCCCTATGAGTCTTATCCAAGACCGACAAGTCCATAGAGAGTTGCGGTTAAACTTACCATTGTACACCAGACCGTCGGAAGCGATGGTCAACCTAGCCCCTGGTTCGTAAATGTCCGCGATCGCCGCGCATAGTCCGTTGAGATGGGCCAAGGCAAGATCCTCCCCTTTGTCTGGTAAAGACCCAAGAACTTTCTCTTTTCGATTAGGTGACTTGAACGGGAAAGCTGGTAGGATCAAGGAGACTGATTTGCCTGCTCTCACGCGAGTGTAGATCAGGGATAGGAACTTCAGAGTCCCCTCGTCGCTCCGATCCACTAGCGATGCTGGGACGGGCATGCGATATCGGTAGATGGTGTTCAGAATCTCCCACGCCTTATGAAGGGTAGCCAGATCAAAGATCGGCTCTGCTCCGACCGAAGGCAGGGTCGATTGAGCGATGGGAGGCTGCACCATGACTGCGCTCATCTTGGTCGATTACTATGACGCGATTCAAGGTCGAGCGCTGAGCAGTTGGGAATGGTTTATATTGCTAAAATCCTCCCTGCTCGCGGTCCAGCGAGGCATTTAAAGTCATATGAGCCTGTCAAGGAACCTGATTCTATCCCAACGCTAGTAGTTCCGAGTATTGCATGAGGGTGCACTATCGGCTCAATTCCGCATTCGGAACATATGTGACTTGGTCGGAATCTCATTGACTACCTTGGTACCTAGATCAGGGGGGGGGGAGCTCGCTCATGCAATCACTCCATTAGTGGATGCAACCTCATCTCCAACTTGGTCAGAGTTAGAAGGGTTATGGTACGATAAGAAGATAGTAAAACTGGTCACAATGCGTCTCGCACCCGTGCCAAGCCAAGTAGTTAGGGCTGGGCTGAAGAACTTGGCAGCCTAATGGTTGATATCCACTATAACTACATCTATTAAGTAAGTAACCCCAAGTGGAACCTGCATTACTGAACCTGGAACTGAAACAGACGCAAATGCCCGATTCGCACTGCCGATGCAGGGACCGATACTTCATCATTCGCTCTGGTTCCTCCCATGGCCCACTTCTCGGCGGAGACTTTTCACCCATAATTCTCCCGGTTATTATTCGCCTTTGGTGGTTCGTGCTTGTTCTTCCTGAGCCATGGTCTGCGCGCTGGTGGCACCATTGCTTTTAGCATTTCTTAGCCTTGCGGCTGAGACATACCTAATTTATGTTTTTCTCCTGCAACTCAGATGCATTTCCAAGCGCGGAATCGATCCATGTACTGGGAGGTAGCTTGTCGCAATGCTTGTCATCTATTCTGCATCTCAGGGGAACGAGGGTACCATTTCCGAGCAGAGAAGCATGGCGCCACGAATTGGAAAGGATGCTAATTGTCCGATTCTCTATTCACTTTTACGTACCCCCTGATCCTCGTCTGATTTAATGGGAGCTGGGCCCCTTCCTCACTATTCGTCTTACCATCTTGGGACGAGACTCTTAACGACCTCACGCAAATATGGCAAAGGAAACACTATCGGCAATTCAGACGGACTTGGTCATCGTGGGCGGCGGACCGACAGGGTTGCTGTCGGCTGTCCTCGCTCGGTCCCTGGGCCTATCTGTGTATATTCTCGGTACGATCATGCGAGTTGATCGACGGCCACAGCTCTCCTGATGATACTAATCCACCGAGTGCAGACGCCAAAGAAACCTCACTTGACCTGGGCCGAGCCGATGCCTTGAATGCCCGCACCCAGCAATATCTCGAGGTATCGAGAACGTTACCCTTACTCGAGCCGTTTGGGTTAACATGTAACAGTAAGAGACACCCCCTTTCCTCCCTAGTTTCAACAGATTCTTGCTCTGACAACTCCTTCTCTTTACATAGCTAGTTCCACCTTCGAAGCCGGCCGGTTCACCTCCCAGCAAAGCCACTGGTGGACCTCCCTAAAGCACACCCACCGCCCTAATTTCCTGATGATCGGACAAGCTTGCGTCGAAGAAGCTCTCCTCCATCAGCTGGATATCCCGGTGGCGTACAACACCCGCGCGACCTCGATTGCTGAGTTCGATGCAGGCGTGGTGGTCACCACTGATCAGGGCAGGACGATTGTATCCAAATACGCCATCGCCGCCGACGGGGCGCGCTCGTTTGTGCGCCGCGCCCTAAACATCCCATTCACCGGCACCAAGCCGGAGATGGTCTGGGCGGTGCTGGACACCTTCATCGAGACAGACTTTCCCGTCTGTCCGGAGATCATTACATTCCAGAAAGATGGGCAGTCGCGGGTATCGTGGATTCCGAGGTATGCGTGTTCATGCAGATGGGAGATGGAATGGGTGTCTGACCGAATGCAGAGAGCGAGGGATGAGCCGATTTTATATTCTACTCGATGGGGAGATCACGCAGGAGAAAGCCGAGGCTTCGATCCGGGAGCACATGGCGCCCCACACGATCGAGTTCAAGCGCACGGAGTGGTTCAGCACCTTCGAGAGTTTGTATTTCCCTAACCCTGTGCTCGGGGCATTTCCTCTGATGTCCTGGTGTGTGTAGTCAAAGAACGCGTTGCCAGCACCTTCATCTCCAAGGATGGACACGGTCGCATCCTGCTCGCCGGCGACGCTGCGCACGTCCACGCCGTCAACGGCGGGCAGGGCTTGAACACGGGCATTGCGGACGCCTTCAACCTGATCTGGCGCGTTGCATTTGCCGTCGAGGGCCTTGGGGGCTCGACGCTGCTAGCAAGCTACGATGAGGAGCGACGCGCCACTGCCACCGGGGTGATCGATGTCGCTGCCAAGCTGGTGCGCATGACCGTCAAGACGGCCCTGGAGTATGTCGATATTATTGAGAGGAATGCTGCCTATATTACCGGTGTGTATTATTCGCACCGTCGGCTCCTGATCACTTCGTGCTGACTCGACTCATTCAGGAATGGGTGTGTCGTATCTCCCTTCCACTCCCCTCGTCAAGACATCCTCCCACGCGGACTTTGTCGCTGGCAGTCGTTGTCCCGATCTCTGGGTTACGAGTCTTCCGCCGACCAGGCTCTTCGCGACTGCGGTGGAGAATCCTGAGGTCGCTAAGTGGGAACCGTCCAAGACTCGGCTCTATGAGATCTTTCAATATGGCAAGTTCAAGGTCTTCTTCCTCGGGAAGGATGCTCGAACAAAGTGGGAGCATCAAGCTGTCGAGCTGCAGCATAAGGCCGAGTTCTGGAATGTCCATGCCTCATCGCAACGAGTCACGAGTCTTGTGTATGAATATCAGGCGGAGTGGGCGGATGATGCTCACGAGGAGGTCGTGGTGGTCCGACCGGACTTGTATGTGGGCTATGTGGGCAAGGATTGGGTGCAATATTTGGAGGAAGTATTTGCTTGATGGCTGTTGAAGGAGGACAACCATATAACCTCGACGAGGAGTCACAAGTCACACAGGTTACAATCCAGGGATTTCCACACAATAAAGTACAGTACATGCTATACATGTACCCAGAAAAGGAATGTGATGTGCTGATTCAAGGAAGGTGCCGCGAGGCACAAGGCAACTAACTGTGCCGGGATGAAAGCCTGGAAAGGCTAGAAAGTATACTGGTGGGACAACTTGTACAAGGAATGTAGAGATATACAATTGGCCTCAAAGTATACACATGATGATGATCTCAGTCTTAGAAAATCACCCAAATAGAGATGTATACGCCGCATCGAGATCGTTCACCATCGACGCAATCCCCTCGTAGACCAGATCCCGCTTCATGGAGAGAATCAGCGAATGGGCGCCGTTGCGCAGCTCCTCAATCAACCGATGTGCATCCTGGATTTCCGTGCCCGCTTCGGGACAGTTCAACAGCGGGTAGCAGATGGAAAGCCGTCTCGACGACAGCGCGGCCCGGACCCGGTGCACCAGCATATACAGCACGTAGGACGCCTGCATTGCGGCACATTTGAAGTACGGCAAGGACCCGTAGTACCCGTCTTGCGCGGGCGCCAGTGTGGTCATACTGGCAGTCTCCAGGTCCGTAGACCGAGAAGTGGCCGAGTATGGAGAAGGTACATCCTTAAAGGCACGGGCAACGGCGAGTGATGATTTCAGACAGATCATGGAGGATTCGTCCTTGCTGAACGGGAAGAACGAGTCGATCTCGGTGGCTGTCATGGAGGAGAATTCCTGGGATGCGCTGCCGTCTATCCGCAGTGAGGACAGATCGCAATGCTTTTCCAGAAAGATTGGGATGTCGGAGAAGGCTCTGAAACGGTGCAGCTTGATCCGCGCACTATGCATTGGTTAGCGTGAGTAGAACCTGGGGAGAACTTTCGTTCAATGCTCGGAGGTCATACGAGTGAATCAGTGCGCAGGCAATCAAACCGAAGCTGCGACCTGCAAGACCTTCCGTGCTGTTGCCTTGCATCGGTGCACACATCAGATCACACCCCGAGGCCAATGACAAGATGGATTGGTCTAATCGGGCAATCTTATCTTTTAGATCCGGGGTGGGTGAGGATTGAGCACTCTGCATAGTGATCACGCGCAGAAGGGCGCTGACTGAGTCATGAGCATTATGAGCCTGTAGAATGAGTGACCACGGCTATCAGGGGTTAGCAGACAGGTACCCTGCTATATGAAAATAGATTGCGTTACCTCCAGGCCGTTCGTCCCCAGTTCGAAAGCTGGGTAGGGCGTTGTGATTCTAGGATCATTGGTGGTGATGATTGGGGACTGGCAGTGGGACATTAGCCCGGTGTTGGACATCACCGTAACCGATAAATCAAACAAGTAACGTACTGATGAATTAACAGCAGAAGACTGATATCCTAGAATAATCTGTAGAGCCGTGAGCGTTGCGTGTAGCCGTGAAAGATGGACGAAACGTACTGCGATCCACCATGCGCGTCGTTGAGCCTCCGATGCATTCTTTTCCAACCGATGCAGCGAACTGTCCATCGCAGTTGTGATGGCTTGGTTGATCCGCATTCGCATGCGATGGATATTCCCATTTTGACAAGAGTCATACACGCCCAGGACCATCAAGGTCAAGATCGGGTGGAGTCTGACGGGTAGATCGGGATGGAAACGCTGGCTGTAAGTCGGAGGACGAGGGGAGATTCGAGCGGCGTCGGGCTCCACGATATCTTGCTCGGCGCTCTCCAGAGCGGACTGCGCGAAAAGACCGGAGTAGGACCGGCGTAGCCACGCACAGCAGGGATCGGAGGGATTTCCATCTTGCGGGGGCGGGATCAAGGCGAGGACTGCGGAGAGGGCCAAGCTCAAACAAGAGAGCGGTCGATACGAGAGACAGGAGTGATCCACGGTCCCCGCCTCTCCGGGCGAGGGCTGGTAGACCTGGGGGTGGTCTGATCGTAGAGGCTCAGCGGGCGGAGGCAACAGCGGCAAATAGGGATGAATGAAGATGTAATATGCGTTCAGTCTGAGCCCACATACATCATACCGAGTCAATAATCATGGAGAAGCTCGGCGAGCTGGGGTGTACGCACATATCTTGTTCGGATGTATAGACCCGCAAGAGCGGCCCTTGAATCTCACAGGCAGTCCCTGCATGGAGTGCCTCCAGCCTGTCTTGGGAGCCTCTGTCTGCATCCTGAGCCCTCTTGTACGGAGACAGAAGAGCCAGAGTATTCCAAATACCGGGATCGTCAATCAAGGAGCCCGAGTCTTCGGAGAGATCCACCACCGTCGGGGGCTGGGGAGACGGCCCCGGAAGTAGGCTGCAGGCGCGTCGACGAGGACCACCTCGTCTACTGGGCTGATACGAACAGAGGCGACCTTTGACCAGGCACTATGGCAATGAATCAATGAATTCAACAGAACGTGGATCAGCCCTACCGGCCTGCAAGGGTTTTGTCCGTCGCAACGGGTTTTGGACGCACGGCTGACACTAGATGTTAGCAAGTACAGTACGGTACAGTCAGACAGTTTATACCGCGGGCGCAGGAAAGACACACCAGGCCAGACAGGCTGCCTTAACAGGAGGGGTCCCTCGCATGAAGTGAGTTGTGTTGAGTGTGTTGTGATAGAAGTGTTTGGTATGTTGCGTGCCAGGTGGGGGACAGAGAGAGAGAGCAGTCACCGAGGGTCGGCGATCACCGGGGAATGCGGAGAGAACCATTCGCCGAGCCCGACTTGGGTCATGTGACCCAGACCCAAGTTTTCAGACAAAGAATTCTCCCGGTAGGGTCATGTGATGAATGCACCTGGCATTCTTTCACGTTATACTAATGATGTTTGGTCCATATTCATATTTTTCATATTTTCAATGCCTAGCAGAGCACTAACTAGAATCCGGGGGCCAATGGTCCCCCCGCTCACCTCTTGTATACTCTAACTGCTGGGACTTCGCATAAGCCCATTGATTCACGCAGCCGTTCCTTACTGAGGCTGCGGAGATAATCCCAGTTAATGAAGCTCCGAATGTAAGCCACCGCTTCGGGATCCCGGCGGAAAAGGCAAGTCAAGCATGCAACCTGGTCGTCGCGCCGATGATGCACATGCACATCCTCATCCCTGTATAGCACCTCCACGAGTTCCCACTCATGGGAACACGAGCCATCTCCCACAGACCCTCGATCAGCCTCGTCAGCTGCTTGATCTCATCGGTGGAGGTCAGCTTCCCCCGGAGAGCCGAATGGTTTATCACCCCGGGGCTCACCGGAATATACTCTCGGATGGCATCAAAGATCTCCCGGGGCACCTTGGCCGCAAAGGCGGGGGTGCACAGGGACAAGCGAGTCAAGTCGAGCAACGCCTGAATCTTCAGAAGAAAAAGATACGCGGTTACACCGTCGAACCTCACCCAATCACCGTCGTAATCGATTGGCTCCATCACGCTGACCCCACGCGGGAAGTTCAGCATTGGCAAGCTGGGGCTGACGATGCTTAACCGTTCAACATCCGGTTCACCGTCGGCCATGCTCCACCAGTGAAGGAGGTCCGAACACTCCGGATCTTCTCCGCTGGGAACAAGCGCGCGTAGTTTGGCCTCGGCGGCCTTGACATTGGCGCGATACTCTGCGACCCCTCGGCAAATCGTCTCATGCTGTTGGCGGTGGCTGCCTTGATGCTCCTCGCTGCAGTAGAACATGACCTTGCAAGTATCACAGCGGATCTGGCTGTTCTCTCTGTGGCATTCCCCGCAGGACATGGGGGTGAGTATACGGCATGGCATCTTGTGACTTGAGGCTCAGGCGGATGAGATCGGTATATCGACAGTGGAGGTATGGCAATGGGAAGGTATATATATATATGGATGTATGTGTGAATGATGAGGAACCCAGACAATGGATTGACCGAAAGTCATTATCCATGCATTGTCTCTATTGTAGCCGTGGTAGTAACAAAGAAAGGAACCCTACACCTGCTTTCTGGCATCGAATCTAGTAGACAATAGAATAACACCATATTTCCTTTCACCCAGCTCATCGCCACATTGCATAATGAAAGTCGGCTGGAGCCAAACACCTCTGGCGTTCGCCAAAGGCATAGACTCCCAGCATCATCCCAGTAAACGCCGCCCCAACCCTTGGGGGCCTTGTCATGGTACCATTTCCCACGTCTCCCACCCATTGCAGCATCATCTGGTCTCCATCCGGAGCAGCTTCACGGAAGCCGAATCGGTACGATGAGCCACATTCGACAACGAAGATCACGTCCGACTGCGCATTCTGTAGAGGTATCTCCACAGCCTCCCCCTCCGCAGGCTGGAACCGCACCATTCGACCCCCTGTGTCCGACCCCCGCACGCCCATGCTGCTGTACGTGAGGTAGTTCCACCACACTACGGTGCCGGCCTCGGTGTGCTTCTGCTTCGAATCGAAAGAGACCCGGGTTTCCCAGGTACAGACGCGATGGGTCTGTTTGCGCAAGAAGAGCGTCGGACACGTCGGGACAGACAGATTGTACGGCCCACCGTAGAGACGGAGACAGCCCTCTCGCTCGGTGAGCGAAAAGTCGCGCAATACCGGCGTATTCTTTCGGTACCACCCTAGCTGCAACTGGGGCTGCGTGAAGTCATCGCGCCAGGCGACCGGGGGCTGCCACTGATACAGCTGAGGTCCCGCGTACTCCAGCGGAATCTTCTCGCCACCGTTGATGACCGGCCAGTCATTCTCCCAATTCATCGGAACTAGGAAGGTTTCACGGCCTATTCACGCACTTAATCACAGGGCGCATCTCCCATACCTGAGGGGATTGACTCACCGAACACAGACTCCTCCCACACGCCGTTCCGCCAGACCGGCCGCACCCCCAACAGCACCACCCACCACTGCCCCTCGGCATCCTCGACCAAGTCCGCATGCCCAGTATTCTGGACTTCATCGGAGAGTCCATTCCGCCACAGAGGATTGGTAGACGCGACCTCCCAGGGACCGAGCGGACTAGTTTTACTGCGCGATACCCATTCACAATGTCCACTCTCGGTGCCTCCCTCGGCCGTGAAGAGATAGTAGTACTCCCCGCGACGGAAGAGATGCGAGCCCTCAGCCACCCCAGACGCTGATTCCCGGATCAAGCGCGGCTCAGCCAAGGAGGCGCCCGTCTCCAGATCGACCGGCACGATGTGCACGGCGAAGTCTTTCAGATTGGCATGGGGGGTGCGATCCAGTTTGCGGTAGGTCGATGACAAGTACACGGTGCCATCGTCGTCCCAGAAGAGCTGTACAGCATGAGCCACGACCGGATTTCAAGGAGACAAAAGACACCCACATCCTGATCGAAGCCGACTTGATCGAAGTAGACTGGATCCGACCACGAGTCGGAATCCCAGATGTTCGCGGTCTTCACGTAGAACCCCCGCGGCCAGACGCGGTCGTCTTCCTGGGGTCGATAGCGTTGAAAACAGGCAGCGAGACAATAGAATACCCCCTCGTGGTAACGCAGTGTGGTGGCCCAGACACCGCCACCAGGCTCGGGGGTTTGGATCTGCAGCTGGCTTGGGCGTGTGAGTGCATGGCCGATCAGAGTCCACTGGATCAGGTCGGCGCTGTGGTAGATCGGAGCCCCAGGGACATATTCGAACGAAGAGGTGACCAGGAAATAGTCAGAGTTAACCCGCACGATGGAAGGATCGGGGTTGAACCCGGGGATGATTGGATTGGTATACATGACGCGGTGGTTTGGAGATGCCACCTTGCATCGGAGTCAGAATGAGGGGGAATATCCAGTTTATGCGGCGATGCCTCTGCATGATGATTGGTGGAGAAATACTTCGAGCTTTGCTTGGCTTTTATGGGACATGACTTGGTTTACTTCTGAGCGATTATACAGGCGAAAATGGCCTTGATATGGTGTCAATGACTGTGTAGTGAGGGTGGCGGTCGCATAAACCCTCCTGAGCCCCATAATTTCCCTTGTCCTCACGCCAGAACCTCTCCTGTCGAGTGAATATTCTGGTGAATGTGGCCGTTGATTACAATCGCGTGTAGACGATTCTTGTTCTGCAAGACACTGATGTCGTGCAAAGGATCGCCATCTACCAGAATCACATCGGCGAAATAGCCCGGCTGCACTTTTCCAAGCTCGTCCGGATAGCCCATGAGCTCGCCTGCCATCGCGGTCGCAGCCAGAATGCTCTCCATCGGCGTGTACCCGAACAAATCCACCAAGTGCTTCAGATCACGTGCATAGGTGCCGTGGGGGGCCCAGGCAAACCCGTAATCACCACCAGGGAGGACGCGGATCCCCCGACGACGCATCTCGCGCATGGCTTGACAAGCGACCTCGACCTCGTTCGTGATCCCCTTCTGCTCGGCCACTTTGGGCGACACTCCGTAAGGCTCTGCATCACCCTGCACCATCGCGTACAAGAGATTGATAGCCGGAGCGACCCAGACCGAGTCCTTGTGCTGCTCGAGAAGATCCATCCCTTCCTCATCCGTGAAACTTGCATGATAAATGACATCGACACCGGCCTGCACACATTGCTTGACCGAGGCAGCACTCCGAGCATGGGCGCAGACCCGTTTGCCATGGAGATGTGCCTCCTCCACTGCCGCAACTGTCTCCTCCAGATCGAAGTACGTTTCCTCACTGGGCATCGTGGGGTGTACGTTGTCCCCAGTCATACTCAACTTGATATTGTCGGCGCCCAGTTCGACGAATTCTCGAACCATCTTGCGCATCTCCTCCGGCCCATCCGCATAGCGCGAGATCTGAGGAACGATCGCTCCGTCAGGCTTGGTCAACTCTGGACAGTTGGCCAAAGTGCGTGGGCCGGGGATTAATCCCGATTTGATTGCAGCTTTAATGGCAATGTCGAGTCGCGGTTGGGCCGCAGCAGCTCCGAAACACATGGTATAGCCGTGATCAAGGTAGGTTCGAGCTGAGTTCGCAGTATGCAAGACATGTTCCTCGAGCGGAAGACTGGTGAGTTCATCCAGTGTAGCCGCATTGTTCCAGCTGAGGTGAGTATGCGAGTCCGCCAGTCCGGACATGAGTGTCTTGGTGCCACCACCGTCGATGACCAGTGCTCCTTGGGTGGCGGTGGGATCGACTTGGCCGACCGAGAGGATGCGCTCGCCCTCAATTAGTACATCACCACAATATGGCTCTGCGCCGGTTGAGTCGAGAATGCGGACATTCCGAAACAGAATTTTGGGTGGATCTTGGGGGCTGCGATTGTTGATAGTAATGTCGGCCGGTGTTGGTTGGTATGGGCGTCGGTGGACATCTCCAAGGGAACCCATGATGCCTTTGCTAGGAATTCCGCTGAGTGCAAGTCGTAGCTCACGGTGGTCGGAGGGAAAGCTTTTGTAACCATCGCGGAGCAGCCATGACGAAGTTCAGGCGGGGTTTGTGGCGGGGGTTGCATTTCCCCTCTCTGCCATGCAGGGATCGTGACCATTCACACCCACCCCGATGGAAATCTCAATTTTCGGTCGGAGTGGATTTGTGCACGATGCAGGGATCCCAATCCCTTGGCTGATGGAAGTGGCAGATTCAATGGGTTTTGTCGGATGCCGTGACGGGGAATAAGCTCCGTGTACGAGAAAAATCAAATAACCGGTTCTGCTGATTCGAGGGGACCGTCATGGATGCTCTCGATGTTGCATGAAGATCAATACCCCGTTCGGTGGGCGTCTGCAGAGGTGAACTCTGCAGATGCGAGGTGCTGATGTGAGGTGCATGACTAGCGTTTCTCGACATCCTCCAGATACCCCGTCACCCTCTCTACCAAGATTCTTCTGGGCTCCGCCTGGTCGGGATCACTCAACGCATGCGATGCGCCCGGGATGATTGTGCTGTTTCGGTGCCAGGTCTCATCCCCGAGGATCGTCCGCCATCGCTGCAACAGCGCCACCTTATCGACCCACGGAGGAACCGACTGGTCCCTCCCCGAATACAGCACCATCAATTTGCCCTTTCCATGCAAAACCCCCCGGGTTCGGATCATTCCAAAGGTTCGTTGAAGGTGCTTGTCCGCAAGATCCGAGCTGAAGAGGTCGTCTTCGTCCGGTTGCTGGGGGCTGTGGGGACTGAGCAGGCTCAAGAACCGACGACTGCTCAGGGGGGTATCCGCCGGGTAATACATGCGCGTCGTGGTTGCCAGTGGCACGATCGTGTCATAAACCGTGGACCCATCCCCACCCCCGGTCTCGTACGTCCGCTTCTGCGCTGCCTGGATTGTCTTCCGATACACTTCCTGAATTTCTTCCGGGCTGTCGTACTCGGTCCCCAGCTTGCTGAGCCACAAAGCGGCCTCCCGGTCGGAAACCGGCGCCTGCATAATCGCCCCATCCACGGATGGTCTGGTGATGCCCACATATTGTCCTTCGGGAATGTCTCGATCGAGAATTGGGTGGCGTGGGCGCGGGTTGGCGCAGCTGATGTAATGCATGACATCCTGACTGCCGGTGGAATGGCCCATGATCACCACTCTTCCGTGCCCATATAAGGATTTTTTGTGGTCGCGTATGTAGCCCACACACTGAGCCATCTCGTCAATGTCCTGCGCAAGCGAGCTCATACCCCAGCCGGCGTAGGAGGAGGAGAGCAGCGGTGTGACGACGGACCATTCAGTGTCTTGGAGGGCGACAATGAGATCGGAGAGGTAGTCGACCGTGTGCAGGCCATCGGAGAGACCTCCAATAAAGACAAGGGTGTGGGGCTTGGGGCGGGAGCCGCGGATGTACTCGAAGGCGACCAGTCGGGGGGCCTGAGATGTTGTGTTTTAATGAGTTAGCACAGTGAGCGCGAGGGCCTGAGGCGGGGAGGAGACGAGAGATCGGTACAGTACATATGGGTGCAGAATACCAGGGTGGCCTTTGGACGCGGCCAGAGCAGACTGAAGATGCATCCTGAGTGTCAATTTCAGGGACCGCTGTGATGAGAAGCAGGATTGCGTTCACGAAGAAGTGAGTGATGGCGAGGAGTCAGAATGGGGAGGGAGAAGAGAGGGGAGAAGGGAGAGGAAGATGATGGCGGTGAAAATAATCTGATCCGCCCCCGGGGGGTTCTTATCAATCGGTCGGTCTACATGTACAGGTACGGTACAGTACGTACTGTACCGTCCCGCCCGGCTGACACCTGACAATGCTGGCACCAACTCACTCCAGGTTGGAAGGAGGAATATTCGAAAGCTAAAACTAAGAACCAGTGCTATAAGATGATTCCAGCACTCTAGCCGCAGAGAAGTGATTCTTAGGGATAGTACGAGTTTCAACTTGGAATGAGGTGCATATTACTCCATCGGTGCAAGAGATATATTCTTTCCGGGGCAGATAGGGATAGACTCTAAGCACATCTTCCAATAATACTCAACCACGCTTGTTGAATGGAATAGGAACAGAGACCTATTCCTTCGACTGTGAACTACCTATTAGAGACTACGGTAGCTATACCCGCAAGTCAGGAGTAACATAGCGCTTAAATTGTTGGGGCTGGGAGCTGTGCTGGAGCTGTGCTGGAGCTGTGCGGCACAGCTGGTCTTTGTCGCTCTCCGTAAGTTCGCGTGGCTGCCGGATGACTAAGGGATGAGTCATGTTGTTGTTGTTCTTGTTCTCTTCTTCGCCGCACTTCTTCCGCCCGACCCTCTTATCATCAACATCATGCCGAATTCTCCCCTGTTTGAATGCGATTTTATTTCTAGCTCTCTACAACTTCTTGAGTCGAGGCCAACCAGTCAAGCGAACGTTCTCATCTCATTTACTCTTATCTACAATGCTACGAGTACCCCGTACCTTGTGGGAGGCTGCGGTGTGATTGTGGGCCCCCAACGGGCCCAGCCGCAGGCCATTCCAAGTTTCTACGGCCTGCCGCCCACAGTTGACTGTTTCCTGAAACTACTTGAGCAAGGGTACTGTACACGCGGTGACACAAGTTTCAATGCAGACAATGCTCGTTACAAAGAGCTCTTCAGCGAAGACGACTGCACAAAACTCGACTGCACCGCAATCTCCTGAGCACGACTATCCACCTCCAAGACCGATTCGATGGACGAGGGCTTGCCCATGTAGTTGGGCCCCGCCGTAACATAGTTCGTTAGCCCTATCTCGTCGTCATTGGCCGTCTTCTTTAGCTGCTCAAACCCGAAGTCAAACGTTGGTCCTCGCTGGCTGAATCGGTGGCCCTTTTGAACACCCTGCCTCGATCCACTCGGTAGCTTTCGTGGTCGCCCAGATGACTCGGTCGTCGATCGTCGGGAATGGAAACTGGACGCGAGGGTCCGATGAGCCAGCCGTGCCAGAGGTGCAAGATGAGGCATGCAAGCGCAGACGACGGCGACCGATGGCTCAATGCTGGACCAGATGAACACGGGTCCCATCAGCCAGGTCAGGTCCGTCGAGCTCATGAAGATCGACAGGTATCGGATGCGAGCGATGCTGGCAACACACACACTAGCATGCACCGGCTTAGCTGGATCCATCGTGGATGTGCTTAGGGTTACCGAGGAGGACGTACAAAACACCCACCGCCATGATTCCGCTGATGGCCAGTTTCTTCTGCACACTCATCTGCAGCTTGACGATCCGAGGAAAGGGGATGATCAAGACGATGAAGTCATTCAGCATGTTGAGGATGCCCGCTGCCAGGAAGAATCGGTCCACGTCGATGCATTTGCCGTCGTCCCGCTGAATTGCGTCCAGAAGTATGTGACGGGCTTGCACGAATTGCTCATGGTCACCCAAACGATGATCGGGTAGGAGAGTGTCAGGAAAGCGCCGAACAATAGTGCAACTTTCAATATCGGCTTCAGGGGCGAGAATACTCTCCAGTAGAAGCAAAGAATGGAGAGTCTGGTGCAGGTGCAGGAGAAGGCGTAGATAAAGGTATAGGAGCATAAAAGCTACTTCCTAACCCATCAGCACAGGAGAACCGCTTGGTGGGGAAAAGGGGAATTTTCGACTGACCCGGTAAAGGTGCATCAGTTCCTCCAATGTGACGAACCAAATGTGCTTCCCAGCACCAGTCATACCTCCTACACGGCTCATCAGTAGGGTGGTCACATTCCAGGTCCAGTTTCAATACTCACCCCCGATGCTTAACCCGGTCGTGGCACCTATGCAGAGCTAGAAACGTTGAGTCAGAGGAGGTGCTCAATCCAAACCGCATCCCACTCACCAGGGCAGCAATGATGGCCCAGTCGTCGGCCATGAGGGCGTTTCGAAGGACCAGTCGCGCAGTGAAGCGGAGCATCACCGCCACCGCAGCCAAAACGAGCATGGCAATGACAGCCGCATTGTTCACGGCGACAGCGCTCGCAGTAAGGTCGACATTGGCCGGTGCCGGTCCAAAGAGCGCGTGGATCGCTGGGTCCTCGACCATAGCATTGCGTATGTGGTCACCAAGCCACGCATCAGTCTATGGAGTGTCTTAGGTATCAAGAATGGATTCCAAAGTCACAGGTGCCAATGCTTGACCTCTGGCCCCGGACCAAGCAAAGTGGTCAACACTCCGAAATCCACCAACTCGCCTCAGGAGGCGCCAGTCATGGCCACCCTGTTGTCTCCGAGACTATCGGATATTACTTGCCAATCCACCCAAGGGCTAGCCACATTATGAATGGAAGACGGTTGTTGGAGGGATCAACAGGTGGGTCAGGTGTCTTAAAACCAAGGCTGTTTGTTGGGCGGGTGTTTGAACCGCGCAAAGCTTTAGTGTAGGATTCATGCTTAATTGCTGCCATTATAGTCGCCGACGCGGCCCGTCGGAAGGCGCTGCACGGCTGCTCCAGGAGCCCTACTGACCCAACCCACAAACCCTGAGAGTCCCCCTGCTCTGCTTCAGGGCAGAAGCAGGGTCTCCTTCCAGTTGTCAGACGTGCCATTGTGCCATTGTGCCATTGTGCCATTGTGCCATTG